ATTTACTTAATCTTTTTCTATATTATTTATAACGACTTATACGCCTCTATTATAAACTCTCTAAATACCTTTCTAATAATTCTCTTAATTAGATTATTTTTAAAGTTCTTAGCGACTTTATACTTATTTTATACTTTCTTCGAGAGCGTTATTCTCTAGCTTCTTTTTAGTAATTTATAACGCTTTTATACTTTCTTATATTCTAATATAAATTTCAATCTAGATTATAATAATAATTTAATAATCGAGGTAGACTCCTCTATAGCCGCTTAAATAAAGTTAATAATAGTTATTATTTAATAATCGATATTATTATTAATAAGATTTTTACTATTTCTCGAGAAATTAACTAAATACTCTTTCGATATTATAGCTCTAGCGAGTATCTCTCTTAAAACCTCGGCGTTTAGTTTATTAAAGTTTTAATATATTATTAATACTAACTCTATTATAGTCAGCTTAAGCTTTATAAAAATTAAAAGATAATTAGATTCGCTTTCGAAATTATTTTCGATATTATAGTTAATAATATTTATTATTAATATTAAAGTAGTAAATAGTAAATCTATTATTATTTAATAGTTTTCTTTATATATTATTATTTCTACTAATAATACTTATTTTATAACGAATTCTTTCGCTATAAGTATTAGTTTTCTACTCTCTTATCGATATAAGTATTTAATCTCTCTTATATTATATAATAAAGATTAAAGTTATCTAGTATAATCTATTTATTCTTTTTAGACTTTATAAGTATTTTATATAATTTATTAAGTTTATTTATTTATTAATCGTCGAGATTATAGATATTATATATACGTATAATTCTATTATTTTTAAATTTAATATTAAAAGTATAGAGGTTTAATAAGTAATATAATAGATATTATTACTTTAATAATATTCTCTTATTAATATAGAAGTATACTCGTATATTATTATAGTAAAGATAAATTAAGTTAAATCTATTCTTTAGAAGATAATATAATATATTTATATTAATATTTCTTTAGAACTTCTAAATTACTACTATATCGATATTATAAATCTTTTTATTATCGAAGAGTTCTATTATAATTATTTTAGATTTCTTTATATTATATTATAGTATTAATAGCTAACTAAGATATACTATTATTTCTTAATATTATTATTAATATTACTTACTCGCTTCGCTTAGTTTATAAAGTCTATATCTTCTTTCTAAGTATTCTTCTTTTCTTAATTATTAATAAATCGAATATATCTCTTTTTATTCTTATTAATAAGAATCGTAATTCTCTTATTATCACTCTTTTAACTTAGAGACTATCTATTATTCTCGAGATTATTAATTTCCTCTATCGCTATATTATTTTTATATTATTTAACTTTATTTATTACTTTAAAGAGCGATCTATTTCTAGATAAAGCCCTTATTAATAATATAAAAGTATATCTTCTTTTATTTAACTAAAGATTTGATATAGTAGTTCTTTTAAGATCTAGCGCTCTAATTCCTTCTCTATTAATTATTCTATCTTTATCTATTAATTTACCGCGTATAAATATTAATCTTAAAAAAAATTCCTTATTTCATTTATAATTAAATATATTCTAAAAGTAGTTATTTAATTAATCGCTTATTTAATAACTAGTCGATATCTTCTTTATTATTATAAATCGTAAAGAAGTTTATTATCTCACTATTCTCATTCTCGCTATCTCTCTCTTCTTTACTATATATATCTTATTTTAAACCTTATATAGTCCCTTATAAATTAAATATTTACGAGTATCGATTATATATTCTTTATAATAATACTCTTCTAAGTATTTCTCGTATATTAAATAATTCTTTTTAGAGTATATAGTCGATAGATAATTATATTTCTAGTATACGAAGTATTACTTCGATTTATACTATTTATTATAAATATAATAACTATATAATTTCGAATCGATAACTAGATCTTCTTTTAATACTCTATTTTCTTTCTCTAGAAATACTAATTCGATAATTAATAAACTCTTATTATAATTTTCTTTATTCGCGCCGAACTAGCTTAGCTATATTATATTAAGACTTAGCGTATTAATATTCTTATTCTAAACCCTTTTAATTATCGCGGTTATATCTTTAATATTAAATATATTAATTCTTACTCTATAGAGTAAAAGATTATATATTTTAATAATTACTCTTACACTATTACTTATCTTTAAAATTTAATTCTTACTTTCTCTTAATTTATTCGTCTTCTTTTTATTTATAGCTATAATATATATATCGCTACTTACTAGCCTTCTAGTCGTTCTAATAAATTTTCTTATAATATTTATACTTTTTATATATTTATTAATTATTATAATTATCTCGCTCGATATCTTTCTCTTTAATATCTTATTTATTATTTTATCTTATAACTTTATAATAATCTTATTTAGCTTATTATATAGTACTTAATCTTATTTTAATATTATTAATAATATAATAAGAATTTCTTTAATAATAGAGAAGAATATTAAGAATTAGCTTAATACGCTAGCGTAGCTAGTTATTAATATATTACTTCTTAGACTAGCTACTTAATACTTAATATATATAATCTTTTCCTCTATATTATTATCTCGATTACTTAAGTTAATAGCTAGTTTATATACTTTATCTAAGATTATCTAGATTTTAAATTTATTATTTACTCTTTCTATAAATATTATTATTTATTTTAAAAATAATAACTATTTCGTTTATTAGTAATTTCTAGTCTTTATCTATTATTTTTAATATAATATTTATTAATAACTTTAGTATAAATACGTGCTTCTTAAAATTATAATTACTATAGTCTTATTAAGGCTAGTTAACTAATCTTATTCGATATAATTATAGAGATATAGACGTTTTCTAAAGTTAATTAAAGAGATATTAGTCTTACTAAGTACTTTAAATATATATATCTACTTTCTATAGCTCAATAATATAGCATGAGCGTTGTGCGAAAGTTTTTCTTTTATAAGAGAGAAGGGAAGAAATATAATTAAAAAAAAAAAAAAAACAAACCCACCAAAGGGTAAATTTTTTAAAAAAATTTTTTAATAAAAAAACAAAAAAAAAAAATAAAAAAAAAAATTAACCCCCCCCTTTTTTTTTTTTTTAAAACCACCCCCCCAAAAAAAAAAAAAAAAAAAAAAAAAAAAAAAAAAAAAAAAAAAACCCCCCACAAATATATATAAAAAAAAAAAAAAAAAAAACCTAAAACTCCTCAAAAAAAAAAAAGTTTTTTTAGCTGTAACAAAAAAAAAAGCCCCAAAAAAAAAAGAAAGGGGGAAGAGGTAACAAAGAAAAAAAAAAAAAAAAAAAAAAAAAAAAATCCCAAAAAAAAAATAAAAATAATACCACCCCACCCCCCCCACCACCCCTAAAAAAAAAAATTAAAAAAATATTTAAAAAAAAAAAAAAAAAAAAAAAAAAAAAAAAAAAAAAAAAAAAAAATATTTTTAAAAAAAAAAAAAAAAAAAAAAAAAGGGAGGGGGGGGGAGGGAGAAAAAAAAAAAAAAAAAAAAAAAAAAAAAAAAAAAAAAAAAAAAAAAAAAAAAAAAAAAAAAAAAAAAAAAAAAAAAAAAAAAAAAAAAAAAAAAAAAAAAAAAAAAAAATGAAAAATTAAAAAAAAAAAAAATAAAAAAAAAATAAAAAAAAAAAAAAAAAAAAAAAAAAAAAAAAAAAAAAAAAAAAAAAAAAAAAAAAAAACAAAAAATAAAAAAAAAAAAAAAAAAAAAAAAAAAACCTAAACAAAAAACCCTACAAACCCCATAAAATACTAAAAAAAAAAAAAAAAAAAAAAAAAAAAAAAAAAAAAAAAAAAAAAAAATAATACATATTTTTTTTTTTTTTTTTTTTGTTTTGGGGGGGGTGTCGGGGGGGGGGGGTAAAGAGGGAAACCCAAAAATCCATAAAACCAAACCTTAAAAAAAAAAGCTTTTTTTTGGCGGCGGCCCCGTGGGGTGGAGCATCATCTGCTACCTAGAGAGGACGACCCACTCTCTCACTTGATGCTAAAGAACCTTGCATTTTTTACTTGCTCCTTCAAATTGTTGGACTGGTAACGAACAACAACGGCGGCATCAACCTAGCTTGTGCATAGAACGACTAACTCTGTCACTTCTCTCTTTGTGCATCTGGTCTGAACATGGAATTTTTTTTCTTCAGTTTTCATTGACTTCGGATCTTAGACAATATGATGTAAAAAAGATCCGAAAATTAGACAGCGACCTCTATTTATCGAAGTCCCATGTTTATTTCGTTGATAAAGAATACCGCAAAGTCAACTGCTCATTCTGTAGAATGAATCATCCTCTAATCTTCATTCCTTGAAGATGCTCTATTGCGTAGGAGAGAGGCCGGTAAACCTGCGCTGATGAGAGACGGAAATTGCAGTGCTGATTGTCAGTGATGATGGGGTACGCTCGGTGTCTTACTAGAGTCGATCTCAGGAATTCCTTGAAGCTTGCTAAATCATGGCCTCATTACCCCCATCATGCGGCTGGAGGAGCATCAGAAGCGGCTCTCAGCGCTTTTACGTTCCCTCAACACCAATTGGGAACCATCTGTATTATCTTCCGAAGTCGCCCGTCCTGTGATTGTTCTCTCTTGCCTTACCTCCATCTCCTGCCGTATACCGTTTTACGCAGGACCCGAGTCAGATCTCAAGCCGCTCGAAAACCAACTGAAATATATGAGAACCCTGTTCAGGGGTGACCAGCCCCAGAAGTGTCACGTTAAATTGCTGTGGTAAGGGATGGCGAAGACACTGAGAATAAGCTGAGACAAAATTGATAGTACAGCACCAAACCCAGTATTTCAGATGTTCCAAGGCACGGCATTGATCTTTTTTATTGACGCAACATGCTTGATGTCATGAGCCTAGCTCCAGCTCTCAACCATGACAGCTTTCCGCCATGACCTTAGCCGCAAACCACGCTCCACTCATCTTCCAACCTCACGAACCGTCACTAGCTCAACGAGTCTTCCCGGACGCCTTATTCGGCACACCTTTCGACCCCATCTTGCTCTGAATCCTCCCCGGCTGCCCCCTCGCTGCTCCAGCCGCACTCTTCGCCTTCTCAGCCTTCTTCTTGCTCTCAGCTGTTGCCTTCTTCTCCTTGCCCTTCGCGATTGCCTCCTTACGTGCTGCCTCGCGGGCCTCGGGACGTTGCGAGCGGCGGTCTTTGATGAGTTCGAGGGGAGCGCCGACGATGCCTCGTTGTTGCTTTACGGTGCGGCGGGTGCGCTTTTTGGAGGTTTCCTGCAGGATGGTAGGGAGGTTAGCGGATTGAGCAGAGGAGCAAGTGAATTGGGAGTATAGAAGAGGGGTGCCGATGGAAATTGAATGGAAGACTAAGAAGCCACGATGGAACGCTCTGCTTGAGACATCTCTAGTGTAACCAGCAACCCTCGGCATCTCCCACCACAGGCAATGTCATCTCATAGAAGCCAAATCAGCTTGAGCTCACCTCTGTGATACCCTTCTTATGCTGCCTCCGGAACAGCACGGTCCATGCAATACGACGAGGGTTCTTGCGCTGTAGGAAGAGGGATTCGGTTTTGCCGTTCTGGAAGCGGAAGATTTTGCTGTCGCCGCGGATGTAAAGCTTGCCCTACATTAAAACACACAAGTCAGCCGTTGTTCCTCTCGGTCTCCTACCCCATGTAGAGATGAGATTCCGCTGCTGCTACTCGGAGGGGTGTAGAGGCGGAGTTCTGCGAAAAGCTGAGCAGACAGGATGGGACAGAGGCATACCTTGCCGGGGTAGATCTTCTGACCGCTGAAAGTATCGTCGTAGGTACGCATGATGGCGGTCAGTGATGCGTAGCCTGTTTGTTGCAGAGGGGGATGATGTCCTGCTGGACTTTTCGAGATGGTGTTCGCGATTACGGCGGCTAGTGTGGGTCAGGTGACTGTAGGGCTGAAGTGAAGCGAGGCGAGAGTGGGAGATTTCGCCTCGTTCTTGCTGTACTACTAAAGTCTACAGATGTGATCTGATTGCTGCTGAACAGGGAGAACGTCATTTAGATACACTCGTTATGATGTCAAGGTTTTAGAGCAACAATCTGCAATGTCTCGATGACATCGACATGATCCCTTCTGTCTCCCCAAACCATCACCTAGATCGATCCTCTTCCATCTGTTCAATCCGCTGCCCTAATGCAACTCGGATCGTTTTGATGATGTAGAGACATAAGACCTTATCATGTATTGTCTCGACAGCATTGGTATGATCCAGTCTTCGCACCAACAACATCGATAGTATTGCCCCATTCAAATCGCTGGCGGGCCACTGTGATACGAGCATTCCTCCTCCCGGTTGGGTTTGCAACGGACGCACTTAGGGACCCGGCAGATAGGGCAGCGGCCGCAGCAGTCAGGGCAAGAAAGACCATCGCATATCTCACAAATACTGGTGCACTTTGGACAGTGAACTTTCCCGCACCGAGAGCATGCCAAGAACGTGGGTTCATCGATACCGTAGGACATGAGGCCGGCGATCTTTTTCAGCCACTGAGTTGCATTGACTCGTTCCTGTGGCAGGATCCCAGCTTTGGGTGGGCCGGCTATCTCCTTGCATATTGACCAGAGACAGCAGTATCTCCCACAAGTTTCGCATCTCTTCATAGTGTCCTTGGTACAGCCGATGCAGAAAAGGTTCTTTGAGTCCCACACCCGGTCGTGATTTGGATGCTTGTGATTTGAGTAAGATAAGTCATGGATGTCGCGATAGATTTTATGCGTGCCGGTCCACTGGCGAAGCTCTTCAATCTAACGACGGGGAGAGTGTTAGCAAAGCTGAGGGATGAAGAAGCGCACGCATGGTAGCTTACCTTCTGGCCCCATATCTCCAGGGGTACCCGCCCAAAGAAGTTGCTCTGGCGGAATGGTGTTATGCCATCCTCACGGGTCGAAATGGGGGCCATACTGCCACAGTTTGTGGACCATGTTGAAGGAATGTTGCCATCCTTGTTAGTCAAAACGATAGGCATACCACCATCATTCGTCATGAGATCAGGACCAATGTTGTCACCCTCATCAATCGGATCCATAGGCAAGAGACCCGCCTTGATACGAGGTCTAGCTGAAAAAAAAGATATCTTGTTGAAACGCGTACGCTTTTCGATGGGATTGAAATCACTGTCATGACTTGCTTTGACTGAAGAAACATTGTATTCTTTAGGCAAGAGTTCTCCGGTGGATGTGATTTCTGGACCAAATGTTGCTTGGAGTGAGCACTTTTCGATTGCTTTGATCATCTTGTGATGATCCCGATAGTGCGTAACCGTCGGTGCCATATCGGTGAGGTGGGCGCGGTTGGTTGTGGTTTGTTTTGCTTGAAATCTCAGTTGATGGTGATCGTGGGTACTGTTGCCCAAGGGCCATCCATCATGACGCTCATCATGACGGAGGCAACGTCTCTGTCAGTGAAGGGTACAGCTCCAACGAAAGCCTTTTAGTACATCAGTATAGACAGTCAAGCTGCTTTATAGGACAACTACGAATAGATAGGTAGTAGAGCTGGAGCTCAACACGGGTTGGGGGGTATATCCAGCAACAGACAAAGAGGGGGCCAGCTTCACAGCAAAGTGAGGATGCAGAGAATTATGCGGAATGAGAGACGGCAGCTTGCATCGCTACTTCGGCTCAACTTATGCATGGCCCACTGTACTACATTGCATACCGCATTAAAGACGCGTCAAAGGAAGGCGTCTACCTGGAGCCCTTAATGCCATAGCCTCATATCAATTCATCACACCATCCTAATGTCTATGAAAGTCAACCAGAAACGCTTCCCTTAAGCTTTTGCATACTGCCGAGTCCATTCTCTTGCCGTCTGTATAGCCGCAGGCTCATCCTCCTTCCATCGTTGTGCCACATCATTCGCTAATGGATCATCTGGGTTTGGTGCGCCAAGCAGAGCTTGTATTGAGAGGAGGATTGTACGGATTTGGAGGGCTGGGGACCAGTTGCCTGTTCTTTTTAGCCATGGCCAATGAGCTGAGGACCAGAATTGCAGTATACTCTTCAAAACATCTAAACAGATGCGGCCCAGCTTGTCGATATTCGGGTGGTAGATCTTGGTGAGGAACCTGATCTTGGGAGGAGTCATAGGATAGTCGTCTGGTAGAAAGAGCTCAAGCTTGAAGATGCCCGCTGAGAGCCATAAGCCACTGCCTCGATCCGACGCCCCAATGTAAGCTCAGACTGACCTTCATATGGTGACTGAGAAGGGCCGTGGATCTTAACGTCGAAGTATCTGAGATTGTCTTCGTGGGGAACAGCGCTGATACCAGGCACACTAGCATTCAGAAATGTCAGCCGGGCCTTGTTATTGAGTTGTTTGGGCATGAGCGAGGGAGACATGCGGTTCTGCCATAAGGCGCTCCGTTTCTTTGATTATGCGCTTTGGTAGAGCAGCCATGATGGCTACCAAGGTTTGCTTATACCGTGTATCATGCAATGAACACTCAATAGAAGCTCTGTCTAGCGCTGCAGCTGTTGACTCGGGATCTATGACGGATGGGCAGAGTATGAGAGGGAGCGGAGAAAGGGTTTCCTGATCCTATTGGAGAACGAGGCTAGCGACGGGGTCGATGGCCATGAGCTCTTCGAGAAAGGCACTATCAGTATGTAGAGAAACCCCACAAGCAAAGAGCTGCGAGATGTACCGGTTAATCATGTGGTGAATCGCTGGTGAGGCTACCTCATGGGAGATTTCTTGGCATCTGATTCCAAGGCGCTAACATAAATACAGTTAGCGCAAATCGCGCTCTCAATCATCACCAATGTTGAGGATCGAGGCTCGCCTTCAAGGTGGATGAAGGGGGAATGTTCTGTCTTCTAAATCGTACTTCCAACACCTGGAATATCGGCTTTTGGGAGGGTGGGGAGGTCTTTGCTTTCTGTCATCATGTTATTCCTCTTCTGTGACTGGGAATGTATCCTTCTCATTTGCCTTGAAACTACTACCTCTCGTTTATGACTCAGTCCGAAGATTTTAAGTTCCTAGCTATAGGACTTCAATGTCTGGAAGACTGGGCGTTCGCATCTTTGTTTATACTACAACAGAGTCTATGGTCTTTCTCTGCCGGTGAAGGCCGGTTCTCGCTCGAGCGGGAAAACGTGATACTACTATGGCAAAATTCGAGGGCCTAAAGGGCCTAGCATCAGCGTTTGACAGCCCAACGTTCGGCCAAGATGGCTCGTTCAGCTTAGACAAGCCCGTCGGTTCTGCTTCCATCTCGCCATGCGGTAGAGACGTAGTTCTGGCCTCGCGCCAAGGTCTACACATCATCGACCTCGACTCGCCCTGGTCTCCTCCTCGACACCTCGCCCATCATACACCATGGGAAGTAGCCGATGTCCAGTGGTCTCCATTCGCTGCCCGGGATTACTGGGTTGTCAGTACGTCGAATCAGAGAGCTCTTGTATGGAATTTGGCGTTGGCCAATGCCCAATCTTCGGTCGAGCATGTCTTACACGGACATTCACGTGCTATCACAGACATCAACTTCTCTGCTCACTATCCTGACATTCTTGCAACCTGCGCTGTTGATAGCTTTGTCCACTGCTGGGACCTTCGCCATCCGTCCAAACCTGCAATGACATTCTGCGATTGGTTTGCCGGCGCAACCCAAGTCAAGTGGAATCGGCAGAATCCTCACATTTTGGCTTCCTCCCATGACAAATTTCTTCGCATCTGGGATGATCGAAAAGGTGCCTTTCCACTGCGATCAATCGAAGCCCATGCCACGAAAATCTACGGAGTAGATTGGAGCAGGACGGAGACCAGTAATCTTGTGACCTGCTCGTTAGATAGGACTATCAAGTTCTGGAACTATATGAAAGACAAAGATGAGCCAGATCGTGTTCTACACACACCGTTTCCGGTGTGGAGAGCACGACATACTCCGTTCGGATTTGGTCTTCTAGCGATGCCGCAGCGAGGAGATCATGATCTCCATCTCTATGACCGCCGCGTTGACGCGGTCAAAGACGATGAGCATACAGTGACCGCAGTACACAGGTTCGATGGTCATGATGACCAAGTCAAGGAGTTCCTGTGGAGACCCAGGGGCAATGTCACAGAGAGCATTGACGATCGAGAATTCCAGCTTGTTTCCTGGGGTACTGATCGTATATTGCGCTTGCAAAAGGTGGGCGAGGAAATCCTGGGCAATGTCGGGTATAAAAAAGGTATGCAGGTGGGACGAAGAATAAACATTACCCGCAAGAATGCGGTCTACAAGACCTTCCGGGAAGATCCATCCAAGACTGAAGGAAACACGTTGGGAGGCGATGGCCCTTTCAATGGTGCTGGAGTGCCCGGAATGGGATCTGCGCCTACTATTGGTATGAGCAGAGCCCCTGTCCCGTTCATTGGAGGATATGGAAATGGGGATTATATGAGTCCAATGATTGGACAAAGGACGGGAGCCTCGAAAGAAATGGATCCAATTTCATGGATGCGAGGTGTCAAAATTGGGAAACGTGAGCCCTCACCGTCTGGAATGCATCAGAGCGTATCTACCATATTTTCGCCGAGCCTGAAGACAGATCCAACGTGGGATGTTTTTGAATCTTTGGGAGAAGAGATCACTCACGTGGGAGACAAATTTACAAAGGTCAAGTTCGATGAGGTATGAAACAGCATCCCAGCAATTTCCCTACTGACCAATGCTGATTCTACGTGTGTAAGATCGATATGCAGCGCCGCAGGATTCAGGTTTCTCTCTCTGGGCCATGGGGATCTGAGAGGAGCTCCACATACCTCAAGGCTCGCATCGATTTTCCGACCAACTATCCGACTGCCGCGGCGCCCTCCCTCACCCTGGAGCAAACAGCATCCCTCAGCGGCGAAACAGCTAAACAGATCTATATGGATGCCAAATCGATTGCTTCAAGCTTCATGTCCCAGCAAAGAAGTTCGTTGGAAGCAATGCTATGGTACCTTTTAGGCGAACGGAATCTTGAAGAGAGCCTGCTTTGGTTGAAAAAGCGCCAAGAGAGCGTGGATCTTGAGTCCGCCCAAGACTTGGACTTGAGCTCCAGTGACGAGGAGGATGAAGGCCTCGGTAGGTACGCAGGAGGGCAAGACGAGAGCATGGAAGCAAGTGACCCGATGATTGCTGTCTCGAATGCTCAATACAACGTCCCACTACCCAAAGCCTGTGGAGCACTCTGGGCTGAGGATGGACGCTTGGTCTGCTTCTTCCCGCCAAAAGAGGAAAAAGAATCCTCGCTCCTGGACTTGAGTATCAAGGCTAGTGACCGATCCTCAGGGAGTCGCAAGAATATCTTTGAGGACTTCGGCCGACTTCACAATGATTCGGCTCGGCAAAAGCGAGGAGCCTCAACACTCGAGACTATTGAGAGCGGCGACTCCGATCCGGAATACTCTTCTGCATTCTCGTCCAGCTCATCATCATCATCATCCTCAGACAACATGGGCTTGCCTCGTCACCATTTCATGCCGAGTATGGCATGGCGTGGGGATATGTTCGAGGCCCATCAAGGGCCAGCTGTTGATGATTCGCAGAAATCGAGCGGCGACACTGGATTTGCCAAGTCCACGGTGACGATGTCCGGCAACTACGTTGCAATACACGATGTTACGCAACTTCTCCCAGCAAAGAAGCATCTTGCTCAGGCGTATACCATCCACGGCGGATCCAATTGCTGCGCTCACAATTCACGAATCGCCAGAGAAAGCGGAGATCTAGATCTGGCCGACGTTTGGTCGTTTGTCGAGCTGATCATCCAAGAGAAGGTGCCTCTCGAATCAAAGGTCATTCCTGGGAGCGACGCACCCGTCATGGTAATCGCACGTCGTGCTGCGTCCCGTCTCAAGCCAAGGGACAGCGCAATCGATTTGTCGTTCGATGCGGCCCAAGAGGACAAACAACCGAGTCTGCGAGGATCTGTGAAGTGGGGCAACCATCCGTTGGGAAGACGGTGGTTTGTAGACTCATTGTAAGCGGCACTATTGGACATCGCCATTCGCTTTTATCAGACATTGACCATTGCAGATTCCGACATTTCGAACAGCTGGCGGACGTACAGATGCTGGCAATGCTTGCATGTATCCTTGATGAACCGCAAACCCTCATTCAGAGCGTTGGTGGAAACAGTTCCGGGCTCGGGCCAGATAGTAATACACATGGCCATCGAAGTTTCGCAAATGGTTACTACCCATCTGAAGAAGTCGCAAGAAACCATTTCAGACTTTTCTTGCCATCGGAACTGTCTATCCCAGTCGACTCTCAAAAATTGGTTACCGGGCCACATTCTGCAAATTCCTCCATCGGCCCATTGAGCGATCTCTGCACAAGTGGAACGCCTCCATCGCATTACAAGTATTCTCGTACAAGCCCTGAACATAAAAACTCACAGTCAACAAGTCTGTCTACCTCACCGGAGCTTTATCGCAATACCCATCGCTCAAACTCGAATCTCAGCGCATTCGCGTCTTTCTCCCTTCCTTTTTCTTTCGGTTCTGCAGCTTCCTCACCGCCCAACTCGTATCCCAAGAAGCGTTCAAGTCCAGTCGGAAGCTACCTCGGAAATCCTGCTTCTACGGTCAATGGGAATACGTCTGGCCTTTTGGGTAGATCATCCACCATCACGGAAGACCCCAAATCCTCCTTCTCGTTGTCCGTTTCAGATACAGAGGAGAATGCCGTTCCTATACCGAAGAAGCCTGTCTTCAAGACCAAGCTGAAGAACCAAGACCAATTTCACAATGATGGCTATGCGAACGTTCCTTTGCTGGATCCAAGCAAAAAATGGCGCTACCGTGCATACAGAGAGGCATACGCGCATCTACTCTACATCTGGGAAATGCCCATCGATAGAGCCGAGGTGCTAAACCATAACCGTCCCGTGCATCCAGACACATCGCCACCCTTCATATTCGCCCCAAAAGCCACAGCCCCATTCGGTGCCATAGCAGGCGCAAACCTCCTCAACTCCGGCTACAATACCGAGAACTCGAATCCAGTCTTCAGAGACCACTGCCCTTCCTGCTCGACGCTGCTTCTACCCTCTCAAACACCCTCTCGCCGTTGCCAAGCCTGCTCAAAGCTACCACCGGCTCCTCTCTGTCTGCTATGCAACACCTTCATCCGAGGTCTTTCCTCTCCGTGCCCTAATTGCGGCCACGTCCTTCACGCTCCATGCCGCCAGCTCCTCTTGCAGGCCTGCTTCGATGAGTGCCCTTCAGGATGCGGCTGCGTCTGCACAAATTATACCACCATGCCACTCCCACCCTCAGTAGCAGAGCCAGAATCAGCCCGTGAAGGAGTTCGATCTAAGGATGAAAGTCTAGCGGGCAGTCCTGCAGTCACTGTGACAGGTGATGAAGGCGCTGATGAGCAAGAGCAACTTGGTTGGAAAGAGGAAGGGTGGGAAGACGTTGCCTATGAGAGTTTAGCAAGGAATCTGCGACCGAGAACCCAGAGCGGGGGCAAGTGGAGGAAGATGAGTGGGTGAGCCGACGGCAGTGGAGAAATGATCGAAGGATTTTGTTAAGAAGATTTACGCATTGAATATATGGCGTTGATTGGGATGAGAGATACCCGTGGTCGCACCCTTTTCTTTGAGCTTTGGTGCTTATACAAATACTTGTAAACCCACATTGTCACTATTCACCGGCTCGCCTGTACAGATACGAATGATCTTCCAGAAGATACCGCCTCTGAAAGAAACGGCCGTCTATCTCATCATTACGGTAGAACCACCATAGTCTTTAGGCGAGCTACTTCCAAACCCCGAAACGTGACTGCACGCCGCCTCGGGCCTATGCCCATCCCCACTCCGTCTCGAGTGGCAACCTTTCCGACAACCGTGCTACACACACCCAGCCCGCGGCCTCCATCCACCAAACGCCTCCCCCCATCAGAGTCCCCGGAATCGTTTCACGCCACACGTAACACACCCTCCCCACCTCCCTCCACAACCGCGAGCCCATAGCATCGGCGCTCCGTGTCGTCCGTATCAATCAATCAATCAACCACCTCTCGAGACCGAAGCCCACATCATGAGCCCCGTGTCTCCGAAAGGGGTCTGATTCTTTTTTCTTCTTCTTCTTCAAAACCCCGATGACGGCCGCTAAGCGTATCTTGATTTAGACCCGGCCGTCCTCCGAAGAGCGCGCGCGCTGATCGGATCGGAAGTCTGAGATCGAAGCCCCTGCTCTGCTCCGGCGTGCGGATGCGTTGCGTTGGCGTTGGCGTTGGCGATGGATGAGTCCGGCCGCACCGCACTGCAGGAAGTGATGGATGGATCGATTGATTGATTGATTGATGTTGAGACGATGGGACCGCGAAGGTACCAAGCTGACGCGCAGCCTTGACGCTTCGTGCCGTGATGGTATTTGGACGACTGTCTGCCGTGCGGGTTGAGTATGCCAGCGCCGTTCCGTCTATCTTACGTGGGCGGGCGGGTTGCGGCGGAGGAGGAGGAAAGGAAGGGAAAGGAAAAGGCGGGGAGGAGATGGAAGACGGACTTGGGCTTGTGAGATCGCCGTCTTGACGGACTGGCCGACGTTTCAATATCGCGGAGAGGTGGCATGTAGATACGGTCAGATGGCTGAAAGGGAGATATTGACCCCTGCCCTTCTTCTCGGTATGGTGGAGCAGAGAGCTGTGCTCTGTGGAGAGCAGATGGGGTTGGTAGGCTGCAGGCTGAAGATCCGACGTCAATGGGTCCCGGACGTGCTGGCTTGGGGCCGAGCGGGGAAGTGGATTGAAGATGTCGTTCGTCGACTGGGTGGGAAGGAGTGGGGGGGGTTCTGTCCCGGATAGGCGTTGAGATGGTAGATATGGGCGTGAATGGTCGAGTCGTTTTTGGTTGGTATGGGAAAAGGGTGTCAGGGATTGGAATTTGGAAGACGAGTTGGTATTCTTCGTGGACAACTTACCTGGCACCTGGCCGCGTTACTGGAAGGTGAAATTTCCGGCACTCATCACCGAGGAGTCAAAACAGAGACAGGTCTTTTTCTGTTTTGGGTGTTCACCATTCGTCACATTGGATATCTCCTTCGTTCTGTTGACTATCTCTTCCTCAACTCCATACTTGCCAACAATTTTCTCTCTGTACGATTCATCCCCCCTGCACCCCTTTCTCCTCCACCCTACATCACGACGGCCACGTGATCATCCATATACTTGTCGATATTGCCTAAAAAGCACGCCGCAATCACACTCACCCCGCCGAACGCAATGCTGACCAAATATACCCATCGGTAGCTCTCCGCATACGCGATCTGCCCCGCTCCCACGACAATCTCCCATGCCGTGTCATTACCCGCGATACCGGGTATTAATTTTAGTTCTTCGAGGAGAGAGGCGCTGGTGAGGGTGATGGCGGTTTCAATGGCTTCAGGGTTGGTGATGCCGAGTTCGAGCTCCATGGCGCCGCCGATATAGTAGATGGCGTTGGGGACGAATTTGGAGAGGAAGACGTTGTAGTAGGTGGTGTAGCCGATGGAGCCACCGATGACGCGGACGGCGAGGGTGAGGGCTGCGACGGTTGCGATGAGGTCCTGAGGTGGTATTAGTGATGTGGGGGATGGGGAAGGGAGTGGGGAAGGAATGGGACGTACGTCTGGGCAAATAATGGTAGTGATGATGGAAGCTGGTACGACGATGCCCCCAATTCCGAGACCGGCGAGGACCAGGAGGCCCCAGGCTCGGTAGAGCGTATCAGCCTTCAAGCTAGCAAGAGCGCCGATGCCTAAGGATTTCCAGGTCAGTCATTGAGAACCAAACGGAAGACCGGGACGAAGGCGTAACACTTACCCGCTGTCATGACAATAGAGCTGACAATCATCAATTCCCTGTTATGACCTCTGAGGGCACTGAGTAAGAAGAGCACAAGTACAGCTCCAATTAAGATACTAAATCCCACGGGTAGTCCTCGAACCCCCACCCCGACCGGATCTTGGCCATATACATTGAACGCTTGTGTAGGCCAGAAGAGGAGGACGGAGAAAAAATTGGCGCCGGAGATGAAGGTGATTACGAGGGTCAAAGCGAGAATTCGAGGACTCTGCTTCAGGCGCGATGGAAACATGGGGAATTTGGCGAATTTTGCTTCCCAGATGACGAAGGCGACAAGTAGGAAGGCGCCCAGGAACAGGGGGACAAGGACGTGGGCGGTTTTCCAGGAATACTAGACTCAGTCTCAGAACTCTCCGCTTCCTTCTTTCCTGAACCTCAGGCGCAACTTACCTGGTAGCCTCCCCATTGTAGCCCGGCCATGAACAACAACATCCCGGAAATGCTAAGGAAACCTCCCACGAAATCGATCTGTTTGAAGACTTCCATCCTCGACAAGCCTTGCGAGTTGACTCGGGGTGGTGGGAAGTAGAAGATGATGGTCAGGATGAGTCCAACAGCAGCCCAAACACCACATAGTACACCACAGTATCTCCAACCCGCGTGTGCTGCGATCAGTTGCGCCCATAGCACGGACGGGCAGAAGGGCACGATTGTGAAGATGAGAATTGCGACGTAGGTTCCGCGCTTTCGGGTGGGGGCGAGTTCGGAGGTCACAGCGAGAGCTGTGAGTTCGTTGATACCAGCTCCAGCGCCTGCTATGGCCATGCCACCTGTGGAGATTTCTGAGCGCTTGCTCCTCTTTTCTCGTCGGATTCATCGTGCTCACCAATGAAGACGTTCATGCTGTGTGCAGTCGAGGCCACAATCATCCCAAGGATGATCAAGCACCCACCCAGTATAGCGACATATCGGCGGCCCATGAGATCGGAGAGGGAGCCAACGAATGGGCAGACTGCTGCCAAGGCTAGAAGGTTGGCCAGGACCTGTCACATGATCAGGATTCAGGCCGCCTCAAGTCCGGATGGCTGCCAAACTTACAAACCAGGTCCATCGATCGGTGCCACCAATGTCGCTGGAGCGAAAAGAGTTAGCAGCTTGTTGTACAGTCAGTGGGATTAAAGTACCGGTATATCAAGGGTGGAATGCCTCCTAAGCGCATTGTCAGTCCTGATCTTATCATATCACATGATGAAAGGTTGTTTGTACCGAAGATATAGACGGGGATTTGGGAGCCAGTCCAGAGGAATGCCATAGCAACCAAAGACATCATCCTTCTGAAAGACATCTGTTCCAGTTGTCAGCAGCTGTCCCACATGAATGGCAGAGGGGGCTGTCGTACCCGTGGTTCATGATCATGGTCCTCATCATCGCCGTACGTCCGCAATCCATCTTTCTCGTAGTACGCAGGGTGGCCAGGTACGAGCTCGTTGGTGTGTACGGCCTCGACCTGGGCGCCCACAGGCTTCTCCTCTACCGGCGAGCTCGACTCTTCGGAACTGGGAGCCATTCTTAACGAATCTTTCATATGCGGCTCTCCTGATCTCAACGGCCGCGCTCTCTAGGTGTCACAGAGCGCTATGAAGGCGTCGAGATGGTACGTGTCCCACACAATCTGTGCGGTATGATCGGAGAATAGGCCTGGAAGTAGAAACAGCAGCAGCAGGCAGGCTACCAAAGGATGGAGAGCAGTGACAAGAGTCTCAGACCGAGGTGTAGGAGACGACATGAGGGGTCGATGTGCCGGATTTACGTCTTGGTGAGGGATATTTATTGTAGCCATCCTTTGATTGTTTGGTGGGCGAGAGACCGCTTGGTGAGCTTGTGCGTCTGGCAAGTGGTGATGCACCTAGCAAAGCGCGAGGTCTAGCCCGGGATGGACCTTGCGTCCGCTAACCCCGTCTTCAGGGCTAGTAGCTGGTCACTCTGGAGTGTGACACCCCTGTTGATGCCAGTCAAGCATGAAAGAAAGAAAAAAGAAAAAGAAAGAAAGAAAGAAAGAAAGATGATAGGCTAAAAGTTGGACGATGCTGCATCCTTCTTTGATGTGAGAGCGACTGTTCATTGAAGATGGTGGTGTTAAGCAAGGTCCACTCGCCGTCAGATCATCAAGTGGGGCAGGGTGGGGTAAACCCCGGGTCAGATCTGCGCAACTTAGAGTTAGCCTCTCTTCCCGTCCGAGCTTCCTCGAACACGCGATCCGAAATTCAATCTCCAAGTCGGCACATCAGCGGGCAACAGCAAGCTGCTGATTCGTGGACGAAGCATCCGATCCCGTCATTCCCCATGGAATGAATGCCGTCACCTGTCTGCTTAATCCTCTGCTGTTCTGTTCCGTTCTCTTCCGTCCTCCTGCATTTCAATTCTCTTTTCCACGAGAGGGAAGGGGGCCGGGAAGGAAGCCAAAACACCTGCCAAGACAGAGAGCCGCAGAATATTTCCGTATTGTGGAGCCTCACGTTTCATCTCGGTCCATCTCGGCGTGGCCGTGTCGGCGTGACCGCTAGCTACGAGTAATGGGTAGCTGATTGATGGCGGGTTGATAATTAATATATGATAATTGCTAGCGACACCATGACAGATGGTGGTCTCCCGTTGCCTGGGGCAATCTTTGACGATGGACGTACATGGGCTGCAGAGTCCTCGATGTTGATGACATTGCAGTCCCCCTGCAGGTACTAGGGAGTGGCAATCTAATAATGCCCTCAGGAGGCTGCAGCCATCATCGCCATGAAGTTGCATTCTCCTGCAAAATCCTGCAATCCTGGTCAACCTGGTGAAAAGCAACGCGAAGATAAGGAAAGCGGCCCCGGATCTTTGGTTGCAACCCTGGGATCTGGGTGCCTGCATGACTTCCGATGTCCATCGTGCTTCCATCTGTGCGAAGTCCCACGCCTATGAAATTTTCGTTGTCTGGAGTACTACTACTGTCGCACTGGTGTTCTTGCAATATTGGGACTTTGGAAGGATGTCTGAAAGCAGAGTGAATGAGTTTTTTGCTGCTGGAGAACCAGCTTACGTCAAGTCTTTGCTCTCACATGCAATGCAATGAATAGACTCGCGGAAACAAATTAAAGACAAGGACGCCCAATATGCACCATGCCGCCTTGCATCTGTCAGGCTTGAATTGGGTAGCCTGTTGCGATGGCTCGCGGCAAATAATATTTACTCGTCGCACTCCACGTCGTCAAATCCTTCCCAGGGGCGAATATGATCCCATAACATCTTTCTTCGTGAGATTTAGCCGATGATCCCAGAATGCCATGTTTTCAATTCATTGGTCGTCATGCTCCTGTTTACTCTAGCTGTGCATTCGGTGCACGGACCTTTTCAAACCGCGCTCTTCGACCCGTCCACCTCTCTCTCGCCTTCCTCAGACCTTCATTCTCTAAATTCGTCCCTGCCTGAGCCCATCGTGTGAAGAGAAAAAGCACGCCAGTAACTAACAGTGTAAACCCAGAAAACAATGCCACCCCGACCCAACCCCCAGTCCCATCCAGAATCGCGCCTGAGATCGGTGTACCGCAAAGACTTCCCAGACTGCAAAGCACAGAGCACATTCCCATCCTCGTCCCCAACCTACTTAGATCAGGTGTTAAGCTCGTTAAAGCTACCGATGGCAGGGACACAACGCCGCCAGAGAAAAAGCCGTAGAGTATCGCGAATACGATGAGCCCACCGGTGCTGTGAATACCTATCCAGCAAAGGGCGATGATGCCTATGGTCAACGCAGTGGGGATGAGCAAATTGACAGGTCCCATCGTGTTGGCAAGGAAACCTGTTATGATCCGGCCAGGAACCGATGCCGCATTTAGTATGGGTAGGAGGTAGAACGCCAGACGCGCCGTCATGACACGAGTATCTATGGCGTAGGATGAGATGTAGTAGATTGGACCAAAGGCTCCTGCGTAGCCGAAGAACATGGCAAGGCAGAAGAGGGAGTAGGGTGTTTCTTTGAAGGCCGCAAACTCGACGAGGGAACGTCTCTGCTTCGGCATCTGACGGACACGCATGACGGAGATCGAGACCAGGCAGGTTGTCAGTGAGATGAATCCAAGAACACGGGTGGCCCAGGAAAATCCGATTCTGGGCTGCAATTGGCTGAACACCATAGGGTAGATGACGCCGCCAAGACTGCTACCCGATGAGGCTAGTCCAGTCGCGAAAGCTTTCTTGTTGGTGAAGTATTGCGGGATTATGGCGACAGAGGGGATGAAGAGGCAGCCTTGACCCAGTCCAATGCAGATTGCTTGGGCCAATATGACCTGCCAATATTGAGTGCAGAGACTCGTCATCATGAAGCCGAGGACGATGAGAGATGTGCCTGTCAAGATGAGTGCCCGGAAGTATCCAGCGTCATATAGAGGCCCGGTGATGACGCCAATGACGAGGAGCAGGAATGATTGAATGCTGCCGATCCATGAGATGTTCGAGGGTGATTCGTCACTGAGGAATCCAATATGGTAGTATGTCTGGAAAACACCAAAGGCGTTGACTGTACCCCTACGAAAGATGTGAGCCCTCAAATGATAGGGATCAGTCATTTTAGCATTGAAAGGAAGTCATACCAGGAATTGAAGAACAGGAAGAAAGATCCAGCAACCTGGAGCCACGCCACCAGTCCATCATTCGGCGGGTCGTCGTACCCTGTAGCTGGTATTGCTACCATTCCCTCGGCTGACGGTGCAGCATAGGCTGTAGACACCGCTGATTCCTTTCGGGCAGCGAGGACTTTACCGGCATAGGGGGGCGTATCTGTCGTAGGATACCCCCTGTTTGTCGGGAGGTCATGCATGACTCCGATGTCTCTGGATATGGCTTGACTTGTTATAGCCAGCGGTAATTGAAAAGGATTTTAGAAAAGGACAGGATGAGTTCTCCAATTGTTACAAAACACATGGGTACCTTTTGTAGAATTATCCGGTAGAGGAAACAGTAGAATGGTGAAGATGGACGCAATTGGGAGGATGTGGCATCTCTGACCTATGTAGAGGATGACCGGACATGGTCAATGAGTCAGAGTCTCCTGGTGCCTCGATGCAGGGTCTTGATCGAAGCACAGTTTGCGTGCTCGCACAGTCGCTGAGCTGCCATCAGGCCACTCGGATGGCATGGATCACGTCCTGGTGCCCAAAAATTGTGCCGGTCTTGGAGGGATTGCAATACGTTACGAGTACGACGTTGCATATTGGTTAACAGTGATTAAGTGCCTGTTTAAACAAGGCGCTCAAGTAGCGGTCAAGTGTCCTCGAATGATGAGGGTTTATGGACGCCTCAACGATCTGGATATGCATGGAGGAAGGAAAATTAGCCGGGCTCAGCAGCTAAAAAGCGGATCTGATAAGACAATAATATGTAGGATATTAACAAGCTACCAATCACAGGCCATGGTTGGAGACCGGGCATGTACGCTTTTCCTAATGAATATTATCAGATGATCTGATAGTGCTTACGCCTTAGAATGCCGAACACTCGCGAATGACACTGTCTAGTACCTATATGGTTCCAAGTTCATTGTACTCTTAGGTCACAGGCCGGGCGAATTTGGTAATTTATGAGAGTAATCGTATGTGAAGGGACAGTTTGAGCAGGGTCCTTCATGCAGCGAGTCCCTGAAGCGATGGGCAACTTAGCCGAATAAATTACTTAGCGCTCTTCGCCTATCAAAGACGAGGCGATTTTCAGGAGTCGAAATCGACTCTAAACTTCTATGGAGCCACCACAACAAGGAGATTCGGTCTAAGGCTACAAAGCATCGGTGCACTGGCGAGGTTGCCGGATCGACGTGGGGTGGTAACTATAAGAGCATAAGACAGCTCTATTAGGCGGTAATTATCTCATAAATGACGTACTGCTGCTTAGCATAATACCAGCCCGAAGACACTATTGATTATAATAAAACTTACCTCTTATCGCTATAAAGGATTTAATCTTAGATAGAGAGAAAGATAACTGAAGTATTTAAGGCTATATCTATTTCAGACTCGATATAGAAGCATATTTTCTATTAGTTAAATAATAGCTAGATAAGATTATCTTAAAAGCTATCTTATAAATCGCTACTAGTTTAGTATATAGCGAGATCATTAAGCTACGATTCGAGCGATGAAAGTTTAAAAGAAAATCTAAGAAGAATAGAAAACTAAGTTCGCTAAAGCGATATATTAATAGATTCGAAGAACGATACGGCGATATTAATAAGATTAAGAAACTACGCTCTTTCAGCGCCGCCCTTAATTAAAGCCTTCTAAAACGATAATTTATAAGATTAAGAAAGCCGTTAAAGAACTAACTAAAAATCGATTAATAAGAGTTATATAATAATATATATAGACGATAGCGAAATTAATAAAAAAGTAAAAGCTTTAACTATATCGTTAGATATTAATTCTACTTTTAATATCTATTTAAGCTTAAAAAAAAAAAAAAAAAAAAAAAAAAAAAATATATAATATTCTTTAAGTCTAACTATAATAATCGTATATTAAATAAAATTATAACTTAGTAGAGTTATAGTAAATACGAATAATTAAATATCGATTTAAACTATCGAAGACTCGAATAAGTACTTAAAGTAGATCTATATAATATAGATAGTATAGATTATTAATTCGCTAAGATATCTCGGAATAGTAATAGAATTATACTAGATCTCGGCGTATATCGATATTAATAATAATAAATAAGCGAATAGAAAGACGAAGAAGGTTATTAGCTAACGGGAGCGAGTAATTTATAATAAAAGAGTAAAGGTAAATACTAATGAAATAGCTTAATTATTAATTATATAGATAAGAATAATATCGATAATTAAGATAGCTATTAGAGATTACGCGATAAAATAATAAACTATCGAATAGGCTAATAAAAAGCGAGGTGGTATTCTTAGAAGAATCTAATTAACATCGTTAAAATAAATATAATTTCTATATTTAAAAGTTAAGCGCGCTAAGACGTCGCTGATAACATAAATAAGAATCGAGAAAATAGATCTTAAGATCTTTCTTTATAATCGATGGGTATCGGATATAGAGGATAAAGATATGAGTGTGAAGCGAAGTAGACGGCTCGGCTATTCTTTACGAATATAGACTATTTAGTAAGAAGTAAGAAATATAGTAAGTCGAAGAAGAAGAAAGATAAAAGAGGAGGTTATTACTTATAAGAATATATTAATAAAATTACGCTACGCCTCTATAGCGGCGAACTTTATAAGAAGTACTAGACTTATTAAGTAATATTAAGCCCTTAATAAGAATTAATAATAAGAATTTACTAGAGTAGGCGGTTAAAAAGAAGAATACGATTAAGATAAGAGGGCCTCAGCGATATAGAGTCTCCTTTTCAGAATTAAGTACTTAAGACGTAGAACTATAACGATAACTTATATGTTATTTATTTGAGATTATATAATTGGCTGAAAGGATGGATAGATTACGTAACTCGTATAGTGGTACTAGGTAGCTTGGGTGTATGATGTAACATAATTAATCGCCTATCAAAGACGCGCTAAGTGTACCGGCATCGAGCCACCACCACCACCGTCTCGGATCCTTCATTCATCCATCCATCAGAAAACACGATCATATTAAAACTGAAGTTTCACACTCACCCTACCTTATCGCTGAAGGGTATTTTGAAGTCTCAAAGTAATCTCTAGTAACTAAAGGTGTCACGTAGTTCAAGCCTTTTGCTCGTGTGTCATTGATATAAGTCTAGGGCGACGTCGAAACATGCCTTTCACAATCTTGAACCGAAGAAGAAACTCAGAACAAAAAGTCCCAGGGGCCGAAGGACCGCCTATAAGAAGTAGATTGATACAAATGTCTGAGACTGAGAGAACGCTTTTCTCGATGCTAGACAACAAATGCGATAGCCGGTTCTTTTCAACCCGCATTCCTTCTCCAGACTTGCGCTAGGCCCCCTTCGGGCTCGCCCCTTGGGGGTTTGGCCCCCTGATAACTCCCCCAAAAATTTAAAAAAAAAACCAAAAATAAAAAAAAAAAAAAAAAAAAAAAAAAAAAAAAAAAAAAAAAAAAACAACTTTCTGTACCTCAAGCCCACCAGCTCAGTTATGACATACTCCGTACAGCGCTTTGAGCTCTATCGACTTTCCATTCATGTTTCCTCGAAGGGGTTTGTACCGCTTTTGTGACCTGGGACTTCCACTACTAAGACCAGATGTCGAATTAGCGAACCTAGTCCCTAACACGGAACAAAACGCCATGGCGTGGGTACTTGCACACGAAGGGTACCAAGAGCACGCAATGTAGCAACCTAGGGGATGGTACAACGGCTTCCATGAAGGACCGGACCGGCGATCGGAGATTGGTCCTGGCGACCTGTTGGTTCATTTCCCTGGGGTTGAACAGAAGTTCGATGCAATGGCTCGCTACCTGGACAAGCTTGAAACCCTAGAACTGTCAAGGATCTTCAGGTTCCGTTGTCGAACATGTCTTTGCAAGACGACATCGACGGCTTCTGGTTGCGAGTCAGAAGGGCGAGGGAAGCTGTAGGCAGAGCAGAGAATGAATTGCTCTTCTTGAAGGAACCTTCTTTGGGCGACCGATTTAGAAGATTGATAGATGAACTAAAGCGTTTATTATTCGAAGAGGCGTACACCGAGGAAAGCAGGACACAAGCGACGTTGGCAGTCGAGGCAGCGCTCAGCGCGGCGGCTGATCATAAGGCAACCAGTGGAGAGGTGCCTGACAACCCTGGCAATAGGTACCTAGAATCCCAGAATGAGCCGGCAGTGGAAAGGACGAATGAATTTCGAATGTCAGAGAAACTTAGCACGTGAAGCTTGAATCCGCAGCCCCGCTGATTCTGGGATATTCTCCCATGTGACCGTGCTCTTCGACGGGTGCTTGACTTACGAATCAATTGCCATTGTTGTGTCAACCGAGCGTGAAAGTATCCATCGCCGCTCCTTTGTCGGAGGAGGAAGGTTGAGCAACAGGAACGCACCAGCGTGAAAAGGGCTGTTAATGATAAAGCCATGCATCCATTGGCACGCGATTCCCAGACCTTATGCTCCAGACCCGGAGCGTCCCTGCCGGCCTCTACAACTTTGCCCTTTCTCACAGCTGGAAACGCCGCATCAACTACCTTGCCACTAGCATCCCCATACGAGCCGCCGCCGCCTCCAACCGTGAGCACTTCTACAGCATATACCGAAATTTGTGCACTTCAGAGGCTCCGATAGCAGACGTTATTTGCCCGAAATACTGCGTCCACATCCGCAACGATGCAAGAGACTTATCACTAGTTATGGTATTCCTAATGATGTCTAAGGAAGAAGAATCCTATGTACACGAACGGCCTTCATATACCAAAAACAAGGCCGAAAAAGAACTAGTGGGAGTGAGGGTTGAGTTACAAACAAACAAAAAACCCCAAAAAAAAGGAGAATCCCCCCCTAATAAAAAAAAAATTCTTCCAAAACTTCCTCCCCCAACTTTTTTTTTGGTGCAAATTCTCCCTTTTGTGGGGGGGGAGAAGATTTTGTTATGTGTAATTTTTATTAAAAAAAAAAAAAAAAAAAAAAAATAAATTAAAAAAAAAAAAAAAAAAAAAAAAAAAAAAAAAAATTTATTTAAATTTTTTCATTATTCTTTTCTTTTACCCCCCCCTCCCTCCTAATAAAAAAAAAAACGAGGGGGGGAGAGGCGAGCTAAGAGGCGAGAAAATGACTATGCTGGGAGGCGAAAAGTGGAGCGAGAAAATGAGTATGCTGGGAGGCGAAAGGTGGAGCGAGAAAATGAGTATGCTGGGAGGCGAAAGGTGGAGCGAGATTTGGAGTATGCTGAATTTGAGCGGTGCTGAGCGAGAAAGTAGGCTCTTTGAGGATCGATATAGTGCGCGGACGTAGAACCGTAGAGAGTTGGCTCGTGTTGATAGGGTTGCTGTTTGTAATGCTCTTCTTCGTAGTGCTCTTCAAAGAATCCTCTGCAACGGCCTGTTCCTTGATATCCTCTGCAACGGCCTGTTCCTTGATCTCGAAGTCTTGAATGACTTGGTAGGGCGAGGGTAGTAGGTGTGGGACTCGGTAATCTGAGCCGTAGGTTGGTGTTGGGGGAGAATTGGAGCAGGATTCTCCGATCGATAAGGCGGTTACGGGGGGAGAGGAATAGTATTCTTCGGTCGATAAGGCTAATAATAAGCCGGTTGCGGGGGAGAGAAATAATATTCTCCGGTCGATAAGGCTAATAATAAGCCGGTTGCGGGGGAAGAGAAATAATATTCTCCGGTCGATAAGGCTGCTACGGCTGAATTGTTTACTGCTAAGGGGGGTAATATTGTTACTACTTTAGTAAAGGACGATCCTCGTCGTTCAGTGGCTATGGGATGTCTTCTTAGACTATATTAGCCAATGATTCGAATATTAAAACCTCTCGTCCTTTCTTAACATAGACTCTATTAGCTCGTAGGCTGTTTCGTAAGCCATAGAGAGTCTTTTTAAAAAGGGTCTTAAAGTCCTCCTTAGCGAATTATTGAAATTTCTTAGTAAAGATATTAGAGAGAGCGTTTCATTTATTTTTATTATACTCTTATATTCTTCAAAGAATAAATTATTTAAGTCTCTTACTAGTATTTATTAGTTCGACTCCTTTAAATAGTATATTCTCTAGTTGATATAGAGTTATAGTATTAGATAATTCGACTAAAGAGTTAGATTTTTTCCTTTTAAATTTTTTTTTAAAAAAATTTTATTTTTTAATAAAATAAAACTTTTTTATTTTTTTAGTATTTTCTAGACGTTTTCTCTATTAAGTAAAAGTATAAGAGCGTAGTCTACTAGCGATTAGCTAGCGAATATAGACTATAAAAGACGTAGTATCGTTATAGAGTTTAATAGTATATTTGATAGTAGAATTAATCTCTAAGAAATACTAAAACTTCGAAGTATACGAAGTAGATCTATATTCGCTAAGTCTCTAAGTATATAAAATATATTATTAAAATTAAACTCTAAAAGAAACTCTAATATAGAATATATAATATCGACGTCTTAGCGTAAGTAGCGTTAAGGTTTATAACGTATTAAATTTAATAATTATCTTCTCTTCTAGACTCTAATCTTTAGACGTCTAAGTAAAAATAGAATACTTATTAAAAAACCTTTAAACCCTAATAGAAAAATAAGAGAAAAGAGTTAATTTATTAAGATTATAATATTATTTTAATAATATAATAGAATTAATTCTTACGCGTTATAAGCGCGTAATTAATATATTATATAATAATATTAATACTATCTTTAAAAATAATATCGCTTTTATAATATTAGTTAATAATAATCTATAGTAAGTTAACGCGCTTAGTATTAACGTTTTTATAGCGCTAGTTAATAACCCCTATAGCGAATAATATTAGATTTAAAAATTTATAATAAAATCTCGAAAACTTAGTAGATAAAGAAGGGAGAAGAGTTTCTCTATAGATAACGTCGTTTCTATAGCGTAATACGTTTATAGCGAAGTAACGTAGTAATAATCTTTATTATAAAGATTTAAAGAAAGTAATTAATAGAGCGACGCGTCTACGATAATATTCTTAATTATTAATTATTAATAAGTAGAAATAATAATAATAGCTAGGCGACGCGACTCTATAGATAGTAGCGAAATATTATCGCGTTATTATTATCTATGTTATTAAGTGCTATTCGCTAGTAATAGCGCTATAATAGAGAATATAAAAACTTCTTTTAAATTATTTATTTTTTTTCTTTATAACTTCTAACGCCTCTTTTATAAGTACTTACTCTAGCGCTATAACGTTAATATTAATACTAATATAAGTATAATATATCTTATTATACTAATAATCTACTTCTCTTTATTATAAGTATCTTACTATTATTAATTACGTCGATACGTAAATTAATAATTTTATAATACTCTTTTTTAATAATAATAATAACTTTAATAGTAAGTATATAGTCGTCTTATAGGCGCGATTATTAACTCTTAACTATTTCTACTATTATCGCTTTATATACGTATTTACTAATAAGTTCTAATATCTAATTTATTATATAGAACTTACTTTTATTAAGACGATAATTTATATATTTAAGATAAGTCTTCTCTCTATAATAATTATAAGATTGAAAAGCGTAATATTAATTACTATATTAAAATTCCTCTATATCTTTAAATATAGATAAGAAAATTAATATAGCGCTATCGCCGCGCTAAATAATTTTAAAAGTTATCTTATTAATAGGCTAAGCTCGATAAAAAGATTACTTAATAATATAAGTTATAGAGATATATAATAATAATAACTTCGATTATCTCTATTATAATTATAAATTTTTAAGACTAGCTTATAGCGATATATAAGCGTATAGAGAAATTAAAGAAAATAAATAAGTTATTAAAGAAGAAGTTTAAGAGCCTTTATCGATATATAACGAACGTCGATAGATATTAACTCGAAGATTATACTTTAATTATCTTCTCGTTAGAGAATTAAATCGATAAACTTAACTCGATATCTAACGCTAAGATAGTAGAGAATATTTAAATAACGATCTTTTTTTAATAGTAGCGCTAACGTAGAGTTTTTAGATAATTCTTTAATAGCTATCTTAGATAAAAATATATCTATATTAATAGTATATACTCTAATATAATAAACTTTCTTTATAGTAGAGTTTAATAGATAATTAAATAATATAATTATTTTATTAATTTATATTTTAATAATAATAAGTATAGAGGAGTATACGCGTAGTATAAGTATTATCTAGAAATATATCTAATCTAATCGATAGTTATATCTTATTTTATCGCCTTCGCTTACTCGCTATTAATCTATATAATTAATTAAGCTCTTTAATAATAAGAGACTTATTATTTATTACTTAATACTTTCGCTTATTACTTATCTATTTATAGACTTAAATTAGCTCGCTAGTATTAATAAATTTATTATCTAATAATTATTAATTATACTCTTCGCTCTAATTAGTTTATTTAACTTTATATTAGACGTCTTTCTTATACTTAATCTTATTAATAATTTCTTTAATCTTTTAAAGCTTATCGTTATTAATAAGATTAAAGGTCTATATAAAGGCTTTCGCTATATTATTATAATCGCGAAGATAATAAAACTTAAATAACGATATATAAAAGATATTATAAATTTTATATATCGAGAATAGAAGTAGATAATACGCTTACGCCTCTATCTTATCTATAATTTAAAATAATTCTATAAATTTATAAGATAACTTCTTACTTAAGCGTTTTTACTTTAGATTCTTAATCGCTAATATTATTAAATTATCTATCTTATAGCTTTAAGATTAATATATTTTATTATAATACTTAAATTAAATCGTAATAGCGCTATAAAGGCGCTCTACTATCTTATTCCTTAATACTTATAACTTCTTTACTTTATTATTTATAGCGAATATCTCCCCCTTAATAAAATCGTCTTCGATCTTTTAACGAATTTTAGAATAATATTCGTATATTAGAAAGAACGATATCGTTTTAATAGAGGAATATCAACTATTTATATAAGCGAACTCTATTATTAATAGTTATTTCGTTTAAATATTTTACTTATCGTTAGCGAATACGCGTAAGAAGTATTTTAGTATCTAATTTTATCGCTTAGTTTACTCGTCGATTTACGAGTAAAAGGCGATATTTAAATATCGCTTAATTTTAAAATAAAAGTAAATAGCGAATTAGAAGCTACTAGTAAATATAGAGCCTCTATTATTAATAATATCATTTAATATATTATAGCGATATATTATTTCGAAATAAAATACTTTTATTAGCTAAGCGACATCGATTATAGTAGATATAGAAATATATCTTATTATTTTTATAAATCGATTTACTATAACTAGAATAGTATTATAAATAATATTCTTATACTTACTCGCTAATAAGTCGATAATAAAGTTTATAGAAATTTTCTTTTATAACTTAATAACGATAGAAAGCGAGCTTAATTCGCTATATAGACGATATCGCGAAGCTTTAATTCGCTAGTAAACGTTATATATCTTAATATAGTCGATAATTTACTTTAGACTTTTATTTTAATAATATTTACGAATAAGTAGCTTATACGTCTTCGTAGCGCTAAAGTATTCTAATAACGAATTATTATAATATTTACTAATAAGCTCTTTTCTTAAAATCTTATCTTTAGAGATATAAAGGCGATTATTATATCTTAATAGTTTCTTAAAATCTAAGATCTATATTTAACTATATACGCGACGCTTAATCGTTGACTTATTAATATTAATTTAAAAAGAGTTTACTTAATTATTATAGGCTTATAAATCTTAAATTAATATTTTTATTAATCTTTAAAATACGTTATAAGTAATCTCTTATACGATCTTAGACTTTCTTTTAGAAATAATTATTTAAATATTAATAATACGAAATATAAGCGCTATAGCCGCTATAAGCTTTTTATTTCTTTATAATTATTTATTACTAGTTTAAAGTATAAGCTTATTTTATAATATTAATAAAAGTTTAATATTTAACGACGAAATTCCTTTATAATTAAAGCGTCGCGATAGCGGGTTAATAGAGTTTAATTTATCTATTTAATAAAAAATCTTAAAGTTATAAATAGCTAACTTTAGCGCTTAACGAGTTTATCTAAAGTTTAATTTCTTCTACTTTATAAAGTCTTTAAGATTATTATAATTCGTTAGAATCTTAATATAAAACGTATTATCTTTTAGATAGTAACGCTATTACTTTATAGATACTATAATAACGAGTAGCTCTTAATTATAAGTCTTATAGTTTTACTTTATAGAAATTATTTTCTTAGACTAGAATATTACTAATTATTAGTAATTATTCTTATTTAATTATAAAAGTATAGTCTTTATATCGAAGTTAAAAGCGTCGATCTTAAGATATAGCTTTAAATTTAAATCGTAATAACGTAGAAACGGCGCGGTTATAAAAGTGTTTTGAAGCTATTAAAACGCTAGCTTAGCGCTATCTATCCACTCTAGCGATCTAGATTTCTTATTATTTTTACTTTCTTTAAGTAAGTTAGTAAATAGCGTTATTATATTAAAATAGTTATAGATAAATTATCGATAGAAATTAGTAAAGTTTAAAAAGACTTATATATTTTAATAACTTTTTAATTTTAGCTATTTTTTAATAATAGCGATATATTTTTAATTTATTATAATATCTTCGATAAATATAATAAACTCTAGAAACTTAACTCGCTTAATATAGAATTAATATTTCTTTAGATTAGCGTATAGTTAAAACTAGTATAAACGCTTAAATACTTATTTAATATATCGCTAATACTTCGCTAAATTAATACTATAAATTAGAATATTATTTAAATATATTATATATATTATATTTATTAGACTTATAAAGACTTTATTAATATACGCTTAAAAAGTTATTAATATATTAGCGAGTTTAAAAGATATAATTAAATATTTAAAGTAGTCGTAGCGACTACGAAACGCTATTTTTCACTTATCGCCTTTTTTAATCTAAATTTAATAATAGATATTCTTAAGATTTAGCTTTATAAAGACTTTAACGTTATATAAGCGATTTAGAGTCTCGATAATTAGAAGTAGCGAGTATCGATTTTTAATAGTTATCGCGTTTAGATTTCGATAATTAATGTAAAGATAAAACCCTCTATTCTTTTTAGAAATAAAAAGAATTAATACTTTAACTAAGAAAGTCGAATAATAAATCTAGTTTTTTTAAAGGAAATTCTTTAGATAGCGCTATAGCTTCGCTAACTTCGTTTAAGATAGATTATATAAGAAATTATATAGCGACTTTTTATCGCTCTTAATCTTAATAATATAATCTCTCTACTTAAGCGTAGATAAGATTTCTATTTTTTTATTAAAAAAAACGTTATTAAACTCTAATAACTTCTAAGAAAGCTTTAGACTACGCCTATTTTTCGATTCGCTATATATTACCACAGCGTATACGATTATAAATATATTTAACTTCTATTCGATAATTTAAGTAAATTTAATTAATTCTTTAATCTATAATTTATTAGCGTTAACTTTAAATCGCTATTACTTCGTCGTTAAGTTTAATAATACTTATAATTAACTTAGTTTAAGTATATTTAATATAATATTAAAGCCTTTTTAATTAATAATATAGAAGAGTATATTATACTTTCTATTTTAATTTTAGCTATTTACTAATTAGTAATTTAGCTAATACGCGCTATAGTAATATATACTTTAATCGCTTAGCGCTTTCGATTATAATAAGATAGCGTTATAAGATTTTAAGTCTTATTAAACTACGAACTTTTATGAAATTAAATTAATATACGCTCTAGTATCGAGTAGAGTAACGAGTTACCTCTATTTACTCTAAAGCTTTATCTACTTCTTCGTAAGAATAGAAGAAATTACCTCTATTAATTATTATTCTTATCTCGCTTCTAAGACGATTATAAGATTAAATCTTTTTTTATTAATACTACGTCGATATAGATTATAGACGATTTATTAAGATCTAAATACTTAGATATCTAATAACTCTATTTTCTATAATAAAAATAACTATTCTTCTTATAATTAGAGTTAAAGAATTTAATTTTATACTTTATATTATCGTCTTAAGTACGTATTATATAAACGTCGCCGTTTAAAGCTAATTTAGACTTCGAAATTCGATTCTTTAAAGACTTATTCTTAGCGAATCCCCTTAAAAACTTCGAATAAAAACCGCCGTTGGAGCGTATATATTTTAAAATCTTTTTCTATATAATAATCTAGATAAGAATTTTTTTTTATTATTTCGATATACTATTAGTATTTAGAATCTTATTTTTAAGCTCTAATCTAAGCTTAGCTAAGAAGAAATTAGCTTAATACTTCTTAGAAAATAGAATTATATAAATCTCTAGCTTCTTTAGATAAATCTTAAAAATAAATATCTTCTAATTGAAGCGTTATTTAGTTTTCTTCTACTTTTTATATATAAGAAGATAACGATTTATTAGATTCGCTATTAAATTAAATAAAAACTACTTAAAGAATTTAAAAGTTATATTTTTTAGATTATAGATTTAATAGTATCTATATTATTAAGTATTAAGATTATCTTCTAAGAATTATATATAATAAATAATTTTTAATTAATTAATAGTAAAATATTTAGAACTTATAAGAAACTTAATTTCGACTTTACGAAATTAGCGTAGATACTCTCTCTTACTAATACTCTTATAAGAATATATTCTTTTAGAGCGAAGTATTTTCGTCTTAATTAATATATTCGTTAGAGGCGCGATAGTAATTAATATAAATAAGTCTTCGCTAATTATAAACGATAAGCTAATATTATAAAGCTCGCGATTATAGATCTTTAATATAACTAATTTATATTCTTATTTTAAACGACGATTTTCGACCTTAATAACTATAAGACGTTATTTTATAATAAGATCTTTTATTAATAAGAAATTCTTAAACTTATTATCGACGCTATAACGACTCTCGATATTATCTTTATTTTCTATTATATAGTCTAGAGATAAACCCGATATCGTAATAATAATAGGTTTTTTTCTTTAAAAGATAGAGAGATTAGAATTATAAGGGCGTAGTCTATTAATAGTTAACTAGTAAACACGGCTAACGAGATTACAGTATCATAGCTCTCCTTTATCCGGTTAGTATTGGGCTGCTGAGTCTCCAAAGCATCTGACTTAGACAATGCACAGTATCGCAGATGACAACAATGAGCACACCTTTGACCCAGATTTGCACCTACAAGCGCTCTTTGACCGGTTACGCTCTACTTGATTTACCGAAACGTTGACTTTGCAGCTATACAGAGACACGAACAATAGCACGATTGCCTGTTATCCGAAAGCTCGAACACCAGTCCTCGATTCTCCTGACGCCTGTTCAGAACCCCAAACGCCTCCCCCAATCCCCCAGTCAAGCGTGCAATCATCCACAAGCCAAGCGGCAGCAACAAAGCCTCAATTCCCATACACGCCCATCAAAAAATCGACCGCGTGCCCCTCATTCTCACGACTCCATTATCCAAACGCCCAGCAGCAGACCCTGGATCCTAGTCTCACCTTGTCCAAACGCCGACTGTCTGCCCCCCATTCCCACAGTCCGCTATTCAAAGCCAGAACCCCAAGTCCCGCCCACGGATCGGCGATTAGTAAATGTCCAAGTGTACGATGGCCGACCCTCGCTTTTCTGATCTGGTTTGCCAAATACGTTACGAGTCTACTAGTCCTGCTGCGTTTAGTTCCCCCAGATGCGTGATGCCATCATTCATATTCCTTGCATACCTTACCAGCTCTCATAAGATTGATGGGCCCATTCACATGCCACCCCCTCTCTGCTTCATGCCTTTCCTTCTCAGCCCCTGAGAATCTCAACCTTCGCATCGCTTCCTAGCAAAGAACCAACAGGCTCAGACATCAAAAATCTGAGCGGAGTCGCAACGTTTCTCCCCTCACTCGATCGCTTGAAGACACTACAACTACCAGATCCACCATCCTACACTTATACACTTACGATCGAGTCTTCACACATACGAAAGTTGAAGCGCAGTTGGCACCATCCAATATCCACTGTTTAGCCATGAACGCTGCAGATCTCCCTTCTCCCCACAAACACCAAACGCCCAACTTTCACCGCCTCGAGATCCCCGTCACGCAATCGCTTCCCGGCGTGGGAGGCCGTCATCGAGATCCTGAACCGGTCACGCCATCCATCATCGACGACGAACACACCATCCCTTATCCACCGCAGCGGTCGGACCTCCCTCGAGGATACGATATCTCAGCAACACGGTTCGACGGACAATACCACACGGCGTACTTAGAGCACAGCGACAAATGTCGGCAGGACGAGAAACGTCACGCGTCGTGCGTTTCTGTTCGGCGCCCGAACCTGCGAGTGCCGGTGCTGCTGCCGTGGAGAGATACGAAGATGTGTGACCGATAGCGACATCGACCCTACGTATGGGAAAGGGGTCTGAGTGAGTCGTTATCCGAAGTCCGAAGTGTGCTAGGCCGAAGTGACGGAGCCTGGTAGCTCTGCGGTTCGCTGTGGCGGTGTCTTCGCTCGGGCCTCCCTTCCTATGGGGCCGGTGCCTTCCTTCTTTTCCTTCCCTCTTCTTCTTCCTTTCCTTCCTTCCTTCCTTCCTTCCTTCCTTCCTTCCTTCCTTCCTTCCTTCATCAATAGTTCCGTTGGGTCGTGGTGTCAGGTTTTGGCCATGCGCTCTCGAGATGAATAACCGGGGACGCGTTCCGGCTTTGCTCGATTTTTGGCGAAGATTAGTGTACTTTTCAGTTGCCGATACGACGGAGGGGCAGAAGCGGGAGGGGGTCGAGAGGACCAGTTGCATAGAGCCGCCGAATCTGGACCTCGTCTTGTCTAGTTCAGACGGGCTAGGTGGATTGATGAGGCTGCACCGGGTGCTGGTTTGGAGCGTGGGGGGTTTTGGTGGTGGCGTGAAAGCTGGGCGCGCTTTAAGTTGCTTTACAACATGGATTGTCTCTGATTAGCTCACATTGGCTGAAGTAAAGGGGTGTTTGCAAATATAGAGCTTGTGCTATAATCACCTATCATTTGGTTTCGCGTGATGGCTCATTAGTGGATCCACAGCATTGTTAATTGCGGCATGTTGTTGTAGGACTGAAGAACGTTGATGCTATTGTATCTTAAATTATAAATCTCTCAAACAGTTTAAGCATATCGCTCAAGGCATCTCGTCTATACTCTGGATATTCGACGACTTCTTCGCATTCAACTCATCCCTCTTCTTCTGACTCCTCCCATACACCACCTTGCGGAGCCGGTTGATACTCCCCAACGGTCTGTGGGCCGCTAATGCCCTCCATGGATCCAGCACCATGTGGTCTTCCCAGAACACCCTCCGCTCCTGACTGAAACTGTCCTGGACCGGAAACTCCACGGTCCCGATCGTCTGGTACGGGGCTGTCACTTCGTCCCATACGATGCTCGCATCCTCGGTCGGGTGATGCGCAGGCGAGGTGCCCAGCTGGATCTTGACTTCATACTTCGCCGGCGCACCCCTGAAGTAATCAAACAGCCAATCCGAAATCTGCGTGTAAGACCCGGAGCTCGACACAGCCGCCCCACCCTTCTCCTTCATCTCGGGCAGCACAGGGAACATCGCCATGTGCCCGTAGTACTCCCCGAACCTGAACGCCGACTGCGTATACATCGAATGGCTTATCATGTTCGTATTCGGCAGCATCCCCGGCGCGTGCTGCTTGATGATATCCGTCCTCAACTTCAGCGCCATCGCCAACCCATTCGGACTGTCGAAGTATCTCTCCCGCAACTGCATGATTTCGAGACACGTGTCTATGTCAGTCAGTTCGATCATGGGGGCATTGTTGAAGAAGAAGTCTTGCGTTGAGAGACTCTTATTGCCGGGGGTTTCGAGTCTTTCGCCGTGGATGTTGAAGATCTTCATAGCCATGCCGCGGGGGCCGGGTTCGGTGTCGGATTGGAGGAAGACGGGCTCGTTGGCGTAGCGGGAGGCGATGGGGTAGGTGCCGGGGTGCGCGAAGAGTCCTTGGGAGAGGTGAGGAGGGAGGCCGGAGGGGACGGTCAGGGTACCTTTGACTAGGCCTTGGGTTTTGACGTGAGTTGCGCGGAAGGCGTGACGGTGCTGTTGACTATTAGTGCTGGGGTAGGATGTAGTTGTAGGGTAGAGCTGGCTGACCTTGTCGAAATTGTGCTTCTGCATCTTATTCATGGTGTCTGCAATCTGCTGGGCTTTGGCCTCCTCGTCCGGCTTGATCTCCTCCACGCCTGGGGCATCCCAGTGAAGATAGGCATCATTTGGAGGGGCGGTGGAAAGGGCGCGTTTGGTGGTGTTGTAGCCCTGGGTTAGGGAGTCTTTGACCGCGTCCATTGAGTAGAAAGGGAGGTGCCTGGGCCGTGGTAGCTATACAGATCCCAGAGCCCAAGAGAATCTATCCTGAGGGCTTGGTTGGCGACATGAATTCGATACGTCATTGTTGAGGTGGATGTCCGCCAAAGCCGGGAATGGCTCCGGCCAAAAGGGAGCTCGTCATCATCCCCACTTTCCAGCTACCAACATAGATGTGTGATATGCTGACATTGTTCCTATAAATCATTGTGATTGATGAAGCGGTATTGCAATGCCGTCTCTGATGGACGACGCTTAGAAGACGACAGGGAAGGAGCCGCAGCCGCAGCCGCTGGCTTGATCAGGGAAATTCTGGACAGCTTTCCCTAACAAATTCCTCCATTCATTCATCATCTCATACTACTACTTTGACAACTGAACAGTTGCAAAACCTTACTAATTGAGACAGTCCAATGATATGTGTTCCCTCCACGAAAGTTTGTAGGATGATATCTCATCATGGTCGAGCAAACAGCATAAAGACGTGGACATCAACATTGCTCTTTAGTCCTCAGCGTTGCCTTGCACGACATCCATTCAAGAAATAAAAACTCAAACTCCCACTACCTAGGATGACATTGTACTTTCGAACCTCAAAATTCGTCTCCTCCAATCCCAAGTATTCATCGTCCCATGGATTCCCCTCGGCACATTCGACAGAACCCCGAGCGTCATCGTCGTCTAATTTGTTGTAGCAGTGGAATTCTGAATCCGAAGCTTGCACAATTCTCTACTCTGAGGAAATGATCGTTGACCAGAGCCCATCGTCATGGTTGGCAATGAGCATAGCAGCGACAGAACCAAAAACAATCTATCGTGAGGTCTCTAACAGAAAAAGCACAATGGGTTCCTGCACGTTGACATATGATGGCTGTACACGTTCCCGAGACTTTGGAGGCCGAGAGTATTTCGGAGGGTAAAGGCACTATTGCGGGGTCTGTGCAACATTGCTGGCTATGTTGGGTGGGAAAAGGAGCGTGCCACACCAGTATTGTGGACTCCTGGGGCGGCTGGATAGTGTGAAGGAATGACCATTAGTTTTGAAGTCTAGGAACAAGGTTATCGAGATTTGAGGTCATCGTTGCGAGCGGTAGAAGCAACGCTGAAATTGGGAATGGTGTGCAACACAAGGACAAGAGAGAGGTAACAACCAGGTTACAAGAATGCCTCATGAGATGACTTAATCTTTGTGGGTTTGGGCCCTCACTGTGATTTGTCTCCACACGGGAATGACATGGCAACCGCCTGACAGAGGCCGAGGCCAAAACGCAGGAAACACAGACTCTCCGACTTGCAATTTTATATACAAAAAATTCGATTCAGTACGTTCGCATGACTTCTAGGATGCAATTCGCGATAAGCCGGTGCACTGTACACAGTGAGGAAATGCAGAGTGACATGAGGCATCGTCAGTATTTGTGCGTTCAGGCTTCATTCACTGTTTCTGCAAATTGATATAACAACGTTACCGTCTAAGCTAAGACTTTGGCAGAAATGGAAACGGCAGCGATCTCGTCTTCGTTCGGCCACGCAATGGTCCTGCAGTGTATCCTCTACGGTGCGATCAAGTCTCTTGCTCTGCGACGTGTCATGGCCCTCGTCAGCGTGACCACCTCTAACATTCCAACATTACAAGTCAAAGGTCTGAGCCCAATGAATCTTGATGTGGAAAAAATAACGTTCGGAGCCGTTTGAAGGCACGGGAATAAAGAGCCTTTGAGATGAGGATCGTAGGGTCGAAGAGAGGGGACTGATATTAGACCCTGAATAGGAAATGGGCTGACTGAACTCTGGACTGCTGAATATAAGAGGAAAAGAGGATACGCTGGGACACACGATTGGTGTCACGGTAATGAAAACGGCCTTGTTCTAAGCCCATCGAAGCTAGACAATAATTTGGACGTAATATTCGAACTGCAGGCTGTTCTGGAACGGCGCTAGAAGCTATGTTCATAGAAGGTCAATATCCCTATGTTGATGTGAACCTTATTTCCCCATACTCATTTTCTCCAAAACCCTATTCTGCTAGCGCTTGCATGGCCGCAAGCTTAATGTACAACTGAAGTAAGGTATGGTGGTATGCAGCCTAGGTTACAGGGTTTGCCATGGTCAAAGCACTGCAACTCATGTCAACCAAATTGAGTCTGTCTCTGCATCATACTCACCAAGATGAATACATGAAGATTATGATGGAATCATTGATAATGGCCAGCTTCACAGAAACAAGAGCATTGACAACTTCCAAAATGGCCTTATTGTGCAACGAAACAGACTGGCGTGCCTTAGTGTAATTGATGGCATGCTGGGGGATCCGTACCGTCTCTACATTAGCTTCCGTACTTCCCCACTGAGGACTTCAGGGGAAGGTCCTTAATTGCTTGCCTCCTCTGTAACGAATGCACCCAATCATAATATCAATGGCTGTCTACGCGAGCGCAGGAGATGACAAAAATATCCCGTCTCCATATCTCCAACCGAGGGCCTGTGCGAGAGTGTGAGGCCTGATTCGCTATTCTATGATATACGACGATACCCCCCCCAAAGACGGTATCGCTTGGAATAGTCCTCTCATACAGCTGTCCATCTCCACGCTTTCGCTGGGAACTGCTGCCACGTCAAGATGCCGAGCCTCCTCTCATCAACCGAGATCGAATATGAACTCGCACACATCCATGACAATCGAGCACCCAACGTTGTTATTTCTGCTGCAATATGCATTTCCTTGGCCATTACCGCAGTACTTCTACGCCTGCTCGCTCGCCGTCTGAGCAAAGTGAGAATACTTGCCGATGACTACATGATCCTCTTCGCCCTGGTAAGCCGACAGAGCTTTGTCCAGGAACAACACGAGCCGAGGGATCTGGATCATTCGATTGGCTGATTATTCTCTCTAGATTATATGCATGGGTCAGGTCGCTGCGTGCCTTTACTGTATGTTCAGACTCTGACATGGCCATCATTCTCTGCAACTAGGTCGCTAAGTCCCATCCTCCGTATCCAGCGGTACATCTTGGAGCAGGAAAACACGTCATTCTCCTCAAAGACCCAGCAGCATACGCCAAGGTAGGAACATGCGTCCCCTCCGGAATCTCCGATCCAAATCTTTGATTCTTATCACAACCCCAACCGCTCTAACAGCCTTCAGACCATCATAGCAATGGAAGTGCTCTACTGTATTGGAACCGCCGCCTTCAAGTACTCCGCACTTCTCCTCTTCCACCGCATCTTCGGCTCCGTTCCTCGCTTTACCGCCTTCCTCTGGTGCTTCGCCTTTGTAATCCTTGCCAACAACATCGCCGAGGTCTTCCTCTCCATCTTTCAATGCACACCCGTGCACAAAGCTTGGGATTTGAATGTCGAAGGCTCTTGCGTGAACATTCTCTTAGCAGCCTGCATACCCGGCTCCCTCAATGTAATCTCGGATGTCGTTACTTTCCTGCTGCCAATACCATTGATCTGGAACTTGCACATGGAGCGGAATCGAAAGATCCAATTAGTGGGCATCTTCCTCCTGAGCGGCTTGTACGTCCCCCACCAGCGCTCGCTCTCCCTCCAATCCTCCCACCCTCACCACGCTGACCCCGCAAACCTCACCAAAGCGTCTGCATAGCCAGCACATACCGAGCCATCATCGTCAAGCGCCTCTCCCACCAAGACGCAAGCTGTACGTTCCCCACGCCTTCCCTGCCCCCCCATCCTGCTTTCCCCCCACTCACACCAATCCAACCTGACAACCACAGGGGCCGACGTCGACCCCATCATTTGGGCCATCGTCGAAAACTCCATCGGCATCGTCAGCGCCAGCCTGCCCACCATGCGCCCCATCTACAGCCTCATCGTCCGCGGCCACCACTGCAGCTCCGTCGAGCGCTCCTGCGAGCGCTGCAACAACAAGTCTCCGACTCCTCGCAGCAGTGGTGGGAGGCGGGTCCGGAAGCCCGGTTCGGCGACATCGTGGCTCGAGACACTGGGGACGAGTGATGGGAAGGGAAGTTGTCAATCTGATGATCATGAGTGTTTGGAAAAGGGCGGGGCGGGGTGGACCGAAGTGGTGGAGATGGATTGATAGCGATCTTTTCCAAAGCGGGCGTATGTATGTATGGTGGACATGGATTGGGATCGGCATACGGGCCTTGCAGCGGACGGACGTGTCGGTCGGGAGCTAAGGATTTGTACATGAGGTATTCCGCCAACAGCGTAAGATGTTGAACTAACACTTTCCGATCCCTTCCGAGGCTGTGTTCTCACCTGATCCCGTCGGCTATTACCGGTCGTCGCGTTGCCCATCGTCTTGCAGAAGTAAGTGGGCATACATACATACATACATACATATCCGACAAGGTGCGCTCGAATATGAAAGAATCTTTCAGAGCGGTGGCTCTTCCCTTTTGTAATGGCGTTGCATACATAGCCATGAACATCGTCAGTAAATTTTGAAAATGGAAAATACTGCCATGTTGACGTTTTTGGGAGTCGCAGTGGGATAGATGTCATTTCCATTGACATGGTATTGATCTTGAACATGGTATTAATCTTGAACGTGTTTCAGTCTTGATCATTTTCGACGAATGTCAGAATAGGGTACCATACCCAACGTCACAGTCGTCGTCCACGCTTCAAAACTCTTCGAGTTGGGGATTTTGAGCGCTTAGTTCGGTATCATCCATGAAATGAACAAGTAAACATTAAGATAGCCCCTCGATGCTGATCGCGTTGGTACTTTATGTAAAGGAATTTGTACGCCTTCGACGGCCACGTTTATTGACAACTCGCCTGATATATACACAAACCCATCCCTCCGCGACCAGGGCAACAGGTCGCCTAATCCAATTCACGTCGCTCAGCCCAGCAGCCAGGTAGACACCGCCGGCTCATCCGGCAGCAGCAGCCATGGCCCCCGCCTTTAGTCCCCTCATCAGATCCACACACCCCTTGAAATCCACCCTCGAGCGATCCTCAGGCATATACTCGCCAGAAGCGATGCAAAGGACGCGCATGCCGCGTTCGTAGGTCAGGTTGTGTAGAAGTTTGGGGGTGATAAGGAAGTATTGGGACCCTCCCCTGCCTTGGCCTGCCACCCCATCCTTCTCGTCTTCTTCTTCTCCATGGCCGTTTTCGAGTGAATGCTGAGCCACACCATCAAGCATGCCGCACGCGATGCCAACCATACGTTTGTGAACAAGACGTTCGTTGCGGGGATCCATACCCTGGTTTATCTCATCGACGACGCGGAAGGGAGAGCGGGTTAAGGATTGCAGGGACATGAGATAGAAGATTGTGCTGACGGCGCGTTCGCCTCCGGATTGGCGGTGGGAGTCTAGGGTTGTGAGGGGTTCGGATTCTCTGATGACGGGAGTCAGTTGCCAAGTTTGCGCCAGGGTTAACATGGACCTACCTGAACTTGACGCGGATCTGTATAGCCCACTGGTCGAAGTCTTCGTCCTTGTGAACGCCAACCTCGCCAGCGCAGCTGATCTGCTCCATGTTCAGAGAGAAAGAGTCACTGATCTTTCCAACAAGGGAGTCGAGCTCTGGCTCCCACTGATCCCTAAGCTCTTTGATTTTGTCGTCGAATTCAGAGAGGGCGTTCTTGATCTCCTCAAGCCTAGCAGTCAAAACATCAATCTTCTTCTTCCTCTGTTCATACTCCTTGATCACACCCCCATTACCCTCATGCATAAGCTCCAACCTCGCTTTCTCGCTTTCGATTTCGCCCTCGAGTTGCTCAGTCGATTGGTTCGCCGGTAGCGCAACGAGGAAACTCCTGAGCTCGTTGTCGACCCGGGCCAGGAGCTGGGTGCATTTATCGAGGAGGGTTTTTGCTGTCCTTTGCGAAGCTTCGGTCTCTCTTACCAGTGCATCGACTTGGCGCTGTTGGTCTTCGAGAAGCTCTTGCACGGAGCTGTTTCGCTCTCTGAGGATTTCCCAGTCGGAAGTCGCTTCTATGAGCATGGTCTCGGCCTCATGGAGATTGTTGTGGGCGACTCTGATTGCCTCGACAGCGTCCTGTGTAGCTGATCAGAATTGTCCTTGCACTGGTACTCTAGGAAACACACCGCATAATCCAACGCTACTTCGCCTCTCTCCAATGCAATAGTCTCTTGCTGTCCCATGATTTCTCTCAATCGCCCTCTGATACCACTAAGAGCATTTTGCGCCGTGGCCAGTTTTGCCTCTTGGGCAGCTATCTGGAGGTTAGAGTAGAACGGCCAAGGGTTTGGATGACATACCGAGCTTCGTTGGAACGGCCTTGAACTCCCCCAGAGCTTTTTGCTTAGCTTCTTTTTCGGCCGAGATCGCTTTCTGCACGAAAAGGTCAGTAACAGTGTTCCTCGTTTCCGGTCTGGAGACAATCATACGCCTTCTTCGCTATTGGTATTGATCGCATTTCGGTATGCCAGGATCTTCTTTTGATCTGCATCAGATTCCGCTTGAAACGATGCCACTTCTTCGGTCCAGCCTTGAATGTTCTCTTGCAGTTCTCGTTTCGCTGTCAGGTCTACTGGTTGGTCCGTCCACACATTGGCTCTTCTGATATCTCTAACTAGGGTGGACTTCGCGTCAGGCCCGAACTCGCGGCGACGGGTGATCCTGTAAGTCGACTTGCTAGTCACCCAAGATTGTATTGGACTATTCTGCAACAACTCAAATTGCTGAGGCGTGGTGTCTCGCAAGGCAACACCGGCCTCGTGGACGTGTACCTCCGCGCAAAGCATGGCCAATACAGGTTCAGGGCCGTTGAGGTAGTCCAACGCCCACCCTTCAAAACCAAATCGCTTCATCTGCTCTGCACTGACTGGTGGACGGAAAGGATCGAGGCCTGGTAGTATAGTTGCGATGTTGACCTCGGAAAGACGCATGCGGCCGCTGCCTTGGTCTGATAGCTTCTTGAAATCGCCTCTAGTCTGCACGGTAAATTGAATCATTACACCTTTGTGGAACAAGGATTCTATATGGTCCACGTATCTTGGGTCCTTAATTGTGCACTCCACGATTGGCGGTCCAAAGACAGGCTTGTCGAACTGATCTTGATTCTGTTGTACCCATTCCCATAGTCTGTATGCGTCGCGTGATATACTTTGGAGTTTGGACTTCTGCTTTCCAGCCTGAGAGTCTAATTGGGCCAAATCGTCTTCGGCCTGCTTGATTCGATGATTCTTGTCCACGCCGCGTCGTCTCAGCTCTTCTTGATGTCTCTTCAGATCTCCAATCTTGGTCGTGCTGTCGTCCACGGCATCGCGTTTTTCGCGTATGCGTCTGTTGTACGCCTGAACGTCCAGCTCTGGAGGCTCCACCTCCATCTGTCTCTTCAATTGATTGATGGCGCCCTCAAGCCTGACGATCTCCTGTCTATGTTTCTTACCACCGCTCTTCTCCGCCGAATCAGCGGCCACAAGCTCGTTATGTTTGTCCTGTAGTCCCTTAAACTTTTTATCAATGGCGTCGGCGTGTCGCTCGGCTTTGCTGATGGCATTCTTCCGCTCCGTCACGACGGCCGCAATCTGCGCCTTGTACTGTTCTTTTGCATTGACAGCTCGCAGTGACGGCTCGATCTCTTTTCCCAGCCTCGTAAGCTCAGTTTGAGCTGCCTTTCTTTTTTCCTTGGCTTCCCCATGGACAGACCTCGCGCTCCGATATGCCGCAAACGGCCGTGCGGCTTCCAGCATTTTGACATGCGTTTCTACCAGCTCACGCTCGCGCATGCGTTCGACGTCGGCCTCCTGTAACCGCTGTCGGCTTTCAAGATTGTCGAGTTGCTCTTGATCAGCAGTGTTCTTAGCCTGAATATCCTTCTGCTTGCGCCGGAGGTCTTTCAGATTCTCATGCATATCAATCATCTCCTGCGACGCCACAGCCCTCTGAGTCGACCGTAGCAGCTCCACTGGCGTCATAGCTGCAAATTCAACCACTTTGTCTTGCGGCAAAAACTGACAGAGGTTGTCGATCTGAATTGAAAGGGACCTGCAGAGCTCGATGACCGCTTTCTTGCCTTGTGGTTTGCCGTTGACCGAAAAGACGGTCTTGTTGCCATCGCGCTTGATGTTACAACGTATGACTACGTTGTTCTTGAACCGCTTCCCATCCTTTGCGAGCTCGATTTCGATCATAGCCTCTTGACATCCATGTTTGACATATTCGGATACCTCTTTGGCTCGGCCAAGATGCTATAGCTCGTCAGCCTCGTTCTGTCGGATTATATCCTCCTGTAGACTCACCTGCGGTCCCCACCCCAATCCCAGACATATCGCGCATACCAATGTACTCTTTCCCGTGCCGTTAGGCCCAATGACCATATTTAGACTCGGTCCTGGAAAAAACTCCACAGCGGTGTACGTAACGAAGTTCTTCAGCTCGACACGTACAATGGATCCAGGTTGATACTTCTTCTGCGAACCTTGCGCTCGCAGCGTCTCTCTTTGCAACACGCTGGACTGAGGATGGAGGCCATTGGTGAGGGGTGTGCCGCTCAGCGAAGAAGACGCGTTGCCATTAGTGAGGCGGGCTCTCTTGCTGCTGGGTAACTCCGGTTGTGAGGAGGGGATGAGGTCTGGAGAAGCGCTACCTTCCTCATCAGACTCTAAATCGTCTCGCGATCGCCTACGAGGCGTGATCGGCATCCTGTTTGACTGGACCAAGAAGCTTCAGCAATGGAGACGATATTTCTGCAGAGTTGAATTTTGGGGACGCGCCTGCCAAGCCTGTGTCAGCACCTACCGGGCCTAGCGTAAGCGCCGCTTTGCACTGACGAGACGCGTGCCACTACTTTACTGCTTGCCGATTTCAGCCCTACCGAGCTACCCCATTTGCTCATTCTGCTGGCAAGAAATCCTTACTTCAGCAATTACTCTGACTTGAATCAGAGCGCAACAACCATGATGTCTCGCGCGACACTCTCCTCCACGGCTCCTGTCAGCCATCGAAGGCTACAACATCTGGACACCCGAGTCAATAATGTCCTATCGAGCACGCGACTGCATTCACTATATCCTTTCCTTCCTCCCTCAACAACGAACAATATGCCACCTATTTCGTCCCCATAATGTCCGCGTTCAGAGACTTCGATGTGACAATCCACGATACCATTGTGGACGAAGAAGCTTGAAAGATGGTTATGCATGCGTCCAGCACGGGTACGACTGCGCTGGGGCCATACAATAATGACTATACGCTTATTCTGCATATGACAGAGGATGGGCGCAAGGTGGAAATATTCTATGAATTTGTGGATAGTGCGTATACTGTGGACTATATGCCACGACTACGGGATGCCATTGCCAATCAGCAGAAGCGAGAAGGAAATGGGCGCTAGTAGTGGGGACCTAATGAACCCCAAACTGGGTTCAGGTCAGGCGCAACTCCGAAGCAGACCTCGTTGTCCAGCTAACCCTCTAGGCGGGGTATTATCCCAGATTTGGCACAGGTGTGGGAGCGTTCAGGACTTTTTGGTGCTGACCTCCGTAGAGGATCGTTGCAAACCCAAAATAAGACTAGAACATATACGGGTCTCTGTCAAGGGTCGATACGAAAAGACCTTGCCACACACTTAGCTTCAGCCTCCGGGTTCGCTAACCTAATATATCGTTTCGACCGTGTTTAGGTCGTGCAGCAGTGGCCCTATCGTTTCGCATGAACTTGGGGACCAATTGAGATTTGTTCTAAACATGATCCATCACCTCTTCCTCGACAACAAGCGTCAATCAAGCATCGGCGTCCTGCAGGATTTTGCCGCCAGTCTTTTAATGCGGACAGTCCTTTGCTTTAGCTAAAAATGTATGTATCTCAATCGACATCCATTGCATCCGGCCTGGTAGATCTTTTCCCCACCCAAATCTGTAGACAATCACGACCCAACGCATCACACCCACTTCTTGCTAAGCTTGTTACTCGGCCGCTCGGCCTTTATTTTCTGGTTTCGTGTTTCAACTCTGCGCAATATGTTGACCCAAAAGTCCCTGTTGGGCTTGCAGACTCCAGCAGCACTAATATGACCTGGTATCTTCCAACCGGCGTCTCTAGGCTCGATCTCCCAGTTATATAAAAATCCAGCTACCTAATGCAGATATGTCCTCTCCGCAATAACCCTTCCCTTGCACATCGAAAAGCCTGCCCCATTTGGACGCAAATTCCCCTGGCCGACTTCCACAGAGCCACTCTCACGAACCAAAGATATTTCTGGCTTGAAGACTTCCGGCTCCTCGAAATAACAGGGATCGCTATGGTGGAGATAGTCTCCCGATTTGAGCTTGAACGCAGGGGTCGACGCTGTTCCATTCTCCGGAAAGAGGTTATCTCTCCTCATTTTCCTAGCTGAACGGATCTCAACGTCGAGCCGCAAAGTCTCAAAGTAACAAGCCTTCAGTAGCGGGCGCAATCGGCGCATACTCCCTTTTTGCTGGTTTCAAGATCTCATCGTGGTGTACCACGCTGAGCGGTCTCGGCTTGGAAGAATGTTTTCGTCTCGCCGCGAATATTGTCGGCTGATCCCGGCGTGGCAAGGATCCGGAGAAGTAGCTAGAAAACTAGATGGTTGGCATTGATAGTAAGCCTTCAATCACAGCTTGCGCAGAGAGACGTGGCAATCCCACTCAGTCCACGACATTCTCTGTACGAAACCCTTTGTAAAGCTGAGAGCAAGAGGCACAAATGGCATCCTTACGCCCACGGCATACTCAGTCCTGCTGCTACTCGAGCATGAACCGACAATCCAATACGTTTCCAGATCTTATCCAACAATCTGATCAACTCGCTCACGTCACTGAGATCTTTGTGAGACGCTGAAGTCTGCCCCTCTACTTCCATATCTAGCGCATCGTAAAATGACGCAAGGTGTTGGTGCAATCGATCTCGTGCTTCGTACGCTTTTCTTAACGGTGGATCCAATGCGGCAATTTCGCTGCTAGCACAAAAAAACTGTCGTCGAGAATATCAATATCTTCCAGGGCGTCTGGTGAATTGGCTACATATGCCTTGCCCATCATTACAGGAAGGGTCGTGTGCCCCAGAAAGCATGTCAGAAGGGGTAGCAGACTGACTTCGACGCTGGGATGTTAGTTCTCGGTCCTTTTCACAGATCCGTGCTGCTCCCAAGGTCCAAGATCTGGTTTCGGGTCTGAGTGCACCCCGTCATTTTCTTTTCGCTTGGGCGTTTGTTCTCAAGCGACTAGGCTTCTCAGGTGAGCATGAATGTGGGAAATTGCCGACCGTGACATATCGCTCATATCAGGGTCTTGAAGTATGTGTTTGGCCACGCAGGTGTCTAGCTCATCAGACGCTGCAGTACAAATGTCTTGGTATTCTGCAAGGTTTCCAAATGTTCTGTTGAAAAGCATGCATCTGATCGACATGTAGTCGACGACTGACAAGCGTAGCTGAGCACAATCTCGAACTAATGCGGGTGTGTAAACGATGTTGTGACTCGACCCCAGAAGTACAGATGGAATACTGCACGGTACTTGCCTCTGAAAAATCTCAATCAGCCGTGAATGAGCCCAGCGATACTGGTCGTGATGCCGATTTCTTTGCAAAAATGAGCCATTGACGAGGAGCTCGTCCAGCCGTGTTTGGGCGGACAAAGAAAAGCACTGCTGAGAATCGCGAGGGCAGCAATTGCCACCAAAACTTCCGGGGTCGAGCTTCTTTCGAAGGTGCCAGAGAAGAGGCTATTGGACAACATGCTGGTCCTCAACTCGAAAGTGGTCGACAAGACGATAAAAATCAGGTTCATTTTGATGGCGACGGAGGAAAGTGTGTCAGTGGAAAGGTAGAGCTTTAACTGCCCGCTGAAAGTAGGTGCGAGGGGTGGGTAGGTCGATCAAAGCTAGCTAGTAGCTGCATAAAGTATGAAGGTATATAGAAGACCTCTGCACCCAGCGCTAAGGTACATTCAGCAATGTACCCTTGGACATGGCACTTGAGGCTGCCGAATTCATGACACAACCGACGATTTGTTGCAATCCTCTGGCATTTGGGAATTGAACTTTCCGTCGTGATACCACCGAACAAATGTCGACCATATATGTTATAGATCTGCAGCCCACGCCATTAGCTTGCTGGCTAGTCTAACAGCCAGCTCCTACAGAAAGTCTCGACACGCTTGGATGTTTCACCCCTGACATGCATGGGAGCATCCGCTCTAGATGGCATTCGCATACATAAAAACACTGTCGCTCATCAGCCATGTGCGGACACGCTGTCTGAGCAAGTCTTGGGGGAGGCGCATCTCATCTGAATCGTTCTTCGGTGCTTCAAGGAACCAATTTTTAGTTGCAGTGATTACGGATCAAGGTTGAGGGAAAGATTTCCAGCGAACGGTGGAGCAACACAACTCGAGAGTAGCCTTCATCGCTTCCAAGGTGAGATATTTCAACAGTCAACAAGTACCATGGCGAGTGTATCATGGAGGACAGTTCTTTGGCGTGCTCTTTGCCTCTCAACTCTTGCATCCATCCGAGAGAAGGCATCTTAGATCTCATATTTTCGGCTGGGATCTCAGCTCCATTGTCCGCCCCTGATATCCCATGTATCTCATTTCCTCCATCCATCTCATAGCTTCTCTCCCTCCCTTCTAGTTCTTGTCTCCTCTGTTCTCTTGATCCTCCAATTCAGCCTTTTGTTGAAGATGAAGTTGCGCATCTTCGGCGGGAATCGCTACGTTTACATCGTAATCTGGTGGATGTCTCCTTTTTCGATATCGCCCCGGGAAGACGCAAGTACTCCAGACTCAGACCTTCAGGATTGAGATGCGGTCAAGCCCAAAGGCTACAACTGTAAACGTGTCTTCATTTGGTAATACCGAGATTAAAATAAGGATGGATAAACATGTATCAGGCGTATTCAGAATTTCCCTCAAATCCATCCGCCGTCTCCTCCCACCCCAGGTGTCCCTCTTGAGGCGCTTGCAACCAGCGTGATCCACATGAGAACGTCGTTATTGCAGCAATGGCAAGAATAGCGGCGGAAAGCGAGAGTAGGTTATCGGAGTTCATGTCTTGAGGGATGGTACTGCGGAGAAGACTCTTACTAAGATTAATCTTCACCAATCCGTTCTGTCATAATATCGGAATCTATCGCTTGTGTATAATCGATCTCCTCTGTCTTGACTTTTGCCATCGTTATAGTACTCACTATCTGCAACGCCAATCCCACTTTCGATCTACCCTCCGTCCTTACCTCTTCCACCCCCCTCGTTTTAATATCTTATCCCTCTCGTCTCTGCGTTCCAGGCTCGCTTCATCAAGCAAGCGCGAGCTGCTCTAGCGCCTTGGCAACATGATCCGCTAAGCCTGTTTGAGGTTTTGAATGCCGCGGCCTTTGAATACTACTCACGGTGCTTCCACGAGGAAAACGGCTCCCGGGCATAGGGCGAAAAAACGTTCGCCAGCGTTTGGACTTTTCGTGTATCCTCCTACTATTATGTATTTATTACCTTACCTTCTACTCGGATTGTCCAATGTCTCACCGCTGTGGGCTTGGGTCACGACCGAATCGGCGAGGCTGTCACGTATGAGCAAACATCGCCAGCTTAGGCGCAGGCAAGGTGCTGAAAAAGGTGGCGGTCGGAGAGGTAAAAACCTTTGATAAGACAGCATCGGCGAGAAGACTTTTCACTTGATACACGCTCTTTACAAAGCAGTCATGAATGTCAAGGACAGATGTTTCCGGGTTGTTGCTCAAATCGATGTGAAAACAAGAAGATTTCGGTAGTAATGCTGAAAGAGTTGTTTACAGGTGGTATCGCTACAAACTGCTGTCATGGGAGGCCGCGAATCCGCTGCGCAATAGTCTCAAGCAAATTCGAAGGAAATGTATCCAACAAAGAACATCTACTTCAGTCCTGGTGCTTCGGGCTCAACATCAGTTCTGGTCGCACATGTTTGTCAAAGTCCTCTTCACTCAACGCCTTCAGCTCCATGGCACTCTCTTTCAACGTCAAGCCCTTCTTGTGGGCATTCTTTGCGACCTTTGAGGCTGCGTCGTAACCAATCACCGGATTCAAGCAGGTAACAAGCATCAGACTGCGTCATCATCATTAGCCCGGGAGTCAATCTGCACCAAGGAGTGCTAAAAATTACCTCTGGTGCAAAAGTGTACTGATCCTGTCCTCGTCAGCTTCTAGACCTGCGACAAGATTCTTTTCGAAACTCCTCATGCTGTCGCTGAGGATCCTGATGCTGTGGAGCAAATTCCTGATCAAGACGGGCTTGAAGACGTTAAGCTCGAATTGGCCGTTCATTCCACCAATAGTCACGGCTGTATGGTTCCCAATCACTTGAGCACACACCATAGTCAATGCCTCGCATTGTGTAGGGTTGACCTTCCCAGGCATGATGGATGAACCAGGCTCGTTCTCTGGAAGCTTCAACTCTCCCAGCCCGCAACGAGGGCCAGAACCTAGATAGCGAATATCCTGCGCAATCTTGAACAGTGAAGTCGCTACCGTATTCAGGGCCCCCGAGGCTTCAACGATTGCATCGTGTGTAGCCAAAGCCTCAAACTTGTTCGGTGCAGTCTTGAATTCGGCTTTTGTTAGTTTGCTGATCTCCTCTGCTATGGCCTCGGCGAAACCTTCGAATGTATTTATACCTGTGCCAACTGCTGTTCCTCCTTGGGCAAGCAGCCGAAGATGAGGTAGAGTGTCTTGCACGCGCTCCACGCCTCGTTCCAATTGCGCGACGTAGCCCGAGAATTCTTGGCCTAGGGTTAGGGGCGTAGCGTCTTGTAGATGTGTGCGTCCTATCTTTATGATGTGCTCGAATTCTTGACTCTTGGCTTGTAGCGCTGCTTTTAGGCTTTCCATTGCGGGTATAAGGGACTCCGTGATCTCGAGGACGGCGGCTATGTGCATGACGGTGGGAAAGCTATCGTTGGAGGAAGCGGACATGTTCACATGGTCGTTGGGGTGTACGGGCTTCTTCGAGCCCATTGTGCCCCCTAGTATCTCAATGGCACGATTCGAGATGACCTCGTTGGCGTTCATATTCGATTGTGTCCCTGAGCCAGTCTGCCATACCACGAGAGGGAAATGATCGATGAGCTTTAGTGAAGCAACCTCCTCGGCCGCTTGCTGGATTGCCTTCCCAAGCTTTGGATCTTGATGGCGCTCAGCTAAAGTCTTTCTTGAGATCGACAACGGAATTACCGAGCCCAAAATGCATGTTCACGGTCGCTGCTGCTCCCTTCAGTATGCCGAATGCTCTGACAACGGGTGGGGGCATTCGATCTTGAGGCTGATTGATCTTGAAGTTCTCCAGCGAGCGCTCCGTTTGCGCTCCCCAGTACCTGTCTGATTCGACTTGTACTTCACCGAAGGCATCGGTTTCTGTTCGTGTAGACTGTTGCCAGAATGTGTCAGCGCTCCATTCTTGATAACGGTTCCAGAGATTGGAATGTGCCGGATCGAGAGAGTTGCGTACCATGTTGAGACGCTGTAAGAAAGATTGATTGCTTTTGGTGCATAGGATCGACGAAGTCGGATGTTTCGTAGCTGGTCCTCGTAGCGATCGCAGCGCTTGTGTTGAGGAGAAGAGTGAGCGCGAGAGCATATTGGACTCTCAGAATGACCGGGCAAAGGGATGGAGGAGGTGCCTCGCTCGGGCTCTATGGGTACCGCCTGTCCTTTTCCATTTTTGTTTTGGAGCCTTCATCATAGCGCCAAGACCGAACTTCGGAGATGACAAAGCAATACGAGGTCTCCCGAGTCCGAGATTCTCCGACTCGTCAACAAAGCGCTCCTTTCGAAACATGGTCATAGGTATTATTGTCTTTCCGTCGTCGCTTTTGGTGTTTGATGCTTGTCTATGGCAGTCAAACATTTCAACTGAAGTATGGCTCTGGTATGCAATGGAGGTCTTCGAGGGGGAAGGGACCATGTGCTTCTCCTCATGCATCGCCACTCCGACGAGAATAAGAACCCGTTGATCAAAGACCGTTCTAGACATAGGTTTGCTAAAAAGTACTCGTGTTATTCCTTTCGAGGTCACCATGGCTTGTGAGGCACCAACAGTGCGCACGATCCTGATGAGTGTCATCAGGACTTGGGTCTAATCCCGTCCTCCACCACTCAAAGGCATTTCAGGATGCCATCCCAACTTCTATGTACACCTGGTCACGCATTCTCATGTTCATACGTTCGCGCTTGTGCTCGTGCTCGTCAATCACTTTTTCTGCCAGTTGTTTTCGACGTTGTACCATAGGATCCTTGTTTTGTACTCTCAAACCCTTGCCATTTCGCCTTGATCATCACCAGAACGCCAGGTAATCTATTAAGCAAAAGTGCCAATCTGAAACGCGGAAGCTCTTTTGTTTTTATGTCGGCTTTGGGGGACAACCCAAACATTTCTAGCCCGTGATAACAATCTGTTCCACGCAGAGTGAGCGTTAGACATTGCCAAACCCTCCATCTTGATGCTGTTTATGTCGATTTCCTGAGTATCGATACCGCTTTGATTCCCCCTTTTTTTGGCACCTTGCCTGATGCGTCCTCCCGTTGTAGAGACCTTGTTGGTACTTTGTAACAACATAGCATCAGTCTCCACGGGCCAAATCAACAAATGTATGGGGAGAACGGCATCGACGTCAGATCCATGGTACTGGGATATTGCACCACGGGGAAAGATGTGATTCAAAATGCCGAAGACACTCGCCAGCCCACGCAACCATTGAATTTACGGTTTGGGCACTTAGGCCTGCCTTTGTTGTCGTGCCTGGGGTGTGAAATGCTGCCGCAGACGCGGTAGACATTGCAGAGGCAGTATTTGTTTACTGAACTCTACAGTCGTCATATCAGCTCACTTACAGCGCAGGTGGCTGGTGGGTGCCCTCGAGTATAAAACAATGATGAGCGGTGCCTGCCTCACAGACATTCATTCATTTCTTATCCGACTTCTAGTCAAACGGTCACGTATTGTTGGGACACGAGGCAGATATGAAATAGGCAGACACTTTCGCTGAAACCAACCAAGTTCTTCCCATCGTGATCAACTCTTACATAGCTCATCTAGAATGCGATCTGCTGACAGAAGATTACCTAAAGTGAACTTGGTTGGGGCGAGTCGTTGCCTGCCTACAGCTCAGCCTCCCCGAGCAACAAGGGAATAAGCTTGAAACCTCCACTGCGGCGCATCATCGGCAGCCTAATAGGATCTTTCTTTAGGGTGCGAGGAGGCTATCATATGATGATGGTGGTGAGCTGTTTCGGCGGTTCCCGGCGGAGTGCTTGGTGGGTTGTGGCTGTTGTTGCCTTTGAGTCATCATCGCTAAGCAAAGTTGGCCCAATCATCGGCAGGTTACCCGATTGCGCCAGTGAGGATTCCGTGCTTTCGCGCGGGGCAACATCCTTGCATGGGTCAGGATGTGGAGCTGGATCTATTCATGCTGCAGGAGTGTCGCAAAGTCCACCAGGACGAGCGTTCGCTGAGGGATTGGAGTTCATCATTTGAGCGCAGAATTGCGGTCGAGTCTTGAGGCCTGTGAAAAGAGAATTCTATCTTGAAAACCCGAAAATTATGCAATGTATTATACCACTAGCCTGCTTCAGTGGACTCTGTGGAGCTGCTCAGCTTGTTTGAAACCATGATGATTGGTTGATAATTATGAATATTACGGTAAGGCAGAACCGCATGCATAAGCCGGAAGGAAAAAAATTAAAAATCCTGACCCCTCTCTTCCGGGCAACGTCTCCCTCCCAATGTTCGAAAGCTTGGAGGCAGTTAATCACCTCACTTTTTGCGTGCAAATGTAGCCTGTAAACCGTAGTAGGAGCGCAAGATGCTCAAAAAGCGCATGTTAAATATAGGCAATGGAGCAATTATGAAAGGATAAAGAAATTGGCGCTGAGATGACGGACAGGTGGCCAACAGGAAGCTGGCCCCCTCTGACTCAAGGATGCTCGGCGCCTCCCCCAAGCAAAACCGGAGCTGCTCGCTGTCTTTCTTCCCCCGCCGACCATCAACAAAATGAACTGGCAACATCGAGTTTAGCAAGGCAACTTTTGAAAAGAACAGTCTGCGGCTATCTTCAATGTTCATTTGGTCATCCTCTCCGCTCCTAGAATTCTGTATTATTACTAAAAGTCCTTTGGCGTTTGTGATTTGACGTGTACGGTGTGAAAGCTTGCGCCCGAAGCAAGCTGCCCTCAAGCCTGTGAGTAACAATGGGAACCTTCAACAACACGCCAGCCGCGAACGGCGAAAGCAAGACTCATAGCTAACAGACTGCTATTATTCACGGTTGCAATAGTAGTGGTATTGAACAGTCACTCTTGCTATTTCCTGAGATTGCCACCTATTTGCCTTCGATCGTCTCACTTATTTCCCTGCCTATTCCCGCCACCCTACAACCGGCCACCTACGAACGCCCCCAGCTTCACCAGCCTAAAAATTCATCAACACCTTTAAAATACTACATCTTTAACCCAATAAAAAAAACCAATTCGAAGACCTCGAGATACCTGCCTGTAGTCCAAGCGCACGCAGCTTGGACGGAGTCAACGCTTTCGCCCCGTGTCCGTTAAGCTCAGCAGCAGTCAAAATGAACATCTCGACCAGTAACTCGCCCAAGGCCACCGGTATTACAAAGTCCATCGCAACCGTCTCAGGAACAGATCGAGGTGATAGTGGAGTCTGTTAAATCAGTACTACGCTACAACACGAACTGCTTCTCCCGCGCAACAGCTCTGTCCGCGAGGCTCATACTACTGCACTTGACTTCGCTGTCATAGTGTACCAACGGTTTCTCGCGATTGGAAAATCCTATACCCGGTGGCTTTCGACTCTTCGAGAACTGGATCACCTGTTCTCAGTCGTTCAGTCAACAAATATTTGCCTGGTCTGAGGAGCTTAGGCAAGGTGTCCTGGAGCCTGGATCCAACATTACGTCTGAGTCAATTGTGGTTCTGTCTAATATCTACCCTTCGTCCTCCATATTCTCAAGATTGGAGTACCTGGAAAGATATCTGCTTTGCATACAACTGCCGGACAGAACTTGGGGAACTCCAAAGACTGGAAAAATACCTTTGCGCCTCAGGAACGACATTTGCCTCCTGACTCACTGTTCATTTGGACTCTGACACATCTTTCCTTCTTATCTGCTCGGTAACTACCCGTCTCTCTCGACATCCGAACCGGCTCTCTACTTTTTCTTCCCATGGCCGGCGATCCAGATTATGATGCATCTGCGTCGTGGCCGCACCACAATTCCACCAAGGACTACCCCTATAGTCCTTCACTCGCCTCAACAGCATCTTCGTCCTCCTCATCGGTCTTTTCTCTGGATGCGCCCTCATCCCAGAGCTCCGTCTCGTCCTCGGCTGGTTGGCCGAGCTCGGCATGGAACAGTGAGAATGAAAACGAGAATCAGTACTTCACCAGTCGTCACATCTCACAACGAAGTACGACAAGCTCATCAGATGAAGAAATCATCACATCATACCTGCCTTGCTCTCGAACACGAGCTCAATTACCTGCTGAAACCGTCGCTCTCGAGTCTCGGCAGCACCCGAGGCGAACACAACGTCTGAACTCATACGAATGTCAAGATGGAAAGAGTGTATCATCATGCCCTCGACCACCGCCATCTTTGGTGCGACAAAGTGAACGAAAAGAGAACTTCGTCGACAGTCTTGTTGGTAAGCTAACATGCCGGATAACTGAGGAAGATCCAAATGCTGACGAAGCCACTCCTCCAAAGACACCACAACTCAGATGATTGAGACCATCTGGCCCCTATCTGTCTTATCCTGCGGCCGAGATACCATCCTTGGCGGCAAACAGCAGAATTTGATCGGCCTTCGGGTCTTCGTTCAAGAAGTATTGAGGCGATCGAAGACCAGCTACTCTACATTGCAGGTGGCTCTTTATTACTTGATACTGATACAATCTTGCATACCCAAGCACGATTTTACCATGGAACAATCGGAGGATTCTCCGTCATGCCGAGCTATGCAATGTGGACGACGGATGTTCTTGGCGGCTCTTATCTTGGCTTCAAAATACCTCCAGGATAGGAATTTCTCGGCTCGGGCTTGGAGCAAAATTTCTGGACTGCAAACATGCGAAATCAACTCAAACGAAATGGCGTTCCTCTCCGCAGTCAACTGGAAGCTTCACATACCTCAGCCTGTCTTCGAGAAATGGACGGATATCGTACTGAAGTACTCGCCGTCTGCTCAGGTGAACGCGCCGCCTCGGTCGTCCCCGACTTCACCGCATAATTGGAAATCTATCATTCCTCATCTGACGCCGCAGCTCGACACTCTCGAGTTCGGATTCGCGGAGGTTTCGTATGATTCTGGCTACAACTCCCCAGGAACTGACATGTGTCCACCACCCATACCAATTCGTGAAGAATTATCAGCATGCTCGGGGTCAAATGAACCGACACCTACGAATCCATACACCATTCCGAGAGTACTTGAGCCAACGCCTCGGGATAGTAAGTATGGTGAGCAGAAATTGCCGCCATTGCCACACTTAAGACCATTGCCCACCCCACAGATGACCCCTCAGACCGGCACCTTTTGTACTCCTGCAGTGAGTGCTTCGGGACTATCCTCTCGTCGATCATCAATGAGCTATGCAATGGCCCAAATCCAAAACGCTTGTCTGGCAAGGTCTCTTCTGGACAATCCCCACCAGTGGAAGCCAAATGCGCCTGCTCCATTCCCAACGTCCGCACGCCGATCATCGTTGGCGACGTCCGCTTCCACGTTCTCGTCTCCGGAGTCTATGATCTCCGATGTCTCTACCCGGTCTTCCAGATCGTCGTCGATTTCTTCAGTAGCTTCATCGAACTGCGCGCTCCCACCGCCGAGATTGGCGGTACAAGCGACGCGTCGATGCGCGAATATGCAATTGTGTTGCCTGAAGGAAGAAAATCAGAGACCAGTCCTCACTGAGGACGACGGGCTGTCATGGGAGGCCTTCTCCGCAGCGTCCGAATATCACCCCAAATACATCCCCGCTTCAACCCAACACAGTGCCTCAACCCGCGAAGCTGCTGCAGCCCTACGCGACCTCGCGCTTAATCGTCATCACACCCCCCCGCAATCCCTATCGACCCCACGTCCCGCCAAATGCCTCAAACGTGATCGCCCTCATTCCGTGGATCTGTCGGTACAATCCGCGGTCCGCGACATTATTGCTCCGCGCTGTCTGGGCGACATCACAAATATGAAGAAGGCAAGGAAAAACGAGGAAGATGGCACCGTTTTGCCTGACGGCAAGGTTGCTGACTCGTTTTTGCTTTCCAGCCGTGTTGACAAGAGAAAGCCGGCGCTTTCAACAGATGGCTTACCGCGCAAGAGAACCTGTGCTGGTAGTGATAGGGGCGGCAGGGAGGAGGCGAGGCTGATGCAGAAGGTCGTGGCAAGGGGGCCAAGGATATGGGAACAGATTCTTTGATCCTTTCCGATCCTTATCCCAAAGCATCTAAACGGATGTTTGGCCGTGGAGGTGGAAGGACTCGGCAGTGGGAGATTTGTGGTTAGTTGGTCAATGCCATCTACTGTATTATCTATATCTGCATTTACTTTGTCTAGAGGGGTGTAGAAGTGTTGCATGCTATGGCTCGGAAGGGGTAACGAAGGGCGAAGAAACGATCAATTGAACAGTAACCACGCATTTCTGGTCCCCATTCCTGTGACTGAATTTTCATGCTTGCAGGATTGTGTGCCGGCTCTCCATTTCTGACTCTGTGCCATCCTCCTCTGCATCTACTTCCATACCTCCTCGTACAAGGCAGCACTGACTCACACCCACGCTAGCTCCCCTTTACCCGGTCACGTGTAAGATCATACTTTCTACTTTCCACAGAAAGACGAACCGTAGCGCAGTGGCGATCCTAGGCCGCCACCTGCCTGCCTGCCTAGACTCGAGCCGTCCGTCGTTTGCTTTCTGTTCCATTGGCGCTTTTCCGAGGTGTTGGTGTGAATCATCATAAGGGACGTGCGTGCGTGCGTCTGTTGGGGTTTGGATACCTTTGATGTATAGGCGGAGGGGTGATCGTTATTGAGTTTTGGGGGGGGGGGAGGGATGGATGGATGGATGGATGGATGGATGGATGGATGGATGGTGGATGGTGGATGGATGGATGGATGGATGGATGGATGGAAGGAAGAAAGGCAGCCACGCTGCTACTTTCGAGCATTGGGTGGGCGGGGATCGGATTAGGGGCTCGAGGGTGTTGTTCTTCTGGAAGTGATGGGAAGATGGATGGCTTGGGGGGGGGGCTTTCATGGCTGGGTGGAGATGGTTGGGTGGAGAGGGTAGATGTTTTGGAGATTAGGTTCGTGGTGGGCTTTCCACTGGTGGTGGTAAGTTCAGGCAAAGGTATTGTTACATTTCTGAAACTTGCTTTACTAGGTTTTGAAGGGGGGAATGGGTTTTGTGGCAATATACCACAAACGGCATCGTTGATGTATCGGTCGACACGGTGACGCTAGCGTCTTGCTTACCTTATGCTTCTGCGCATGGTTTGATTCGGAAGCGGTATACTTTTGTGGCAACGTTTTGACCTTTTTTCACCAGCAGGGCCAGATGGAGGGCAGTATTCACAGGCAATGGTGGACAGGAACCATTCCTTGGGTAGTGTGGAAGAGAAGGTACTTTTATGCCATTACCTTTGCTTCCTCTAGGTCTTTAATGAGGCCGCTCAACTCGTAGCGTGGGAGACGAGGTTCCCAAGCGTATTGGCAATTTGGACGGGGGAGATTAAAAGATTGAAATCAGTGCTGAGAACCCGCTCATGGAGCTGATACTCTTTTCGGTTTTGTTCAGCTCGAGCACCCAGGCAAGAGCATTAGATCCTGAAGGACGTTCACAGCCTCGATATATGCTGATGGGGTTTCTCAAGAAACACTATCTGTGTTAGAACTGATTGTTGCCTGCCAGAAGAGAAGTGTGCAAGAGGAGAGACAGGCGGTATCTGTATGGATTGACATTGCTAAGTTTAGGCTTTGTTCTCTACAACATCTACCATGAACGCGCCACCCAATCTGCAGTAATGTCAGCGACCACCTCAGATTGAAGAGATAGGGTGCTTGTAGAGCTTACAGGATCGCGGGTTCGTGAAGACTTCGGTGCTCGTAACTCATGGTTCCTACACCACCAGCTGCGAACACGTTAGCAGACTTCAACAACCGGAGATGGAGAGGGCGGGCGGCAAAAGCATACCTTCCAACAGTAACGACACTCCGTCTGTCAACTCCCTCCCAATCCAGCGCATAGCGAACGCTCGCAGTATATGCCCATGTGCCACGAGCAGCACATCACTAACCGGCGCCTCACCCTTCGGTTTCCCAATAGCTTCATCGTGGAAGCGCGCTCGTATGTCTTTGATCAATCGATCTAGTCGGTTCGTAACATCTGCAGGCGATTCTCCCCCCGGACATCCATCCCTCCAAATATCCCACACCTTCTCCCCAGCTTTTTCCCTCTGTTCTGTTATCTGCACACTTGTCAAACCCTCGTAGTCTCCGTAGTCCCATTCGCGTATGTCTTCTGTGACTTGCACTTTGGCTTCTGTGCGTACATCGCACGGAGTGTGTTTGTCGTGCCAGGGAAGTTTGTCGCGGCAGCCGATGTCGAGGAGTTCGAGGGTGCGACGAGCGCGGGAGCGCGGGGACACGTAGCTAGAGGAACAAGTGGTTAGTAAGTGTGGACTAGATGCTTGGAATGCGGATAACGGAGGGCGTACATGTGGGCAAGCTTGGAGGGGACAATGAGTCTGTCGTCGCCCACCAGCGCTCGGCTGGTGGCGCGAATTCGCTTCTCGCCGTTCTGTGTCAACGGTAACTCTGTGGTACCCGTGTGTCGACCGTTAAGTGACCATTCTGTTTCACCGTGGCGGATGATGAAGGCTCGTGGGGTCGTCATTGTGGAGGTTGGTAGGGAGTGGTGGGGATAAAGAGCGGCAGTGAAGGGCGGGTGTGAGAAAACAATGAGGAGCAGCGGAGAAGGCTCTTTAAGAAAGATCAGATCAACAGCGCTTTGCAACGAAAGGTCTCAATCATCCCAGAGCTCAGTCATCATTGAGTAAGAAAGTCAATTGCCTATCATCCGGCGTCCCGCCATGACATATGCAACTAATTATAGAGGACGCATCTGTGGAAGTCGCTGGGTCACCGTCGCGCAGAGACGGAGATGGCGGGTATTTCTCGCATTCAAGAGACGTCCTCAGAGCTCAGCTCGGCGAAGTATTACATACTCAATTCGTAGTGAAGGCTGGAGGATTCAATGAATGAGAAAATAGCATCACATAGATCCATGTAGGCTAGTCTCAACTAGGGAATTCTGAGACTTCATCTCTTGGCCCAAAGTCTTCTCCCTTCTCCGACATCGCATTATGTGATGCTCAATACTCCAAAAACCATGTCCAAGGCTCCTCAAGCCCGCACAATTATACTCGCTGCTGGTGTCGCCGCTACCACTGTCACTGGAGCCTGGTATGGTGCGGGATTAAAGATGAAGAAGGATATGAAACAGGTGCGGATCATTCTCCGTGCCAGTTCTCTCCAATCTCTGCCACTTCCGTGGCTCTCTTCGCAGCAGTGAGGACTTCCAGTTGACCAAAATCTTTTGGCGTAGGAAGCCAAAGTTAGAGCAGAAGTCACACCCGCGGACATGATCGCCTATCTGGAACAAACAAGATCAGGACTCGTGGCCAAGAAGATTGGGCTGGAAAATAAGATTTCGCAGTTAGAGGCAAGGGTGGCTAGAGTGGGAGGCGCCGAGGTCGATGATGGAGCGAAGGGGAGACGGTTTTGAGGCTTTCGTAGAAGAGCTGTTGGAACAAGTTGCTTGGCAAAATTGAGTGTTGCCGTGGACCTAGATGGCTTCTCGATGGAGTAGGACAATAATGTTGTCTTCTTATTATCCTGATCCTTTGTATTAGCCCAGTCTAGCTGACCGTCGTGCAGCATCGGAGATCCAGGAACGGACAAGCTCAAGCAGTCTAAGGCACTCAGAACGGTCCAAACCCTTAGATGTTGGACAGGAGCAGCGTCAATGAGGGAGACTTATCCGCCTTTCAACCTGATCTTAGAGTAATTTGAACTGTGAACGACAAATGAATCGGGATTGATGCCTAAAGTTGAAGCTATTCAATGTTTTTAGGGCAAAGTTTCGAAGATCTGTGGATCTGTACCGTTGCATCTGTCCTGTTCCGACACCATGCCTGTCGGATTGTCTCAGCTAGCAGTCGAGTGGAAGGGTCCAGAAGCTGGTCAGCCATGGCGGATCTTGCCTTGAATGGACGATATTCATGGGAGTAGTGATGCTGTTCATGTGCTGCTGGACGGTGGTGTTCCGGTTGGCAGGTGTCATGCGGGAATTGGCCGCTGGTTGATGCTCTCCATCGATACAGTACCGTATCGGTAGCGCCATTCGCTAAGCTGTCAGCTTTGGAGTTCGAATCCAGCTTGGGCCAGATGTTTTGATTTGAACATTTTTGATGGGCCGCTCAAAGACGCCTATGAACCTCAAACTCAGTTTGCATAGCTTCTTGGGTCTTGTGAGACATTTTCGAGCTTTTTGCTTGCCTTACAAACCTGGTTTCTGCCTAGGTGGTGGTTGTGTTGTTGTTGTTGCTCCTCCTCGCTGTGGCCGACCCCCTGCTAGCGCCTTTTCAGGCCTTCGTGAACAGAACATCAAAACACCGCCGATTCTGCACTTGATACGAGTCGATGAGCAGCACATTATGATCGATGATCTCCTGTGATATTCGAACTACATCCTACTACGTTGCTTCATGCGAAGTAACGGCAATTTTAGTATGTCTGGTGGTGGTTGCGGAATCTTTAATTTATTGGAACATATTTCATAATAGGAGTTTACCCTCTATCTCAAGTTTCTGGCGCAGTGGTATCTTCTACATTCACTCGCTAATATCGTACAGAAAAAAAAAATTACAAATCCGCCCACGAAGGCAAGGATATTTTACCCATTAGTTTAGTTACTCGGTATTCAACATACCATTAGGCGGGGAGCGAGAGCAGAGAGTGAGAGAGAGAGAGCGCGTGATTTGCCAAAAACCCACTGAGGGACGCTTTAGGATGGTGATGGCGCCAAAACCCACTGGAGGACGCTCTAGGATGGTGAGGACATTAGCTAGCAAACAACCAAAAAAAAAAAAAAAAAAAAAAAAAAAAAAAGCCAATTGAAGAAAAGAAAAAAAGAATAAGGCAAGTCCTCCTCCCACACCACCAGCACCAGAAACTTGAGATCTCTTTTTTTGCCCTTTCGAAGTGTCTAAAAAACTCAACCCGCCGACGCTGACAGTAGCTCCAGCCGCGCTCCTGACAGTGTATGGAGGTGCATTGTTCTCTGCCTTGACTTTTGGTCTTTAGGCTGTATGTTGCCATCTCTGATTCGTTGAGATAACACACTACATACTATAGCTTTGGAGCCCACTTTCATCCCCAATTTCTAACCTTGGTGCTCTCGCTCTACATAACTGCTACACATTCCCGCCTCAACCTACCATCAACGTCGTTGCTCGTGAATCGGATCTCGCGAGTAAATTTCCACCAGGCGAGGTGTCCAAAGATGTGTCATGGAATCAGACAGCCCTAGCAGATCCCCGAAGCCATACCCACCTGGAGGTCTATCGATTATGATGCTCCCGCTGAAGCGATGCGTATTCGTGAATGACGTCCCGGCCAGGAACGGTGGCCCGAATCGATGTGAAGCGAGAAATCTCTACGGCTCAGACTGCAGCTTTTTGTGGCAATCAAGATATACGGAATTGACTCTTCGTAGCAACTATACGCGTCGAAGAGTATTAGATTTGACAGGAGGAATGGTTTCGCACTCGGATTGACGATGTTCTTAGGATCTATCCGGCGAAGGTACCTTCGTTCGTGGCAGCATGACTGCTTTGCAGCAGATATCCTGTCATCGAGGTCACTTTCCTCGGAGATGCGCTATAATGTTTCGCAGATAGGCTCGTAGTTTTGGACCGTCGGATGGCTTAGTGATGAGCAGGATTCACAAAACGCGTTCATCTCGAGGGTCTGGCCCGTTTTCTGAGATTGTAGAATGGCTTGATGAGTAGGAGTTCTGAGCGGCATACTGTTTGGGGAATCGACCGGTGTTTTAGGCACATCGGATAGCATAATGGAGGTATAGATCCTTAAAGAGTATGCTGCCCAGGTAAATCAACCAGTCTTTTACGGTCATAGGATAGGAGGAGGATGATGAGCAGATGTTCGGGGAATCATCAACCCGTGGCTCGAAGATCTCTCAGGAGTTTAGGATCTAGGAGTAGGAGGATTTGGGTGAAGAAGGGCGTTGGAAGGCCGATGAGGCGATGTGGTTTTATAGAAGGATGGGATCATGGTAAGGCAAGACTTTCACGGCGAGAGAGATCGACGAATTTCATTGCGACTTGACGGCTATAGAACAATAGCGGTTCTTTGGAATCGGTTATGTTATCCTTGAGCATGTTCCTCGTCACCCAGTCTGCGTCCGTCGTCCTGGCCGCCGTAGACACCTCCATCTAGGATCCATGCTTCGTTGTCATCGTTGTCGTCTTGCACTCTTCGCCATGCGCTCTTGCGGGGCTGGTTCTCCTTGTTTTCCTTCTCCATGTCGGTGTCTTTATCTTTGCCCTTCCATACAGGTCTGATAAGACTGCCTAGTAAAGGGTTTCTGCTAAACCCCCCACCACCATCACCCCCTCCACCCACATGCGCCTCCCCTTGGTCAGCGACCACTTCATCCTCCACTTCATCCCCACCACTAGCTCTCGGTCTCTCCACCTCGCCCATCCTCTTCACAACCTTCCCGCCAACCAGATCAACACTAAGAACTACCCTCCTCTTCTCATATTCCGGCTTCGCATTCCACTCCTGCTCTCGCAATACCTTCTGCTGCCTCTTCAACTGCGCCGCTCGCTCCACAGGAGAAGACCACATGCTGAGGCCTGAGGTGGGCGTTTCAAAGTCGGCGGCTTCGTCGATGATGTGAGTGCGACGCGCGTTTTCGGCTTGGTAGGCTAGGAGCTTGTCGCGGTGTTGTTTAGCTAGGTCAAGGGTATTGTCTGCGGTAGAGGATGATGGCGAGGCTGCACCGCTGGAGGCGTTGGTGAAAGGGCGGGAGGTAGAAGCTAGGTTCGGCCGGCGGTGGGATGCGTTGTTTAGATTCATCTTCTCCTGCCCGCGTTCTTGGCGCAGCGAGTCAATCATGGCGCTTATTTCTTGGGAGGAAAGGAGTGGATGCCCGCAGAATGTGCAAGGGCCGATGCCTTCTTTCACGCAGACTATCTTTCCGCAATTGAGACAGTTGGGAGCGGCGACGAGGAGGGGATGTCGTGTTGCAAGACAGGTGCAGCGGCGGGATGAGGGATCGGCGGAGAGGGAGGGATTGGTTTGCAGCTCAAGGGTGCGAATGGCGGAGTCCTGTTGGTGGTTAGTAAGGGCCATTTGAAAAGGAGGGGGAAAGGGCGGCGTACGAGGTCTTGGAGGGTTGTGGATGCGCCGTGCATCGAGTTGCCGCCTGCGACATTGATCTTGGTTTTGGGAGCGGGTGAAGAAGTTCTGGAGGATGTACGAGAACCTGAGCGGATGTTGGGGAGGTCCGAGATAAGATGTCCTGTTGCTGAAGGTGGGGGTTTGGCAGCTGGGGTAGAGGTTGCTGATGCGACTTTGGGCAATTGGCGTGCGTCCGGCTGATCTGAGAGAGCCAAAGTCTTTGCAAGAGCAGGCTCTGGCCGTGAACGCTTGCTACCGCCCATGTAGTCCTCCTCATCCCTTTTCTGGTATGCGCGAAGCGTGTTCCCATAGTCCTCTGGCTGCCGTGGAGGTGGAAGCTTGTTAAGAGGGGCCTTCTTCTTTCGTGGTTTGCGAGCACCCTCGGGCGGAACTGGGGCTGGGGCTGGGGCTGGATCTAGAGCTGGAGTGGCTGTATTTGGGGCGTCTCTGCGTGCATTGAAGGAGCTTATGAATTCGAGAGCTTTGGGTGAGTCTCCCAAAAAGTTCTTGAGATGATCGGCGGCTGCATCCTTTGGAAGCGCGGAGGTATAGTCGATGATCTGTTTCAAGGAGCCTTGATCAAGAGGGAGAAGGTGAGAGAGCTGAGTCGTTGCCCAAGTAGAGTGAGCCATACTGAACTGAAAGCAAGGGTATGACGAAATACTTGAGAGCTGAAGGTGATGTTCAAAATATCGTGGTCTGTCGGACAAGGATGACATGCATGACATGACAACGGGATCGACTCAGGGATCTTTCACGCTAGGCAGGGCTGGCGCTGTACTTGAGCGACAACGAGGTTTCATGATCCATCATTGGCACATGACGCTCTTGCGGTCTTGCTAATCATCAAACATCCCTCATTGCTTGTTGCATTGCAGCGTCATGGATACCTCCATGCTCCGTTAAATCCGACCAGTACCTGAGACCATTGAATGCACTTCAGACTCCCTGCGACCATGAATCCTTTATGGGAAATCATCAACACACGGCAAGAGAGTTTCTCGATCAATCCAATACCCGGGCAAGTGCTTGCTTTAGTCCACTCAACTATCTAGCAGCTACTACTCTTAATCCAACTGGAATTATCTCATCTATATGGGAGGCAATTCTCAATCCACTCAGTCAGGTCACCTAACGCATTCTGATCTCCCTGAACCATGCAAATGTGCTGCTTGTTTTCCTTTATTCTGCTTGTTCATCAGAATAATCGAGGCGTATTGAAGACATGCTGCCCTGGCTCATTTGCCTTGCTTTGCAAAAGACATTGCCCTTACTTGATCCTCTCCTTTCCTTCTACTCTGAACAAAAGCGAAAAGCCGCGGTGTGCTCTGGTCTGCCATGTGGTCCCTACACAAAACACTATGTTTGCGGTGTCTTTAACGACGAGGGCACTATCTGAAAGTGACCGCCCATCGGTGAATAAAGACGCACAATACGTTGGAACCTCGCACTTGTTCGAGGACCCAACGCTCGGTCGATCCGTAGCATTCGAGTGTAGACCTCTAGAGCCTGTAGTACCCCAAAGCTTACGGTTCAGGTATCCATCGATCATGCTGTTTTGTAGTTTTGTACTTCTTGCTTTCCTTGAGCTGCGAGCTTTATCTGACAAATCTGCTCAAGGATGTCCGTCACGGATCATCAAAGAATGGAATCAACACAAAAAGCCGAACATGGAAATAGCAAGATGTCAAAGGCACCGCGGAGATGGTTAAAGACTTTAACAAAAACCCTTGTTCGGCCTTCCTTTGTTAAGTTTTGTACTTTTGACACATTTATGAAGCAGAACTCCATGGTGCGCATCAAAGCCTTCTTCAATGGGGGTTGCTAGCTCTGGTTCCCTTGTTCTAGCTTTGACTGTTGCAATCGCGCGCATACAAATGGACGGTCTGCGCTCGAGAAAGACGACTTCTCGAACATACACACCCACAAGCATTTACAGTCAACCACCACATTTCATCCTATTCTTCTAGAAGTCATTAAAATTCACACCAAGCCGTCAAGATGCATACTTCCGTCGTCTCAGCACTCCTCTTTGCCGCGTGTGCCTTTTCCCTTCCCGCAGAGCAAAAGAAGAGCGTTGTCGCTCGCACAGCTCCAGCCACTCCGCTGCTAATCAGGGGGGTAAGTAATGTTCTCGCTTACCAACAAAGAACTGATACTGATTCAAGAATCAATAGTGGAATGTCACCGACCCGACCTGCAATCTGGACAACATTCATGCCCTGGGATTCATGGGTCCCAACGAGGACACCTGGGGCAACGGAGGTTGGTACACCACCTACTCCTTGAGTCGCGCTTTAGCCGCCAACGAGACACTCAATCTATTCGCCTCAGCTGGTGGTAACAACTGTGGCACATTCTTGTACTCTGTCCCTGCCGGTACGGCAAATGGCTGTTATGAGCTTGGCGACAATCAGGAATTCTCTTGTATGCAGATGGGTACCCCAGCATAAGTGCCTGGCACACGCGGTGGAGATTGTAATGGCAGTTGTAAGTAGAGCGGGAGCGGGAGCGACTTCGTCTTTTTGGTTTGTTTTCATCTGCTTTTTAGCCGGCAGTCGAAGGGGGACGCTCCTTGGCCATACACGCTTTGTTTTTCGTGGCGCTTTTTTTGATTTATGCTAGTAATGATGTCCGACAAACTCAAGAGCAGCAAAAGTGATGAGAGCGTGTCAAACCAGGACGTATAAAACAAACCTCCATCTTAAACCAACCTACCCCAACACTACTGCCTTCAACCACTATCTATCGTCCGCTCTGTAGGCACTTCCAGCTGTCGCTGCTAGGGGGTACAGCTAGGGCTACTAAATTCATCACTGTACTTGCCGGTCGCGTGAGTTGACAGATCTGGGATACCGAGGTAGATAGCCATTGCAATCGCTTTCGAGAGATTAGCAAGGATACTCCAAGATGGGATCGGTGGGTCTGAGCTTAGAATAAGGATCTTGACATACGATGCTAGGATTTGCGTTCCCATCGTAACTCATCTTGCTCACCTTTCAGGCCCACCTGCATCACCCTCGACTCACCTTTGAAGGGTGATTATCAGGGCGGCGAGAGGCACTTTCCTCGATGCCCGCAGGGGGAAAAGGCGACCCATACAAAATCTCCCATATAAATCTCCCATACAAATCTCTCACCAGTTTCTCCCATACAAATTTCTCCCATATAAATCTCCCATACAAATCTCTCACCAGAATCTCCCATACAAATTTCTCCCATACAAATCTCCCACCAGAATCTCCCATACAAATCTCCCACCAAAATCTCCCATACAAAATCTCCCATACAAATCTCCCACCAATTTCTCCCATACAAATCTCTCACCAGTTACTCCCATACAAATCTCCCATATAAATCTCCCATACAAATCTCCCACCAAATCTCCCATACAAATCTCCCATCTATTTCTCCCATAATCAAATCTCCCTACAAATCTCCCATACAAATCTCCCATACAAATCTCCCATATAAATCTCCCATACAAATCTCCCATACAAATCTCCCATACAAATCTCTCACCAGAATCTCCCATACAAATCTCCCATACAAATCTCCCATACAAATCTCCCACCAATTTCTCCCATACAAATCTCCCACCAGTTTCTCCCATACAAATCTCCCATACAAATCTCCCATACAAATCTCCCATACAAGATCTCCCATACAAATCTCCCATACAAATCTCCCATACAAATCTCCCATACAAATCTCCCATACAAATCTCCCATACAAATCTCCCATACAAATCTCCCATACAAATCTCCCACCTATTTCTCCCATACAAATCTCCCATACAAATCTCCCACCTATTTCTCCCATACAAATCTCCCACCTATTTCTCCCATACAAATCTCCCATACAAATCTCCCATACAATTCCTATACAAATCTCCCATACAAATCTCCCTACAAATTTCTCCCATACAAATCTCCCATACAAATCTCTCACCAGTTTCTCCCATACAAATCTCCCATACAAATCTCTCACCAGTTTCTCCCATACAAATCTCCTATACAAATCTCCCATACAAATCTCCCATCAGAATCTCCCATACAAATCTCCCTCATCCATCTCCCATACAAATCTCCCACCTATTTCTCCCACCTATTTCTCCCATACAAATCTCCCATACAAATCTCCCACCTATTTCTCCCATACAAATCTCCCACCTATTTCTCCCATACAAATCTCCCACCTATTTCTCCCATACAAATCTCCCATCCAAATCTCCCACCAAATCTCCCATACAAATCTCCCATACAAATCTCCCATACAAATCTCCCATACAAATCTCCCATACAAATCTCCCATACAAATCTCCCACCAATTTCTCCCATACAAATCTCCCATACAAATCTCCCACCAAAATCTCCCATACAAATCTCCCATACAAATCTCCCATACAAATCTCCCACCTATTTCTCCCATACAAATCTCCCATACAAATCTCCCATACAAATCTCCCACCAATTTCTCCCATACAAATCTCCCATACAAATCTCCCATACAAATCTCCCACCAAAATCTCCCATACAAATCTCCCATACAAATTTCTCCCATACAAAATTATCTCCCATACAAATCTCCCACCAATTTCTCCCACCAGAATCTCCCACCAGAATCTCCCACCAATTTCTCCCATACAAAATCTCCCATACAAATCTCCCCGCAGGGGGAAACGGCGACCCAGACAAAGTCTCCTATACAAATCTCCCATGCGTTCTACGCCTTAGCTGGGATTAACCGAAGCGGAACGTCATCTCTTCATCGGAGCAAGTTCGGGGGAGAAGGTTTATTGTTCCGAGAAGACTGTATTAACGAGAGTAGCAGCAAGCGTTGATGTAGCGACAGCGGCGCCAAAAGCGTGCAATTGCTTACCTGTCTGCTAGGGTTTGTGCGGTGCGGCGAGCGACAATCAATGCATTCACCGGCGATCCAGTCGACCTGATGAGGCTTCTCCAAGTCGGTCAGCTATGTCTACGCACTTTAAAGGCTCCAGCGACCCGATGGCACTCATGCAAAGTGGCGAAGATGGTCACGTGCAAACGGACGACTTACCGCGAGTAATCCACCCCACATCCATTTCCAATGATCAGCTTTGGCGTCCGTCACGGCTTGCTAAAGGCTGCTGGGCCTGTATCCTGCGCCCGGGTGGAGGAGGAAGCGGCGCTGCGGAAGGCGGCTCTCTTCTTCAATCTCTGCGACGCGGCGACGCGCATTGGTGGGTTTCCTCCATTCTCACATGCTACTTGATGAGGCGCGGGCGAGGAGAGAGGGGGGGGAGGTGGGGAGGGAGTGGTGGGTTTCGCAATGTTGATGCTTTTTAGCTACGTGTATGAATGGGGGTTTTTGTATCGTCTGGAGCCGGAATTGAGCGATGGGGATATCCAACGACTTTCTTCTTTCTCTTTTCGTTGTTTTAGACGAATATTAGACGATGTCTTGAACGTGGAATACTATACTTTGAGATCTATGACCGACGGAGTTATGTCACTGAGAAACGCGAAAGAATGCATTTTCGATTCGAGTAGAACAATGCCTTCGGTCTAGAAACCTACTTAATCGGTTCCCGCATATAATCATCAAGCAGTAGTTGATATCATCACTAACACTATCTCCTCTGAGCTTGCCCAACAGCCCATCGCCACTCCAAAGAATTCCAAGCGACCTGATCCCACAATCTCGAAATCCTCAGCGAAGAACCTCCCTTCGAGCTCCAATCCCACACATCGATAAACAACCCCATCAATCAAATCACCGCCAACAAACCCCCCACACCCAACGCAAACCCACCCTCCTCCGTCACCATCTCCCTCACTCCATCCAACAACAGCTGTACCAGCATCCCCAGCTATGTCGCAACGCCCCCCTCGCGCAGTCAACCTCGTCAAAAGCTCACGAGACCTGACTGCTAGGCCCCCGGCTTGGAATCTCTCGTCGATGATGACCGTTTCATGAGATTGCTAGCGTTTAGTTTACCTACGGCACCTGCATGCGATCCCCCCCAACTGCATCTGGACGCAACGCTTCCACAGTACGACAACTTGCGGCACCCGCGCGTCGGGGCGTTGTTGATCGGAGTGGATGTGGAATCGCTAGATAGATAGATAGACAGATCGCTCCACCGTGACCGGGCGTGAGTGCATGGTGGGTTTTGGGTTCGGGCGGACTTGCTGGATTAGCGGCCGAGGTGGTGGGGTGGGGATGCGGACTTTGAAGATGAGGAGGCGGTGGATGAGGGGGGGTTCGGTGCGGATGCTGGTGATGGCGGCTTCGAGGGTTGGGTGTCTGGGGGGTTGGTTGGGAGGGGGGGAGGTTGGAGTTTACATATGATGACGACTGTTCTGTTGGTCCTGTCGATGGGGCTTGCTGGGATCGCGGAGGCGGTGGGGGGCTGGTTGGGAATGATGGGTTGAGGGAGGAGTGGAGCGGCGGGTTTGGGAAGGGGTTGACGGAGTAGATGCTGCGGGTGGTTGCTGCTCCGAAGGATTGGAATGGGATGGGATGTTTGCGCAATGAGGTTTGGTTTTGCCGTTGGGTTGGTTTTGATGTTGATGATGGCGACGGCGGTGTTGTTGTAGGAAGTTCTACGTACCGTTGGGGTTGGGGCGAAGGGTGGGGAGATTTGTGTTTGAGATTATGATGGGAGCATTGGATCGGGTGGTGTTGGTGGTGATGAGAGGTTTGTTGAGAGGAGGATTGATTGTTAGGGTTGGGTATTTGCTTGGATATGCGAGAAGGCTGGAGCTGTTTATGAAGGCTTGTCTGCTTGAAGTCATCTGCAATGTGTGTGCTTCTTTCAGGACAATGGAGTCTCATCTGAACGAACCGAGCATGCTATTTTTCAGTATTCTTCATTGCGACGGCACTGTCTGTTGCCTTTTGACGTCTTGCTAGACATCGTTTCTTGGCTTACTTTAGTAACTTTATTGTGGAGTAAGGTACATGCTCTTTCAGCTGCTGACAATTCAGGCGCAAATGGTCATTGCTAGTCAATGAACGGCAGAGACGTAGTTTGAAGCTTTGGTGCGTGCGCATGATGATATTCCAGCGGCTGAAGAAAAGAAGGAGGAGACTCTCAAGACATATTTAGGTAATCTGCACGGCAGCATTTCTTCCTACCATGGGAGATAATATTACTTCAACATCAACTCTGGAATCCTGTATCAGTCTTTCGAAAAAAATGATCGAGAAGCGCTTTGGCAATCCGGTCTTCACGAGATATCTAATTCAAAGATCTTGTACACGCCTACCAAATCGAGATTACCAAATTCTAAAAGCTTAGAAATAGGTGCTGGGAACGTTGAAAAAGCTATCCCTATTGTGCGGAGATTAGAGAATGTGGCCAGTTTGGACCTTCAACCTGCGAATCCAGCCAAGTCCAACACTATCATAACCATGAACAATTCATCAGAAGATCTTGAAAGGTTCCTCATGCTCAATAGGACGATGCCAGTTCAAAGTTGCCCTGACATCCGGGTCCTCATCCTAGGCGTCCTTGTCGGTACTTACGATGCGGTAAGGAGGCGAGAGACGGTACTGCAATCCCTTTTTGAAACCCTCTAATTATCACAGCGTCAGTATTTGCCCATGAAGAATTACATTAAGGGATAGAACTCTTGACGATGTTTGCATGTAGATTTGACGGATAGAAACCAAACTCACGAGTCAAAAGCTTCACAATTTCGAAGATCGAAGCGGCCCAGACGGTGATTGCAACTATCTGGCCAAACGTTCCAGATTTATTATGCTACTATCGTTGGGGAGGATAGCTTTTCCAGGAAGAGGCCAAAAAAGAACAAGAACCAGATGCAGTACATCGTTTCGGATACCGCGTTCGTAAAGCTTCGTGCGTCGGTCACGCCAATTGAAGCAAGAGCGCGTGCAAAACTAAAGCAGCGTTGATTGTGCTTGGCCGGTCGGAGGGCACTCTCTAGCTGCTTTAGATTCCCTTTCATAAAACGTTGAATGATTTGAGCCTCCTGCACCCCACAGCGATCGAATATTAGAATTGCGACAACAAAAAGTGTAAAGCGCGGTATGCCTCCGATGCCTCTCTGTGCTATACTTAAAGAGGTGATATCTTGATACGTTCGCAAACAAAATACAGAAGGGTCTCTGTCTCCGTAGTGCGAGTAGAGATGGTTTGTGGCGGTCTGGAGCTGGTGACAATCAGCCGGCGAGGGGCTGAAATTGCCAGTGTAGTAGAAAGTAGCGACTGACAAGGTGGCAGTGTCGGTGGAGCGGATCGGCAGATACCATGAATGCATCCCACCCGTGTGCAGGCTCAATAAGGTGAATGTGACGGGAAGTAGGCCGCTAACAGAAATGAGTCCGATGAGGCTGTAGTTGCTGTACAGGCCTTGAAAGGAGGTCGTGCCCTGATTCAAGGTACCCTGGTTGACCGGGACCTGGGCTGCAATGTCAATCGCGAGCATGAAGAAGCATCGAGCCTTCTGAAATTCGAGTAATCTTGCAAACGTGTCTGCACATCCTGAGCCCGAGACTTGGTTTTGGACCAAGCAGAGGGCCATATTAGACACAGCGGCGGGAGCAGTAGGAGGCATGTTTGATAGAAGTGAGTGTGACGTAGTTTCAGCAGCACGAAAGATCCGAGCACGATACCGCTTTGCAGACAGTATGAGATGTAGACCTAGTCCAACTTCAACAAGCGTTTCGATTATGAGGATTCGATAACGGAGGATGACTTACCCCAATACCACCGACGTCTGTTTAGTGGGGCGGGTACGCTGGTAGAGCAGATAGAGCTGAAGCAAGAGGCATGGGTAGACTCTACGACTCCTCGAACATATGTCCATGGACAGGCGTTATAACCACACCCAGCATTTGAGTCGCAAAACTGATTCAGACAACTGGAGATGCTGCCGTATATATTTTCGGCCAGATCTTGGAAGTCTGTATCATTGACATCGATGTGGAAAGCCTCCAACTGGTCGGCAGAGTTTTCATCAAGATGACCAATAGAGCCACTACTGATGGGGGCGAGCGAGGCCATCAGCATGCAATTTTGCACCGTGTACGGGTCAGAGAAAATCTGGCTGTTGTTCCGACAGGCTTTCGTACAGTCGTTATCCAGCGGCGTATTTGGCACCGCATAGTTGCAGCCGGCAGTGAAAAGAAGGCCTCGGCCGTACGGGCTGTAACTGTACTGGGCTTCAATGTATCTGCCTGCATATGCAGATTCCGCATCTTGGAAGCTGAAGAGTGGACTTCCATCGCCAGGTTGTTGAACATCGCTTGGCACTTGACCAGCAGTGCCTTTTTCGTTGTTAAAGATACTGATGATCAATGCCATGACAGTACGACTATCGCATCTTAAGCTCCTACGGCGGATGGCAGTAACCAGCAAAAGAGCCTCTTCTTTCAAAATACCTACTCTCGTGCTGCTGAAATCTGCCGCTGAGACGGCGATTCTGTATTGTTATCTAGCACATTTAGCACTGACAACTAGCACTTCTAGCGCTACAGCGTGTGACAAATCCTAGCAGTGTCTTCGCGTCGCCATCTGGTCACCTCACCACCTAGAGTTATACTGTAACGGCATCTACCACTGATGCAATTGATCCATATCACCAACATCAGTGCTGCCGTCCCAAATAGGCAGATATGGCTCTTGTACACACTGACCGCGGCGCCATTTCGCATCGTCGGACTGCAGCACAGAGCCATCCTAATTATCGGCGATAACATCCACTGATTTCTCAGGATCAATTGGTGATATCTTTTCAGGAAGGGTGTGCTCTTGTCATTGGTCGGGACATGATATCCTGAGAAACGATTGATTGAGTCGCAAGCGAGGTCACGGAGCGAGATATACTCAGAGTCGACAGCTGCGTAATCAGTGGGGAGCTGATATGCTTGTCTTTACTGCGCATCGAGTGATCTTCTGAATCAGTCGCTTTCTGAGCAACTGACGGCTTGGAGATGTATAGCTTACATATTCATCGGGGTCACATGGTAGAGGGATACTACAAGAAGAGGTAATACCTAGACTATTTCGTCGGCCTGTACTGGCAGTTGATATCTGTTATGCACAACAGTACTTCAGGACCACTTAAGAAAGATACCCTCTTGTCGTAAATGGCCAACGAGCTCGCGCCTGTGTGCAATGTGTTTGCATATTCTCAGACTGTGGACTTGCCTGAATATTCAGCGAGAGCTGGAGGAGCATGTCAATGGACAAATACAACTGAATCCGCTCAGAGATCAAGCTCGTAATGGGTGTTCTCCCCACGTAAACATAAGCCCCGTCTCAGTATTCAGTCGTTCCGAGGACTGTGCTATGGGCCAAAAGAGATTCTGGAAAATCTGATGGACTTGATAGGGCGACCAGGTGGGGATGCCAAGACTCTAAATCCGCACTCAGCCCTACATGTACCACCAGTAAGGTACTGCTACGAAGCAACCGGGTGACGGAAAAGCCTAGACACTAAGCGAATGGATATTACGGCCTTCCCCAGCAAATTTCTATGCGCAAGTATCATGTTTCTCCATTAATAGCCTGTCATTCGTCCATCACCGTCTAGAACAGCCTAGATTCTTTCAGGCATACTAATTACACAATCATTCATAAACTAAGAGGGGGAAATATGGATGTGAAATTGTTCAACAACGGATTGAGGATTTAGCGCTTTGATAGCTGCTCGGCTCGTGATACGAAAGACACATAATTTCCCTACTCAAGCCGTGTTTCCCCTTAAAAGCCATGATCTGTATCGACAGACAAGGGAAGGCTGACAAGTGCACAAGCAAATGAAAAGATGAGCACAAGATCACTCGTGAAAGGGGAGTCTCACGTGTCACCAAAATGGAGATGCTGGAAGGCCATACGAAAGCAGGCAAGCCAGGTCCTTATATACAATGACAGACAGAGTCATTGAGGCAGATAACGTTCGTGGTGGACGACCCTTTACTACGACTACTGCCACATCAGGGCTAGCGACGCCTGACAAGCCGGCCCCACATTACGACGGCAACCTCAAAACGTAAATTATGAAGCTTATGAGTTCCGAACGACTGTTCCTGCTCCTGCTCCGAACCCACGGCAGCATCGTGACTCGTGAGCTGGGAAAACAGCTGGCGATTGGGCTGGAATAGCTCATCTCATTCAGTTCAAAGGGAACGGCGATAGGACGACAGCTAGTGGACTACTCCATGTGCCCGATAACACTTTGCAAGTGCGAGCATAGTACTCCCCGTACTCATACTGATACTTTGAGACTTGAGAATCCACAGTCTCATCCTGATGACAATGTAGTCAAACCAGTCCTGCTGATGGACCCCGCTTGGCTTTCCCAGTTCTTGAAACCCAAAAAGTGATGACAATACGTGGGCGAGAGGCTGATGGGTGGATACCGGCACGGAAATGAGGAGTCGCGAAAAGCTTACTTTTGGCAGGGCGTCAGGGTCTCCCACTTTTCCCCGGAATCCCGTGCTTGGAAGGCGCTAAGATTAAAGCCTGGTTAGATTAATAGATGGTCTAGTCTATTGATGCCTTCTCGCTTAGAGACAAAGTATTTTCTAAGGCCAATTAGGTTGCATTAGGGCATTTTCAGGGCCTCGTCATTCGTCAATGGAATGGCTTGCCTAGGGCCAGCATTCAATTGCTTCGACGTCTTTCTCGATGCGAAGGACTCGTTCATTCGCATCGACGCAATGCAGGTCTGACACTACCTCCGGAACCCACCTTTCGTGATATCGGCATGAATATGCCTGTCGCTGCATGAATCTTCCCCGCCTGGAAGTCGCAGCTTCTCTTGGGCTAAAGTGTTTGACAATGGACACAGACTAATAATCTTGAACCTGTTCGGGAACCTTGCATATTTCTCTATCCCTTGCATATTCGCTTGGTTCCAAGGCTAAAAGCCACCATGAATCCACGATGACGGGTGGCGCTGCGGCGTAGCTCAGGAACTTCCACTGCAAAGTGCAAACGAGTCCGTGCAGCCATGTGCTTTACAAACCTTACTTGTATCTTTAAAGCTAAACCCGCCATGTGCCATATTCCTCTTTCACTTGCTCCCCATCTTTTATCTTTTTCAAGAACACCATTGCTTTCGCTTCCCCCTTTCCCTTGCATTCTTCTTCCGACCCTCATCCTCAATTGTCTTCTATGCGTTGTCATGGCCGATCATTTTGAAGGACTCATTCCGCCAGCGGACCGTGGCCATGCAGAAACCGGAGCTATTTACGGTGCCGTCATTACTGTCACCGTCCTTGCTACCATAGCTGTCATTTTTCGTTTTGTAGCAAGAAGGAAGTCGGAGGCTTCCATCTCCTACGAGTACGTATTTCTGGACTCCATGTTTTCTCTTTACACCGGAATTGGAGTGTTGGAGTCTCCATGCTCGACTCATCTTCCGAGCCTTGCTATTTCCTCTCACTTAGGCAATACTGACGGCGAAATTGTAACCCAGTGACTATTCGATTGTGCTCGCACTGGTGAATAAAACCTCTCTCACCCATCGGCATCTTTGGATCAATCTTCTAATTGCGTGACCAGGTGTTTCTCTACGGCCTCAATGTAGACACAATCATTGCTGCGGCGCTATGGGGACTCGGGAAACACTTCTTCACCTTGTCAAAGGATCAACTCCTCCATTTTCAAAAAGTGAGTATCATCTCATGCTGCCGGAACGGTCGACAATCACGCTCATACGGATGATTGCTAGAACGGCCTGGCAAGTCTCGCCCTATACTTTACCACAAACGCAACGACCAAAATGTCCCTCCTCCTGCTTTACTACCGTCTCTTCTCTCCCTCGCGTCGTTTTCGAATCGCCGTCTACACCGCCGCCGTCGTCGTCGTCGCCTGGTGGATGGCTGTCTTGTTCGCTGATATCTTTCAATGCGTCCCAGTCCACGCTTTCTGGACCTTTCACGTAAAGAATGCCAACACGGCAAGATGCATGGACACTTTCACCTTCTCCATCGGCACGGGTGTCAGTAACCTTGTCACCGATATCATGGTCCTGTGCCTGCCCATGCCTATGGTTTGGTCACTAAGAACGAACCGTGCGCAGAAGATTTCGTTGACCGGGGTTTTTCTGCTTGGGTTTTTGTAAGTCGTTCACTTTTCGAGAAGCCTCCAGCAACACACTCCGACATCGATCGATGACCTTCCTGATTGTATCAGCCTCGCTGACAACGTTCCCCCCCCCTCCAAAAGCGTCTGCGCCATCTCCATCGTCCGCATTGTCAAATTGGTTGCCGCGGGACGCTTAGACCCCACCTACAGTCTCGGAATCGCCTTCACATGGTCCTCCGTCGAGCCGAGCGTCGGCATCATCTCCGCCTGCATTCCAATCATGCGTAAGTTCTTCCCCCCCCCGGCCCCATCTTCATCCCGTGTTATACACCCATCCACAACAACAACCCTCATCAATCCATCCCTCCATCCATCCATCCGCCCCCGAATCTCCACCCTCCCAACATCAGCCGCTAACCTCCCATCCAGGCTCCCTCTTCAGCCACCGCCTCTTCTCCCCCGGCCTCCCCCCCCACCCCCGATCCAACCAGACCCCCAGCGCCAAAAAGACCCCCATGACCACCACCACCTCCTCCTCCCATCCCGCAAGCGCCACCGTCCCCTCGCCCGTCCACGGCCACTTCACCCGCCTCGACGGCCCCACCTACCGCGACCAGCTCGAGTCGTCCTACCGCGACCGATGGGGCCTGGCGTCCAGTGGCCGCACCGACGACGGCGGTGGTGGCGGTGGGGCGGGGTCCGGCGATGGCAACGGTGGCGCGCCCGTCGCCAACGGTAGCTACGGCGATCGCAAAGGCGTCAGTTGGCTCATGTACGGGCCCGGCAAGGGCGATGCGGCGGCCTTGGAGGAGGGAGGCGGGGTCCAGGAGCCGGGGTTCCAGCTGCGCCAGTGGCCGCGGGGGAGGGAGGGACCGCATTGGAGGGGGGGGTGAGGATGAGTGGATGGGGTTTCTGGTTCTGGTTCGGTTCGGTTCGATCGGGTTGGCTTGCTGCGTTGGCGTTGGCGTTGGCGGTCGTGGATGCGGGGGCGTTTGGGTGGGAGGTTTTTTTTTTTTGGGGGGGATTTTGGTTTGGAGAGGGGGGAGGGGGGGGGGTGTCGGGTGATGTACGGCACTCGTGGGATAATGGGTGTGGGGTGGGGTTGGGGGGTTTGGTTCAAGCAAGCATGGCGTGGTGATGGTGATGGGGATTGACCTCCTTTTTGGAAAGGTGGGGATTGGGAATGCCTATTTCATCCTGCGCGACGCATGTATATATTATGGAGGCGAAGATCGATAGAGGATGCCTCACGGCTCGGGGATGTATACCCCTGATTGCATAATCCTTGAGAAAAAAAAAAGTCTGCCTAATTCTGGCACACCCTAAAATTAAAAATCAAAATCTCAACCACTATAATATAACGAAATATTTAAATCTTTTAAAACCTTTATAATCTGATCTATACTACTATATTCATTAAATTTTAGTAACCTTTCTAGATTATAATAAATTATAGTTGTTGAAGATATATAGAAAAGTTGAAATTTTAGATTTTCGATTTTGAGGGTGCCGATTTTCTTTTTGGTTTCTCAAGGATTATGCAATCAGGGGTAACGAACGTCCTTGCTTTTTTTTGTTTTCTGTAGTCCTTGCATAATTATTATTATGTTACCTATATTATGTATGTAGCACTCGACTCTCGATGAGGAGGAGGAGGAGGAGGAGGAGGAGGAGGAGCGGAGGGATTAGGGATTACATTGACGGATCTCGATCATGGATCCAGACGTGCTATCCTTGCTGACTGCGACTTTTCCCCCGTACCCCTAGATGTAGATACGGGGTACTCTGCTCGATTCTATTTACACTCTTTGTTACACTCTTTCCTTTCCTTTCCTTTCCTTTCCTTTCCTTCCTTCCCTTCCCTTTCCTTCCCTTCCCTTCCCTTCCCTTCCCTCCCCTTCCCTTCTCCGCGACCTATCCCCCCAACATCTCCATCGACTCTTTGCCAAACCACCCTTTATCATCTCGAACGCTGGACCATCTAGCTCGCAGGCGCCCCATGCAAGATCCTCGAAATTGCCGTATCGTTGTTACCTTCCCGCTCCATGAGCAATCTCTCTCGGTCCTCAGCCCCGTCCTCATTCAGGAATCCATCCATCCCAGGTAGCAGCACCGGATTATCACACGACGCAGTACAGCCGACTGAGCATCGCCGCACCACTTAAAAGACTCTTTCTCAACGCAATCCGGTCCGCGCCTCCGAAGGAAACTTGGGGATTACTATCGGGCCTTGTTTGCGTTGTGTTTGATGCGCTGTTGGTTTCTGAGTAGCTAACCCCCCCCCAGTCCTCCTCTTGGCGAAGCAGTCTCAACGCTCGGTAACGATATGGTGGTCGTCCCGTTCACAAACCCATTGGCACCCAGCGACATGAGTGTGCCGGAGACAGTGATGGCGGGCGCGTTAGATGTGGGCGTCACGCCTGCGACCGCGATGGCGCCGGATGGGAGGGCTGTGAAGGTTTAGCCTAGGGTTGTGCAGACTGAGGACGATGGGGAGGAGGGGAGGAGGAGGGGGATTGTTGATGTGCCGGCTACGAAACCATTGGGTCCGAATGATAGCAGGGAGGAGGAGACTGTGATGGTGGGCGCGTTGGCTGTTAGGGTGGTACCTGCGACGACTATGCCGCTCGGGAGGAGAGTGAGAAGATGGCCGGCAGCAGTGGTGATGATTGCTGGCAGTGCAGGATTGGGTGGGGAGATGGGGATGGTACCGGAGCCTATGTGCAGGGCTGAGGAACCAAGAGAGACAATGGTGCTGTCGGCTGCGAAGCCAGGGTCTCCGGGTGCGTGGGTGGTGCCGGCGGCGAGATACCGGGATGAGGAGAGGGTGATGGTTTGGCTGCCGACTGTGGAGTAGGACAGTGGGACTGGAGGTGCGTGGGGGAGGATGTTGTGGATGGTTGATGTGCCGAGGATGAGGTCGCCGTTGGTGTGGAGGGCGATGTGTGTGCTGGATACGGTCGTCGGAGATGCGCCAGCGCTGACGGGTTGACCATCGACCATGACTACGCTGGGCCGAGACGGGGCGATTTGAATGCTGTGGCCTGCAACCGTGGTGACAAAGAGCGCTTGTGCCGGGGCTGGAGAATCAAAGGGAAGAACGTTGTGAACCGCAGAAGTACCCAGAGCGAGGTCACCATTGGTGTGAAGAGCGATTTGTGTACTCGAAACAGTTGTTGTATCGTGTCCGGCTGTGATGGACTGACCATCGACGAGGACCACACCTACAATAGATTGAGATGCAGGTACTTGGATGCTATGGCCAGCGATAGTGGTTACGGAGGGTGCTAGTGCCGGAGCAGGCTCAGCAGGTTGCGAGTCCATGTTTTGAGATTCACTTTCGTCTGCAGGGTCACTCTTGGGGTTTTGAGGCACAATGGATGAATCGCTGTTGAATGAATCCTTCGCAGACGCTGGGTCGTTCGCAGGCTTTGGCTTCACATTTGCAGGGTCACTGTCCGTATTCAGATCACCGCTAGCTGAGTCCTTGGCAGGCGCAGGAGTCGCAGCGGCAGGATCAATGTTGGCTTGTGGATCGTTGGCGGCTGAATCCTTCGCAGGCGCTGGGTCGTTCGAACTGCCACTTGGTGGATCACCTTCTGGTGAGCTGACCGGCGCAGGTATACTTGGCGCGGGCGTCGGCGTAGGGGTAGGCTTCGCAGCTTGGGATGCTGGAGCAGCAACAGCAGCAGCCGCTGGAGCGCCCGAATTTGGCATTGGGGCTGGTGGCGCAGGACCTAAAGCCTTCCCCGGAACCAGAGCCCGGGGAGGGTCATACATCGCAATCTGTTGATCAGACCTCGCCCAAGCCGGATCCACCAGTCCTAGCGCCGGCGAATCTTGGAGGAGCGGGTAGCAATGTTTGAGGGTGTACATCCAGTTCTGCCACACTTCGTTGCCATCAGACCAGCTGGGGTTATGGAAAGGGAGGCCAGTGCAGTTCGATATCAAGGTTGCATAGTTGATAGTATTCCACTTCTGGCCGATAGCGGAGACGCCGGTGGTGCCACTGAGGGCGAAATAGTATTCCATGGAATGAAGGTCGGAAGTCGCATACGAAAGAGTTGTGGTGCCATAAGTATTACCAATAGTACTTACTTGTACAGTCAACTGTGGCGGAAATGTTAGTATAGACGACGTAGACGGAAGGAGAGGTGCTAAGGATGGTTGTCAGCTCGTCCCAAAGGAGGGGGTCCTACCACACTCACTAGATAAACCCATCGGGCCCGACAACAGTAGATACCCCTGGGACTGGGGCAGGGGTTGGCCAATAGAGCATCAGCGCATTTGCAACCTGCGCTGCGCAGGAAGTAACATCGCAGCATGGCGTAGTGTACACGGGCCACCATTGTCTTTCAGTCAGGCCAGTAGCATAAAAGCTAGTATAATTTTCTTTCTCAACAGACAGACAAAAACTTTTAGTGGGAGGATCGAGACCGTAGAGCTGGCCTAAATTTCTTGCAAAGGATTCTTGAAGGTCATCCGCGACAGCGGTTTGTTCTGATGGCGTGTGGTAAATGTGAATACACCAGTACTCTTCGAATGGCATTGGAATGGTGGCATTGGCAAGCTCTGCTGCTGAGTCTGCAAAGCGTCAATTCGCCTGTGGATGAAGTGGGTACTTGAATTTCACATTTAGTACAATATTCAAAGTCCTTTGGGTCATAAAGACTAGATGCATTTTCGTTACTCCTTTTTGGGGAAACTTGACTCGATTTGGAGCTATTCAACATATGCTGAACGTTGCCGTTTAAGGAAACCTGATTTGGTTTGGAGGCATTGAACGAATGCCGTGAGTCTCCACTCAGAGAACTCTGATTAGTAAAGAATGCTGCATTCACTGTAGCTACGTAAAGCATAAAATACGCAACGATTTCCATATCACGGAAGCCAAACTCCTAGATCACGAACCGCACGTGAAAAGGACAGGACTCGAAAATGTCGAGAGAATGCCATGCTGGATGTGACTCCATATATAAGAAGGTAAGGAGATGAGAAGTACTAGCGGTGCTAGCTGTGACTTGCCTCAAAGGATTGTATACTACAGGTGACCAATGGGAGAAAAGTGCGGTTGCTCCCTGGGTCTGATTGGCCAGTGACGGTCTCGGAATCTTTCAGCCCCAATATGCAGGCCACAATGCAACGCTTTTCGGTTTCCCCGGAAAGGAAAAACGCACTATGTTGAATAGTATGGTCTTGAAGCCAATTGAGGCTGCTTGATTCAGATAACAATTGCGGCGCGAAAGAACGAACGAGGCGAAGAACTCCCTGAAACAAGCCATTGCAAGGGCCGTGGGGCCTTGTCGGTCTTGGCAGGGCAGTGAGGCAGCTGCAAGTTAGGAATGTCAAGTCTGCAATTTGTATCACTGTTCTTGCAACGCAAAAGGTGAAACCGGGTTCAACAGCAGACTGCGAGAAGGGTAAACAACGTCAAAATGACAAGTCCAGAATGGCACCGCAAGGAATTATGGGGACGTCGCCAAGCGCAGCGCTATAAATGAGCAGCTAGCACTTCACTCCTTTGCTCGTACTCGGACTTCTTCTCAGTCCCTTCCAACAGCATCGACTTTGAATCAGAACTCCGGACAGACTTCAAACATCAGAATGAAGGCAGGGCATAGTTTGTGGAAGAGAAAAGAGAAAAGAGAGAACAGAGAAGAGGAAAGAAGGACGTGAGGTGAAGATGGAAAGTCAAACCCTAGGGCGCTAGAAGGAATAACGATCATGGACGTCATTTCCATCCACGAGTTGCATCATCCTCAAAGCTTTACTTACTAGAACCACTTCTCTCTTATTAACAATGCTAAAGACTGCTATTCCTCGAGCCATCTTTAGACTGTCTTTCAAACAACTCGCCTCAGTCCCAGCAAGCAAAGCCTTCTCACAGTCAGCCATCCACTCCGCCAAAGACTCCAAGATGCCTTCAGGACCCCCTAAACACGAGATGGCCTACTTCCCTGAAATGACCTCGGCTCTGCCGTCCAAGTCGGGCGAGTTCCGGAGAGTGCTGTGGACAGGGTTGTACTCGCAGGTCGTGCTCATGACTGTGCCTGTGGACGGGGAGATTGGAGACGAGGTGGGTTCTTGCCTCTTCATTGCTCGCTTCAATTGCCCCAGTGTTGCAGTACAGACACTGAATGCTATCTCTACTAGGTTCACACCGTCGACCAAGCCTTGACCTTCACCTCTGGTATTGGCAAAGCCACAATAGCTGGCAAGGACCAGGATGTCAAAGCTGGAGACCTCATGGTGGTACCGGCTGGCACCCAGCACCAATTCGTCAATACTGGCCCTACTCCACTGGTATCAATCTTCCTTCCTATGCACATCTTTTTTCGACAAAAAAATTACACAAACTGACAGCACCACCCCCAGATTCTCTACACAATCTATTCTCCCGCCGAACATAACCCCCAATCCGTTCACCATACCAAAGAAGAGGGCGATGAGGAAGAGGAGAGCGGAAAAGACGAGGCACCAGATTGGAGTAGGAAACCAAAAGCCGAGAACGAGGAGAATGGTCTAGTCAATACAAGTGGAAAGTATTGAATCTATAAATATACTGCATGTATCAAAATCGCGTTGCCCAACCCCCTCATCTGTCTTACCTTGGCCAAACGACCGTTGCACTGAGTGAACTCAATCATATCAGAAGGTGCCGAATAGCCTCTGGTGCACAGTGGTACCCGTTTGTTCTCCAAGGTACAAAGGTCAAGCCCTAGTGACAGCTTGACATCAATGAAAGTAAGTGCCAATGTGTTTGATTCTATGCAGCAGTCAAGCCGCGCTGCGGCTTGACCTCGATTAAGATAGGACACATACTCATTTCCTTTCACCAGCATAATCATGCAGTCAAGCCGCAGCGCGGCTTGACCTCTATGAATATAGGACACACAATCATTTCCTTTCAACATCACGATCAAAAAACCCCAGTACACCTTCTCAACCCTCTCTTTCCCAACCATCCAACATTGCAATTCCTTTCCAACCCACACCTACATCCTCACCCTCACCAACCAACCATAATGGCATTTACAAGACTCCGTCGCTTCTTGCGTCGCGTTTTCCGACGCCGCCCTGCAGCAACACCACCCGCTCCAGCTCCAGCACCAGCGGACCAAGCATCCATCGCCTCCTCCCGTTCAGCCCCGGCACCCACGGTCCTCCCCCTTCCTCCTCCCATCTTTCCCTAACCAGCTGATACCCACACAGGACGAAGACTTCGAGCGGATGAGACAAGCCGCTCTGGTGGCTCAGGATAAACGGCCCCAAGAGGTCCCCTTCATCTTCGTGGATGGTGATGAGGAGGGTATGTAGCCAGCCCTCCCCTCCCCTCCTCCCTTTCTCCATTCCTCCCTTTTCCTTTCATGGTACTAGATAAAACAAGGCGCGGTGGTGCTGACTTTACGACCGCAGACGCAGACGCCAGGACGGGCGCTGAGGAAGCGGGGGCGGGTGCAGGGGGGGGAGTGGAGCGTGTTGGTGATGGTGATGGTGATGGTGGTAGTAAGGAGCCTTTCGTTCCGTCTGATGAGAGGAGGGCGGGCTAAGCTGTGTTTGTTGTAGGTGTTACTACCATCGACGACGAGGAACAGGAGCAAGAGGAGGAGGAGGAGGGGGAACAGCTTAGAGGGGAGGGGGATCGAGGGATGCAGTAGGGAAGGCGGCATGTGCTATGAGTTATGGATCATGACGTGATGGGGTTGTCGTTTTTTCCCTTCATGCATGGCGAGGTTGTGTGATGGTTTCGTGTCATCGGATCATCGGTTATGATGGTCTGGCGCCGCTACGGAGCCGTGTTCGATACCATTGAAATTACTATGTGAGATTCTGTTTTGACTGGGGCCGTCTGATTCTGCGATTGAGGTCCTGGGACGGGTAGAGTGTTTGGAAATTGTGCACAGTAATGGGGAAGGTAGAAGTACTCTTACACTTCTCCATCACCATCTTCCTTCCCCCTCTAATAGTTGTGCACGTCATTGGCAAAATTCCCTTACATCTCCCCATCGCCATCCTCAACTCCTTCCTCCCCCATCCCCTCCCTCTCCCCAAAGACCATAAACCCTTCATCCTCACCTACAATCCTCCGCCACGCAGCCCTTACATGCTTCAACACATCATCCTCCAGTACCAGTCCCGGGTCCACATTTGGAAGCTTCAGAACATGCGGGTTAGAAATCTTGGCACACTTGACGTTGGTGTCGTAGTCATCAAGTGTTGCGGGAGGGGTGTGCTTTTGGTCGTAGTGGAGGTGCCACAGGACTTGAGGCTGGGGGAATGCGTCGATACTGGCAACGAACTTGTCAACGGCGCTCTGCAGGAGGGAGTGGGCAACGGTGTGAGAAACAGGGTGGGTGGTGTGGGCGTAGATGACACCTAAACGCATGGAGCTTTAAATTAGCCGGGTGCTTTGCTGAATGTGTCACAAGAAGAAACAGGGAGAGAAATTGGTGGATCAGACTGTCAGAGGTATGGTATCTTCAATGGATTTGCAGACAATGTAGATAAGTATTCATAAGTATTGGTCATCATGCAAGGGAGCTTCTTAACTAGAAATATAGAACCAGACCTACATTGGCCGGCTGGACACTCCCCTGTGTCGCTTGAATGAATCACCAAATAGACTGGTGGAGGATCGTCCCTGAGTATTTGAGGCTTCTCACTGTCATGTTCAAGCTCAAGACTTCCGGTAGGAAAGACGACGACAGCGCCAGCAGGCGGAGGCGCGCCCTCGGCGGGAGGGGGGAAAAGCTGCGAGAGCGGCGAAGATACGATGGTGATGCTCCGAGAGACGTAGTCCGGAAATGCTTCTTCGCCCCTGACTGCTTCGAGTTTTGACGGCAGGTCCCAATCGGAGCCGACGATCCAGTGAGTCTTGATCTCCTCGCCTCCTTCAAGACGGACGGTGGATACTTGCGTGATATCATCCAGCCGGGTGCCCTCTCTCCCTAGGGCCTGCTGATCTGGGTTTTCGTGCGTCTCGAAGCCCTTCTTGAGTACATAGACCCCACCGCCGACTGCACCGGCCCTGCAAGCCACCTGCGCGATCTCTGCAAGCCCACCCCATTTGGGTATCACCGAGCCGAACCCTGGACCAAACATGCCCACCGAGGTGAGGTGGCGGTGGATGCGTGGAAGGGCGTAGGATGTAAGGGTTTTGGCAGGAGGTTGTGGAGACATCGTCAAGGCGAGTAGAGGAGCTTGCAGTTGCCGTGGGATGCCGAGATGGGATTCTAGGAAATCTGGAAATGGTTTTGAGCCCCATAATTCCAGTATAGAGGTGTGTGCTTCCGTATCTGCAGCGAGCTTGAGGAACTTCATAAGCGAACGGGTGGACCGCAGATCAATGCTCTTGTCCGCAAAGACATCCTCGCGCCCGCCTGGTATCCTTTTCAGGCGCACTGTGGAAGATATGGCTTCTAATTCTTCAGCATCTTTTTTCTGTGCGTCTTCGCGAACATTTTCATGCTCGTATATCCACCAGCTCCCAACAGCGAGAAATTCAAGTTGGCGATAGACCTTCGAGGACACGAGGGCAGGAAGGAGGTTTGAGCGAGTATAGATCAACTGTGGCGATAGCGAGAGACTGTATGCTCGGGAAAAGCCCAGCTTCGCAGAGCTATTGCCCCCTGGCTCCGGCTTTCTCTCTCCCGCCAAATTTCTAATCGCAGCATACCTGAAGGGCGAACCTGCTTGAGCTTGAGCAACAGCCTAGACAGACATGCAAGGGTCCTACCCTCGTCAGCTGTATCAATCCATGATTCTACCTCTTGTAAGCTCAGAGCAGCCTCCGCACCTCCGTAGTAGTCATTTTTGTCAATGTGGAGCACTTGCTTGCCGGACCGGGATAAAGCCCTTCACGACCTGGGTCAGTCAGACAAATCGTTCTTTCTGCACCCCAACGTCTGGATGCTTACAATGCTAAAAGAGATTGTGGTAGTCCAGTACCAGAAAGAACCACATCCCAGATTGTATCAGAGAGCGACTCCATAGCGTTCCCATACTCAAGTGCCTGGAGGAGAGAGAGTTACCTATCGCCTGCTGCTTAGCTAGCTCGCTCGCTAAAGCGGCCTTGCCAAGATGCCAAGACGCTAATCGCCAGCCACACCAGATTTCTGAACATCGACTTCTCGAAACCTTTACACCACAGCCACAAGCAGGTCGCGCGTCTTATAGCGACACTGAAGCCGCTCTGGGTCTTCGTTGATCTCCAGCATATGGCTGTGGAAGACCAAAAGCCTTCCTGTATCTGCTGCTCTGGATCCTACATGAAAGAAGCGGTTCGTTTTGTGACGGTACATCTATTGGGACGCCATGCCGCTAATCACCCTGCGGTCTCCGATTCTTGAAGATTTCAAGCAGCATTGAGTACACTGCTTCGTCACACACACTCTCTCGCTGATGTTGCAGTTTTTTTTCGATACTTTTCGAGCTATGGGGCAAAGCTGCGCTCTGACGTCTGAGCGACTTCTATCTAAGTATTTAATCAACGAAAATCACACAGAATTCAAGCTATGCCGCTCACATTCTCCGCTTCTTCCAATGTCCTCATCAACATCGCTCCATCGGTCCCATTCAAACTACGCAACGTCCCATTCAGCAGGTCCAAAGCCCTGCCTGCCTTCCCCTCCACCCCCTTCTTCCTCAGCCAAAGCCGCACGACTTCCCTCGGTCCCACAACGTCCGACCCAATTGTCTCCTCCGCTCCTGCCTCCCCAACCAAGCAAGTCTGCACAATATCCCTCCCTATGAACACCACATCCCCCGTCGGAAAAACATCCTCCACGTACTCTACTTCGCTCCCCCCCTCCACGTCAACAACGAACTCGCACTCATTCCCAGCGCCGTGGGAGAAATATGCGGGCAACTGCTGGCCTGCGGTTCGAGGCGGGTGCCGGCTCCAGGTCAGAGGCATGTTGCGTTGCAAGCGGGCGACGGCCTCGATGAATTGGAGGAGTTTGTCGCAGTCGGCGATGGTAGGAAGGGAAGTGGGAGGCGGTGAAGGGCGGACGCAGTCTGGAGTGCGGATGGTCGAGGCGAAGGGGGCGAGAAGCAGGATGTGGAGAGCGTGTGGACGCATTGCTGGCGAGCTGAGGGATTAAAAAAACGGTGGGGGGGGTTCCTGCACCAGCATTTGGAGGCCAAGCCGAGTTCGAAGAATCACAGCTGACGCGTGTTCCATTCTCAAATCTAGCAGTGCGAATGCTTAAGACTTGCAAAAGCAGTCATGGCCACTTGATGATCTGCGTGCTTTCGGTGTTTTAGATCTCTCGATCGGACGTATCGTCTCCCACGATAATCCCCTTACGCTATCGGTACCCAAGCGATGAAATCCCGCACTCGAAAGTTCCCGCCACGCCATCCTTTGGTCCGGCAAAGCCATAACCCATTGGTAGCCTTTGGCGCGCTTGTATCAACTACGTCTGCACTGTTCGAAACCATTTCCCCCTTTTCTCTCTCCCTGCGTGCTGCGCGGCATGTAGACTTCAACGCCCGAACATGAACGAAAATCAGGCGAGACCCTTTGTTCCTGCACGTGATGTGCTCCTGGCGCATTGCAGTCGGGAGAGAGCAGACAGTGTGCGAAGCGTCATCCTGACTGTTTGATGGCTCCAACTACGACGGGAGGCATTTTTCACCACATCAGCCAGGACCAGGCGGGCAAAAAGGAAAGCAGGAAATCTGTCAAGCGGTGCTTTTGTGTAGGGAGGGAGGGAGGGAGGGGAGGGACTTATGGATGATTGTTTTGGCCGAAGCCGTTGTTGTCGAGTGCCGTTGGGTGAGGAGAGAAGATGGAGGAGGGCGAAGTCAAGGCATGGGTCCATTAATTTGTGCGTCGCCATGATGGGCGGAGCGGAGGGGGTTTTTTTTGGGGGTTTTTCTTGATGAGTCGACCAGACATGATGATGTCTCAATGCTGTGACGAAGGTTTTTTTTTCCCCGACCGAGTATTCTGCGGCTGTGTCTGAGGATTTTAGAGACAACGTTCGGAAGAACGTCGTCAACCCCAGGTTGTCTTTTTGGTGATATGTGAATGAAGGAGCACCGCTTGATAAGACCTCCTTTCTTGCGATGGGAATCCAGAGCCAAGTCGGTTCGTTGATATGCTAATTCCTACCTATTTGATATCAACCCCGAAAGGTGAATGCGTGACACTCACTCTCGTGGCTCGTATTTGAGCAGTTTTCGCGTCTACGCCCTCCGTGCTCACCCCCCACGCTCCATCCCTACCTACACCACCCGATCTTCCAAACCTCCCACTCCCGCTCTCTCCCCTCACAAAAAAAAAAACAGGAAATCACAACCCCAGCCCTCCCTTCCACCCACACTCCAACCCCCCCACCCCCCATCTCCCCGCCACGTCCAGCTCGCATCCAAGCAAGATCCCACCCACGACATATTCAATACCACCACGTCCTTCCTTCCAACCCGCAAGTGCCGCTTCCACACTCACAACCACGCGGAGGACTGGACACGCACTCCTAGGGACCTATGCAAGAACGGGTGACCAACAACGGCAGGCAGGACCAGCGCTCTCGATACCCTTGCCAGCCGGCCATTCATCATGCGCCCGGGCGGTAACGTCGCATACTCTGGTGCTGGTTGTTGAGATCGTCGCGGTGCGGTGCTTTGCATCTCGGTCCTTCTCTGTGTAGGTACTTGAGAAGGTAGGGTTGGAGAAGATTGATGGGATAGGACGGGAGGATGTCGGTCGGGACGTTTGAGCACTTTTAGGTGAGGTGGTCTGTCATTGAGTGAAGCACTCCGCAACTCCGCTCGGTCCTTCGGATCCTAGCTATAGATTCGCCACGAGGCGCCCTCTCTCTCTCTCTCTCTCCTTTTTTTTCCCGCGTGTGAGCATCCGAGCAAAAGACGGACTCACTCACTGTAAGTAAGGAAGGAAGGATGATCGCGGCCAAAGCAAAGGCCCGCCTCGAGATTCGGAAATGCTGCGACGGGGAAGGAGATAGCAGGTAAGTTGGTTTGGTTCAAATTGCGTTGGTGGTGTGGTGTATACTGGGGCTCAGGCGAGGGCGGCGTTAGCGAGTGAGTGAGTGAGATGACTATTTTGGCGACTTTTTCCTTCTGAGCTTAGATCGTGGAGGATTCGCACGTTGGCATTTTGGTGTCCGAGATCGATTTATGAATAAAGCATCTATTCACTTCACTTCACCTCCCAGCTAGCTCGCCGACGAGACTCTTCCTGCTACCCTCTATGCAATCGAAATGGCGATTTTGAAGAAGAATTCAATCTATCTGTCAAGAACAGAGGACGGAAAAAGACTATACCTACAACATTGTCCATGTTTCCGAGACTGAACCCTCAGCAAGGGAGTCGCGCTGACGGGGTTGATTTGGGAAAGCCGGGAAGGGTTCAGTCAGTGAGTGAGTAGACGTGGGGATGAGACCATGAGCGAGCGGAAAGAGAATGTGCAAATCCTGATCGACGATGGACAATGTTTGCGAAAGCCTAGGTGGAAGAGAGTACGATAGCCTCCCGATAGAATTCTTGCGCTGAGCTAGATGGAATTGGGAGGAAGGAATGAATGGTCGTTTGGAGGTATATTGCCACGAAGCACTCCAGTCCAACTTCCACCTGCTCAAGCTACCACGTGCTCAATAGAGCGGAATGATTTTCAAAGGAGCATGTTAGCACGGCAAGGTGGTAAGGAGCCTTGAGGTATCAACGAGAGTAGTGATTAATGGAGCTATATGCCGAAATGATCATGCTCAGAAGTAGATGAGGGGGAAAGAATGCAGCTCGACACAGCAAGCAGGTGGTCTATGAACCAACCTGGGGTATGAGCCGTCAGGTTTCAGAACACCTCCGATATATGCCCCAACCAAGCACTCCACGCTAAACTCATAAGCCAAAGCGTTAGGTTCAATTAAGCCTCGCATTAGATAGCATAATTCTCCGTATGCAAGAATACCTCTTCCCTATCACTACTCCAGACACCCCTCTGCATACCAGCCACTATCCTCTGTACATCCACTCTCATGCTCGGTGGCCCACATACAAACACACATGTCCTCTTACCGAATCCCCTCTCGAATCCTTTGAGCATATAAGGAATATCCGGACGTCCGTATTCGGTGCTCCAAGATGACTTCTTGGGGTTGAAAGCCGGCATGAAGGCGAAGCGCATGAGGTTCTTTTGCAGCATGGTAGGTGTGGATGGGAAGCCGAAGTCGAATGTTTTCTTGTCTTGCGCGGGTGCCAGGTTTTGAGTCGGTATAGTGAGGGAGGGCTTGTTGCGAGTGTACGCCTTTTTGGGTGGAGGGAGGAAAGTTGGGTGCGGGAGGGCGGAGATGGCATCTTCATTCTCATCCCGGAGTTCCCTCATCTTCTCAGGATCGCCCGCTGCGGCATCTTGAATTAGCGCACTGTTGCGTTTCGAGGCGATGCCTTGAAAGGTGCTGTCGATTTGTTTGTGGAGAAGGTCATGCAAGGGTCGTGAGGGCGAAGGTGGTATCTGCTGCTGGCCGGGCAGCATACGCTTGGCGGCTGTGATGAAGAACTGGCAGTGGACAGTCTCTGGTGGGGCAAACTCCCGGCAGATGCGGATTTCCTCTTTGAACCATTCCATTGTTTCGGGACGCTTGAGTGCCCAGACCAGATGGATTCGTTTGGTCACGGCTTTGCCGTCGCGCATCTTCTTGATGAGGTCGAGAAGTTGGGAGACGATTGCTGTAATGCCACTGCCACCTGCGAACAGGATCACAGTGTCGAAGGACGCCAAGTCTCTCCGCATGCCACCGTAAGGTCCGTCGATAAAAGCTTGATAGACATGTTCAGGCCCTTTGTCGACAGCTGACTGAAGCACCTTCCGGGTGAAGCCACCGAAGGGACGGAATACTAGGGTCATGTCTCGGTATTGCCCCTCGCCGAAATCTGACCTGAAGTCGTTGCTACACAGCGAGGCAATGGTGAAAGGGTGATTCTCGAAGATCGAGATGCCAGGCATCCTCAGATAGACGTACTGGCCGGGAGTCCACTTGACCTGTGTCGGGATCGTCACTTTGACAGCATTTTCCGGAAGTATTGTCACTGCCGCAGAATCGCCAATGAACAATGATGACTGTCGCCAAGGTTTCGTCCAGTTGAGGTAGAAAAGCCGAACACAGTATGATGCAAGCCAGATAGCGGTAGTTGCCCATAGGTAGTTCCACGACGTTAGGTAGTTGTGGCAATGCCAGAAGAGCATTCCAAGGTAGACAATGGAGATCGGAACATGCAGAGCCACAAAGAGCTCGTACATCTTGTGCCGCAGTATCGGTAGCGAATGTAGGCAAAGCACGATCAAAGGAACTAGAGCCGCAATTCCGGTGCTATATGGATAGAGAGTTCCGCTGAAATAGCTTTTGAACGTGTTCAAGCCTCCCTCGTCCCAAATTGGTGTTACGTAGAAAGGGATGGTGTGTATCAAGCTCAAGAAAAGGCAGATATATGCTGCCCATCTGTGCAGGACATTGAGCCGCTCATGACCAATTCCGGTGATCAAAGTTATGAAGTTAGCTTTCGTACTAAGCGCAATTATCCATGGCATCATCGCGACTGCGAGCATTCCAGCACGGATAGCCAACGGTGGAGATCCAAAGCCAATACTGGTGTAGTACAGCGGTTGCGGTACAAAGCAGTAGAGTGTCACGAAGACCAAAGCTGCGAGTACGATGAACGCTGCGCCAGGACCAGGGAACTGGAACTCCCGTTTCCTGTACCGTAGGACTGGGATGGGTCGGTAGAAAACGAATCGAACAAGCGCAAGCGCGTTGTTGAAGGGTCCAAACGAGTAGTCCGGCAGCTCTTCTTCGGGTTCCTGCTGCGGCAGCTCACCGTCCCTGGGAAAGAATTTCCGTGACGAGCAATTGGTTGGCAAATTGGCCATCTCGTAGTCTGTATCCGGCGACGATGTTTTCGACGACTTTGTCATGACCTCCTCTTTATGTGTTGCCCTTCTGATCTTGTCCGTCCAGTAATGGTACCAGTGTATCGCACATGTGAGGACGAGGAGTATGATCGAGAAGTATACCCAGCCGAGTGCATACTTCCCCGACTTCGACCATGGATCTTCTGTACTCGCTGCGACCAACCCTGGTGGGCTGCTGCTCGTTATCTTGATATTGATTCGTTTCGCCAAGTCTTGGAGAGGCATTGTGGGTGTGCCCTGCGGGATGAAGGTTCGCAGGGAAGGCATGGTAGCTGTTGTCAAGGTGTTCCGGCTTCAGAGAAGGATGAGACTTGAGCGGTCTGTCCGCAGTCTTGGGAGTGCTATCATTCGAGTGTGTACCGGGGGTTTCGAGGAAGGCTGGATGCGCAAGTGGTACTGGTGGATAGATGGGTGTTTCACGGGTGGGAGAATGCTCGTTTGGTCTGTGTCGGGGTATATATCTCTGCGTCGCTTGCCTCCTGGCTCAATGTCCTTCTATGATGGGGTATCTTCTTGATCAAAGTGCTGAACCGCTGTGTAACACCACGCTATGCTGATTGGCCAAAGAAAGTCAACGAGATCTAAGCGGGGAAGGATACCAGCTCCTCGACGCAATTGTTGTTATAACGATAGTGATGCGAAAGAAGGCTGTAGATTATCGGACCTTCAGGGCAGGAATGAGGAATCTATCTTTGGGATAGACGTGGGTATATGTGCCTTGCATGGTGGGTGAAAAAGATGGAGAGGGGTCCGAGTCCAAGAGGGATCGCAGAGAGCAAGCGCCGGATGTGCCTCTGTGCATAGGTAGCCCATTGATTTCGATTGGCGCTTGGAAAAGATGTGATGTGCATTTTAGCGGTGGGATGGGAAAATGCGCTACTCCATGCCACTTTAGGTAGAAGCCTTTTTTGCCACACGCAACCAGCGCACGTTCAACGGTCCTAACGCCAACACGTTTCCTTTGACCACCGGGATTGGGGGTGCAGCTGAAGGGACACTTGCAAGGGTAGCATTGGGCGACCTCGGTTGTGAATGCTCGATACTCGATTGGAGGCGGACGGTGATGTCGAATCAGGGAAGCGGACAGCAGGGCGGAACCGGTATTTTCCGTGGCTCTCTTCGATAGCTTTGCAGCAAGCGATGGCTGATTCGCTGTCTCTATCAACGGTGATGAAGCTTGCATGATGGCGGGGAAAAGCGAGCGAATTGGAAAGTGGTTCCAGGACGAATCACAGTTGAGAGATGTACTTCTATGCGCTGGCTTCATTTAGCTCCGGCGGTTAGAGCTGAGCTAGCATCAATCAGGAAGGTCATCATCCACCCTCCAAACAATTTCAATCTTCATCGCTGGCAAGCACAAAGCAGCGAAAGCGACAAAAAAGGGATGCGATGACCATGAGTCTATGAGTCGTCCTGTCGCCATCCGCCACAGCAACCATGCTGTTCGAACCCGGAAAGCTGCAGCGCACTGGATGGCCGGCGGCAGCTCGCAGCTCACAGCTCACAGCTCCTAGGGTTCCGTGAGTGGGAACGAGTACTAGCATGCGAATAGCTGGGAGTTGGGACATGATGCCTGCCTCCTAGGTGGAAGTCGCTCATGGTTCATCGCTGGATTTCGATTCCGGAACTCGGATAAGGTAACACCACTGCGACTCATGAAGCTTGCCCCTTGGCCCCGGCGTCTAAGGAAGCAGCCTTTAGCGCCTTATGGAGATATCGGACGATTCTTTTCTGGACTTGGGCTTCTTTATCCAAATCTGGAAAGGGTAAAGACGCATTGCGGTTCTTTGCAGGACGGAGACATTTGTGTACAAAAATCAAGGCGTGAGGCAATTGTTTCAATGCATATCGAATTTGCCTCAAATTTGCCCTCCTCGGAGACAACTATACAGATAGGTACTGTTTTTTTCCTGAAATCAAATTGAAGACGCAACGTAGTATCTTCGATGCATGTGAAAATTCTCCATGAGTGGAGGCAATTCGGCAGAAGGCGAAGGATTCATGCAGAGATCGGATCCGACTGCTGGAATAATTAGAAGTGTGGGTGGTATTTTATGCATGTCAGACTTGATGTTTCGCAATCATTTGCGTGCAGATCTCTCACCCTTTTCGATTGTCTGAAGATCAATAATATATCCTCAGGAAGTACAACCACATCTTGTATTTTCTTTTGCTGCATGCATTTCTTTCTCCGGGAAGGTGTTCCTGTAAATATTCGCTCCCACATTCTTCCGGTGCGTTTTCTTTTCATTAGAATTGCTCCCCGAAAGTCGACGGTGTTCTCAACTCCGTGGGTCGTTCTTCGAAACCAAAGTGGGACTACTACATTGGTCCGGGAGATGCTCCGGAAAAAAAGTTGTTCAAAGTGACACCAGGGTACCCGAAAGTCGCACAAGGCTGAGCGGATCTGGGCGGAAGTATATTTCTTCGTTTTGTTAGTGGGTGGGGTTCACGTGTAGCTTACAGCCGAGTTCGAAATGTGGAGGTCACATAGGCGTCGCCAATAAGCAGTGGCATCCAATGCGTTGGCAGTTATCTAGGTAAGTCTACATCCCTTGGGAGATCCAGCATCTGCGATTACTGGCATAAGACAATTCTCATGTCCTTGACGGACGATGCCGCTGTCCATTGAGGATATAATCTTGAAGCCGCGCCCCATGCCACTCCAGTCTTTGCGTATCAGACCACGCTCTATCTATCTCTTTCAATTCCTGTTCGTAACTCCTTCGACTACATTCTACTCCATGTCCACCAACCACTGACAACAAGAGATCGATAATACCTCCGACGGCCCCAGGCGCTCTCTTTGCGACCTCGTCGTACGAGATATGCATGAACTCCAATTGTGTTTTGGATTTCCTGATGCAGTCACCTAGGTTCAAAATGACCGACTTTGTATGTTTGGGTAGTCTATTAAAGGCCTCTGCCCCAAAATCTATCCGATATGACGATGTCTCCGAAGCTTGGCCATCTGCGGTACCCATTCAAAGCTAGCAGGTAGATGTTGGAGCGAAAGCGCGTGGTTGAATCGCTTGAGACCACATTCCAAAAACAAAAAAAGGAAATACCCAGCGCCTCGAAAGCAAGAGTCACCAAGGGCATGCAAACATGGTCAATTCCGCGAGCATGGCGGCCCAAAGCTCTGACGGTGACGGATATCGTTGCCATGGGTATCCGGTAGGATACTGTGTATGATACTACAATATAGGTAGGAGCCTTGATCATGGAAGTCCATGATTGTACTAGGTGATGCTGGGTTCCAGAAGCAACAGTCGCGGTTGGCATTGGTTACATATCTCCAGTTCTGGATTCGTACTTCCGGTAGAAGGAAGTTGCCTTTGCCGATTTGAGTCTGCCGTTCAGCATCTAGCCTTTGAGCCTGGAGGAACCAAGGCTTGCTGCCCCCAGCGCTGGCAAGCATCCCAACATGCTCTTGCATCCTCAATTCAGCAAAGACTAGATCTTTGAAGAGACATCTCTGCCGGCTGAAGCATCTCCAGTACCGACCGAGCTTAGAAGTTGTACGGGGTCTTCTGCCGAAGCAAGGCCGCAACAGCTCGGGTGCCTTTGACGGTTGAGGTAGCGGCTTCGGGGGTGGGAACCGTGCGCCGGTGTTTTCGAAGTTGTTGAAGTGAAGGATCATCGTGCAACACGTGTACGAGATGAGATGTGCTAAGAGTGCCACACGTCTATCAGAAGTCAATTGGATTAGAAGATGATAATGGGTGAGCGCATTAGCAAGAGGTGTGGTGAGACTAGCGCAGGAGCACAGCATATGAGCTGATTTGAATTGGTTCTTATCGCCTTGATCTTGTCTAAAGGCTCGATCGCTTACTTCCAGCAGAGTGTCAACTTCACACCACCGAACACGAACCGCTTGGCCCAGGCGCTGATGTTGATTACGATCCCTCCGCATTCAGCCCATCGGGTGACCCTCTCATGTCTCGTACAGCAATTGTTACCAGCCTCTATCTCCTGGCTTTATCAAAGGTCTACAAGCCATTGGATTGAGAATATAACGGGAATCAACAGTGGGAATACCTTCCTCTGGTTTTTTAGTCTGGATTAGAACGAGTATTCTATTTTTGTTCACAAAAGTGGCAGCCTCGAGTGAGCACCCAACTGACCTGGGCTGTCTTCTATTGCGGCCAAGGCTCGCGTCGTCTTGTTGCCCTTGACCCTTCTGCACATGCTACGAACGTTTACGACTGTGGCTGCATGTTCGGTAGAAGACCGCGGGGACTTTTTGGATCAGTTGGGGAAACAGGCAAGCACCCTCAATACTGCAATGCGAACAAAATCAATCGCTGTTGCCTACTCGTTTATTCTCACGGAGAACACTGCCATGAGTCATATTTGACCGTCAATGCTATCCCAGATGGAGGATTCCTGGGTGAGATTGTGTCCCTTTGTTGATGATGGCACCAAGGGGAAAAGCAAATGAAGGCGCTATCATCCAACGTGGGCATCGGCTACCGTCTCAAGTACCTCATGAACCGCAGCTCCGACACCCTTGAATCTCCATACTGGTGTAAAGTTGAAAACTAGGCCCGCAATTCTTTTTTTTATGATGAGCGGTTTCTTAGATCGGTCGTCAAAGTCAAGGTCAATATACAGATGAGACCTTTACAACTTTGCATTTCCGATAGTAGACATTCACGTTCGACGAAAATTCAGAACAGAAGTCATGACAGAATCCTGAGTTTGACGTTGGAGGCCGCAAACTGACGTTGTTTCCTGAGGCATCAACAAATCGAATATAGTTGGCTTGGGCCTCTGTCGGCTAGAAGGCGCAAGCACCGCTCCCGGCTCTTTTCCCGCCCATTGGATATCCAATGTCCATAAACTCTTTATTCCCCATGCTCAAATTGCACAATCTTTCTTCTCTCAATGCTTCCAAGCTAGACTCTTCTTATATCTTTCATCATGCTACCGAAACCGTTTCTCTTCCCGGCTCTCCTAATCCATAGCAGCTATTCCCTCCTCAAAGCCGCAGCTATCAGCTTCCCCTCCCAACCCGGCGTCTCCGCCCTTTCATCACCAGAATCAAGCAACGAGACTTCAAAAATTCCTAATCAATTACCCTACACCGGCACCAACCCCTACTGCAGCGCCTCAATAATCTGGACCGGCCTCAACACCCTCGACTCCCACTTCCAGCGAGACTGTCGCGCCGCAACGGACAAGTTCGAAGACTTCGTCGCTTCTTGCCCGAACCCGAACACTCGATATGAATTTCTAGATCCTCGCACGCAGCCGATGCAACGCTTGCCAAAGATGGAGACGCCGCGGAGATATGTTACTCGTGGGTTATGACAGCCTCGCCATCTCACGTCCTTGCGTTTCTCATCTGACTGAAAGAGGGTAGGAATCGGTCGCTGCACCGTAGCGATTGTGAACCTCGTTGATTTCCCCGCCGAGTACTTGCCGACGCAGAGATCGGGGCCTTTCCGCAAGACGGACGTGGACTCGTATGAAGGCCTTGCTATGGCCGTGACGGAGATGTACACGTCCTGCCTGCCGCATAGCCTCGGGTGGGCGGCTGTAGGTGAGTAGAGCCAGGTGATCCTCTTTCGCTGCGTGCTGGGAAGCTATGCTTGGTAGGCAGATCGGGAGTCTAACGAGGGGCATAGGTGAGGCTAGTTCGCTAGGTGTGTTTATCTTCGCAACGGGGTCTTTAGTCGATCAGAAGATTGAGAAGGGTTTCCCCCCGGTAGGATATCTGGGCTCGGCTGCGGAGAGTGTTGGGGCGATCGATGTTGTTGTTTGATGAGGAGGGCAAGAAGAAAGCGACCGAACGCTCTTGTGCCCTGAATAGTTTTTTCAACTTTGATGGAGAGATCAAAGAGTCGAAAGCCTACCGCCATCACATGAGATATCTGATCCGACGGATCTTTCGAAAACGCAATGGCGAAGACCGTTGGCCACGGTACCGCGATGCTGCCAACCCGTTCACCATCGTGATCTATCAGGGTCCTCGCCTGGTAGCCCTGAACCACCTCGATAGCTTCAGATGAAGGCGCGTCTAGTCTCCAAAAACCCAAGTCTTTCTGTAATCCGGGATTTTGTCATACCTTATAATCGGGAAACAGACTCTTTGCGCGAGCATGGGCTGAAGACCCAGTATTCCATTTATCCAACTGCTAATATCATCGAAGTGTGTGAGTATATGCGCTTCTGCTAGGAAGGAAGCCAATCGGAACATTTGAAGCCCGCGTATGAGGATATGAGATTTCTTGTCATCTATTCATTGCCAGACGAAGACATCAACGTCCTCTTGGGAAACGATCACTTGAGCGAGGCAACACTCAAAGATCAGGATGTTCTGGGGCCTCCGATTTCTAAGGCGACAGGTTATGGAGTGACCTACATGACTAGATGGATCGCAGGCGCACGAGACTTCAGGAGGCATGTAGCTCCAGTACCTCAATTTCCTGTACCTATCTCACTCCAGCTTAAATTCAAACCTGGTCTAAATTTCTGTTATCTTGGCGTGGCAAGTATAAGCGCGCTGATAGGGCTGAAGTATTTTTCCGAATTCACAACCAATATCTAGAGTGCGGAGGACAAGTCTTCCAGTTGACCTCCCTACAAGTCAGTAGACGAACAGAGAAAGCAATCGAATCTAGGAGGGAGCCATCCGCGCCGTAATGGCTACGAACGTCGTCTTAGACACCACCATGGTGCGCCAATCCCTCTATCTACTATTGCAATACAGACCTCGCTCACTTCCCTAAGGGCTCCATAACCCTCGAACTCTACAACAACCATGCCCCCAAGGTACGCAAACTCCTTGTGGCTGACTCGAAGTCCCCGTCTCTTTCCCTCCTGATACGCCACACTGACAGATTGTCCTTCAGACCTGCAACAACTTCTCCACCCTCGCCCAACGCGGCTACTACAACAATGTCATCTTCCACCGCGTAATCCCAAATTTCATGCTGCAGACCGGCGATCCCACCGGTACCGGGCGTGGTGGGACGTCAATATATGGCGACAAGTTCGAAGATGAGATAGATCCGGGATTGAAGCATACAGGGGCCGGGATTTTGAGCATGGCGAACAGTGGGAAGAATACGAACGGGAGTCAATTCTTCATTACTTTGGCGCCGACACCGTGGCTGGATGGGAAGCATACGATTTTTGGGAGGGTAAAGAGTGGGTTGAGGGTTGTGCAGAGGATGGGGCTTGTGAAGACGGGGCCGGAGGATAGGCCGGTGGATCAGGTCAAAATTATAAGAGCTAAGGTTGTTGAAGAGGGCGAAGAGGGTATCTAGTGATCCGTGGGGCCAACGAAAAAGAGGATCATATGCAGACAAAGAGCTATCAATCCCGTTGTGAAGGACACGAAGAAGACATACGCGTCAAAACTTCAAAAGCCTACGGAGCTACACGGCGCAATCCTACACCTTGAACTCCTGACGCCCATCAAGTACAAATCCATGGTTTCGGAGACGTGGATCAAAACCTCCCGTTGACCTCGTATATCTCCTTGGATTGCAACCCTCTCGGCGACCTGTGGGTTGGCTCTAGCTCTTAGGGTACGCTGTTCACGAAGCCTAGCCGCATTATGCGTTCTCCCTCCTCGCCAGCTTGACGTCTTCCCCAAGGTGCTTCGCTCGAGAATCTCTGAAGCTCTGACCTGTGCTTGGGTTCTCGATATAGAAGTACGCAAAGAGTCGAGAGAAGTATCACGCTAAGAGGCGTGCCTACCTTAACACCAGTCACTATGGTCGAACGAGAAACATGCAAAGAGCTTATAGGATGTGTACTTGGACAAGCCGCACTGGCTGGGGGCTCTTTTGTAGTCGTTGAAACGTTCAGCGAAGTCGGTGCTGCCACAGCCGGTCACCCCAAAGACATTTGAGAAGTTATCGGCGCAGCAGCTCTTCTGCGGATAATACAGATTCTGAGATGCACAGCAGAATGCGTCGTTCAGCAACCCCGGCTCTCCGCAGGTTACGATTGTGCTAGAGGTCTCAATGAAAATTATGCGCTGTCTAGTAGGCGCTGCCTTCGCCGCCTCTATTTGAATAGCAAGTTTGATAGACTGTCGAGGCGATGCTTCCATCGGGCCAGTAACAGATTGGTGCCTTGGCAAGTGCGTAAGGCAACAAGTATAGCACAAAACATGGGGACTCTATCAGTGCGTAACGAGCATGGTGGCTCGAAGACGTTGGCTGGTGAAAGCTATATGGGAGTAACATGATCCTTGAGGAGCCGGCCTCCATGGAGGATTAATATCTTCTACCCACTGCGAGTGCTGTGACTTCTACTATCTCTGGTGGCACACAGGTTTCAATGGAGTGGTTTCGAGGCGGCGGACAGCACTGCGCTCTGGTATTCCTACATTGTGTTACCCTCAAACAGGCTAGCCTCAACGGCGTCTGCACAAAGCTGAGAAATCCATCTCCACCGCTCACCATCGTGAGCTGAGCCATGATGACTCAAAGCAATATCTTTTCTCATCATAACTCGTCCTGCTTCTATATATCACCTCTGTAAGCGAATGATGATGCTGAGGAGGACGCAGGGAAAAACACCATGACGATTGCTGCTGCTGCCCGTCGAATTCTATCTTCATCGCTAAAGCTCGCTTCCTTGTCTTCAACGAGAGTACTGTTTCTTCAAACGTCTCTTTGATCTGCTCTAACGGCCTTTCACTTTGGCCTTTGTCCTCAGGAACGTCACGCTTGCCTCACCAGAATGGTGTACTGCGGCAGACCTAGCAAGGGCTGTGCTCCGTGCCGGGCCAAGAGAACAAAGGTGCGTGCATAAGCGAGAATATACGATTTCCGAAAAAAAAGAAACTCTAGTCCAACTCCATGTTTCTTACCGTAGAAAACCCGCAAACCTAACGATTTCAGTGTGACCAAACTCGACCGCATTGTGGCCAATGTCGAAGGGCTCACAGAGAATGCCCAGGATACCGGGCCGAGCAGGATGCGGTTTTTCGCAATGAGACCAGCAAAGTCGTGGCCAAGGCTCAAACGGGGACGAAATGGGAGATTAGCATGCCTGTATCTCCAATACGCCCTATAGAACTCACGGGAGATGGCGATGTCAGGAATCTTGCCATCGATTTCTCCGCTGCAACTGTCCAAATGGTAGAACGCACAAAGGTCACTATCCGAACCCTCTCCGTTCCACTAGAAGACGAGGCTACCTACTATTTCTTCCACAACTTCGTCCCTGCGGACCCTGCCTCTCTGACAACGTATTCTGACGTGCTGCCTACGGTCTATCGGCAAGACTCCTCCTTCAATGCTCTGCCCAAGATCATCGAAGCCATAGGCTTGGCGGGCATCTCGAACGTGAAGCAGGCGCCGGAACTTATGGTCGCGGCGGGTCAAAAGTATGCGAGGGTATTGCGTGCCATCACTGCTTCCATTCAAAATTCGAAAGAAGTAAGCACAGACCAGACGTTGATGGCTGTTATGCTGCTCGGTTTGTTTGAAGTAATGTCCTAGCTCAAGGATTTATCCGTTTCCTGTTCTGACCATTGCGCAGACTGTCACATGTTCAAATCCTGAGTCTATGAGGTCTTGGACCAACCACGTCAATGGAGCTACTGCGCTAGTGCGCCTACGTGGAACGGATCAATTGCGAACAAAGGTTGGGCGCAAACTTTTTGACAATCTAGTTGTTCAGATTGTAAGCCATTGATTTCGGGATGAACGAAACGCTTTGACCTGACTGTTATGATCTAGCTCATCGACTGCCTCCAAAGGCGTCAAATGATCCCTCCGGATGTCATCGAATGGGCTGAGATTGCTGCTGAAGGTGAAACCAAGAAGGCGGTACCCGAGAGGCAGCTAATCCAAATAATTGGGCGCCTTTGCGCTCTGCGAGCTGCTGTAGATAGACCAGAAACCAACGACATTGGAGTCGCCACACTGGCGAATTTTATTGACTCTGATCTGGAAGATTGGAAGAACAGCCTTCCACCAGCCTTCTCTTACTCAATTAAACAGAGCCCCAACACCGAAGATGTCTTCTCCCACACGTATCACGTCTACAAAGGCACGTGGGCCCTTTCAGTCTGGAATGTATACCGTTGCGCTCGCATCCTCACCCAGCAAGTGATCACGGCTTGGCTTAGTCGCAACTCCATGCCGAATCCAGCACTTGACCAATCACAACGACGCCAATCCAAGGTTCTGCTTGCAAATCTTGCTCACGACATTTGTGCAAGTGCTCCCTTCATCTTGGGAGCCTCAAACTCGTCCGTGTACTCGTCCCGGCTCCCAAGAGCTGCGGCAGGGGCATCTCTGCTATGGCCTTTCTACCTTGTTGCAACGATGGATCAATGTCTTACCGGAATACGTGCTTGGATCATTACCCGGCTTGCACTGATTGGACGGCTCATGGGCATCAAACAAGCCGAGTCTTTGGCTAATGTTTTAAGAACCAAACGAGAGATCACGGCGTGGGATAAATTCGAGACAGCGCGCGCAGACGAGGTGCTTGATGAATGGTGAATTCCGCAAAAAGGCAACTAAGCGCGTGCTATATTCATCCGGTACGTCTGGGTATGAGAACCCACGCCCAGACTAATGCGATTCGGATCTAGAGATGTCTCGGGATTTCTATGCATTCTATGGTACAGACAAACGAGGCATCGAGTCATCCGATGCGGGAACACCGGTCAGGACAAGCAATCTGAGCCTCGACTCTATGATTTCAAACCAGAAGCAACTAAGACCATAAAATTTCCGCCAACGTGCTATCCACAAGCACTATCTTCAACATGGATTGCAATGCTTTCTAGAGCCTGAGTTCGGGCCCATTCCAGTTCGACCAAAGCCATGGACAGCAATGGCATGCGAGGAAACGGACGGCTGGGAGGCTGTCGATTCTTCCGATGATCACTACTGGGAGTGCAGCTCAAAGTCTGCCTCAGACCACGACCCGAGAACCCTGCTGTGGAGCGTGCCGAGCTGGCGTGCTCGCTCTCGTTTCCAGATGCTGAATCTCGAAATTGGTGTCGTCCATTTTCGCGTTGCCAAACTTAGGCACCAAAATGCCAGCCAAGGTATACACGATGACTATCAGGATCTCCTCGAAGATTGCCATGAATGCTCGTACAAGAACATTTCCGTTGATTGGAGAGAATGTCGAAATTGTCGAGAAGTATGCGAGGAGACTGAAGAGGATGCGAACACCGAGGAGTGGCAGCGCTACTATCAATGCTGATAGAACTCGCTTCTCCCCAGAGGGAAGGCCGTTGATTTGGCTTGCGCTCTTGGCAATGAGGAGGAAGAGGCAGATATAGATGATCAGGAAGATGATGAGGCCGGCTTTGATCAGTTTCTTTCCTGTGCTCTGTTCGGAAATTGAGCTGTCGGTCAAGTCGGAGCCACCAACAATGCAGATAATGAGCGCGATTGCGGCAGGGATCTGTAGAAGCTGGAGGAAGCGGCTGCGGTAGGATGTCGCAAACTGATGGACACCGAGTCTGCCGAATCTGGAGGAGAAAATTCAGTCTTGCTTTCCTCTAGACGGCTACGTTGACATCTCGAAGGATCGACTTACATCCTGCCTAGAATGGTATAAGATACCACAGTCTCGAATCGGCTCCGTTCCTGGATCGCACCTTCCGTTGGAACCCTTTTTGTGGTCTCATCGGTTCTGTTGCCATCCTGTGAGCCTCTGCTAGACAATCTCTGCTCCCAGGCATGACACTCACATCCTCTTCAACAACCCCAAACTTGCCAATAGCAGCGGACTTATCCCAACGCTGCCCAATATCGCGCTCCACTCCAGATCACTGACTTTGCTCGGCTTCTTCTCTGCTGCGATGCCTAGAGCAGCGCCAATGATCCGAATGAGGCAGAATATGGCGAGGTAGATCCAGCCTGATTGGCGATGTATACCATGGCGGAAGACGACGAAAAGCGTAAGGGATAGAAGGGGCAGGTAAATGGCCAATTCGGCGATGTCGAGGGATTCGGAAGGGGAGGGCATTGTGGAAGATGTTGGGCGCTGTCAAGGTACGTGGGCGTTATTGGTGGCTGTTTGTTTTGGTTTCGGTTTCGGTGATGTGAGCTGTTCTTGTGAGAAGGTCGAACGAATGCGAGGAAATCTGATTCTGTGAAACTCCTCCGTTTTGCGCGAGGGATGTCGAATATATATATCAGGAAGGGAAGCAGAAAGCAGATTTCCATCTGCACTGCCATTTTCCCCCGGCGCAACCTTGCCCCCATAAGTATCACACCTCGTAGCCATTACGTCTGGAGCGTCTGCCACAAGCTTTGGAAGCATGTAGCTACAGCGAGAGAGACTGGTATTTATCTCATCTCCGTCAGCTTCGCGAGGTGCAGCCCCGAAACAGCTTAGCGTAGGGCTGTGTCGCGCAGAAAGGCTTGGCGGTGCGCCGAGGATGAATCGGGTTAGCAGCGCGTTGCGTCGAAACGTTGCGGCGGTGCCGAAAGATGATGCATGGAAAAGTGAGAAGGAAACAAAATCTGATGTGATGGACTTGCCCTTTCTGATAGCCCCGTGGCTGGGGGGAGGGTGGAGGGACTGTGGCGGCTGCCATCTGGGCTGTTTTGTAGATGCAGGCATGCAGCATCCGGGGCACTGCGAGACTGACATCTCTCGAGAATGATGAATTGTTATAGCTGCCTGACACCTCCCCTTCCATTGGGTCTGAAGACTCAAAACGCTTACTATACGTGAGCGAGTACGAGCGCGGTTTCAAGACGCTATGAAGTTATTCTACTTCTTTATTTTATATATTCTTACTATTTCAAGGATTCTTTAATAAAACCTTACCATTCTACTCGCTCATCTTCAAATCATATCTAAATAGTATCAGGTGCTTCACGCTGGTAGTTTGAGACCTCTGTGCATCTATCGTCCTTTTTCAATAGATTGAGCAAAAGCAAAGAAAGGCTCGGCCATTCGATAGCGAGGCTGTGCGTCAGGCATTTGCGTTTGTATTTCTGGATAGGAAACAGCTTCGCAGGATGGCCTTAGATGAGAGAGGTGTTCTGGGTTGAACACCAATGAGGCTATTGGGACTTTTTTTTCCCGAAAACGTTGGCGGCGGATCTGGTTTGGGGGCAGGAGATGCTGGGAATGGAGGCGTGGACGTTTACGACTTTCATACTCTTCTTTCTTTTTTATTTCTTTATTTGTTCATGTGTATGTGCTTGCTATCTTATAGCACCATATTCCCCTACCTACCAGTAGCAGCCGCTCTGGCTCGAGCTCGAGCTCCAGCTTTACATCTTCCCTTTTCGGTTTTCTGGGTCACCACGGCACGGCTACGCTCCGTGGGGGGTTTTTTTTCTCTTCTTCTTCTTCTTCTTCTTCTTCTTCTTCTTTCTCACAATCTATACTCGCCCACCTTTCCGGACTTGGATCGTTCGAGCCTCAACAAACACGGATAAAAAAAGTGGAACAATCGGATAATCAAATCGCTTTTCTAGGGTGTACTTATGAGCCATTCTGGCTACGCATCTTTCTTCCGGGGGATAATGCGGTAGGCGGATGGAGACGATCGTGCGTGGTGTGGTGTGGGGAGGGAAGAGGGAAGGGGGAAAGGGTGATGGATAGATGGATGAATGGATAGGATTAGGAATGTGTGGGAAGTGGATTTAAGAAAAGCGGCACCTGGGATAAAGCGGGAAGGGAAGAAGATACGGGAGATGGAAATGAGAAAACGGTGGGTAGGAGGGAGGAACAGCTTCAAGAAGACCCTGTTCCATCAGAGATCGTTGTTTGAAGTCTGCCATTTTGGGATGCTGAATTCGCACGACGTGAGTGTTGCGTTTTGTGGATGGATGGGTAGATGATGAGATGCTGCCTGCTTGATCACCGTCGCATATCATAGAAATATCTTTCCCTGTACTGGGGAATGCATTCTATTTGCCGAGGAGAGCAGAGCGGAGTGAGGCTGTTCTGGGTCCTGAGTGTGCTTTGAAGACGGGACTGAGCTGATTAGAGAAGGGGGAGGGGGTGCGAAAGTAGTTGGCACGTAAATGGAAGGTTCTGCGAGAGGGAGCCTGTGTGTGGATTCTTCGCTCATGTGCACGAATTCGTCGAGACCTTCAGATACGAGCGTCATCCGATTTCATACCCAACCCTATCATCATTTCTTTTACAATCTCAGACGACGACCACCCGGCACAAATCCAAGCCTTCGCGTACACGTCCCAAGAAAGCTTGGAAATCGAAGACAGAAAACAGAAAATCAAGTCGGCGTCGGCGAAGGACAGCTCGAACACACAGCATACTCCCCACTCCCGTTCGTCAACGAGCACACATCATACGGCACCTGCGCCTCCTCGCACACATACTGGCAGCAGTGATCATACGGCGTCGGACACCCCGCAATGCTCAGCAGCCTGCCCGTGCACGTCGACGTCGGGAAGGGGAAGCTCGCCGGCGCCGTCGTGGCCGCGCTGCTGCTCAGCGTCGTCTTGGGCGGCGCGGTCGTCGTCGTCGTCTTGGGGGCCGAGGTTGCCGTCGTCGTCTTCTTGGAAGGGGTGGCGGTCGTGGTCGGGTAGGAGCACTGCGAGCATTGGGCCAGGACGGTGCGGTTGTTGGGCGAGCAGACGTCGAAGGGGACTTGGGCTTCGGCGCAGATGAAGGCGCAGCAGGGGTCGGGGGCGGTGGGGCACGCGGAGATGGATTGCGGGGTGCAGGTTGAGGTGTCGAAGGTGCTGCTGCTGCTGGTGGTTGTGGTGATGGGGGGCGGGGTGGTGGTTGTTAGGCAGCTGCAGGCGCTGGAGATGCGCTGGTGGGGCGGGTTAGTCAGGTGGGAGAGAGTGTATGAGGGGGGGTTGTATGTACGGAAGGGCCGCAGGTTGCGATGCCGCTTGGTGCGGTTTTGGTGCTGAGAAGGTGGTTAGTTGATGTCTCGAGGTGGTGGTGGAGGAAGAGATGAGCGTACGATGTTTTCAGGTACTGCTTGCAGAAGCTGGAAGAGGTGGATTCTTGATAGTGCTCGAGGGCTCTATAACAATTGTCTTGGTTGCATGTACCTGCCAGTGTGACTACTATGAGGCTGGCAACTGCCGTCAATATGAAGGTGACGTGCATTTTGGCTTGTCACAGGCTGTTGTAGTTGTAGCGTGTGCTTGCAGGTCTCGATCAATGCGGGTCCTGCAGGAGAAATATGGGAAGCCAATGCGACATGGCCATGGTTTTATACCTGCATCTATTACGCTTGGCAACGAGGGGAATATTTCGTGTAAGCTGCATGAAGCAAGCTGAGAAGCAGAAGCGAGAAGCGACTGCCCCTATTTTGGGAAACGATAGTTGATTGTTATGCGGGAGGTCCATTGGGCGTGGGGCTTGGGGCGTGAAAGATCATGGCTTCGAGGTTTGAGTTGTGAGCGGTCAGGAACTAGAAGGAGTAAGCTGCATATAAACGAGATCAGCTGCATAAACATGTGCAATAGTGCAGAAAATATTTCCTGATTGGGAGGGAAAGCGGGATGTTTTCGGTAACAGTAAGCGGAGTATGCGGGAGCTTGGGCACGCTTGGAGATCCTCGGGCATCTTCCTTGGAGGTGGGCTCTCCATAAGCTTACTCCATACTCCATAATCGAGCAAGCTGAAGCCCCGAGGTGTCAAGACTGGCGACCCTGGCCAAAGTTGCCTGACCACCACCAAAAAATCAATGCTAACAGACAATGCTTCCGCAACGGTGCCGGCGCATCGTACTCGATTCCTGCATAGAGAATTACGTAAATTTGAAAAAACATGATATGGAAAAGATATCGGCCTATTGTAAGCTTGGGTAAAGCTTACATTGCTGAGTGGAAAGAACCATACCAGGTAGTACAGGAGAAATGTAAGATCTTAGGACCAAGACTAGTGACACCAAAGGAGTAGAAAAAGAAGAAGTGGTGACACTGACGGAGAATTCACTGACGCCAGTCTCATCCTTGTCAGTACCGCTTCTACAACACTTGACACTGCCAGTCCCGATTCAACCTTCGCAAAAAGATACAGAATCTGGCCTTGCTTTGCATGGCGGCAGGAATACAGTCGTCTGGCCTGCTGATGTTTGCCCTTGGGCCTCCGTCCTGACGCTGCTTTGCGTCTGTGTTGCACAGGGCGGTGGGATTTTGATGTCGGGTAGAGTAAAATTCTTGGAATCGATGATGCTGACGGGCTGCCAGGTATCTTAAAGGTTCCTCTTCAAGCTTGAGATGAACAAGATGCGTGAAGAAAGGAACTGCCCTTTCAACGAACCTTAGATAGCCCTAACCCTAACTTGAACTTTCCAGCCGCCCCACAGCACGAGAAGATAAATTGAGGAAATAACCCGTGCGGCCACCTTTAATCACCCACCAATTAAAAGGATTTTATTTAATTATCTTTTTAATTAATAAAAAATATTTGATTTTTTTTTTTTTTTAAACCCCCCCCCCCCCTAATTTAAAAATAATTAAAAATTATATATATTATAACTATTATTTAGAGATAATAGTGTTAGAATTAGTATAGATGCGATACTAGTATAAGTGAGGTAGAACGAGGATAATAAGGCTATCGAACTATGTATGTGGGAAGAAGGCATGATATGATAGGGGATGCCTCCGCCAAGGCCCGCTAGCCATAGGGCTGAGTGATGTGTTAAGAGTACGCTCGTAATATTATCCCTCTCTCTTAAAGAGCTATAGCCTCTATAGCTAATAGATCGAAGATATAGATCTATTACTTATCTTATATCTCTAAATATCTATAGTCTCTATAGGCCTTAATTAAAGAAGATTTATCTAGGATTCTTTAGAGAATTAGAAGATATAGAATATATCTTATCTATGTGCCTATAAGACTCTTTAAGCCCTTCTTTAATATTCTTATTATAGTCTTTCGAAAGAATTATCGCTCGCTGAAATTCATAGAAAATAAAGACTTTTAATATATACTATATTAGGTTAAATTAATACTTTTCTTCGACGACGACTACGATAGCGATATCGCGTCTTAAAGATTTCGCTAACGCGTTATTAATAGTACTTTATCGTAGTATTAAGAGACTTTTAATTTAACGAGAATTTATAAAGAATTAAATAGATAATAATTATTGGCCGGAAAGGTATGGTATATCCATGGGATATTCATATCAGTGATACCTCCGTACCCGGGTATGGTATGAGTAGGGTCGGATACCATTCATTTTTCTGGTATGGGTTCGGGATCTTGGCGGGATATCCCACGGTATGGTATATCTGTGGGATCATACCATGGTATGGGATATGTATGGGATATCGGTTGGGATTTCTATATTTAGAAGTATAAGTAGCTATTCTAGTCATCATTCTGCCAACCATGGCTACTACTACCATGGCTACCACTCCCATGGCTGCCACTACCGTGGCTGCTACTACCATAGCTACTATATAATAGTAGGCTATTTCAATAATAAATAGTAGCAGCTATGATAGTGGCAGCCATGGTAGGCAGCCATGATAGTGGCAGCCATGGTAGGCAGCCATGATAGTGGCAGCCATGGTAGGTAGCCATGATAGTGGCAGCTATGGTAGGCAGCCATGGTAGTGGCAGCTATGGTAGTGGTAGCCATGGTAGTAGTAGCTATGGTAGTAGTAGCCATGGTTGGCCGAATGATGACTAGAATAGCTATTTATACTTCTAAACATCTGTAAATCTAAAAGTTTCTTTCCGCACGATTTCGCCGGGTCGCATTATAAGCACGATTTAGCACGATTTAGTCTATTAAGAGACTTTCTATATCTAATCCTTTTCGCTAGTTCTCCAGTTTAGCAACTTCAAAAATTTTCAGCAACTTCAAAAATTTTACGCAATGACTCTAATACACTCTAAGTACTATTTTACATATGATATTAATATATATCATTATCAACATACGTATCATTGTGCGCTATATCGAGTATACCACGCGATTAATTTTATTAAATCGTTTAATTCTATAGCTAAATTTAAGTTGACGTTAATACTTATCGTTATAGAACCTTATCGTCGTAACGTCGATTATTAGAACTTTTCTTTTTTCGTGCGTATTGCTGTTAAACTAATAGAACTGGCGGAAAAGATTAGGATAGTTACTAAACCGGCGGAATTTTGGTTGATTTTTAAGATAATTGCTGAATCGACGGAATTTTTAATTTCAGCCTATTCGCAAGATTAGTAATTTAAAATTTAGTAGAAACTTTTTAGATTTGCAGATGAATATAGAAATCCCAACCGGGATATTATATATATCCTATTTGGTATGATCCATAGTATATTATACCGTGGGATATCCTGCAAGATCTTATACTATACTAGGTATGGGATCATGTAAATCTCAATAATCTATATCATGAGAGTATGGTATGGCAGGTCAATATCTCTGTCTATCATCCTTTCCGGCCAGTAAATTAATAATTGAAAAGAATTTATTATATAATGATTATCTAATATAATAAAGAATAAATCGATAAAATGATATAATCTAATTCGTCGATGTCTCTCGAATCGAATCGAGCCGTAGGCGCTAAAACTCTAAATTAATATTAAATGATTCTGATGTAAGTTTTTTATAGGGTATCTATATAGTCGATATCGATTAAGGCTATTAACGGCGATAGTAAGATTTATAAATAATATATAATAGCTTTGAAAGATCTTTATATATATGATAATAAGGGAGTTTAATTAATAAGCTTAATATAAGGCTATTAATAAGCAATATAAGTCTAAGAAATCGATTTCTTAATGTAAAAAAAGAAGGCTATTCTAATATCGAATGATTTTAATTCGTTTAAAAATACGATATCTAAAGTATTATCGAGTTATTTATAGAAAGCTCTAGTAACTAAGCTCGTATACTTCGTCGAAATCTATATCGAGTTCGAAGTATTTACTATACTTTTATATATAAGCCTAATTCTTATTCGTAAGATCCTCTATCTTAGTAAGATTTAAACTCTCTATATTAAAAGTAGGGCGAGTTATAATTGAGTATTTATTCTTCTTTACGTTAGTCTCGATCTTTACTTTTACGTATTACTTCGCGAATCTTTTAACTTTCTTTTCGATAAATTTCTTAATAGATTATTAATATTTAAGCTATATTTTTATAATATATTTCTTTAACTAAGACGTAGTTTAATCTCTTACTATTAGACGAATTAAGTTATAGAAACGAAGTTTTAATTTCTTCCGTATATCGTTTATTAGACTCTTATTTCTAAAATCGTTAAGACTATTATTTCTAAATTATATTTAATATACTTTATAAGATTATCGTAGAATTTAAGAAATAATTAACTTTCTTAACTTGTTTTATCGTAAGTATGTTAATAGATTATTCTAAGAATAAATAAGGATACTTTATATACGTTGCTTAAATGATCTAAAGATCATCGACTATAGAGTATAAGCGATATCGTCGTCTGATAGATACGTATTGATTAACTTTCTCTTTAAGTCTTGCTATAACGTAGGCAATTTTAAAAGTATCGATAAGAAAATGATTATTATTGTGGGTAAGCTTGTCTCGGTTCTCATTTTCTAGTTATTAAATGGTATTGAATTAGTATCTGTGAAGATAGGTGGATCTAATAGCCTTGGCTGGTGGCTGTCTGATTTGCGGTTATCGATTTGCTCTAAGTGCCTTAAAATCTCGTGGAGTGGGTGGTGGTAGGGATAGAGGCGGAGGCGGAGCAGAGATGTTAGGCGAGTTTTGGGCCTGTGTTTTTCTTATTGTTCTGGTATCTCCTGCGAAGAAGAAGAGACTAGAATGTTAGGCGGATTTTAACCTTATGTCTTTTTAGATGATTTGATATCTTATAATATCGCTAGTAGAGGTCTTTAGTAGATAGAGAACGCTATACTTATAATATACGAAGTAACGACGAGTTAGAGGTGAGTATCTTCTATGTAAATCGTCGTATATAAGATAAGGTGTCTAAGATATATAGGTGATCGGCGATACGGAGGGCGTATTTTGATATTGATGTAGGTGAATTTAAGTAAGAATTTAAGGAACTTATAATGTGTTAAATATAGGTGAAAATAGAGCGGAGAAGATAGGCGTAAAAATGGCGATTTTGATTGGGCTTTCCTGTTCGAATAGTGTCTTTACGGAGTGAAATAAAGAGATCTCTAGAATATCGGTACTGTAAAGGTATATGCGAGTTGAGAAGGTGGTAAATCTCTATATTAAGAGTCGAGTTCGACTGTAACGCTCGAGGGTTTTATTATACTCGTTTCTTAGCTAGTTAAGTCGCCGTAAAGCCTATAAGTACTCTAAATAGTATTCTTTCGAATGGTAGGAAGTCCGCGATAGTCTATTACTCGGCTATAGATTCTTTACGAAGAACGAAGTGAAGAAGAATTTCTTATATTCGATATAGGGGACTCGTTTTTTAATAGATTAGACTATCGTTAATGATATAGATTATCTAATATAGATTCTTCGAATAATATAGATATCTGATAATTTAAATGTGTGATAGGGTTTCTATATAATAGAAATACCCAGCGTTTTCTTTATTAGGCTCGGTCGCTTACTTTAAGTAGAAGTAAAAAGACTCGTTAGTTCTCTTCGTCGGAGAGTATATAAAGAAGTCTTATTATAATGTTAGGATTAGTATAGATACGATATTAGTATAGATGAGATAGAACGAGAATAATAAGGCTATCGAACTATATATATGAGAAGGAGATATAATATAATAGAGAATATCTTCGTTAAGATATTAGGCTATAGAATTAAGTAATATATTAAGAGTACGCTCGTAATAAATAGCTTTAATTTATCTATATATAATTCGATTTTATTCTCTTAATAATACTAATCTCTTTTAGACTATTTAAATAACTTTTCTATCTTTTTTATCGCTCTTAACTTTATAATATCGCGATTCTATAGCTAAGAATTAGTAATATTAATAATTAACTCGATATTACTCTAATAGATTAGAGATCTTTCTAAGATAAATTTCGATCGAATAGCTATATCTTATTATTAATATTCTAAATTAAGATTAATTTTCACGTATATAAGTAATATAAGTAGCGGGATTTAACTAGTAAGATGAAGAGAGTCTCTATATATATAAATATATTACTATACTTTAAAAGAGATAAATTAGTTTCTAAAGTTTTATCGCCTCTAGTAGCTATATAATATTCTAATTTATTCTTAAAATTATTATATAATTAAGTAGCTTTATTATTCTTAATAGCTTTTTCTACTTTATTCTATATAATTCTTTTAGTCGATTAATCTCTTCTTACTAGCCTCGTATATCTTATATCTATCTATAACGATATCTTAATAGTCTTATAATAGCTCGATCTAATTAAGATCTAGTAAGTTTAATAGATATAAAGCCTTTTTAATTTCATATCTTTATCGATCTATTTTATATACTTAGACTACTTTAAAGTATAATTTAATATTATTCTTTATAAGATATATTACTTAATTAGAGTATTTCTATATTATAGTTTTATAGAGTAAATATAAAAGTAATAAAAGATTTTTCTTAGTAGAAAAATTAATCTATATCTTTTAATTATATACTTCGTATAAGTAACTCGAATTTCTATACTTATTTAGACTTCTTTTAAACTTTAAAGTCTATACGTTCGAAGTATTCTTATACTTATCGATCTATATTAAATTATCGAATATTAGTATTAATTTTCTTTAGTTCTCGATACTTTTAAGTATCTAGTTATTAGCCGTTAACATTTAATATAGACTTTCCTTTATATATATATTTTCGCAGTTAATATATATTATAACTCGTCTCGTTCTAGAATAATCTCTTTATTTTATATTACTATAGATATATTAAACTTCGTATTAAATATAATTATAGTATTTCATCTAAGAGAACTATAATTATTTTATATAAAGAGGCGTATATTCTAGAGCTAACCTTCGCCTATAGTAATTGTTTTTTTATAAGAATGTTTATTAAAGAAGGATAGATCTCGTTAGAAAGATAAAAATAGCGCTCTTTTCTAGCTCTATAAGGGCTTAATAAAAGTTATTAATTTTTTTTTTTTTTATTTTTTTTTTTTTTTTTTTTTTTTAATTTTTTTTAAAATTTTTTTTAAAATAATTAATTAATTTTTAAAAAAAAATTTTTAATTTTAAAAAATATTTTTTTAATAATAATAAAAAAAAAAAAAAAAATAAAAAATTAACATCTATTTTTGCTCTATATCCTCGTATTTCTCTTAATAAAAAACTCTTATAGTAACGATATAAGCCCGTAGGCCTATATATATATCGCGTATATCTCGTTAACGTTCTTAATTTCTATTAGATATAACTACTATAAATATAACTTTAAAAATAATTATTTATTTATATATAAATAATAATCTACGACGAGAGATAATGTTAAAAAAATAAAAAATATAGGTTTTATAATTGGTGGAATGATTAGTTATAAGACTAGTCTATTTGATTGATACGTGATTAAAAGGTGGGCCCCAAAAATTTTTTTTTTTTCAGAAGTGAGTTCTTTGTAGAGCGAGGACACCAATGAATCCTTCCACTTAGCCGAATATCGGTTAATCTATTGGTGTCCTCGCTCTATCAAAGAACTCACTTTTGAAAAAAAAAAAGATGGCAAGGGCCGTGAGGACGAGTCTTTAAGAGGTGCCGGCTCTGTTGCCTTCCCAATTCACTTACCCTATACAAGGCCATGTCTTCACAGACTTCAAGAAAGCCGATACACGGTAAAAGGGATCATAAATGTATGATCTTGGTTGACGCACACACACGGAACAATGAAAAGAGCATGTTCTATGGAACTTCGATCCGGGATGCAACGGCGCACTCCGGCTTGCTGTAAGCAGCTCTCGCGAGTCACGTCTGACAGCGGGATTCTCCCATCATTAGGAGAGCGTACAGGTATTGCTTCCGATAATCATTTCGATTATTCTCTTACTTTCTTGCCTCGCGTGTCCGGACGTTGGTCTACATTTTCATCAGGAGTTATTCATAGGAATCACATCTAGCAACATACCTCTGTGATGACTGGCCTCGTCTCAAGGGTTCTTGGCGCTTTAGCCAAGACGTTCTCGTACTATTAAGTACTTGGTTGCATGCTGCATATCCGTTAAATACTCGGCTATCTCAGCCAATCACAACGCTCATTAAGCGAAAGTTGATGTGAGTGCCACCAAGCGCAAAATGTTGACTTTTTAGGGGAAACTCGGTGGACAGGGTCAACCTCTTCTGGCATCGCACCTGAAATGGAGGGTTTTAACAACCAGTTCCCTTGCAGGTCGACGAATGTTTTTAGGAAAAGTGCGTGGGCAGGGTCACTTTTTTCTGGCTGGACCGTAGGATTTCATTCAGGACTTCCGCCCCTATGCATGACTTTTGCCACATTCACTTGTCTTCTACTGAATGCTACTACTGCAAACTTATGCCCATGAGAAGGGCGTTAGTGCCCCATAAATAAGCGTATATCTCATTGGTATCCTCTTTAACTATGGGAGTCGGGTATTCACTGGTGTGACGCAACACTCATGATCGGGACGGGGACACATGGTACGAGTGCAATCAGTGTAGCATGGTGTTCAACAGACTGCTAGGACTGGCATTCGATCTCGCATGCTTGTACCCCACAAATCAACACTCTTGTTTAACTGCCATCCATCTAGTCTTCCGAGAGCCTCGACGATTTCTCTAGTTCTTGGTAGAAGTTGTCTTATGATCATCGTACCTGTATCCCGTCATGTTAGCTTGAGTCCGTAGATCTGTTCTAACTCCGGGCGAGGTAATACCCTGGAGGTCCCGATGAGGACGATGACGAGGCCTCGTACGCTGGTGGCATCTCCTCCTTCTTGCGACCCCATGGCGCTCGACTGAGTTCCTCTTCCCGCCACAACCTGTAATCCTCGACGTTGTACCTTCCCATACAACGATGTGTCACCGTGCGATTATCCGGCAATCTTGTCTGCAAGGCGTAGAACCCGCTGAGCATCTTGCGTTTGACGATAAAGGGCCCATCACCGCCGCCTTTTACGTAAACTTGGGGTACCAGAGGGAAACAGAGTTTGCTCTTCTTGTGGCTGTTGTGGAAATTTGTTAGTATGATGTTGACGAGCTTGTTTGGGGAGCTGGTGGGTGGTTGTTGGAAGGAGGAGGAACAAGCCACTTACTACTTTCCAACGGTACCAGGGGGAAGTCAAGAGATCGTAGTCGTCGCGGTGAGGGATGAAATGCCAGTGGTGATCGGAACATCTGTACACTGGTGGCGCTTCCCGTGATTCTGTATGTGGTGCCATACTCGAGCGTTGGGTCTGGGAAGATGAGATATGCAATGGATGCAGAGTCCGAAGAAGAGACTGCTTTATTGAGTGGGAGATTTAGGCTGCCAACCGAGATACGTTGAAGGTTCCTCAACATGAAACAGGTTTCCGCTAGCTGAATGATGAGGCTGCTAAATGCTTATTTATCGAAGAAACGGAGTCTAACAGGCGATAACACGAGTCAAGTGTTGAGGTAGAAGTAAGGTGTTGAATTAGAAGCAAAGTGTTGAATTAGAAGCAAAGTGTTAAAGTAGAAGCAAAGTGTTACAAAGCAAAGTGTTAAAGTAGCAACTTCGCGCTGCCTGCCCATGGTCGCATGGCCAGGATTGGTCGCCCTGCTGATTCAAGGCTGAAACTAGCCTAGCCGGGGAATAGAGGGACAATCTGACACAGGCGGCAAGCTGTGAAACTCATGTATCTTCTAGGCTAGCTGAGTCTGAGTCAAATACGAAGTGTGAAGATCAGTCCTCCCCTCTCAACACAAAATCTCCTACTCGAACCTAAGGGAGCAACATCTTGACAGATTTCAACCTCAACACCTCGCTGAGAGTTATCACATACTCTACACCTTTATTCATGATACTTGGAGAAGAGTAGCAACACTTCTGAGTCTCAACACATCTTTAGCATATCCCTTCACCATCTAGTGTCTGGCATAGTCGGCATTGACGTCTCGACGTCGCAAAGAGAGGATGGCGGATTGTGGATACGGAGACCGGAGACACAGCTCGGAAACTGTGCCTCATGGCGAGAGCAGAGACGCAGTAAGCCAATTCGTACACACCAAAGCTCTCACGAGAGGTTCGAAATAATCCTGGTTCAGTCGCTGACGTTTTCAAGCCTGCAGTTCCCGCCAAGCACCAGCGAGATGTGAAAACCGAGCGCGTCGGGCTACTGAGCTTATCTCGCGAACTGCGCGACAAGATTTATGACCACCTTCTCCGCATCGAGAGATGGGACATCTTGAGGTACAAGAGAGACCTTTGTAAGCTTGATCTGTCGATTCTACGCGTCAACCAGCAACTCCATCAGGAAGCTTCCGAGATCTTTTATGAGGGAAACACTTGGGTGTGTATCACAATCGAACCAAGCCTCCTCGAAGCCCTATGCAATGAGTGGGTAGCAGGTCGGAAAGGCTTCCGTGGAGATAAACCAGTCTCGTTAGCCACTTACATCCGTACTGCCCCTGTAGCAGCTGCGACCGTGACCCTACAACGGCTCCCACAGTCCGGTCCTGGGATCAGTCTGATCCCTCTTCTGGTGTCCTCGTTCGCAGTACCGCGGCTCTGCAGAATTCTCACAGTTTACGCCAATGTTCGCGGGCTCGATATTCGCGTGCATCTAAATGCACTGACCGCTGGAAAGGTGAAGAGAGCTTGGCACGAGAACTTGCTGGACTCCTTCAAGGACGCCAGAGGGTTCGGCCGCGCAACGATTTCCGATGCTCAGGGGAATTCACCGCACGTCGAGCTCGCAACACTAATGATGTCGCCGTTCAAGCATTTTCAGGAAATTATTGATCGAGCCTCCGAACATCACGACCGTGCCCGTCAAAAGGAAGAGTTGGGCCGGCTTTCCGAAGCGCGCTATGGCTACCAAGGCGGCTATGATTTTACCTTGTGGTTTGACCGCTCAACTCATCAGCTGGGCTTCTCAACACGTATCCAATATGACGGGGAATTAGGCAGATCGTATATTCAATTGCGGACTAAATTGGCCTTCTCGTGCGCCTTCCTATGTATCAAGCTTGGCGATCTGGACTTGGCATATCCCATTATCGAAAGGATGCACGATCACAATGTAGCTTAAATGGAGGCATGGTTTCTTTGTGGTCTGGCAGATCTATCGATCGGTGCTGACAACGCGGCTGCGTACTGGTTCCTGCAAACGTTGTGGAAAGAGCCGGGCCACATCGGCGCGGACGAGGCAGTTGACGATATGGAAGCAAAAGTGCGATCCTGCACTGGGCTGAGCGACTGCATAATCTTTCACAACATCGAACAGGTGTTGCAACCTTTTCGGCACCAGACACCAGGTAGTTCTGTGATGAGCCAGGATGAATACAGGCTCCTTTTCCAACGATGGTATATTGGCAGAAGGGAAGTAGACTCTATGAGTTATGGTAGAATTGTTGAAGACTCCATAGAATTGCGGATGGTAGAAACTTTCGAGATTGGAGTGGAAACCTGATATCCTGTTCATCACAGTGGCGTGTACCAATGGGTCGAAAATGGAATAGACTACCTAGGGATAGACCACAAAAGTCCTATTGCTTTATCTCCTGACCCTCACCTTGCGTGTACTTTCATGACCTGGCACCTCTTCATCTCTTGATGTCCTGGCTTGCGGCTCGAAAAAGTCGAAACAGTGCAAGCTCTGGAACAACAGACAGCAGAACTTGATTGAACTCTGGCTGGTTCAGCGTGGGAAGCGTCATTGTTCCAGCCTGCCTTCCATATTCACTTCCTCTCAGCCTTGAAGAAACCAGACAAGCATTCGCCTCAGGACTTTCACCACTCCGACTGCGGCTAATATTTGGTCTCCTCCAAAAAGACTGTCCATTCTCATACTCTTTCCAATTGCAGGTCCAAGAAAAACCTCACGCAAACATAACTCTGATACATGAGTCTTGCTGTTTACATTCATTGGTGTTTGCAATTTCACTGAGAATCCAGTGACAAGGGGAAACCAAGAACGTTAAAATTGTCCGACGGAATCCACCTGGCACTGGCTCCGCATCAAGCGTCCTTCCTTGCAATCTCCTTGATCAAAGTCATGACTAAGTCAACCTGATTTAGATCAGGACTATGCCCAGCATCCCACTTTCCACCCTTACACCCTTCACCGATATTCTTGATGTTCATCTCCTGCACAAACGGCGGGACCGCATGGTCTCTCTCACAAAGCAGATAAGGACACGGCACCGCGTCGTTGAAGCAATGATTGGCGATGATTTGCTCAAAGGATGCCAGCGCATGCGGCACCAATTAGGACGCGTAGAATTGAGCGTCGAGTGGTGACATATCGTTGAAGAAGACGTCCTGGGGATTTGCGGGGTTGCAGATTCGACCGTGTTTCAGGGAATTAAGATTGAGCCAGTGGAGTTTCCGAGTAAGGTATGCTAGGCAAATTCTCCATCACAAACGACGCATGCTTCCCCCTGGTCGCCCGCAGCATAGAAAGTGTCTTTTGGAATCGCTAGCGAAGTCATGGACAGTATCGCAACTACACTGCCATCATTTCCCTGCTTCTCCCTCACGGATCGTACGAAAGGCCCAGCGGCAGCACTTCCGGATATGCCGCCGTACGAATGCACGACTAAGACTACATCTCTGCCCTGTTCACCAATCACATCCTCCCAGCGAGAAGTGATCATTGCGACATCGTTAATGAGACCTCTTTGGCATTTCCAGAGGTGGGTAAGGCGAGAGGGACAGTGGGACAGGATTGCGATGAGGGTGCTGTTGCAAGGGGGGCAATGTAGATTGGGGTGTGCCAGGCGCCGGCGACGATCACGATTGTGGGTTTCGCTTTGGGAGCGTTACGGTTGCCATGTTTCATCGATTATATATAGGTCTTGAGATCAAGTGCTCAACATTCGAGAGACGTTGAAGGATAGGCGTTGTTTAGGTAGCCATTTGAAGGGATCAGAAAGAGCACTCAGCTGCAGGTCAAGTGCCTTAGTGCGGGGTCGGCCTTTGCTCAAGGGCGCCTAGCGACATCTTCATATCTAGAAATAGCGATAGAACGAGTTAGTCTTCTTTTAATAGTATGCTGCAGAGCTCATAGCGTTCTTTCAAGAGGGATTAAGAGATGACTGTAATCGCTTGACATCTTATTCGGCGTATGCGAGAATAAAGCGCAACGAGAACACAGTAGAGGAGGATGAGGCAAATCTAGACTCTCTGCTCATATCGTGAGCCGAACTCGGCCTGTCTGGTGAGACGAAGCAGTTGCAATAAGGCATCAGACCACGCTGTTCACACAGGTTTGAAAGTGCCGCATGGTGCCCAAAAGCCATCTTAACCAGTCATCTAAGCCATGGTGATAGACAACAGCAATAGCGCTGCCAGTACTGCTGCTGAACAGGATGTCATTCGATCCAACACAAGATTCTTCGAAACGTTTTTGAGACTGAAGCTCGGTGGAGAAAAACCTTGGCATCACGTGATCTCGAGCTAATAGTCCGTCTTTTGTGTCACAACTCCTCTTCCTCCTCCAAGTTTCATCAACGGCAGCCTCGGAAGTCTGCGCTCACGCCACAGCCTTTCCCTATTCTCACTTTAGGAATAGTAGCACTGGAGACTTCCCAACCAAGTTCTCGCAACCGGCACATCAATAGGCCCAAGGGATCCCAGTTGAGGTGGGACATTGAGCGTTGGAGCGGATACTCGAAACCACTTGCCCGCCAAAAAAACCCATGTACGTATGGCACCCGGAGATGAGACTCGCTGTTTTCAAAGACTGACCTCGCCATAGAGCAAGATGTCTGCATTCGAGAAGCTGCCCAGAGAGGTCCGCGATCTGATCTACGAACACTGTCTCCTCTACCACGGAGAGATAATCCCATTCCCTACCAGCCACGACTACGAGAAAGAAGAGATCAAAGGAGGGTCCAAAGCCAGCGATTGCACGGCCTCTTCATCACAACAACCTCCTGTGCGGAAGGATGGTCGCGACGCTTTCCTGGGGTATCCTCATGTCAAGCGAGAAGCTTTCCAAACCGAGGACAAGCCTTGCGTCGCTCTGCTCGGTGTCAACTCTGCTATCCGTGACGAAGCGGCACGCATCCTTTTTGGCGAGAATGTTTGGCGACTCTCTCCAAGACCTTACGCGCAGGATGACAAGTATCGCTTGTGGGAGACGTATGCCAGATACTTTCGTCAGGTTGTCACCAGTTTCGACGCTCGCGATATTGATGAAACGCAACTTCTAGATATCAGCATGCAGAGTATGGAACGCGTTGATGAAGATGAAGACTCAGATCACTTTGACCAGGCAGGAACAGCCAATATCCACCAAGATCAGCTGAGCTTACTGAAGGATCCTTTAATAGCGAAGAGAAACATTCTGCGCCAAATGGATCTTAAATCTCTGTCGTTCGACTTCACAAATCTGTTCTGTCCAAGCTGGTGCTGTCGCCGTGAGGCTCTCCAGGTTTGTGTAGAATCTCTGGGACCGAGCGGGCCGTGGTATAGGTCAGAGCGAGAGCAAGGCCGCGACTTGGAGACCAAGCTAAGGACCGATGTCAAGGTTCTCGGCCTGAAGAACGAGAAAGAGAAGAAGCTCTTCTGGAAAACTTGGGGCTTGAAGGTGGATTGAAATGGGACATGATGTAGCATTAGGGGAAACTATTGGTTAGACTCCAGACCTGACAAGGGACATCGAGGTTTCATGCGGTTAATGTTAGCAAAGCTAAGCTAGTCTCCAACACATAGCACCATTAGTTGCTTCCAGCTTGCAACAGAGAAGAGAGAGATATCTGTCCAAGTAATGCCGCATAGATTTGCTGATAGGGTTGATACGAGCAACTCTTGACATGTCTTCGGAGTAAATCGAACTGTTCCGGCTTGGCACCACGTGACTTGGCGCTAGTGCTCGACCTCATGAACCTCACTTTCTGAACCCAAAACATCTACCTTGCCCCTCCATATCTCATCCACAATTCACAACTCATTCGATAAGTCTCAAGAGGTCCACCTGTCTGATCACATCAAATCATCACAACATAGCTACATTGCACCTGCAGCGGATCCTTGACGAGGTACAGTGTTGAGGCAGTCCCACCTCACTTGCTCAAATCTCACTGTACTAAATTGAGTTCAGCATTCCAATCCAATCACCTCAATCTCTCAACTCACCACAAGAGCAAGATGTCTGCATTCGAGAAGCTTCCAACAGAGGTTCGCGATATGATCTACGGGTACTGCCTAATCTACGACGGGGACATCATTCCTTATCCGAATATCGACGAGAGAGAACAGATTCAAGAAAGCTGGCGCAAACCAGCAAAACCGTGCATCGGACGCCTAGGTGTCGAGTGCAACCTGAAGCAAGATCTTCGTTCATGTGCGGGGATAAGGTACGCCACAGACTGGCCAAGCGTTGCCCTTCTGGGTGTCAGTAAAGGTATCCAGGAGGAAGCGGCAAGTGTCCTGTTTGGCAAGAATGTGTGGCGTTTGTCCTATGTTGAGCACTGGGAGATGGGAGAGGAGAATGATTTTTGGTTAAGCTACGCCCGCCATTTCCGTCACATCTCCAGTCACATGACATTGAATGACGCTGGCAATATGCTCTACTACATCAAGATCTCCAGAGCTGCCGGAAAGTCAAGGCAATAGAGCCATACAAAGATGAAAGAAGAAGTCCACGACAGGAGCCTTGTCTACCTAAGCAACTTAAATGGAAGTACCGGCTTTTATCTCAGATGAAAAACCTAAAGTCGTTGGTATTCAATGTCGAAAATCTATTCTGCCCTCATGGCTGCTGTCGCAAAGAAGCGCTCCGCAGTTTCTGCGAGAAAATGGCTGAATACGGACCTTGTTACAGACTGGGAGTCGATGAGAACGTGGGAAGTAGTGGGGAGGCCACGACCGACAATGTTGTCGACGTCGAGACAAAGCGCAAGGTTGTCGTCAAGGTGGTTGGCCTTGAAGACGACTCGGAGAAGGAGCTTTTTAGGAAGTATAGGAAGTACTTGGGGCTGGAAAGGGACTAAGGTCGAGATCAATGAGGAGCTCGTTGGATCTCTGCCTGGCAGTCTGTGCGAACAGATACGAACGTAGATGCTTGGTGCTGTTACAGATATGGAAATCTTGCGTTGTCGCTGGAGATCAGACGGTGGCGCTTGAGCACGATGGATCATAAACAGGTCAAGATATGAGCGTGGACCATGCAATACAGAGTCTGCCGCAATGAGAAATTGGTGGCAGATACAGTGAGCACCAAGAACTGCCATTGAAGCGAGGAGACAGCGGAGATCACAGACACGACGCACAGGAGAGTCACCATTTGCATTGGCACGAGCTATTCTAACTTACGGCTGAGATAAACACCAAATCAATAAAAAGGCTTTGAAGAGCAGTGTGATTATGCGTTCCCGTTCTTTTCTACCTCGCCGCAGCCGCGTCCCCCACCCACAATCTATTAATGCCCACCTATAAGCAGAACCATTTGAATCCTCCAAGGGCTGCGGCAGGTAATAAGGAATTTCCAAAGGCGAATATGAACTTCGCTTTGTAGACTGCTGATGACACGAATGTGGCTTTTCAAGCAGCGGCGCTTCAGACACTGAGTTGCATATCGCGTCTCAATGGGCAGGAATATGATGAGTCCATGTGAAAAGCGATGAAGGGCAAGAAGGCGGACCTGACGAAAATCTGCGCGGAGAGCAGGAGGAGCGTGTTGGGACAATCAATCTTGGCTGTCCTAAGTGCAGTCAAGCGAGAGCGCTGCTTGTAGAGCATACGGATGCCTTGCTGGAAAATGTGATGGACTTGTAGGGGCGGTTTCTGGGGAACGGCTCGGGCGCATTTTTCGGGATACTGGAACTGTGCTTCTGAAGTACTGCGACCGCTTCACGATGAGTAATAGGAAAAGTACGCTTTGTAGTGACCTCTAGCCTTGCGAACGTCTGAGAGTTGTGTTTCACAGTACAACAAATGTCGACAACGCCAGCACTCTACCGCGTTGGACCGTCCGACCAGAGATCGCTGCACCGTGGTCCTTGTCAAAGCCATGCCCACCTCCTCAACATGTACAAGCCACGTCCATTTCGCGTCAAGCATGCCCTGATACTCCAGTTATTTCAAGGTCCTCCGGAGTTAGAGGTGGCGCGTAGTATAAGCCTCTTCACCATAGTCGATACACTTCTGCCTTCTTGGACCTTTAGGAGGAGTGCTCCATTATTGGTCAAATTGTTTCCATGCGGAGGTTTGGGTCGTACGGCTGCGAGTCGTCCGAGGGGGAAGACCAAAGCTGTGGGTCAAGATTTTCGAGATCTGGATGGTAGGGTTCGGTGAAAGTTCCCTTGCGGTCGGTTGGGTGGCAAGGTTGCAAGTCATCCGAGAAAGAAAACACAAGCTGCGGGTCGAGGTCTTCGATGTTTGGATGGTAAGGTTCGAAGCTGTTCGATGGTGGAGACGTTGATTGAGGCTCATTTTGCTCGTAGCCATTAAGCAGGGACATGTTCGTAGTGAGGCCATCGTATCCAATATCACTAAGTTCATAATCTCCAGACTGGAGATCTTGCATCTGATGGTCTTGCGACTCCTCGCTGATTCCTAGGTCAGATCGAGTAACAATCAGCTGAGTGGGGGGCCCTCTTACCTGACTTGCGTACTCGCACTCGCACTCGCCCGTTCTGGACGAGACGGCGCACCGTTCCATGCCTCATCCCATCGTGCGCCGGTGGGATTGCCATTTGTCTCCACGCAGACTGCAAAGTGGGACTGGACATGTTCCTTCCTTCCGTAATACCCACCGCAAATAGGACACTGGTATTTGCGATTTGCGCTTGGCTCGTAGTTTCTTCGGGTTGGGGTCTCGCCTGGAGCTAGCCTCGAGGGGATCACGACGCCATTAACAGCAGCAAGGCGTTCGCGGTATTGACGTTGTCTTACGTCTCGCTGCTCTTTTGTGGTTGGAGCACGAGCGGTGCGCTTCGAAGAAGAGGGACTGTCGGTGGTGTTGTCACTGAATCACGTCAGAAAGCACCAGTGAACCCAGAGATTGACATTGAAGGGCATCTCACCTCTCGTCTACATCGTTATGCTTGCGCTTTACCAGGTCAGGACGAGGCATGAAATTCAAATTATCGTCCCAGCGTGCTCCGGTGGGGTTTCCGTTCGTCTTCACACATGCCACAAAGTGTGATCGAATAAATTCCGGCCTTGTGCTGGTATGACCGCAAATCGGACATGTCTTGTCCCTAGCTCTATCCAATTTCCCGTCAGACCGAGGACGGGTTCTCAGCGCTTTCAATGGCTGTTGTCCTTCAGGGAGCTTCGAAGGTATGACTACGCCATTGACTCTTGCGAGTTGCTGCCCGAGCTTATCAGTCACGACCGGCATCTTTTTTTGGGCTGCAAGCCAGGGAAGGTGATGTCTGTTGATAAATTAGGGGGTGGATTGGAAACGAGAATCCGAGATGAAGAAGTACCCTGATCACAGCAAAGAGGGGGAGTAATATTTGAAAGTGGTGTTGAAGGAAGTCAATGACAAGAGCAGCCAGAAATTGTGAATTAAGGACTTCGGAGTGTTATTATGTAAAGTAGGTTATTTTGTAGTGAAACGGCCCTATAAGGCATAGCGCCAATAGATCAACCGGGAAAACGTGTATCCACCTGCCCTTTCGGTTTTCCTGATAGAGTCCAGGTAAAAGTTCGCTGCTCTTCTACTTCGCTATTGAAAGGCATGAGGAGTCTGTCGTACGGCAGCAAGATCTTAGCTTTCCTCCTAAGCTGTCACAGAGTTCGGTGTTTGCCACCAGCGGAGAGACTCTGGATTGGATCAATTCTCAGTAAGTGAGAAAAGGGTGAAACATGGTCCAACGCGTCTGTTCCTAGCGCAACGCTACGCAGAGTATCCGCCAACTCCAATTCATTTTGTGTTTTAAAGCACGTAAGGGTGTTCGTCGAAAGGAAGGAGGAGAACAAACGAAAGAACAAGCAAGCGAATGGGCAACCCAGATCATGTCCTACCTCCCTGGGTCAGGTGTGCGAGAAGACGCAATCTCGTTCCATCAGTCTTTCAGACGTCCATTTGGCCTTGCTACAGCAAAAACCAGAATGCCAGACCAACACCCTCCTACACTCCGGCGTCACTGCCCGCTGAGCCCATCTTGAGAATGATGCTTAGGTTCAAGCATTGATGTTCCCGTTAGAGCCTATGGAAAGTCCAAATATGAGAGGCAATCTTTGGACGCTGTCCACAAACTACTTACAGTCATTTGGCAGTGCCCGTTCCAGAGCATGTTGGGCCTCGTGAGAAACGAATACCGCTTCCAGTCTTGACTCCGAACGAATAGTATACCGCCACCACAGACTGTGGGGCGCATGGACGCTCGAATATGAGGGAGGAGGGTCAGGAAGAATGTCTATGGTAGATGATGCAGGTCAGAATTGCTCGAGATCCAAAAAGAGTCTCGAAGCACACCTACTGGAGATTCGTTTCTTCTGCTCGGCGAACCGCCAGATGACGAGTAGAACAGGAGCACAAGTTGCCAACAGAGACACGAGAGCGATGATGGCAGCTATTGCCCAGGACATTTTCAAGTTTAGTCGCGCCTCTCTGACTTCTCCAGCGAGGACATATTTAGGACTGGCTATATACTCCCCGACCCAGATTTGGGACATAGAGCCATGAGGCTTAAAATTTAGGACGGAGGATCTCTCGACCCAGATTTGGGATAGAGAGCTATAAGACTTAAGATTTGGGACGAAGAATCTCCCAACCCAGATTTGGGATATAGAGCTATGAGACTTAAAATTTGGGACGGAGAATCTCTCGACCCAAATTTGGGACTGAGAGCCCCGCGAGGCAGATTCGGGACAGAGAGAATATTGGGGCTGACTTTCCCTGTCTTTCGGAGAACAACGTAAGATGCATACAGATTTGGGTCATCTCCAATGAAAAAGGATCTTCCGGAGATCGTCATTCTGGCAGGCTTGGCGATCCGGGCCGGATGATTTCGGATTGTGTCCACAACCATTCAAAGCAGAGGGTCGATGCAAGAGCAAACACGTGACCCCAAGCAGCCGCCTATTAGATGTCTGCCCGCAGTCTGGACTTCCAAAGTATTACCTCGCCTCGCAGAAGGCTGCATCCAATTTCACCACTCAGGCGTTCGTCCACATCACCATGCGTCCACATATTTCCTTTTTCGCTCTACTCGTACCGGGGTACGATCACTCTCTGCTGACAACGCGGTGCGGCTGTGGTTTGGTAGCGCCGGCTGACAATGAAATCCTTCATTGGCCAGAACCGAAATCCGAGACCACCGGATGGGATAGATCAGACACTTAATGTTGCCGCCCACATTTGCATTCTCTTCTTTGACAATCTCAAACAGCTACTCAAAGTCCTCGTTGTGTTCATTCTGACTTAGCCTTACGTCGGACATGGCAACCAGTAACAAGGCTGATCCTGAATGGAAGAGTCACAAGGCTACAATTGAATCGCTGTATGTGAAAGATCATCTCAAACTTGAAGGCCGCGGAGGCCTCATGGACACCATGGCCAGATCCCATGGATTTGTGAAAAGGTAGAGAAGTCTGAGTCTTGGGAAAAAATCCGGTATCACTCATACTAATTTCCGTCAAGCAAATCGCAGTATGAGAGCCATTTCAAAATTTGGGGCATGCGTAAATATCGAAAAAAAGATGACTGGAGAAGCGTCGGACGGAAGATTTCAGAGAGAAAGCGGGCAGGGAAAGATAGCAGTGTTTACATCAATAATGAAGTCATTCCAAAAGCGAGAGTTCAGAGGCAAATTAGACGTCATGAGTTCACTACAACTTTCGGACAAATACTTCCAGGTATTTTCCTTCTCTTGGACAAATGAGAACCTTTTTAGCTAAAACCACTTTCTCAGCATCAAGTCCGCGAACTCCCGACGGCTTTGAGATCCGCACACCCGTAGCAGAAGACTCAACAGTCTTCTCCGAGCTGCAAGAGGCCGCACCCACCTTGCCACACGGGACGGGGACAAACAACTTTCCGTTCGCTCAGTTGCAAACCTTATCCTCCTCCTTGCAGCCTTGGGAGGGGACGGATGATTTCCCGGTCTCCCAATTGCAGAACGCAACATCTTCCCTACCACCTTGGACGGAGACGGACGATTTTCGGTTCTCCCCATTGCCTCCCGTCCCATATTTGACAGGACCCGATGACTTTCCATTCATCCCAATCGAAGACACGATGAAACTTGTCCAACGCTGGACGTATACACAGGATCTTCCCTTCTTCCAGCTTGAAGCTGGCCTTCACGCTCAAGGCACGTCTCACAAGCTGTTTATTAGAATCGTTTCTCCAAAAGTTTTATCGTAGCTTTAGACCCTACCACATAACGTCAGTCTAAGCCGCACTATGAGCCTTGACTAATTAGAATGCAGCCGATCTCCCACTGAACCCAACAAATGCGAAAAGACCCAGATTTGGGATTCCTTTGGTAACATCACGATCGCTAGAGGATCACCAAGATATCTTTCATCAAGGTTTTGATGCTCAACATGTAGTGCTAAGAGTCTCTGGATCGCTTACTGCAGTGCTCGAAGCTTTGCTGCCCAGTACAGCGCGTGTGAATCAACCGGAGGAGGGACTGATTTCAAGTCCAAACAATTACCGCTTAGACGCAGCTACTCCAAGACTGCTCACTCATCTGCTCTTTGCAACAGCCAACAACTTTGCCGGTCTAGATGGTGTTCCAATTGAGGAAATCATGGACTACCTAAAACGCCAAACGAACACGCGACTTTTACGACAGCTTCTAAGCACCTCGGGGCCAGAGTCTGAAGCCTTTGCAGAAAATCTGTTTCGGGCCGCTATCGAAGCGGAAGACGCACGCATTGTCGAGATTCTCCTAGAGAAAGGATTGAACCCTGATGAGTTGGTCTGCAATGTTGGCGGGGAAAAATACACTCCAATAGAACGGTCTTCCATGATAAGGAGTGTTGAAATTACGAGACTTCTCCTGCGTGCCAAAGCAGATGTTAACAAAACTGTTGGTACAAAACCTGAACGTGGAGCACTTCAATGCGCTATCGGAACACCCTACAAGTACTACGAGGGATCTCGTACACCCTTTGAGCTTGTGTCTTTGCTTCTTCATGCGGGTGCCAAAGTTGACGCGCTGATACTTCAAGCGCTGATATTCGAAGAGCGCGATCAGGACGTGTTTGATCTCCTCGTCCAATTCTTCACCAAGACCAATCCTCTCGACTTGGCGCGTTCCTGGCTACCCGCAAAACTGACGGAAAAATTCGACAACAAAATGGCCACAAGGACTGTAATGAGTATTTTCCAAGCATGTTTGGATTCAGCTCACGACATGTCTCCAACTCTTGGATCCACGCTAGATATGGCGGCAGAGCGTGGAAACCTTGGCCTAGTACAATTTCTTCTCCACTCTCATGTGTCTTTGACGCATGAAACGCTTACAAACGCGATAAGAAGTCAGAACAAGGATCTGATCCGGGTCCTGATTGACGCGGGAGCGGATGTTGACGGTGACTGTTCCATCTCTCAGGATATTCAGACGCCCCTCGGTGCAGCAATCAGTTGGGGAGATGTCGAGATCATTGATTTACTCGAGCACAAGGGTGTTTGGTCTCATGTCTGCGAAGGATCGAGATTCAAATTTGCGTTGATAGCTGCGTCAGAAGTAGGAAATCTCGCCATCGTCCAGAAACTGCTTAATCTCGGATTTAATGTTACAGGAATAGACCTCGGTGGTGCTCTACAGGCCGCAATTTGTGGAGGGCATGAAGAAATTGCTCTGATACTACTCAATGCCGGCGCCGATGTGAACCTCAAAGCTAACGATGAGTATTATGATAAAAACACAGTTCTTCTCGAAGCATTACAGCAGAAGAATGAAAAGCTCGTGCAGTTGATTCTAGACGCTGATGTGGACATTCACCGTCATGGTGAAAGCGCTCTTAGAACAGCCGTCGAGTGGGGTAATCACTCCATCATTGAAGAGTTGATTGCTACAGGCGCCGATCCCAACGCTTATAGCTATGGGCTTGAAGATGCGCCTCTCACGATTGCCGTCAAGAGAAAAGATACCGAATCACTACAGCTCTTGCTCGATGCTGGAGCAGATGTTAACAGCCGTGGTAAGAAATCTACTGCACTGAAGGCAGCTGTAACAAATGGTGACATTGAAATGGTTGAGTACCTTTTTTCTATCGGTGCAGATCCAGATGATTCAGAGGCACTGTCTGAAGCTCTATCGCAGGGCATGCCAATGCTTGAGACGCTTCTTACAAAATTTACCAGAGTATATCCTCATGGGAAACGCGGATATGGTTGCGACGTTCTTTCAGCAGCGATCGGGAAAGCAGATTTCCGACTCATTGAATGTCTTCTCGACGCGAAGATAGATGTCAATACTTATGTCTGCATAGGTGAACCCGAAAGGCCGGCATCCTGGGATCCCCTCGCAATGCATTAAGATGTACCTCACTAGGGGCGGCGATCGAGGAGGAGAACCCCACAAGTCTTGCAATACTTCGGATGTTGCTGAATCGAAATTGTAATCCCAACAGTATTGTCCAACTTTCTATAAAGTTCCCATACCAAAGAGAGACGGCTCTTTTGGCAGCAATCAGCACAAAAGACATTCAAAAGGTCCAGCTGCTAATTGACGCTGGAGCGGATGTGAATCGGCCTGCAACGAAAGGAGTCAAACGCACTCCGCTACAGAGGGCAGCCGAGATAGGTAGCTTTCAAATCGCACGAATCCTAATAGACAACGGCGGGCTCGTCAATGCTCAGCCCGCGGCGAGGGGAGGGGCAACTGCCATACAACTTGCGGCAATTGGAGGTTACATCGGCATTGCGGAACTACTTCTGGAGAACGGCGCCGACGTCAATGCACCAGCTGCCAGAGTGCATGGAAGGACTGCTCTTGAGGGGGCCGCCGAACATGGCCGTATCGACATGCTGAAGCTGCTTTTCAACGTTAGCGCCAAGTTCCACGGCCCTGAGTATGAACGAGCTCTGCAACTCGCGAAGGAAAATGGACACATGGCCACTCGGAGATATCTCGAATATCTTTCCACCGCGTCCGAAGAGTCGATCATGGACACGTGGCAGTGACTAGTGCGGCAATTGCAATCTTGCTCGCAGCGATATCGCAAGGGTCCCGTTGTGCAGAATTTTAACATTGGGGCTTGGACCGGGATTGCAGTGATTGAAGAGTCCCCTCCGCGTCGGCAAGGAAGGAGCACGATGAGCGGAGTATTTTCGAATTGGGAGCAATCATCATCCATAGCTTGCCGACCTTGATGCAATTCTATTTCACCGAGTTTTCATGTACGCACGGTCCTTTTGGGGCTGAACGAGGCGCAAAGGTCCTGCACAATCTTTTTGGAAAAACATCATGATAGACTACAAGACGTTCTAATGAAAGAAACCGTTGTACTGCGCAAGTGCTCTCCTAGACTAGATTTGTGTCCTTTCGTCAGACTTGGAAAGCGCCCTTACTTGCTAACAGTCGAATATTGTGGAATCCCGCTCTTAGATCATACCTTCTTCAAAAGACAAGGCCTTGGGACTTCGCCTCTGCCTCCTTACTTGAAGATTCAAGCATGCCGCGAATATATTGGACATAGCAGAAGTCACGCCGCACCCACGGGTACAACGCCTGGGACTGGCCTAACAGATCTTACAGACAGTCCGGTCCCAGCTTCTCTGCGACAGACGGTTCAATGCCTGTGTTTCAAGATTTAATCTTTCCTACCAGGGCCATACCTACACCAATCGAGACTCCTTCATAACCACGGTTAGCACACACAGAAGCTGACGCTACCGCTGCGCCCTTCAAGTCGTACCAACTCACCGTCGTGGGAGACTCGTCAATCTTCACTTGGACCATACATTGCTGGACCGCTGAGCTGACTATCGGTCGGAGAAGGGTGTATTACTATCAAGATGACACCGTTTTTACGGCTCCACCAGCGTACTGATAGGCTTACATCTGACCCCTGTCTTTTCCATCCTTGGTCTTGGAATGCGGTTGGAAATCAAGACAGGTCGCAGGACGCTTCTTGCACATCCTCCATCGTGGCTGAACCTAAAACAAGGTAGGAGAATAATCGGGTCGGAGATCGTGAACAGGAAGGACCTCGAACGAACTCAAAGTCCTTTTGCGGCAAGTTTGGTGGTAGATGAGTGTTAATAAGTAAGAGTTGAAGTGGTAGCATCCCTCAAAGAACCACAAATCCCCGTCAACAAAAACCCGCTTTCGATTTGGGGAAGCCCAGCGCCTCAGACTGCAGTTTGTTTTTTACACCACCTGCGCTCCGTCGACAAGACTGTTTTGAGAAGCGCCAACATTTCCAGCCTCTAATTTATCATAGTCCCCAGATGGCTTCCTAGCATCATTGCTGCGAAGGGACGAGAGCGATATCATGGCTCGTAGACTTGAGAATATACTTTTGGCGGGAGAATCAGTGAAGACGGGCCGGAGCAAAGGGAGGCAGGCGCCTACAATGCCTAGTGAGGATTCGACCATGGGCCAGTATACGGTTGGCGTGAGTAGATCTTTCCTATGGTAAGCGAAGCCCCGGTCTGCTAGGGCGCATGCAATACGTACATGTCAGATCTTCGTCTCCTACGGCGGTATCTAGAAGTGTATAGGGGTCAGTGTGCGACGAGAGTGCTACCTGAAAAGGACGGGCGGTGATGAGAAATGCGTACCATAAGTGATTCTGTGGAAGACCACCAGCTTTGCAACCCCGGCGCAAACAACACTAAGACTCGTGAGCATAAGTCCAAAGTATTTTGGATCAGACTCACAGTGCCCCTAGTTGCAACATGAGGACCACGAAGAACTTTCGCATCGGAGCCATCTGAAGTCTCCAGATCTGACCTTGATCAGCCACGATTCGGAGTGACAGGAAGCTTACATACCCAGGGTATTGGCATCGAAAGGATCACAATGTCGGTAAAGACATCAGACCAAGCCTGCGCCAAGTACATCATGGTCGTATCGATGCAAGTGCCAGGAGCAGCGTCCAAACCAGTCCAATTTCCGGAGATTGGCCAGCACTGTAGCAGATTGGCTGCAAAGAATGCGATGGTCCATGTAATGTTTAGACCAATCATGACCAGCGAGATGATGGAAAATGTCCTCGGTACGAAGATTCTGGTACGCAAGTCAGCCTGCCCGAATGTTCTCTTGTGAAACGATTGGGACATGCTACCTTCGATAGAAGAGAACCACGGCAATCTTTGTAAGTCCAAATGTGACCGTCTGCGTCAGTTGCGAGATGTAGATGATCTGTGCAATGTTTAGGTCGGCATTGATCAGAGACTAGCCTAGGAGCATCAGGACATACTTTAAAGAAGACTTCCATGCGGCCATCGAAAATCGGCATGCCGTCCGGCGTGACTCGGGTATGTCTGCCGAGGCTTCCAACTGCAGCGCCTGCACATCTAAAATCAACGAAGTCGCGGTATATGCCTAGCTGGAGATACTTACCGACGAACATGCAAACTCCTGTACCGATGGTGGAGATCTTTCGAAAGTACGTGTCTGTAAGTCCACCGGCCCGGACAGCAAGGTTATGCGGAAAACTTTACCAATGCAAGCACTATTAGATAGTCGTCCCATGATGGACAGACCTTCGTGATCCGTCGGGCGTAGAAGCGTAGGATAACGGCTACGATTGCCAAAACAGTCAACACGGTTGCCAAGGCATACATCTTCCCTGGGGACTCGTCCATGGCTCGGGATGGCGGGGTAGCTAGCCGCGTGACTGGCTGTGAAGATAGGAAACGAGTTGGAGTTTCGCAAATCTCATCTAAGAGAATATAGAGAAGGGTACAAGTCTTATATTTGGAGGCAAGAAGAAGAGGGCAAGGGATCGAAGATAGATCTATCTAGTCGTGCCACGCACTTACCTCGCTACCTCGGTTGGTGTAACCCAGCCATGTGCAGAATTTAGCCAAATATAAACATGGACAAGGCCCAAAAAAGCAGCTTCGCGGAAATTCAAAACCGCCCCCGTCCGTAATTAACTGATTATAAACTTAGGATACAGCTTTGTGATATTGATAACTTGAGGTTTCCTGCACAGTAACAACTACTTCTACTTTCGAAAAGGGGTGCGAAGAGCAAGAATGTTGAACGGTCCTTTTTCGCCGTACAATGAGAAATGTAAAGGTTGAATTTCGTATTTTTGGAGTCAAATCCCTCGATTTGCAGAATAGAATCCTTATTGGGACTTATCGGCAACGTGTTTATAACGTGTATTTGTCGTTGTGGTGGTGTAACGTAAACGTTGAACATTCGAAGTTTCGACGTCAGCATGTGCACCAAAAGGAGCACCGCAATCTGGCCGAAATGCAACGCGATCGCCGCAACCGCGCTCTGCGAAGAACCCAATCGCACAAGCTGGGCTTTGAGATGTTGCTCCGACTGGTCGGCTATAGCGATAAAGACTGCGCTGAGGACGGCGGTGCTGAGTCAGACCACTAACTCATGCATACTTGTAACGTTGCCAAGAAGATCGCATCGAGCCGCTCCACTTGAATCTTGTCTAATACGATGTCCGTCGGATCTGCTCGCCCTATGATTGACGAGGGGACCCGCGTGTTCCTGATTGACATAGCCCATAGACCAAATCCGCCGAATCGTAATTTGCTCTCTTGAGATGGGATCGGAGGACAATTTGACAATGCGCCTCGTTAGAATGGGCCCCTGGGCTTGCTAAGACGTTGACCTCGTATCGCTCCAAGTGGCTGCTGCACTGCTATTCCTGGCCCTTGCCAACCTCCATACCGAGAGAAATGTAACCAGTTGTTTGTCAATTCTCTTGGCGCACATGTTTCAGGAACCGATTTTTCTTCGGGATGCATCACTTCCATCTCAGCATCCGGATGGACAGCATAAGAGTAGTTAGCTTCAGCCGAGAGGCTGAAAGCTGAATGATGAATACGAATAGCTGATGCTTGAACACTTGTCGAGGCAGAGTTCCTTGGAAGCAATATGAGATAGATAAACAACGATATCGCACCTGAACTCCAGCGCCCTCTGAAAGCACCTCACCACAGCTTATTATTCTCGTGCCACCCCTTCACCTACCAGATAAAGAAAACATCGATTACCGGCTTTACGTTCGTTGGTCAACTATGCATTTCTCTAACCATCCTCTATCACTACTTCTGTTGACTCTTTCTGCAGTCGCGTTACCATTTCCCCCAAGTAAGCAACTCATTCTAGGCACACATCTTGTTATTCAGAGCTGGAATAACAACCCAGACCAAGGCGGAGGCGGTGGAGACACGGGACGGTGGTGGTGTGGCACACATGTTTGCAACTCCAGTAAGAGGACCGTCGAGACCCGTCCGATCACAGGCATTCCTGCCGAGGGAGGGTGGTGGTGTGAGACACATATCTGCGACTCCAGCATGGAAGCGGTCGAAAAGCGTCAGGTCGAAAATACAGCATCCGTCGCCTCGAAATCGTCTTAGAACATTCTTTTGAGCGGCTCAAGTTGAACTGGTGAGGCCAGTTTTTGCTTTAGCTCAGAATGAATCGCTGACAATGAGAACCAGCCTCAGAGTGGTGGCAGCCGTCGTCCGCGCCATCCTAGCGGTTGATCTAACCGAACTAAAATCGGCAATGTAAGACTTGGATGCTGGAGGAGGTATTGTCACCTAAGGGAATGGATTCATGGTGGGAAATTTTTGTCGGGGCAAGCTAGATCATCTCTGTTATAGCGAATTTAAGATTTCTGATTTCGGTAGGAGTGTGACACGTGTTTCTTTTGGGCACATGTCTAGATCTTGCGTGTATTCATTAGCTGCGATCTTAGGACCTTCCTTACCAATTTACCTCGGTGATCTTCGTCTGGTCCACGGGGTAGATTCTTTCCGTCCAGTCAAAGATCATCCACCCTAGACAGACAGCTTGCTATTTATCCGGATGTATATGTCAGAGATATCCACCCACAAGAATGGTCCTGTCTCCATACAAGTGGGTGCCTGAACTCGAAGGACCAAGGGGGCTCTTCGAAGGACAGAATGCTGCGTGAGGTCGTACTAATCCCCTGTCCCTGCCGGGTGTTGACCTCCTGGGAAGGTATTGGCGAGTGTCAGACAAGCTATCAGACAAAGATGAATTGTCAATCGCTAAGAATTCCAGATCTTACGCCGATTCGGGGTCTCTTTAACAAGGGAGGACGCTCTTCGCGAGTGCTGACATTGTCGTATTGTAACAATATATGCCGCTTTAAATGTCACATTGCCAACACCTCACCCAGCGAGCCCCGTTTTTGCCAAAGTATGAAAAAAGACCTCGGAAGCATTGCCCCGCAAAGTTGGCATGCAGTAAACCAGGACAAGGGATAATGATCCACGAGACTGATAGCAGAGCTTACTACCACAGACACTCAGCCAAGCAAGATACCTTTTTGGGAAAGCTGTCCTACGGAAGATATGATGGATGCCATGCCAGCTTCATCTGGGAGGATCCCAAACTGACGGTTTACCTGTCAACCATCTTCTCCATGGTCTCCCCCAACCCCTCAGGCTCCCGCCCGAGCAGCCGCCCCAGCTCGATGGAAGCCACCGCGCATTCTCCCTTCTTCACAGCATCGAATGACGTCGCCCACTGCTTAGGCACCTCGCCAGGTCCATGCGAACCTAGCATATCCTGCACTCGCGGCTCCGCCACGTACTCTTCCTCGGTAACCTGTTTCACCTTCATATCCTTCCCTTTGAGCTTTCCCAACAGCTTTACTGTCTCCGCAAGACTCCACACTCTCGGCCCGCTCAACAGCATAACCTGATTCTTATATTTAAAATTAGTCGGCGAATCCAGGTATTCCTTTACCAGCTTGGCGGTCGCCTCTCCCAAATCATCAATCTTTGCAAATGCGATCCCTGGCCCGGAACCATCATGAGGGATCCTCACCTCATCAGGCGGGTCATGGGGGTTAGGAAATCCAGTGTACATAGGGAAGCTCTCTGAATAAATCCCCTCACGAATTGCTGTGAAAGTAATTGGCGTTTTGTCCGACCTCTCTGTTGACCCTGACTCAAGCGACTTGAGATATGACTCCGTCTTCAAGTGCGCTTGCATGACATGGGCGACGGAATCCGGAGTGCAGTCGCCGCCGAATGCGAGAGACGTGTAACAAACATGAGATACACCGCTGCGGTGTGCGGCGTCAAGGGCTACTTTGTGGACCTCATTTAATTAGCTTGCCATCCTCCTTGTATGACGCAGCGATGAATAAGCTGCGAAAAGAATTCATATACTTTGAATCTATGGTCACTCTCGATACTCGGATACGAAATGAGAATCAGACACGCTACACCATCAAAAGCATGTTCTAACGAATCAGTATCATTATAATCCGCTGTCCTCGTAGCAACGCCTGCTTGCACCATGTGGGAAGGGGTTTTCTCGGGATAGCGGGATATCAAAAGAAGCTCCTTTGGAGGAAGCAGTTTGAACAGGTGGGTGTAGATACTCGAACCGATCTTGCCTGAGGCAGGAAAGACTGCGACTTTGGCCATGGTTCCGATGGCAGATTGAAGCAGGACGAACAGGAGCAATTGGAAGCCATGGTCACTTGCGATTTTATACTTCAAGCCGGCGAAGAGAGCGTCTCTGACGTACGGTAGAGAAAAAGCACCCCTGTCCACTCAGCCCTACGAGTACAAGTATCCATCAATTCCTTATCGATAAGCCCTACTTATTTTACCCTCCAAAAATCCCACATCCCCAAATCAACAAACCCCAACCCAACCCAACTCCTAATCCTCCTACCCCACCCCGCCGCCCAAATGACCCTCACCCCAATTCCCCAACCCCTCACCTTCCCCGCCCTCACCTTCGCCAAACTCGCCCCCCCCTCCTTCCTCGCCGCCCACCTCACCAACCCAAAGGGCTCGACTCGACCCTCCGGCCGCACCCCAACGCAGACGCGCGCCCCGACGTGCAACACCGGCAGTCTGACCCACGCGAACGGCAGCGCGGTGGTGAGATGCGGGGATACGGCCGTGGTGTGCGGGGTGCGGGGGGAGATTTTGAAGACGGGGGATGTTGCGGAGTATGAGGCGAGAGAGGTGAAGGGTGGGGATGAGGAGGAGGATGATGATGAGGGGGATGAGGATGACGAGGAGGGGAAAGAACGTAGGAGGAAGAGCAGACGAGAAGAGACGGCCGAGATGGCGCGATTGAACCTCCTAGTTCCAAACATCGAACTCGCAACCGGCTGCTCGCCCGCCCATCTACCCGGCGGTCCGCCCTCGGTCCTTGCGCAGACGCTGACGCAGCGCGTCTTGACTCTCTTACATACGAGCGATATGGTCGGCATGGCGCCTTTGAGGATCTGGTTTCAGCCGCCAAGGGAAACTACGGGCGCTACGTCTGGAGTTATGAGGATGGGCGGGGACATGCAAGAGACGGACGCGAGAGAAGAGGAAGAAGAGGAGATGGCAAGAGCGGAGGTTAAAGCGTTTTGGGTCCTCTACGTTGACCTGCTGTTCATATCGCTAGATGGCAACGCCTTTGACGCGGCATGGTTGGCTATATTGGCTGCGTTGAGAGATACGATTCTGCCGCGGGCGTGGTGGGATGCGGATCGGGAGATGGTGCTTTGCTCCGACGATCCGGTGGAGGCGAGGAGACTGGAGATACGAGATTTGCCCGTCCCACTTAGTTTTGGGGTGTTTGAGGGCGATGGGCTAGGCAAGGGGTCGAAAGAGAAAGAGAAAGAGAAGGGGAAAGAGAAAGAGAAATGGGTACTGGTTGATATGGATGGGTTTGAGGAGGCGTTGTGTAGGGAGGAGGGGACGGTTGTTGTTGGGGGAGGGAGGAGGGTGGTTCGGATTGAGAAGAGTGGGGGAGCGGGTGCTGGCATGGCAGAGATGAGGGGGTTGGTTGACTTGGCGGCGAAGAGGAGAAAGGAGTGGATGGGTGTGTTGGGGATCCATTGAGAAAAGGCATTTATGGAGGCTACTTCGCATGCATGCATAGCGTTGAAGTTCGAGCCGATCTGCAGCAAAGTTGTCTTGCATTCAATGCCCTAGGCTATCTGAAAAGCTGGGCATCTAATGCTGATCTACCACCGATTGATCAACATCTTCCATCATTTTCTGATTCAAGACCGACATTTAAAACTCCGATGCTATGCAAAGCGAAGATTCCGATCCAATGCTCGTACTTGCTAACACATCGTGTGGTGTGTTCCTAGCACTCTAATACGACTACCCTGTATACCGAAGAGCGGTCTCGAGCGACGGGCAGAGCAGAAGCTTGTCACTGCATCTTCAATAGGTCTCTCCGAGCTTATCGTCGTTGCTGTCTTCGATCTTCGCCTTCGCACGAGTCCTATTCCCAACAGGTGCTGACAAGGTTGCCCGCTCTGGATTCGATGCGGTTTTTGAAGAACTCGCTGGTGCCGCTTTGGGAAGGTTGACCGAGATGAAGATGAGCTCGCTGTTGCGTTCTCGATCGAAGACCCCCTTTGCCTCGTCTTTTTTGCGACCTTCATCACTGGCGTTGCTATTCTTGGACTCTTGCGAATGCTCGTCACCTGATTGGGTTCTCGTAGACCCGCCATGGCTTGATCCGTATTCCTTGCCGATTGGATCACTAGCGTCGTTGTCCTTGACAGGTTCGCTTGGCTTTCCGGACTCGTTCGAAGTCCTCTGAGAAAAGAACAAGCTCTTCCAGTCAACGTCTATCCAAGAGTCTGATTTCCAAGCGCTATGTTGCTTGTCGTCTTTGCTTGGCGAATTGTGCTCTTGGTCGTCTTCAGATTCGTCGAATGCCCACAGCGCCTTGATGTCGCCCTTGACAAGAGCAGTGCCCCACAAGGAGCCCAGGACACCAGGGACGAGGTACAGTAGAGCAGGTTGGGCTTGGCCGTAAATATGCATAACGCCAAGGGTGCATAACAAGCTGACAACATAGCCGATGACGCTTGCGTGGAAATACGTTTTGGGGAAGAGGACACCTTGGAATTGCTTTGATCTGAGGATGTCGTTCTTCGAAGTCCAAAAGCGCTCGCCCCAGCCACCTCTTGCAGGATGCCATGTGGCCTTTGTGACCTCGGAACCGACGGCCTCCTTGCTCGCTGGGTCAGTTGCAGCGTCCTCAGTGCTCTTCGAATGTTCGATGGTCCGTAGGGTTTGCTTGCGCAAGTAGAAGAGATAGAGATCAAATCGCAACGCAAAGCCAATCATCATGCCAGGCAGAATGATGTCTCCCAGCCCAAGCATAAACAAAGCTTGTTTCGTCGGGTCTTCAGTAGGTCTCCTTGGCCGAGGAAAGACGAGCTTGGCTGGAATATCGAGCTGAGTAGCTACGGTGACCATGAGAGGCGTGAAGAAGACGAAATAGATGTCATAGACGAAAAGAGCAACCAGTATCAGCGTGCCTGTCCAGGAGGTTGTTGGTGACATGATCTGGAGAGTGGTGTAGGCGAAGGCAAACCCGAGAAGATTTGTCAGCCACCATGGCCTGTCTATGAGGTTGAAATAGAGCAGAGCACCGATTGCAAGGAAGAGGCTGGCGACGCCCTGAGGACCGATCTTGAATTGTGCTTGCACGATCTTGTGAATGTAGACGCGTACGTCAAGCTGTCGTGACGGTAGCTCCCGAAGGGTCCACATAGCATCTGTGACCTTAGATGGCAAAGGCGGAACGGAAGATGGTTCAGGCACTGGTGAATTTCGATCTACCAAAGGGGACGACCTTGACTTGGATTTTCTCTGCTTGGCATCAATTTCCCAGATTTTGCCGTCCATGTCGTAGGTCTCGGGAAAAACGAACGATGTGAAGATACCCATGCTGTCCGTGATCATTCGAGCCAAAGACCAGACTCCGAAGCCTGCGAAATACCAGTTTAGAATCTTGTTCAGTATCGCTGGATCATCGAGCCATTTGATGAGAAAGTATAGACTTGCAAGGCTAACCCCGGCAAACAAAGGTAGAAGAAGAGCATCAATAGGAGCAAGCCCTTCCCTCGTCAGTCCTTGCTCATCTGGTCCGTCATCATGATCATCTTGCTTCTTCGTCTTCTTTGATGGCTTGGCTGCGGATGACGGGCGAGAAAGCGAAGCATGGGCACCGGCGTAAATAGGGAAAAGAGCAGAGACAAGTAGATGAAGATGGACTATCAGATACGGGTAGCCCGTAACAGTGTGGTAGCCTACAGCCTGTAGGAAATAGGCGAGCTGATCCATCGTTGGCAACATCTTGCTTCAGTTGTAAGATTCTAGCATCCCAGGAAGGCGTGACTGTGGCTATTGCTCTAGGATGGTGGATCCAATTCGTGCTGAGGTGAGGTTGCAAGAATAGAGAGTCTCAGCTTCTCATCTCTAGAGTACAACGGCATGGTGCAGGCTCTGAAACTGGGTTTGTTTGTTGGTGACTTTTTCCAAGTCGAGATAGACGCGCTGCGCTAGGCTCGATCCAGACGTAGGGCTGAGCTAGCTGCTGCTTTTACCCGTTGCTCAGGTATTTGAGTGATTGATCAAAACAATACTACTAGGGCAATGTTTCCATTAGAAGGACGCATGAACCGGGTGTAATAGGATTTGTTCTTTCGATATGCTGACAGCAATGGCAACGACGAGGCTACTGTGGTAGGATTACTAAGATCCTGGACCAAGCATTGAATGCGGTGCGAGTCCTCATTTTTCAGATACCGATTCTGGCATGCATCTAAACATCCTACTTCGAAGCCTAAGTAAGGGGAGTTCGAAAACTAATATGTGTTTCTACCGTTGCGGCAGTCGGCCATTAGCATGTTCTTTGAGAGTACACTGTGTCCTTGCGCTGCGAAGACATGCCACTTTCTCCGTAAAGTATCTTGAAATTGGGCTACTTGGTTCTATCAAGCCCACACAGTGAGTTCGTTGATAGCAGTTGGATTTTTCTTTTGTGACAAGGTAGCCGCTACTTGTTCTTCTCCTTTTCTTCCATCATATTTTCCACTTCAGTCTGGAAATGGTTCTTGAAGTCCCGGTCGCTCTTACGGGGCTTCCAACCCAGACTTCTACTAAGCTCTGACTCTGTTCGTGAACTGTACGCAGAGATCAGCTGTCAATGTTGAGTTTTTGAAATGACAGCACACTTACTTCGATGCAAAACCCAGCTCAGCAAGCAGAGTATCTCCGCCGGCCCATCTCTCTGCTGCTTCTTCTAGATTGATACTTTTCACTTCTTCCGTCTTGCTTATACCAAGCGTGAACAGCGCATCAGCCAGCCCCTGAGACAGCTCGAGCCAAGTGTGGTGACCGTTGGCCGAGAAGTAGATCCCCTTCTCGCCACTGGGCAGATCCTCCCCAGCCAGAAGCTTTTGCACGACAATTTCATATAAATTCGCCAAATCGCCAACATGCACATGGTCCCAGCTCGCCTTACCAGGACCGATTACTTCGGCCTGCTGCGTCTTGAGCGCCGCTTGAATCATGGCTGGTACTTGAATCGACTGCTGATGGAAATGGCCTGTGCCAATGCCATAGATCAGGGGAGACATGATGATGTAAGTCTTAACGCCCACTTTCAAGCCAGTCCCAATTACCGTGAGGTCAGTCTGTCGCTGACCGTATGGCTGTTACTCGTTGCGCATCTTTTCGTAGGAATAGATGTCTTCTTTGTCGGAGAAGACACGGGTTTCGGTGTATTTGCCGGTGATTGGCTGATCGCCCAAGTTGGATGTGCCCGATGTCTGTTGGAGGTCCTGTCAGTCCGGCGTCGCTTCTGTATTCAAGCGGTGGCGTACGTGGATATAGTACACATCCTTCCCCGTGTTCTTCTTCCTTTCTGCTAGCCCCAATATCAGAGCTTTTGCGGATCCTTCATGATAGCCAGAGGCTGTATGGATGACCACTGGGTTGGCTTATTAACGTCATAATTCCTAAAGACGAGGATGCTGGGGAGGCTGCATACTGTCATAACCGCCAGCTATCTTTTCAATCTCGTCACTCGCATCGAGATCACTGAAAAGTTCTACATTTACTCCTTTCCCGGAAAGTTCTTTAGCTTTGGCCTCTCCTCGGACCAGACCTGAGATGCTAGACTTTCGTACGAAGTCGTTTTGGGAATTGACTAGATCGGATAGTATGGTGCCTCCACTGCATAGAAGGACTCGGTCATCAGCCGGTCGTAGTTGATTGTGGGTATATCTGTCACCTACATATACCCAGTCGCACCCGTCACAAGAATTTTGAAGCTGGTCATACCGAAATTGTACGAGGACGCTTATGGGCTGAACGTCAGACTTGGAGATGAGGTTAGATATAATTTCACGTATTCAGTAAAGTGGATTGATTTGTTTTCCTTCAACAACGCATGAGCTGTCTATGAGGTATGATATTTCTTTCTTTTTTCTTTCTACAACACGTCGAGGAAGTCCAAAAGGCTGCTCATCCCTCTTGCACCGTCATGACGCAATCCCACATCCGACCTTCTAGACTCCTCTTCGGTTAGCTCGTCCACTCAATTCCCACTGCAAAAGTTTTAATTAAAGCTGCCAAAAATGATAGGCATCAATATAAGCACGCTGATTACGTTTCGCATTCCAACGAGATGGTAGTTGCATGCAAAATTCGCCCGGCTACCCCAAGAGCCTATCTGGTCATAATCCATGCTCACGTTCAACAGGAGTTTGAAACTTCTTTTCAGTGAAAAGTATATGACTTGACCGGTAAGAACAAATAATATTTATCTTGTTATGGCCGATAGGAATTTCTTACGCTAATGACCGCCGTCAACGGTGGGGCCTATGCAGTCGCCAAAGTCTCCAGGCAAAAGAAAGGCTCATGCATATTATCCCACTCATGAAAACCTTCATATACATCGTACGTGACATGCTGTACTTTCTTCTGCACCACATCCGCATATTCCAGAACATCAAAAACGTTCCCCTTTAGTTCGTCCAACAACATTCTACCTTGTGAGACCCCTACCAACCATCATATGATCCAACATATTCCCCTCATATCCCACCCAGCAGCCCCCACCGCCTCCTAAATCTCCAAACAGCCAGCCCCTTACCCATCCCACTCAAAGGACCACCTCCGCAACTGCAACCCCGAAGAACACAGAACCGGCAAATCCATCATCCAGCACACCTTCTCAGACCAAGGCCCAAACAACGCATCCGTGCGCGGCCATCGACGCCGCTAACCACCATCGCGACTTCACAATCCGCGCGCACGACGTCCGGCTCGCGATCCTGACGCGATCCAATCTCTTTGTGGAAGCGCGCACCGACGGATATAGGATATCCCCTGACTTCTCAACCACCACCACCACCACCGCGACGGATAACGTCGTTTGCCTCATCGTCGTAACGCGCACGCTGCAGCACTGTTCATCATACACACTGCGCGCGATATGCGGCATCCCGTACATCCATGACGCTGCAGCAGACTGGCGGCGTTGTATCATGGCGCGGCTTACTCGTACTAAGTTGCCGAATGGAGTCGAAAACACAACATGAGTTCCTTGCGCCGGTCATTCTCTCGCTCGGTCACTGCGATTCGATGATGCAGAAAACGAGCAGGTGTGACAAAACAAAACAAAACAAAACATCGCGCACGGGTTTCGCAGATGTAGAGGCGGTGGGCGCATTCAGCGTTCGTTTTGGCTCAGAGCGTTTTCGTTTCTGGGAGGGAGAGTAAGGGCCCGACGGGATGGATTGACATGGCATGGCTATTTATGATAAGTCTTAGCGACGGACTTCACTTGCAGTGCGATTACATTAAAATGAATGACGTCCCGTCCGGGTAGAAGGGCGGCTGTTTCGGTAAATGGGGATGAGAACGGGAACGAATATAGGGCAAGGATGACGGCCGGATTGGGAGGGATGAAGAACCGGAGTAGTGGAGAGCCGACTGCGGGCGGGGTTGTAGGAGGAAATACGCTGGGACCGGAGGTCGTGTGGTCCGAGAGTGAGAAGATGGAGGGGTTTTGAAGGAGTGGGCGGGCAGGAAAACATAGTTGAGAAGTCCTTTGGGATGATCGGGAAAGGGGGCTGGTTGAATGCTGTACCTCGGATTTCTGAGAGCCTATGTACATGTAGTGTTGAGTCCAAAATCATTTGCCGGCACTGTTTGTCTTTTGTCTTTTGGGTTCAGGTGTTTAGTCTCCGTTGCGGGCACCGAGTATTGACTTCGCGCCTGTGGTCTCAACACCCTCTCTCTATCCTCGACTCTTTCTTGATCCTTCACTTCGCGTGCTAAACATCCCGCATCAAAGTCTGCTTGAAGCCTATATCTTCTCTATGCTTGTTGCTAGAATACTACTGCCAGAATTCCGCACCCCAAGATGGGTTACTTGAAAGCATCAGATACCGAGCGCGTACCAAGTGCGGACAGCTTCTCGATCGCATCAGATGAAAGGGCAAGCACACGATGACACCAAGCTGACGAGTCGCGAACACTAACGCTCCTCGATTTCCCCTTTCAGATGACGGCAGCGAGAGCCAAAGGAACTCAGCTTTCCGATCCCTGGACCTTCCACAGGAGGTTCGTGATAAAGTATACGAAGGCCTGCTCTGTCCACACGGGGATGGGACGCAACACGGGTGTCACGAGAAGATTCGAGACTACGGTCTGGAGCCCGCCCTCCTGCGCACATGCAAGCAGGTTTGCCACGAAGCTTTGAGGGTCCTGTACACCAAGAACGGCACCGTCTTGATTCGGATGGACGCACAGGTATACGACATCTTCCGGACGGCCCGATCGCGGGCCCGTCCGGAGTTCCCAGAAGCGTACCCGATCGCGAGAGTCGAATGCGGGAATGTTGGAGGTGTGCCCGTGTTGACAGTGGAGATCTCCGTACTTCGGAAATATCGGGCGCAGGGCAAATTTGTGCCAGGCGATCAAGTTGTTTTCATCGATCTTTTGTCGGCTCTTCCAAAAATGTGCATATTCCTTACCTCTTGTTGGAGTGCAGGCATACTGAAGCTTGTGGTCCACATGGAGAGACCCATCGGAAGGCGTCCAGAGACTCATCTACAAATGCTATCAGACTGTCTCGAATGCCTTTCCGAAGGGCGGGGACTCGGGCGTGCGATCATCCTCACAGAGCCTCAGCACAGCGCTACCGCAGCAAAGGCTGCGAAACTCATGATGACAGATATAGTAACTTTCGAAGACGTCTCCCGCATAACATGTGCGTATGAAGCGCGTGTCTTGAGACACTTGAAGGAGAAGAGGTGGAATGATGCACGAGATACTCTCCAAAACGCCTTAGATTTCTTTGACTTGCCGCAGTACAGGCTTCGTGCCTCAAGATTGATCGGTGCAACAGACAAAAGGAGGTACGAGCTCGAAGTCAAGGTGATGGATATACAGTGGAACTATGTTACTTGCTGCTTCAAGGTTGGGAGAAAGGGCGACGTGCATCATCAGGTCCGCCAAATGTTTCGGTACTGCTCACCGCAAATCGAACTTCGGCCCAACAAGAAGGTTACTGGGATCGGGTAGCAGACGCTCACTACGCGATTGGCAAGGCATACGTAATCGATGGAGCTCTCAATTTCGCGGTTTATAGCTTTCTGCAAGCCTGACTCACAGCGCCCGGACGCGCCGAAGCTGACCAGGCTGTTGACCACATAGAGGAACGGGTGAATTCCGGCTCAAAGCCGGAAGATGTGATTGTCAAGTTGAATATCAAGTGGTTACTGAAAGAGGTCCGACACTGAGTGCCTGATCTTTACCGCTTCACCGAGGACCAAGAAAAGGATCTCGTCAGAGGCGTTCTAGCCACGTACGGGGAGATTCAGGGTTTGCTTCGCGATCCTTGTGCGACAAGGGTGGGTACACTTTGGAACCTGGTTTATGAAGATATTTGGTCGAACTATCGGTAGATTGGCATCAGCATCATGGAGCCCTCATGTGCCCTGCCATATCCCGAGGATGACAACTGAGGCCCGGATACTGCAGGTAGAAAACACGCGAGGCATGTGCACACTTTATGCACAAACCTGACATTTCTGCGTTTCAATATCGATGATGGTGTCCAGGCCTGAAGTCTGGTTGCTCTTGCCATGAGATTAAAAGCGCCAAAGCAGCTATGCCACCATGCGATGTGTCATCCCTGATCTCACCATTGGCTGTAGTTAGTCTGGCGACACGTTCACTGGTAGAATCTGTTTCAATCATACCTGCCATAGCCAGAGGCGTGTTGAAAGGCTTGCAGGATCGAAGGCTCAGATCGAGGGCGTCAAGGTATCCTCACATGACGGTTCGTCTCCCACAGCTCGTTGGTCACGCTTCCCTCTGTCCGCAGAACATCGATTTTCCGTTCGCAAATCATCGTTTCTCAATCGCCAGTGTCGGTGGATGCAGTCCTGTGAACTTGAGAGTATTCTTAGGGTACCGCAAGGGTATCGCTACCCCCAAGCTCGCTCACCCATGTCCAAACCCCTCCTTTCCCATTACCACTCTATCCTCGTCTTCCTCCTTACCTCCTCCTCTGCCAATTACAACTCCCTCCCACCCCCCCGCAACACCAACCCAGTCCCCCACCCCAACCCTCCTCCTCACAACCCTCGCCCCACTGGGCTTCAATTTCCGATAGTACTCCTTCACAACCTCCTCTCCCACCTCAAACCCCCTCTTGACATACCACTCTAGCGCCTCCTCATTTGCTTCCCAGACATGTGCGTAGATCTCTTTGACGTTTATATTCTGCCGTGGGTAGTGGGTGAGAGCTGTAGATATGATGGCGTCGAGAAGGGCGGTGGCGAGACCAAGGGAACGGTAGGGAGAGAGGATGGCGAGAGTCTGAATGTAGAGGTTGTGCGATTGCTGCTGGGGTGGTGGTGGTTGGGCGGTTGAGGTGGTAGGTGGGGTGATAGGTGGCGGACAAGGGAGGGGTTCTAGGCGGCATTGGATGCCTCCTATAACCTTGGCTTCCGACCCACCAGCCGCAGGTACGGATGAGGGCTGCTCATCATTGAGGGAGTCCCTTTTCCGCTTACCAGGTCGCGATGTTTCGTTCCATAAAGCGCAGAGGGCGAGGGAGGAGGGCGTAGGATTGACAATGGAATCTTTGTAGAACTTGTCCGCGTAGCGTATCGGGAGTAAGAGGGTTATGAGTCTGCGGTAGGCAGGGAGAGTTGAGGCGGTGATGGGAATGATAGAGAGCTCTGCCGGAAGCGGCCTCTGAGGGCTGTGGTTGGTTCCTGGCTTTGCAGGGATGGAGGTGGAGAGAGGGTAGGGATGAAGTGCGCTTCTTTGTGGGGAGGATCTGGTTCGGGGAGGCAGTGACATTGCGAGTAGGTGAGACTTGAATTGTAATAGGACAGGCGGCGGGAGATCGGTTTCTCTACAAATCTAAAAGTGAAAAATCTTGGACAAGGCGGTTGGCGTGCTTGGCGCGCCTACTGTTCATGAGTTTTGGCATGGGTTGGGCATTGGGCACGAGAGGGAGGATATGCTTGCTTAATGCTGAATCCTTCATTGGACGGAAACATATAGGCACGGTTCACACCAAATTTCAACCTCGACCCTATCGACCTATTCTAATAATAGAGTACTGAATTTAAGCTTCATTCTGCTTTAAAGCGGAGCACCCCAGAGATATTCTGCCACATGCAAGTACTCTTAGCGACTGTCAGACAGTGACGATCCTCGAAAGTCAAAGAGACATCAATCATGAATACAATCCTTTTTCTCATGTCTCTAACCGAGTGATTTGCTCCTCCAAAGAAGATTGGCAAGTCCTTGAGACGGCCATGGCGATAGGCATACCGAAGATGATAGTCGTAACCTCTTACTCTGAATCTTCTTTCTTCATCGGAAAAGACCCCGAAATACGGGTCTCCGAATAAAGTGCATCCCTAGTCATAGTGGGCCAATAACAGCCACTGCTTCGGAAACCCCCCGGAAGGCAATCTGTATCCCGGGTCTTTGGAAAGCAAACCTAGGTCACCGTTCCCTGCCTTCTTCTTTCAAGACGGAATGGGAGTTCACGGACAGGTCTGAGGAAAGAAGGTCACCAAAAGAGGTTCGGAGAAAAAGCGGAGCACGGACCGCCGTGACGGTGTGACCTGAGGAGCGGAGCGGCATCGGCTAACTTTGCCACGCGCTAAAACCTGCCGGGGCTTCCTCGGCTCTCAAGATGGCGGCTGGGGTGATTGCAAGGAGGCACGGAAGCTATGAGCAGAGCACGGAACAACTTCTGTAGGAGCTATAATATTTTATTATTTTTCGGGCTTAATTATCAAATGCTCAGTGACGAATTTGCTCTATGCACTACACATGGTCAATTCAAAGCTTAAGTAAAAGGTACATCTTGTTGCTGTTCAGTTACGTACCCTTCACGTCTCGTCCCCCCAGTGCATGCATTTTTCCCCACCGCGGAAAATAACAAGCTCTGCGGATTGACGCCATCTATTTTTATACTCAGCCTTCCCAAATCGCGCATTGGAACGCTTAGAACGCTTGGATCCCAGCATGCACAATTAAACTCACGAGGGGCTGGCCCGGCCGGACTTTGCAGAGGAAGCTGCATTGGAGGGATCCTACTGCACCCACCTTCCTTTTTTGGACCGCTAAATCTTGGCTGGATCTTCGGCAGGCACACCTTGTCAGAAGGGTTAAGGCGGTGCGACATTCACGCCTGCAGACTCACGACGGAAAAATGTGGAGATAACCACAATCTGGGAATGTATAGGGTTGGTCCCTATCCCCGACCATGTCCGATAGCAGGCCCACTTTCGACGCTCATGCCTCCGAGAATGAGGGGGCCGGCGAAAGGAAGCCTGCCACGATTAACGTTCGTTTTGGGTCGCGGGCATAGCTGTCAGCTCTGTCAGCTTCCTAAATCGTGCAGAAACCTCCATCGTGCAAGAGCGACGGATTCTTAGCGCCTCTTGTTAAATAGGACTCGATTCCTTTATTACGATGTCTTCCTTCCTTGCTATCTTCCCTCTACCATCTTCCTACCAGTATAACCTTTTCCGTAGCTGTTACTCTCGTTTTCACACAGCATGTTTACCAAGCACACTCTTCCGGCGGCAAGCCTATGGCTCTCGCTCACTCTTTCCACCTTCGCCGCCATACACGAGCAATTGGCCACCATCCCTCTTGGATGGAAGCAAGTTGGGGCTCCCGCTGAAAACGATACCATGATCCTGCAGATTGCCTTGGCACAACAAAATCTCGATCAATTGGACGCCAAAATCATGGCTGTCTCCACCCCTGGCAGTGCTTCTTACGGGCAATATATGGACGGCGATGCTGTCGCTGCTATGCTCGCGCCATCAGCTGATGCGAGTCCTGCGGTCTTGGCTTGGCTGAAAGGGGCTGGTGTCACCAACGCATACAGTGATGGCGCAAATGTGAACTTCTCAACTACAGTCAACCTGGCGAATAGTCTTCTTAGCACCACATTCAGTTACTATGAAAATGCCGGCATTCAGAAGCTGCGAACGATCGGATACTCCGTTCCGGACGACCTCCAGACTCACATCGATCTCATCACGCCTACTACGTACTTCGGAAAAACAGTACCTCAGATTCCAGTACCAAAAATGGTTCCCCGGGTGGGGAAACTTTCTCCCCGCTACTTCAATGGTAGCACCAATAGTACCACCAATGACACTATCGATGCTAGCTGTGTTACTTTGATCACGCCAACCTGTCTCAAAGAGCTATATAACATCAACTATACGCCTGATCCCAAATCCGGAAGCAAGATCGGGTTTGGAAGTTTCCTGAATCAGTCTGCTCGCACGCAAGATCTTTCTCTTTTCCAGACAGCGCAAGATATTCCTCAGCAAGGATTCTCCGTTCAGCTCATCAACGGAGGTATCAATGATCAAGCCATCGACGACAACCATGGAGAAGCCGATCTTGATGTCGAGTACATAAGTGGAATTAGCCACCCGCTTCCAATTATCAGCTTCATCACTGGAGGATCACCGTCAGTCTCACAACAAATAACGTTCAGGACGGGCAGTAGCATGCTGATGTTGATCTAGCCCTTTCATCCCCAATCTGGATGAGCCGACTGCTGCAGACAACGAAAACGAGCCGTATCTCAATTACTACCAGTACCTGCTGTCGCAACCGAATAGCGCGCTGCCAAACGTCATTACCAACTCCTATGGAGATGACGAGCAAGTAAGCAGTCTATTTCGGTTTACCGCCAATCTGTTTGTTCGCTAACACGATTGCGCAGACTGTGCCGGAGAAATACGCCAAGCGAGTTTGCTACATGATTGGCCAACTAGGTCTAAGAGGGATCTCCGTTCTCGAATCTGCAGGTGATACGGGTACGTGGACCATCATTCGAGATGCCATTCTATCATGATCCCGACCAGGATCATCCACTAACCCACTCCGCAGGCGTCGGTGCACCCTGTCAATCCAACGACGGCAAAAAGACACCACAGTTTACGCCTCAATTCCCAGGCACATGTCCTTACATCACCGCAGTCGGCGGTACTCAATCGATCGAGCCCGAGATCGCCTGGGTCGCCGGCTCCGGAGGCTTCAGCAATTACTTCCCTCGCCCTGAGTACCAAGCAGCCGCGGTATCCACCTACCTGAATGACCACATCAGCGCAGCTACCAAAGACTACTTCAGCGCTTTCACCAACTTCGCCAACCGCGGGTTCCCAGATGTTTCGGCCCATAGCTTGACCCCTGAGTACGTCCTTTTTGCTTGCTTTTCCCACTCCCCCCTCTTGCAACTGGCGCGGTTTCCGAACACGTTCCACCGCTAAATATAGTGCCATTACAGCTACGCCGTAGTAGTCAACGCAGCAGCCGATCTCTCCGGTGGCACCTCGGCCGCAGCCCCTGTCTTCTCCTCCGTTATCGCCCTTCTCAACGACGCCCGCTTCAGAGCCGGAAAGCCACCCCTTGGTTTCCTCAACCCATGGCGTAAGTCCATATCCTTGAGGGAGACACCTCTATTCCATCACACGAGGACGTGAGACGCTGACACCCTTATCTTCAGTGTACGCAATCGGCTTCACAGGCCTCACAGACATCACCGGTGGTCAAAGCGTCGGCTGCAACGGCATCGATGGCCAAACGGGGGCGCCGGTCCCAGGGGGCAGCATCATCCCGTACGCGAGCTGGAACGCAACGGAAGGGTGGGATCCGGTCACGGGACTAGGCGTGCCGAATTTCGAGAAGTTGTTGGCTCTGGCGCTGAACTTTTAGCGGAGTTGGCATGATTGGTAAATAACGTTGAATGGCTAATCCTGGGTAACAACGCATTAATGACATGGGAGGTTTGTGTGTTTGCGTAAATACATGATGTACTAGTTAATTGATTAGTTGGATGAGAGTGTACAAACCTAGACAGTGATGCTGCTGGCGCTTCTATGAGTAAATAAGGCTGGCTGTTCTATGCATGTTGGGGGATATTACTGATATTCAGAACAACTATATAAGTAGTGCGCGGCGAGATTGTCTCTCTTACTCGTTCAACGATCCCCATCTCCGCGCTCAGTGTTCTCATCCTCACGCTCCACACACATACACACACATAGGGCACACATGGTCTGTGAACGATCAATCACACCCGTCCCGACGCCGAGACAACAGCTGAATAGAAGCCCGAAGAGACATGTCCGTACCCCGGCGTTGAAGAAAATTGCGTGCCTATGGCATCTCGAATCTGGTAGTTTTCTGTGTACTGGTATAGGGATTTGAACCTGGAAGGTTCTGTGTACAGGGATATAGAATCTGGAAGGTATTTGTGTATAGGAATAGGGATGTTGAACCTGGAAGCTATCTGGATATTAGTATAGGGATATTGGACCTGGTAGTTATCTGTTACTAGTATAGGGATATTAAATTTAATAGCTATTTATATATAGGGATATTAAACTTAATAGCTATCTATATATTAATATAGAAATATTAAATTTAAAAGCTATTTATATATAAAAATATTAAATCTAAAAGCTATTTATATATAGGGATATAATTTAATAGCTATCTATATATAGAAATATTAAATCTAAAAGCTATCTATATACGAGGACGTAGACCTAATAGCTATCGTATTTACTAGAATTGCAATCTACTAAATTTGCAATCTATTAGATTTGCTACTGGCCGAAAGATATGGTATATCCCATGAAATATTCCATACCAAGTGATATTATACCGTACCCGGGTATGGTATAAGTAGAGTCGGTAATTTTTTTTTCTGGTATGGGTTCGGATCTTCGGTATTTATCTGTGAATCATACCATAATATAGTATTATATGGGATATCCCGATTAAGATTTCTATATTTAGAAGTATAAGTAATATTTTGCAACCATGGCTACTACTACCATGGCTACCACTATTATAGTATCACTCCCATGACTACCACTACCGTGGCTGCCACTACCATAGCTACTACATAATAGTAGGCTTTTCAATAATAAATAGTAGCAGCTATGATAGTGGCAGCCATGGTAGGTGCCATGATAGTGGCCCAGCCATGATAGGCAGCCATGATAGTGGCAGCCATGGTAGGCAGCCATGGTAGTGGCAGCTATGGTAGTGGTAGCCATGGTAGTAGTAGCTATGGTAGTGGTAGCCATGGTAATAGTAGCCATGATTAGCCAGAATGATGACCAGAATAGCTACTTATACTTCTAAATATAGAAATCCCAACCGGGATATCCCATACATATCCCATACCATGGTATGATCCCACAGATATACCATACCGTGGGATATCCCCCAAGATCCCATACCATACCAGGTATGGGATCATGCAAATCTCAATAACCCATACCAGTGCCAGAGTATGGTATAGCAGGTCAATATCCCATACCATACCATACCTTTTCGGCCAGTAGAATTTGCAATCTCTAAAACTTAATCTTTATAATTTATTATTTCACAACATTATAATAAAAATTGAAAAAATTCGAAAAGAATATAAAATGCGATTTTTATAGTTTTAAGAATTTTTAAAATCGAGATAATAATAATTAATTTATATAATAGCGTAATAAACTTTAATAATTATATCTTAATATATTTTTATATAACTTTATTAATTTAAGCTTAATTATAAAAAAAACTAAAACTATAATTATTATTTTTATATTCTTTTAACTTTTTTTTCTATCTTTTAATTATATTATTATAAAATAATAAATTATAAGAATTAGATTTTAAAGATTATAAATTCTAATAGATTATAATTCTAGTAAATACGAGTATCTATATATAGGAATATTGAATTTAATAGCTATTTATATATGGAAATATTAAATCTAATAGCTATCTATATATTAATATAGAGATATTAAATTTAATAGCTATTTATATATTAATATTTAATATAGAGATATTAAATTTAATAGCTATCTATATAAAGTAAATTACCGAATTATACTTCGAAAGTACGAATTCTTATCGAATTATACCCTAACGAGTAAAGGCCTATGAATTAAATTCATAATCATTTTTTTAATTAGGGCTATCCGACTGTCGAGCGATCTTTGATGAGCGAACTTTGGTAAGCGATATTTGAATTCCTTGCGCTTTAATAATTATAAGACTAAATTTCAAAATCTTTAAAATTCGGAAGCACAAACAGCGCTTCAAAATTAAAAAAAACCTCAAATTTTAATAGAAAACAAAAAATCTATGTGTCAATAATATACACCTATTTTTTTGATAAGGGAGGCGTGATAGGCTGGCTGTTAGAATAAGTAACAGTTTCGTTAAGAATGGCAACGAGAATATTAAAGGCTAATTCAACAATAAAAGAATTTATAAACTTACTTTTACTTATAGAAATATAGATAATACTAATTATAGAACTATATAATTGAAATAATCTTCTTAAAATCTCTTCTTATTAAGTTCTCGTCGATAACTTAAATCGTTAAGATTATTACTTATTCTAATAGTTAGTTTAATAAAAGAGCGAGATTTTAATAATTACGATATTACTACTTATATATAAAGTATATATATATAAAGTATATATATATAAAGTATATATATATAAAGTATATATATATAAAGTATATATATATAAAGTATATAGTAGCGATATTACTATATATATATAAGATATATAATTATAATATTACTATATATATAATAGCGATAATAATATATACTTAGATATATTATCGAAGTTATTCGTTTATAAAACGATAATAAGTATTAAGAGAATTATAAAGAAGAAAATAAGCGATCTTATAATTTAGCTAATCGAGTAAATTAGTATATACGTAATTATATAAAATATCGTATATAGATTATAAAGCTATTTAAGAAATTTATTAAAATGCTAGAAATGCCAAGAATGCCAAGAGTTTTAGCGTATGTTTAGGACTTTCGATAATAACCTCCGTACTGTATTATTATCGATCTTCCTATATTAATTACACTTAAATATAGATATTTGGTATTTTCTGCTTGGGTTGATTTGATAGTTGTAGTAACCTAACTAAGGGTATCCGATCTGGCTTATTCGATCTGAAATTTTCTCCGACCGTATTCGTGGACTTCTTGCCTAAAACATCAGACGAAGCCGTGGGCGATTTCGAGCCGGGGTGTCTGCCTTCGCTGCGACCCCCTTTCGGTCCCGTGGCCCGTAGCCCCCGAAGGAATTTCCTACTACGCTGCGGAACGGGCGGGTAAGCTTCGGGGTTAAACCCCACCCCGAACCCCCCGTTCGCAGCGTATACCACCGTTTCTAATCAAGTCGATGATAGCTTATCGCTATCATTACCTTCATTAACCCTCTCTTGAGTATTTTTTTCAATATCCTAGATGGATTTCATTATCTTATATTTATAATTTAATATGTTATTTGTAATTTTGTTCATAAATTTTACTTTAAGATTGAATTAGTAATTGCCCTATCTATATACGAGGATATTAAATTTAATAACTATCTATATATAGGGACGTAAAATCTAATAGCTATCTATATATAGGAATATTAAACTTAAAAGCTATCTATATATAGGGATATTAAATTTAATAGCTATTTATATATGGGGATATGAAATCTAAAAGCTATCTAAGTACGGGGATATTAAATCTAATAGTTATCTATATATTAATATAGGGATATTAAACCTAATAATTATCTGTAGATAGAACGTGAACCTGAATGCTATCTGTATATAGGAATATTAAATCGGGATTATTCATCCCCAACTATGATTTTATTCTCCCCTCTTACTTTTCTACCCCTTACCAAAATAGGTTTTTGTGTTGGTTTTGGGTTGATTTGTAGTTGTCTTTTTTTTTAGTTCTTTTTTGAGTATAAAATGTGATACCATCACTTGTATTGTTATCCCTTACCTTAAATCATTAGGGGTATTTAGGTGTTCCGCTACCTCCCCAACTGTTGTCCCAGTTACCGCTAAGGGTTGAATAGGGGTGTTTATAATTCACGCTGCGCTCCCCGGGGCCCCGGGGTATTTACCACCCGCCCTATAGATGGCATTCAAATCTCCCCCTTATGGTTTTAAAATGCTCTCATTCTCCCCGTTGGGGTTAATGTGTGGGGTTTTTGTAGGATCGTAGTTTGGGGTTGAAATGTTTCCATATTGAATCTAATAGCAATCTGTATACAGGGACAGGGAGGGATCAAAACCGAACAAAGAGCCAACTCGGTGCTCGTACACTCGTGGATAGTGTGTTTTTGTTCTATTTGAAATGGTGGTTATGTCATGAAAGGCCTTAAAGCTCCCGGGACTACTGTGGCGAGCTGGCGGAGTGGGATGTGTTGGTGGATGGATGGGGGTTCGGCACTCGAGTTCGGTAAGCTGGTTTCGTTGTTTTTCGGACGGGATGGGTTGGAAGAGTCGTATGGTCTACTTTTCTACCGAAGGAGCTGGGTATGTGTGCGTGAAAAGGAGGGGTTTTGCATTGTGTTGCCTGCAGTAGGGGCTCATAAGTCACCTTAGCATAACCTGCTATTTGCGCGTCTAGTTCAGATATAACAGTAACGGAGCCATGCACACAGACGTGCAGACGGGCGCGCATGGGGGTGTTGATGTAACGTTTTGCATATTGCATAAGAGCATCCAACGCAGTGGCTGTTCACCTCTCAGAGCCGAAGAACGGATCATATCATACCGGGCAAAACACAAAAGGAAGCGGTGATGACAGGCAAAAGACATTCTCTTCAGACAAATGGTCTTTGTGGGCCCGCTGTTCGCTAACGCCGGTTCCACGCGGCATGGTCTTCGCGCTTGGTAACTGGGAATGACTTTTGCCTTCTCGATCCGAAAGCGCCGGCGCCACCAACCTAGCCTCATGCCACTCTCTTCGGGAGACCATCGACGGGCATCTCTTCCTATTAGAGCAGCCCACTCCATGGCTCTCTGTGCCTGTACGGCTTCATGATGTCCTTTAGGTATGCTTCGAGCGTGCATCTCGTAGTCTGGGGCATATCCTGAAGCCTGGCCTCCATCGCGTCAACCTGTCCATCGGCGCCTTCGTGGCCACGCTGTAGGCAGAGGACCACGCGGAATTCTTTTGCTGCTTGGATATCGTTACGTTCGGCGACCAATGCTAAGCCTCTGTTGTAGTAGATCATGCTGTAGTCGTGGCTCCTTAGGCCAGTAGATTGGGCGTTTTGGATGGTTATATCGAGCAATTCTCGAGCCCTCTTTGGGATACCCGCCTTCGTCAAGCAATTGGCGCATTCAGTGGAGAAGTTGATCAGCTTGCCCTTCAATTCTGCAATGCTTCGGGGGTTCGCGCCGCTCAGATGCTTGGTCCAGCTTTGGCTAAAAAAGGACTGCAGTAAAGCCCAGCCGGCCAGATAGATATCTGCGGCGTCCAGCAAATGCCTAAGAGCTAGCTGGAGATCCCCGCGCTCTTTGTACCTGTCAGCTCTCTCTGAGAACTCTTGAACATGTCGTATCGGTCTCTTCATGTGGGCAAGCAGCTCTGAATACACAGCGAAGGAGTAAAATCCAGAGATCGTGATCTGCCCCATGCCTCGTATGTCGCGGCAACAATCTAAGAGTACGTCATGGGTACGTGGATTTAGCATTGCTTGCGCATCGAAATGTAGGTTGATTTCAGGGTAACGAGTGGGAGGAATGTCAACGAAGAAAAAGTGCACGTCCTGCTGGGTAATGAGCATCATGATCTTGTCCCTTCGAGGGAGAAACCCTCCGTCCCTCAGTTCTATCCGTAGAACTGGTGTGCCAGGGAAACGTTGCAAGTGCTGCATCGAGACCCGTGGATACAACATCTGACGGAAATCTTGGAGAAGCCCACTGCTCTTACCCAAAAAATTCTCACCCTCATCCGCTGTCAACAAAACCCAATTTGTCTCCTTGTAGAGGACCCTCGATGCTTCTTCGTGCACTTGTTTGCTGGCTCGGAGGATCATGGGCTGGAGCGAATAAGGGCTCTCAGCTCTACCCTTCCAGGCTGTGGTCGCGCGGCTGATCCGACATTTGTCAGGAAGGAGCAGCTCGCGGTAGATCCTATCACGAAGCTCTTGGGGCAAGTTCATGGCCCGGAAAGGCTTTAAGGTCTCCGAATCTGGATCCTGGGGAGGCGTCGTGCCTTTCAACATGTCAGGGCTGGCTGCATTCAGAGCAGTGTACCCATTCATGCGTGGTCAGGATCCAGCTCACCTTTGATCGTGCCTGGATCAAGGTGAAGTTCCAGCTGACTTTCCGCCTTATCGGAACTCATCTCGAACTCCGAGGTAGGTAATGGTAATGATGCGTTAGAAGAATTGGTGTGCATTAATCTGGTAGCTGATGCTTGTGAATGATTTCACGATCGGGAAAACATGCGCTTTGTTGATGTTGACTTGTATTAGAGTAAGGGCGATGATTGGGAAAGAGCAAGCATACTAGTGTTGCGGAAAAGCCGCAGCTAGTCAGATGTGCTGATGTAAATACTGTAACTTATCTGGCTCCCTAAGCTCCCCGATTGCCATTTAGCTTCTAGAATGGCACCGCTATGATTATTCGTCCAATCCCTTTCCAAAGAGATATTCAAGATCCTTGCCTAAAGCGCGAGGGATAAGACAATTGAGGTTCTTGGAGCCTCTGCCTAACCCTTTCTCAATACCAGTTCATACTGATCAGTATTCAGGTTCTTGTCGTCGTGCTCGAGCCAGATATCCGCGTAATCGGCAGCCAAGAGTCGCTTGATCCCCAGGCCAGGATACTGGCAGCTCTGAATGGCCATGGAATGGAACAATCACCACTGCCGTCTAAGCGCACTCTTGATAACAGCAACCTCCCCATAATGCGAACAGAGAAACGTGCCGTTGTCCATCACCAGACACAAACCCAACGTTTCAGCATTGAGCCAATCTCTTGGTATGAAGAAGTGTCTTTCCAAGTACAGACCCATGAGTCGTTGTCAAGATACACCATCCTTTGCCCAGGGAGGATCCCCAGCGGCTTCCGGATGCATGAAAAAGTGCTTGGGGGAATATCAATGGTCGAGACCGTTTCTTCGTCCCTCGGGCGTCCTGGGATCAGGGGTCGATTTTTGATGAATACGAAGTTCGACTGCGTGAGGAAGGCCAGGGAAGCCCGAGTCGTGTGTAGCATAATGTATTTTCTGTCCTGGCAAAGGACCACGTTCTCAACTGCCAAAACAATTTCGATTTGGCTCATACCGGCGGGAGAAGATCGTCTGACTGAACGCTGGCTCTCCTCGTGATCGCTCGAGACGCTCAGTATGGGCGGCGTGCTATCGAACCGGATGGTCCTTAAGATATCTCCTCCCTTCCAGGTCCGGAAGGTTAGCATTGCTCACATCAAAGTCAAGAAATTGTTGGTCATTTTGTGTGTCTTCCTTTGGATTGTTCATGAACCATCTGTCAGTCCTATTCCGCACACCTCCAAAATTTCCGAGACAATTGCCGCCATGCACACCCCAGATTTCCCCCGAAGAAACACCGGCGATCAGGAAAAATTTGGAGTCGAGACTGAAGAGGAGCTGATGCACTCCATCCGTGCTCTTGATCTCTCGTACCAACTCCACTTGGAAGGGCGTTGACCGTGACCTGCCTTTCGTGGATTGGAAGATCCCTACCTCACCACCGATCTTGGAGTAGGCAATGAAATTGCCACACTGGCTGAACTCAATTAGGTCAATAGTCAAAGAGCGTCGTGAACGATATATCTCCAATTTGCTGCCTAGAACGTCGAACAGTTCTAGAACGCCAACCTCGTTGCCTGCGCAATACAACGACTGCTCCGAGTTGGCAGCCAGTGCAGTGACCAGGTCCGCAGTCTCAGCGCATACCTCGGAGGCTGAAGAAGTCTGTGTGGTGATCCCTGCCTCACTTTCTTTTTCGCTCGCTCGCTCATCGATCTCAGTAAGTCGGATGAGGACGTTAGGCTCCCAACATTGCAGGCCGAACCGCTAAGGTCGTAAAAGCGCCCATGGTCCGGACTAAAGCAGAGACCGGTGATGCCTGGCTCACAGGATAATTGATAGATGAACGCGAAATGCTGAAAATTCCAGACTTGGATAATACCAGTGATGTCGCTGGTGATGAAGAGCGCTACGTCGGGGGAAAACTCGAATTCGGAAGCTCGGGCTCGCACTTCTAGGCTACCACCTTCAGATGGACTCCATTTGAACACGCATCCGTCGTTATAGAGGCCAAAGAATTCGCCCTGCCTTGGATTTGGATGCCATAGAACCCTATCGACACCAGCCCAAGCATCGGTAAGGGCTTTCCAGTCGGTAACACGCCTGCATCTGGCAACAGGTCGTGCTTCTGATATGCTCCGAACAATTGAAGGATAGCCTCGACAAGCTACAGCGACCTCTGACCTGTTTGGACTGAATGATACGTACCGTGGAGCGTTGGCGTTAGTCCCTGAAATTGGTGTTTCCAACGCGAGAAGGTGGTGATTGACCAATTGCCATCCTGGCTTCGAATTTTGGAGGTCCAGCTTCCGTATAGTTTTGTCATAGCCACCAAGCAGAACAGCTGTATCATTGTCAGTGAAGCTGAGTGCAAGAGCTTTCCAATCTTGCGGATTTGGAACGGAAAATTTGAGTCGTCCTAGTGCGATCGACCACACTTTTTTGAATAGTAGCGATACGTGACCAATGTTTCAACCGCGATGTTGGGTGCTATCTCGAAAACGAATTCGCAATGATCGAGACGTCGTATCTCCCTCAAGGCCAATGCGTCACACAGAATGATGATTCCCGACGTGGTCAGGATGCAAATGTAATGAGTGACACACTCTATCTGCAAAGCTTGGAGTAATACCCCAAGGGAAATCTTGGCCAAACAATCATCCCAAGATGGATCAGTCAAGCCTGTCACTGTCGGAGAAGAGGAGTGATCCTTCTTCCCGTGTCGTCGATAAATTACGGATTCCTTTGGGCAGAATGGTGGTATAAGCTTGTAGATAGCACTCGATTCCTGGCTTAGATTTCGACCAAACTTCGCCAAGACTTTGAGAAGGTCTGCAGCCCAGGAGTCAAGAAGCTCTAAATCCTCGATGCACTCCTTGTGGGGGACATCGTCTGCATGCATCTTACGTTTCTTGCTGGCGAACGCGTGCAAATACTCTGATGCTTGGACTAAGATCTTCAATTGGTCGAAATATGCGAGGGCGTGGATCCATGTGAGGACGTAAGAACCGCGAAAGAACTTGGCTAAGAGCGGTAAAAGAGACGTGGAGGATGGTCGGCTCAAGCGGCTCAAGTCGAGGTGGTAGGGCCAGCATGTTGTTGCATATTGTAGAAATGATGAGGCCGTTAGCGCTGCAGTCTGTCCTACGTTCGCTTTCAAGTGCGGATCTAGAAGGTACACGAGCGACCTAGTAAACAGCTGCCTATGAGCTTCAAGCGCAGTGATGGAAAATTCGAGGTCTGGAGTTTTGAGAAGGTAGTCACGAGCTGTCTGATGAACCATGGCCACGTGGGAGCTGCCGTCAATGACAACAAATTGTCCGCAAACCTCTCCGATAGCATGACAAAGGTCCAGAACCGCCGAAAATTCTGCTTCCAGTGCTTGCGAGAGCTCAAGAAGAGATAGCGCGTCTCGCGCAAGCTGCCCAAGTCAAGATATGCTTGGCCAAATCCTTGTCCCCCTCTCTAAGGTCTCGGGCTATGTTCATTTCCATACGTTGGTAGAGCGGCTCCATTCCCGAGGGTATCTCGTTCAGGGTTTTCTCAACTGCTTCCTCGGTGAAGCACTTCATAATCTCTTGCATGGCCCGGGTAACCCATAAAAAATTCCCGGAAGCTCTTTGGAGAACTCTCTTCAGCACTCTCTGCTTTAAAATCTCGGTGCCGCGCAGATACCGGAGCTCTTTGCGCACGAAATGGTGGATGTCGCTCTCCTGGGCTTCGAACGCTTTACCCCGGAAGTTGACGACGCCTTCAATGCGACCAAAGGCCAGGGAGAGATTCTCCGTGTACCGGCTAAGCAGAAGAAGATGTACAGGAATGGCAGCCTTCGAAATCCCAGCAAAGATTTTCAACAAAGTCTGGTAAGGATCTGAGTCGTCCAAAGCATCGACGACCCAGTACAAAGGTACCTGCAGATCCATCTTAAACATACCTCCCACAAAGACTCTGTTCAATATAGTTCGAGCATCAGACTTTTCGAGCCTCACGCCATGATCGTGGAGGTCACTGAGTTTTCTCCTGAAGTCTGGCAGCTGCTGCGACACATGATACGCAAGTGATCGTAGGAGAGCATTTGGTGAGCGTTTGGTGTGGTCTCCAAACCGGAAGAAAAAGTAGCTGCAGGGCATGTCCAGGGACTCGAGGTACTCGATGATGAAAGTTGAGAGAACTGATTTTCCGCTGGCTGAATGGCCATATAGCCAGAGGATCTTAGAACTCGATGTGTGTTCTACCCAGTCCTTGAAAAAGAAATCGTATTTGATCCAATCACATGTGCCAGTCAGCCATCGATCGTGAAAAAAGTCGAAATCGTCTTACGGGCCTTCAGTACAACAAAGCGCTCAAAGTGTTTAGATCTTTTTGGGGTCCTCTGGAGAGCCATTGCGGATGATATTTGACCCTACGTATGGTAAGCTGTGCGCTTCAACTTGACTTATGTCCACTTGCTAGCCTCGCGAAAGCGTCCTACAAGGGTGCTCAAGACGTTTCGAACGCAGACAAAGTCGGGGTCTTGTCGATCGGAGAACTTGCATACACCGTGATGATTGCAATCAGAGATTTCGAGACTTTTCCCGGATAACCAAGGACCGACGTCTCTTTGTTGAGAACAAGCTACCATATGTTGCATTAGCTGTTATCTATTCGAGTATGAGCCAAAGATACTGACCAGCCCTGGATGTGTCTGCTTAGTCTCATAGAATGAATAGATGTGCGATTTCGGGGTTATACAGCTATGGAGCTTCGGCATGGAACCAAACCGCGCGGATCATTGCGGAACTTACAGACAAAAGCGAAAAATGCTTCTTTGTCAAGCTAAATCACCAAAATATCGCAGTCTCTGGTCCAGACCCATGATCAGAGAACAATGGTGATTATACTTAGTGCCACGAAGGTGAACGAGGCAAGGCGATGGTCGTAGGAGAGTACGAGTCGGAGCTCGATATCCATCGCAGTATGCCAGATTTCATATCCAAACCGTACAAATGGGGATAATGCAAGAAGGCTCTGCCTCCAACATATTTCATACTCCAGGACTTTTGTGACATGAGCACGCATCTTCCAGAGCTCACCCAATTCTGCGCGAAGCTAGCAAAGTTACACGCTTCCACTTATTCACCAGCCGGCAAGTTTGGCTATCATGTAGCTCGGGACATGGCGAAGCGAAAACGTCAGATTCAGATCAATACCTGCGGAATTTTGGGCTGTCGGAACCGGCTGACGAATTCGACGATCGCAATCGCCTATACTGCCTTCCACATAACATCAGCCACTCTATACACCGGCCAGGCTCGTATGTCCGAGATAAGTATGTTGGAGAGCATGTCGAGCAGAATTTCCATTGCTGATCGTATGTAGGGCCCTCGAAGATAAGCTCTTCCTCATCAACAAGTATGGTCCTGAGGGGACGGCTAGTCTGTTGGAATTCAGCATCTCAGCCCTGTTATGCTTGGCAAGGACTATAAGTAGCAGTACTCCTCCATAGAAAACAAAAGCCGTCATCAAATTCAACAGGGTCGGATTTGACGTCTGCGAGGGACCTCCCATAGGAAATAAAACCACTTGTGAGCGTCCTATTCAAGGCATGCTTGCTCAGTCGTATTGATGCCTCAAGATACCAACCTGCCCCGAACTTGGGTATGGTTCCCAAGCGAACGGTCGATCAGTGAGATATGGAACGTCTGCTAGCTAACGACATTGTTCCGGTCTACCACAGAGCATGCAGCTCAAATCGGTCCTCAGGATTTGGGGTGTCACGAGGAACCACTCTTGCTCTATGGGGCGGAGCAGCCAGTAGAACGTTGGGGCAGAGCGCACGCATAAAGAGATTTTTTTTTGCTCTCTCTCATGTCGAGTCTGTAGGGCACACGGACAACGGAGCATCGTGGAGTGACGATGTAACCGAAGAGCGCTCGCACGCCCCCCCCCCCCCCACCATGGCACGTCTTCGAGGCAATCGACGTCTTTTCACCGGGTGATCTTGCGACGCCAGATCAGAAAGCTAAGATTAATAGAAGCCCAAGTTCAAATCCAGGACCAACAGGATTGATATCCCCGTAGAAAACATATTAAGGACCCAGATGATATGACTTCAATTTAAGGCAGATTATGACGATCGGATACACGACTCATAGGGCTGACTAGGCTTCGCTGACCAAATTTCCATTCTATACAGATTTGTGTCCCTAATGAGACTCAAATGTATGTTCGTTCTGACAGCAAGTAGTTATTTCAGTACTCGGCTCATGGGACTGTTCTCCATGGCGCGTAGAGGATAATGGGTAGAAATGTGCTAGGCCCCATGCAAAATGAAGTGCTCAGCTTCAGGGCCAAGTAGATCAAGGCTTCCGATCTCTTGTGAGCATGGTCGACGGCCACTTGGCTTCTCTGATAGAAATACAGCGCGGATCTTCACCATTTCCATTACAGAGTTCTCCGCTACTTTGAACCATCCTATTCTAAAACCCTCCCCAGAAAAGCCCCTTCCAACCTTCCGACCTCTCTTCTGAAGGTCTCCACCTCCTTCCAACAGTCCAACGGCCTCCGATCATTCAGCCTCAGACATGCCACTACTTTTTCTTTTGCCTTATTGACTTCTGTATCTTTCATTATATCCTCTTTCAGCTGCCTCTCTTTTAGCTTACTCTTCAGCTTCTCAATCTCTTCTTGCACCTTCACTCTACTCAGATCCCTTGTCCTATCCCCTTCTGCCTTGGCTTTGTGATCCGGGCCACCCGAAGAAGACGTTTGGTCTGGGATAGTGGTCGAAGGGGTGTTGGTGCTTTCGGTAGTAGAATCGGGCGTAGAAGAGATGCGGGCTTCGAGATCCGTGAGCTCTTGGGTTGTCTCGGCGTCTAGACGGGCCAGCTCGGCGGTGACGCGGGACTGGATGTGCAGTTCTAGGTCTTTGGCACGGGTGCTGTCGGTTTCGGGACTGGCTTGGAGAGCATTGACGAGGTCTTGAGAGAAGCGGACCGGAGTTTCGCTGGAGTTGATTAGCGGTGGAATTCGCTGATGTTAGAAGTGCAACTATAGATTCTGACCTAGAGAAGACATGTTGGGTACTCGAAGGGGCTGGTTTTGAGGGACCCGAGCCCATGTCGTTGAAGGTGATGGAGAAAGGAACGCAGTACGCGAAGGACGGCGCGGAAGTTCACGAGAGCAGTAGTAGGTGTAAAGAGGGTTCTTGAACGCTATGTCAGGTCAATTGGGGATGTGGAGATGGTTGTGTGATTCAATTGAACTTATTAATGATTTGTGAAAGTTGGAAGAGCTCAAATTCGAGCTCCGAATTCCATAGGGCTGAAGCTCGAAGCTTTCTCCGCATTGATGTAAGGATACCTTTGATTGCTTCGTTGAACGGACATGCCCAAGCGCTGAATAAAGCTCTACACAGCCGACTGTCAGAAATATAGAGCTTGAAGCACCGACAAAGCCGCGAGTCTTTCGCATTGCCCTGATCCTCAAGGCCTTCTACGAAGACTGGAACGCAGACTCCCACCTTCCCCGCAGTTTAGCAGAAGTAACACCGGCCGCTCCTCAATGAATTTGGGTCTCCTACGATAGGTCAGAAGAGTACAAGTGACTTACTTTGATTTTCCAGCCTAGCTGTGGAAGGTTTGCTCCATAGCAAAAGCGACTGGCTTCAATTGACAATTCCGCGCAGTTGGGGCAAAGGCCCGAAAGCCTCCTCCTTCAACAGCTTCCCCGCCATTTGTCTCCACAAACCGGCGCATTGGCGTTCCTCCGCTCCCACATCCCCCCCATCTTCGAGACCTCTTCCTCTGTGCCCGTCTTCTACCCATCCGCCGACTACAAGCAAGCCTTAAAGCTGTCCCGCAGATCCACTTGTACTACCGCCCAGCTTCTCTCCTTTGCGGTCCTGCTCGTGCTTGTCGCTCTTCAACTCTTCGCACCAACACCATTACTACCACGGCAATCTTCCGAAAACGACTTACCTCATCGAGACGTATCACAGCGGTGCCCGCCGCCAGTGTGTGAGAATCTCAGCATCATCTCGGAGCCGTTACCTGTCTCTCGAGCGTACAAAATGTCTGTCCTCGAGGAAGCAAAGCGGGTGGCGGCGGAGTTCGAGTACTCATCGGAGGATCTGAATAGAGGAGTGAAGGCATTCATAAGCCAGATGGACGAAGGACTACAAAAGAAAGGGACGTCTATGAGCCAAATACCGACATACGTCACAGCTGTTCCCAATGGTACGGAAAAGGGTCTCTACTTAGCGGTCGACCTTGGCGGCACAAACTTCCGAGTCTGCTCCATACAGCTCCATGGCAACACTACATTCTCCCTCACGCAATCGAAAGTCGCGATCCCCCGAGAGCTGATGGTCGCCAAAACATCTCATGAGTTATTCTCCTTCCTGGCAAAGCAGATCGAGAACTTCCTCCGAACGCATCATAACGATCACTTCGAGGCACATGTCAAGCGAAGGAAAACCATGAGCTCAGGGGAAGGATTTAGAAATGAAGAGATATTCCAATTAGGGTTTACCTTCAGCTTTCCAGTCAACCAGATTGGCATCAATCGAGGGACACTGGCAAGGTGGACCAAGGGCTTTGACATTGACGATGCCATTGGGCAAGATGTCTGTGAGCTGCTTCAAATAGAGATTGATGCGCTTCATTTGCCGGTCAAAGTCGCAGCTTTAGTCAACGACACCGTAGGAACGCTAATGGCACGATCGTACACATCTCCCGGGAAGACAGGGACCCTCCTCGGTGCCATCTTCGGAACAGGAACCAACGGCGCCTATGTGGAAAAGCTCGACAAAGTCACCAAGCTCAAGTCAATAGTCGAAGGCGCGGACTATGACAAATCAACCGGTAATATGATTGTAAATACCGAATGGGGCTCGTTCGACAACCAAATGAGCGTCTTACCCAATACGCCCTACGATGAAGCACTCGACAAAGCGACCCCCAACCCCGGTATTCAAATGTTCGAAAAGCGTGTCTCGGGCATGTTCTTGGGCGAGATCTTGCGCAACACCATTCTCACACTAGTCAAGGACCCTAAGTGCCAACTTTTCAAAGATTCCAATTCATCCACCAACGACCTCCACTCCACGACTACCATAGCAGAGAACTCGGCACTCTATAAGCAATGGGGGGTTGACACCAGCTTCTTGAGCATAGTTGCAGCAGATGTCAGCCCGGGGCTGAAGGTCACGCGGCAGGAACTTAGCAAAGGATTTGGCGTGGATGCTGCGAGCACGGAGGACGCTGAGGCCATCAAGCTACTCGTCAACGCCATTGGGAAGCGCTCTGCCAGGCTTAGCGCGGTAGCACTCGGTGCTATTGTGATTTCGACAGACAATCATGTTTCTACAGGTGGTGGGGATGATGATGTGGTGGACATTGGTGTTGATGGCAGCTTGGTGGAGTACTATCCAGGGTTTGAAGATTATGTCAGGGAAGCATTCCGGGAGATGCCTGAGATTGGTGCGCAAGGTGAGAGGAGGATTCGGATTGGTATTGCAAAAGATGGGAGTGGAGTTGGTGCTGCCTTGATTGCTTTGGTGGCGGCGCACATGGGTGGTGACTAAAAGGATAGCACGTCGCTCTCGGGCACATGTGAGAGACAAGCTGAAAGAGGAGGGAAGAGGAGAGCTTTTGTTTGATATGACTTGCCTACCCTGTCGATTGGGCTTTGTATTAAAGCATTTGGATTGTGTCTCTATTACCACATATACGACTGCAAATATGTACACGTCTCCTATACAAAATTCATACACAGTTCGTGATATTTACCCAGGAAGCAAAGTTAGCAAAGTGCCTTACCCTTAGTACCTTCAGTGGAGAGGTTTTTATCTGATAAGGAGAAAAGGCGCTAATTACAAGGTGCAGCACTAGCTCGTTTCGAATACGGGCTGTCAAGCGCCTGCTATTAAACGTTATTTCCCCACTATCAAGTAATATGTATGCGACAAGCTACGTTACACAGACTACAGAAAAACCCAACCCTCGATTCAGATATTCAGACATTGTACAACGTTCAATTGCTTTCAAAGGGACAATCAGTTGCATCTACTGAAGCACAGAGGCTGGCCCGATACGAGATGATTATTGGAGCCACGATACCACCCGCCCGCGGCTGAGTGCAGCTGAAGGATCCCGAACAGCGATAAAGTATCTCTCCACTTTTGACCTTCGACGACTTCCTCTTCACTCACGCAATATTTGACTGTACTTTGGTATTCTTGGACAATTTGTTGACCCTATCTATCTGTTTTGCCGAATTCCGTTCTGCCATGATTCTTTGAAGCGCCTCGAATACCCTGCAAACTTCAGCCATTTGAGAAATATTGCGCATTGACCTTTCATCCAAACAAAAATGCTTAACCGCATGTCAAGCTCTGCGAGAAAGAGGGAATCTGTCAACATGACCGCCCCCAAAAACGCTGGCGAAACATTCACCTTCTCCCCGGCCCCCGGAAATGTCGACCCCCACGCTCACACCCACTCCGATCAACCGCCCTACTTCGACCTGCGGAAATGTCCCTCAATGGCCTCCGTCATCTCCCTCCGCCGATACCTCTCGCTGACCCGAGATTTACCAAACGAAATCATCGACATTATTCTCGACCTCGCCGAATACTGGCCTCACACCTCGTCAATCCTCGACATGACGACGAGAGTCTACAGCGGCCACATGTGCTATGGCAGCTATCCAGCTCGGCCGCGGCAGAAACTGGGGAGGTTGCTGAGTACGCCAGAGAGTAGAAGGGAGTGGAAGGAGGATGGGTTTTTGATCCGAACGCCGCCCTTGGGCTGGCACTGCGTTGGTGATGCCGATTTATCCAACCGATGTGAAAGTAAACCGCCATCTACTCCCCCGCCAAAAGCGAAGTCCAAGCCCTTAATCCCCACCCCGCGCCCGCCAACTTGGCTGCCACCCCGCGGTCTCCATCCCGCCCGCCGCGTCGTGTTCGAAATCCTGAGCCGAGAGGAAAGACTCGAGAATCCGCACCGGCAGGGCAGTACGTTCTGCTACGCGAATTCCAAAACCTCCTTCGACGCCACCATCGACACCATCTCCTTCCCCAAAACGACCAAGAAATCCATCACCCGCAGCATCGACCCCCTCCTCTGGACCGCCGAGGCCGCCACGAAAGACTGCCACCACCACCAACCCTCCGAACTCTGCTACGCCATCCGCGCCAAATCCTCCAGATCCCCCCATCCTCCGTCCAAAACGTCGGAGCTCGAAAACCACTCATCCGGCGTGACGAAGAACTACACCGCGCACAACAGGAAGTCGGTCCGCACGTGGCGCTATGACGGCGCCGAACGCTGCTACCTGCCGACCACCGACCGGGACTTTGGAAGCGAGAACGCGACGGAGTTTGTACAGGGGTTGCGGGAGGGCGACTGCGTCAGTCTGTGGGCGCGGGCGAGGAAGTGTGACGAGCACGTGAGGAGGCGGCCTCGGCAGGGGGAGCAGGGGCGGGCGTGGTGTAATGTCGTGGATCGGGTGGCGATTCATGTCTTTTGGGCTGTTTGACGGGGCGTGTGTGCTACCTACCTACCTACCTACCTTTTTACTATATTCTGCTTTTTGTGTAAGAGAGAGAGAGAGAGTGTGTGTGTGTGTGTGTGACGTCTGGGCGCATAAATCCCATCTGGAGCTGCTGGGTATCCGAATAGATCAACCAAATGTTCGACACCATCCATCATCATCATCATCATCATCATCATCATCATCCCTACAACAATCACAGCGAACCCAGCATCCTCAGTATCCGCAGCTCAATCCCGAACCCATCCCAGCCTCTCAGAGCGTACAATGGAAATTAAGCACAAGATACATACACATCGGCTAATAGAACACACACATGCATACACACACATCGGCTAACAGATCACGCACCCCCGCTCTTTCTTTCTTTCTCTCTCTCTTCTCTCTCTCTCTCTCTCTCTCTCTCTCTTCCCTCTTCCTCCCTCCTCTCTTCCTCTCTTCCTTTTTTTTACTCCAAAAACCAACCCCACCCATCGCCAAAGCCGCATCGATTTCCTCCGTCTCCAATCCCCGTCTCTTCAATCCCGTGTACATGCATGCATCCATCGCATCCATCTCAGCTTGGTCCGCCTGAACTCGAAAGCCTAGTTTAGGTACTATACCTATGACCTACCTCCTCAAGGTAGGAATGGTAATCTTTTCCCGCCAATCTGGAATGACCTATCTGGCAAGCATAGATGGGATAGATTTGTCTATGTAAGGTATGACTCGTAAAATAATCCTGATCGCGTTCTTATCGTGGGAGGTTTGAGCGCGTTGCTGATTTTTTTCTTTTTCTTCTTCTTTCTTCTTCTTCTTCTTCTTCTTTCTTCTTCTTCTTCTTCTTCTTCTTCTTCCTTCTCCTTCTTGTCAAATACCGCGTGGCAGGAAGCCGACCTTCTGTACTCATCGCCTTTCCATCTCACATCCTAATCTAAGTCAGCATTCCCAGCGCCGTTTCGGATGAGACGGAGATGAGCTACTGCTCGAGACTCCTGCGACATCGTATTCGTCGCAGGAACGTTTGGACCGAGGAGAAGGAATGGGGTTGCACGATCCTACTTTGGACCCTCGTGTCGGGTCTATTGTCAGGTAGAATTGGATACGATGGTTCTCGGCCTACCATCGTACTGTTCTACCGACGGATTTCTGCGTGGGGCTGATGAGTCCGGATTGCTGGCCTTTGGCTTTGGGGGCGGTGGTCGAGGTGGCAGGTGCTGCTTTTGCGGTCACGAGCACGTAGATTGACCTCTCCGGTAGAATCTTCTAGATTGAAATGTTATTTTCTTCCTTTGCTGAGTTCGTCGTAAGTGTAACCAGATCTAATAGTGGTGTATGGAACGGTGCATCGCAATGTAGGTGGTGAATGTTTCGTCATGAGGAGGTCAGGCAGATATACATCCTTGTGTAGTGGCAAATTCGATAGCGAGGCCCTTCAATTAGCAAAATTGCTGGGTCGTGTGAGAACATTGTTCATGTATAGCTAAAGCTGGTGAGTACCACAATCAGCCTGGAAGACCGCACTTGATCATTCCCCACCTTCAACAAATGCGCCCCTTACACCCCCTTCTTCGCACCCAAGGGCACCACAAATGGCCTCCTCTCAATCCCCATCCTCGGCTTACCATCACCCAACCCTATAAATCCCCCATACCCAAATCTCCAATCTTCAGGCCATGGCTTATCCCTCACTTGTTCCTCGACCAGTCCACTGCCATTGAACAACTCTAGCACACCAGCAATCGTCTCTGCCAATACGCTTTTCGGTATGGGTCGTGGCCGACGGCTATAGTACGCCACTACCACTGCGATGTTCAGCAACAGTAAGATGACCGTGACTACGAACATGGATGAGGACATGAAGACGCGGGTACAGGGTCCAAGCATCGTTCCTTCGATCGTGGCCCCTTGGGGTGCAGGGACGAAAGCAGAGGGCTGCAGACTGATGATTATGGGGAAAAGACGTGTGATTATGTCTACGACGACAGGGGCGATTTTTTCGAAGTCTGGCGCCGGAAGCGTGGGGTCAATGAACCTTGGCGAGTTGGTAAGCGCTTTTATGAGAAAGCCGGCCCATGTGTCTCTAGCGTTATCGTTGTTCCAGTGAGGGTTGATTTTGTTGAAGGGTGCGTCGAAGGCGACGAATAGATCGCTCAGGAACGATGGAAGGGAGCTGCTGTTCGCTAAAGAGAGATTTGTAGAGATTTCACTCTTACGGACATAGTTTTCAACCCGGCCGTTGGTCGTGACCTCGACCTCGTACATGGCAGTAAACACAGTCGACTCGCAGGTCATCCAGGTGGAAGATGTGAACAGGCTATCAACGCCTTCGACCTCCGCGTAGAGTTCAGCTCTCAGGAAACCCATGGCGAGGGTACTGCCGCAGATATCTTGGTCGCCCTGGCTCGCGTTGGCAAAGCTCGGACCCAACGGCGCGAGTAGCTCCAGGGAGGCATTCGTCTTGTTGTGAGAATCGTAGAACGTATCCCACTGGCGAGTACAATATACATTGTTTTGATCCACAGAGATTTGGGGTTGGCCTATATCATTATTGGGCATAGTGATGTATGCTGGGTCAGCCCATGTTTGGTTTGTACAGACGACATTGAGGCCGAATCCAGGTGTAGTTGCCTTGTATGATTGGATGCTCTCCAACGGCGATGTCGTATTGATTTGGAAAGGGAGGAAATACAAATCTCGTGAAACCCAAGCAGGGAGAGAAGCTCCGTGGCTAAAGTTGGCCGCCGCGATGTAGAGGTGGTCGGAGCTGGATGTCTCGGAAGAGGTTTGATTGATCGACGGTAAGGAAGACTTCAAAAACGTTCCATCAGACGCGATGACCGTAAGGCGCGGCTGCAGCAAAGCGTTCAGAACAACAGCCAACACATTGGCAGAAAATCCAGTTGCACAAACAGCCACGAGGAGGAAATGGCGAGCTTTTAATGCTCGCCAGATGGCCAACTGTGGGGGTAGCGACGTGTACCTGAGATCCATTGACCGAGAAGCTTTTGCTTCGCCACCTCTTAGTGCCTCAAAAGGTTTCAAAAGGCATAACTTCCTGTTAAGCATTGTCCAAAACGGTTCGACCAGTGTCGCAAAGAGAACTGGAATATAGTTGAGTATGATCTGAGCCTCTATTGGGTTGTTAGATGGTAGGGGGAGTCCGTTCAGATGATGGATACAGAGACGTAGGACCACGACGATGATCAAGACTGCTACAAACACCGCAAGAAACGCGGATCCGACTGCATACCCCATCACAAATGGTAGTATAGGCTTTCCGTTGGCGTCATTGCCAACTTCAGCGGCAGCAGACCTTGAGTTAGTAGAGGATAGTGGCCGCTTCCTCATGCAGCAGTCCATACGAAGTCCTCCACCTCTCAAAGTCAGACTTGATTCACCGGATTTCTGCACCAGTTTTTCAATGCTTTTTGGAACCTTGGGATCGTTCTGGGTGATCTCCAATACATTGCTGAGCGACGCTGGGTCTTTCCGAAGCTCGCTTCGACGATTCCAGCAGATGAGAAGAAGAAGCAAGGTTGCTAATGATGCCAAGCCCAAGCACGCCTCCAGGAGTATAGCCAACGTTCGGACCACTGCGATAGCATTTGTATTACCACAGATTGTCCCCAAGCCTTCATTCAACGTCGAATACGACGACGAGGTGCTTGTAGATAACAAGCTGTTCAGGGCCAGAGCAAAAAGAACCTTGTACGCGCTGTCCAGGCTTGTCGCGAGCACACTGGCGTTGAGATACGCATCTGCAGCGAGCTGAGAGGAGCCGACTGCAAAGACGATAATGTTATCGAAAATATCTGTGATTCCTCGAATTTCAAGCTGGGTCGTATCAATGTACTGTGTTGTTTCATTGATGTCCCCTTTTAGCTGATCTGCAGTCGATTGCTGTTGTCCATTCTGGTTTGGCGACCTGCTTATCACGATGGACTCAAAAGTGGAAATATCAAACGCGGTGCTCAATAACTGCCGTGGCGGCGCTAAGGGTATAACATTTGAGACCGTCATGTTTGGCATAGTCAATGTTGCATTGACGGACTGAGCAGAATAGGACGGCTCACAGAAAAGTACTGTCTTCTCCGAGTACGAGGCCCATGGGGCGCCAGTTTCCTCGGTCGACCAAGCGTAGGATCCTTGTAGTTCTAGAGGCTTCCGACCTTGAGGAGGCTCAGAGTTCTGGAATGAGTATGCCATGAATGCCTTTGATGTGTTTCCGCTGGCGCAAAGAGTCTGGTAGTATGATGAGAATAGGCTGGTGCTGTTAGGTGTTAATCCATCAATGTCGATCTCTTCAACCACGCATCCTTTCCCACTGTCGTATGTGACGCCGTGTGAGTCATTACCAACTAAAGCCGGCTGGCAGTCAAGACTCGAACTATACATTGTGGTTTGCGCTGTCCAGTTGCTCTTGAAGGATGCCGCTTTCGCCTGTTGGCCTATTTCGAACGGTATGAAAGCGGCATCCCGCGTTGTAAAACTTGGCAGCTTCTGATCCAGCCACAGGGTGCTGTACGCATTCAACATGAACCCTCGGTTGAGAGATGAGCTCTGTTCCAATACAGGTAGAAGGCTGGCTGTATGAGTCACACTTGTGGTTGTAGACAGGCTGACCACGCGGTATTCAAACACCGCGCCGCTGAGTGGTGTGATTCCACAGAATACTATTGTCGACACGAAGCACGCAATGACTACACTCCAATGTCTGCGATGATCATCAGTGATGAAAGTTTCTGGAAGGGTTGGTGTGTACCTTAATCGTAACGCTTTGATGGGCGGTACGAGTTCAAGATCGAAAGGATAGTGAAGAAAGATCGAGTTGGCCGGCGAAGCTCCTTCGACTTTTGACATCTGGAAGTACGGCTCGAGTCGTTTGGTATCGAGAGCAATCCACGCCCATATCATACTGTACATGACTGCGAGGATGGTTGGGAGATAGAAGTAGGTGAAAGTCGTAAAGTTCGAGAAGTCCTGCTCGGCGAAGACAATGCCGCCATCACGACGGCTTTGGTGAGAGAGGTATTCAAAGATTGCGACCAATATGAGCGGAAAAGCTATGAGGCATACTAGCAACGGCCCGCGCAGAGTCACAGGTTTCCAACACCGATCGAGTACTTTTACTAACAGAGGTTAGAATGCTAGATCACACTGGCAGGCGCTAGTACCTCGAGGTTTTCTGTTAGGAATATAGGTGCAGAATAGGCACCATAGTCTAGAGAGCCGCTGCCAAGCACTGCTGGCTCTGCTCATCTCGACCAGATGAGCCACGACAGCGATTCGATGCCTGAGGTTTGGCAGCACGAATGTCAGAACAGGCTCAGTGTAACAGGCTCAGGGTAGCCGGAGATCACAGAAGTAATAGGAAGAAACGGCGCATCCCAAACACTAAATAGGCCCTAATGTGCATGATTTCAAGAAATGGAGAAACTCCAGAACACCGTTGCTCTTTCTGAGCTGGAGCTTGGCTGAGCCGTTGTCCGCGCAATCAGCCTCCTGTTTGCTTGTTTTAGGGGGCGAAGTCAGTAGCGAAATGCAGGTAGAGGAGCGCGAGAACCGCAGGGAATGGCTCAGCATTGAGGCACGAAACAATGCCCACGGGCCACCAGTACTTTCACTTGGACACCCACCGCCGCAGAACTGAAACCTCAGATGCATGAGTAGCAGGCTAGAAGATGGCTGATACTACAATGTCTGAAACAATTTCTGGGACTGTGGATTACTACGTAGGATGCAGGGTAGTATTTAGGATCTCAACTTGCAGAAGGAGCAGCAGGAGGCTGTAGACGAGCTAGTCTGCTCCCTAGCGCACGCAGAATAGACCCCTCATTGCTCGCTCGCTATTTGGCAAGAAGACTTTCATTCTACCGCATGTCGAGATACCCGCTACTCAATGACCAGCTATGCTACGCCGAGGCAATTTGGTCAAGGATTGCAGACCCTCATACTGGAAATTTTGTCCTGGCGGTGTCAGGTAATATTGGGCTTGATCACAGCCTCCACTATTCGGGAGAACGGATCCGTTGATGTACTAATTCGAAAATCGTAACCTCATTCGTAGCTACGGACATGATAAGATTCCTTGAGACTTCGAAGCTGGTTTTGGCGTTGGACTAGTAATCGGCGAATCTCCTCATTGGAAATATCTCATTGACTAGAAGCCTCAAACCTCCCAGAATACGGTCACCCTTACTCCCTCAATCACTGTCACAGTATCGCTCCCAGTCTCGCTCCCATTGATCCAGCCATGATTCGTCACTCTAGGCCATACACCAACTTCATCTCCCACCTGCAAGCCCCTCACGAACTCCGCTCTATCCCTCCTGTCCACGACATCCAAATCCTTCATAACTTTGGCGAACTCCTGCCTTCGGACCTCACTTAGATTTCCACTGGTCAGCGCCCACCTGTCCCATGACGAGCCTAATTCATCCGAATGAGCACAATTCTTGTCATCGTCGAAACGGTAGATCGCCGTTGTCTTTGCAGATTGGCCTTCGAGGTTATCATTCACATACAGTTTCAGCGTTAGGCATCCTGACACGCGAGATGCTTGTTGTTTGAGCCAAGCCAAAGACGCCACACCGCAAGGCCAGTTTAATTCTCTGTTTTCACCTCCCTCACGCTTTTCGGGGCGGAGTGGGGAAACCTGTTCTTCCCGCTTGGCCTTTGACGGGGAAAGCGAGCACGGCTGTGGAAGAGGGATACTGGGGTCAACAACGCCGATTTCAAGCCAAGTATGACTAGGTCGAAGGAAGAGTGGACATTGAGGGACTCGCTGGGCGGGTGTGCCTCGGCGGGCTGTGACTTCCACACTGAGCATGCGGGCTGGATGCTTTGTCTTTGGGGGAAGCCAAGGCTGCGAGATGTCGGGTGATAGTCCCAGCGGCGGTGACCGCAGAAGAGGATCCAAAAACGCTCTAGAATTCGGAGGAGGCGAGATGTGGGTGCTATGTCCTTTAACAGTCCGCGGGACGGAGGAAGAAACGGATACATGAGGCCAATAGTTTGCAAGGGAGAGGATGATATCCACGAGTTCAATAGGAAGGGCTCGCATAAAGTGATGCTTGAGAGCAATGACCTGAGGGAGCGTGGGGTGACGCGACCAGTCTAGCCATGATGGCGACTCGGCCACTGGCTTTGCGAAGGGTATTTGCGTGTTGGCATTGCTGCTCTCGTTTGACGAGGGCGCACTACTGCCTTGCCCTTTATCCCATGTGATTGGTACAGGCTGTCTGTACATGACTTTGCAACAACTGTTGATCAGCGCTGGTAAACAGACTATTGATACAGGCCTATTTAATTGTTTGTTGAGCTGTATGAACTATTACCCTAATCTTCTCGGGTACGAACTTGTCAGCTGATGGCTCACAGTATTGTGGAAGAGGAGAGGTTCGGGTTGGCAACCTTTTTCACAAGCTTTGAATTGCAATCAGCGCGCAGAGGATTCTAGGATTGCTGAATTCGGAAGGAATGGCAGAGAGTTTGTAGCACAGTTGAAGATTTGTGAACTCTGAAGAGGATGAAAGCTCGGCGGGACATCCACAAGCACAGCCTTATCTCCTCGCGGGCGTCTAGGCTCCTTTCAGCCTAGAGAATGAAGTCATCAGGGTCCCTAACTTTTGGCCCGAAACTTGACAGGGCAGGAGGGGTAACACGTAAACAGTTGCATCTTACCTCAATCTTCCTTCACAACCCACAATTACCTACGCCAGACACATACAGCAGCAACCATGGTCAAAGTGTTAGAAAACCGTGCCGTCGACCTCGACATTGTTCCAGGATCTAAAGACGGCGGGGAACTGAAAGATCAGGCCGATGCTATCACGTATGTTGATGCCCCACCTTGCAGCGCTATCTTTGAAGAACAGATAGAATGATTGTTGACTCTCCCTCTATGCTTCAGTGGTCAAGCGACACAAAATCTCCCTCCCGAAGCCCGCCAGCGAGTCGAAGGCCTTACGCAAGGTGCTACGGGCGTCGGCGCAGATGCTCTCCAGACCGTTGGTGGGGGCGTGAAAGGCATTGTCGATACCGCTGGTAACACTGTACGTCTCCTCCTCTCATTCTCAACCAAACCCCCTCCCCCTAGCATGCATCTCTACTGACGCTATGAAAACACTGCTAACCATGTGCCACGGCATCCAGGTCGGTGTCCTCGGCGGCGGCCTCAGCGACACCGTCAGCGGCGTAGCAGGAGGACTCGGCAAGGTTGCCTCTGGCGCGGGACAAACGGCCGCGGCACCTTTCACATCCGCAGAAACAAAGGAGGGCGGTGAGGGAGCTGCCGACTCTGCGAAGGGCGCGGCGGATTCTGCGATTGACACTGCGGGTGAGGCTGGAGGGAAGGCATCCGAGACTGCAGACGAGGCTGGAGGAAAGATGTCCGAGACTGCGGGTGAGGCTGGAGGGAAGGCATCCGAGACTGCAGACGAGGCTGGAGGAAAGGCATCCGAGACTGCAGGCGAGGCTGGAGGAAAGGTATCCGAAACTGCGGGTGAGGCTGGAGGAAAGGTATCTGAGACTGCAGGCGAGGCTGGAGGAAAGGTATCCGAGGCTGCGGGCAGTGCGAAAGACACGGTTGGGGATGCCGCTGGGGAAGGACAGAAGAAGCTTGGGTTGTCGGAGTAGAGAGACTGCGGTGATGGTGGGTATCTCTGACGATGGAAGGAAAGTGTTGCATGTTGCCTCTCGTCTGCCTGTCGGACAATGGAGAGTAATCGGGTTTCACGTACACACTTTAACACGTATATGCACATGCTAGCGGTCCTGTTTGCTGATTATGCTATGCTCGTTCTTGGTGAGTCTATGTGCATGTTTTGATCATGTCCCTCTCGCAATGTCACAAGACTTCATACCTGCTGATCAAAATGAGGAGCCTGCCGAGAATCTAGGACTGAATTTCACAAGCTGGATACTCTAATAGGAGTGCATCGCAGCTTCGACACCTTCGAAATGCCGTCTGTGCAATGCGATGCAATGCAGAGGCTGAATCCAACTTCTCTCGCATGCAGGACTGGACCTATGGTCATTCCTTCTCTTCTCATCCCTCCATCACACTGCGTCTACGTGCGCTTGCTTCTCTTCTTCCACGGCCATCTGCTTCACTGTGTTCTTCTCTCGATCCTGCGCCGCCTGATCTCCATCCTCCTTCTCCTGCCCACCATCACTGCTAATCTCCCCTTCCGGCCATTCTTCCTCCTTTAGCTCGTCCCCTTTCTCCTCCAACGCCACGTCATCGATGCCTAGATTCGCCATCCCATCGGTCACCTCGTTCCCATTGACATGGAATTTCTGCTTCAAGATACGTTCGTTGACAGCAGTGATCAGCGAATAGTAAAGGGATCCCAACGGGTCACGCCCAGTGATAGGGCAGCGGATAGCAGCCAGGTCTAATCCCATCATCCGGAATACCTCAAGCTGCCAGATGTCGTTTACTAAGACGGCTTGTCAGTCTTTCAGGTGAACATGCTGGACCCAGGCACTGGGTAGCGGTGCATCCATACGGTACAGCTTGATGTTCTCCCCTGCATCGATCGAAGGACAACCGCGCGCCATTCCGGAAGCCAGCTGCTCGTTCGCAACTTCAGAGAGCACGAAAGCCTTGTTGTTGAACACTAGCATGAGGGAAGTTAGTCCCCAGTTGTTAAGACTATGGTGGGAAAGAAGCTTACCAACATGGTGGTGAGGTCCACTCATGTCTTTCGACCACGGCTCATCGAGGGCATCGGGACGGGCGGCTTTGACCTCATCGTAGGCGAGGTTGATCTCAACGGGGCCGATAGCAAGAGCGAGCTTGGCGCGTAGGAGCTCGAGCTTGGGAGATGCGATTTGTGCCATGTTTTCGGAGTGTGTGGAAGGCGGCGCTGCAGTTTGAGTGGTGGTTATCTGAGAACGAAGCTTAGCTATGGACGAGTTTTATCTGGGGAGGGAAGAGGGTCAAGTGTTGTCTATTGAGATCTCACCTCGGCTGTTGAGTAGTATTTTTTGGTCTGTAAAAGTCCGATGTGAAGCCTGTGTGCGGTGGAGGAGTCTGAGTGAAAGTTGGGGAGTATCTGTTCTGCGTAGAATTGAGTTGTTGACATGTTTCATCACAACAGCGCGACAAGACGATCATAACATTTCTTCTCAAGAGCACACACTGTAGATGTCTGTTATGTTTTTTGTCAATTTGATTGCAATGCCAGAAGCTTCCAGCGGTTTTTAAGAATCTTTGCAATCGAGTGCTAATGTTTTCTGACAGTGAGGGCGAAAACTAAGACGATTTGCTGAATCTGTTCACGGATGTCCTAGCATTTACACAGTGTTTTATGCATTAGCCCTTCTGCTGCCTACGCCTTTGTCTCATTACCTGCAACTTTCCGGGAAGTCAGTTGGAGGTCCAGAAAAACTTGAACAGAATGTCTCATCGTCCTCAACATCACATTCTAATTTGTTAGGCTGGCCTGTAAAGGCCATAGAAGTTTTTAGAGCAATTCCACTCCTAGCTGTATCCTTCGCTAGCAGTGTCAATAGTGCAATAGCGTGTTTCTGTATTGAGGAACCGGGATAATACATCATGACAGAACTGTCTTGCTCTATGATTTCTCATCTTTTAACTGCGTGTACACAGCCGTGTGAGCTCTTCTCTCAAGCTGCCAAGAGAACTTGTCCTGGTGTATTATCAGAGCTGAACCTCTGTTTAAGTCACACCGTCGTTGTCTGAATTTGCTGCCTATAAAAAGGTACAACATGCAAGAGGCAGCACCTAAGACTGTTCTGTTTTGTAGCTTCCAGGAGCATTGGAAGCGAAAGAGGGTGAGAGGACAGACCAGCATTTTAGCGAACACCGGGTGGCAAATGTGAACTACAGCATGTTCTCCGAGGATCGGAAGCTCGATACCTAATCATAACCATGCTGACACGCATCCCCAAGAAGTTTATAGGGCCTCTCCGACCATTAATAATGCCACCCCGAGCTACAACCTGCCACAGCAACTTCCCTCCATCCTTTGACCCAACTTGAACCCTCCCCGCCTCTCCCCACCGTCCCAACATCATCATCATCATCATGTCCGCCCCGTCTACCCTCGAAACCCACGGCTGGACAGCCCAACCGCGCGATATCTCCGCCTTCCTCGGCGACAAGCAAGACCTCAAAGCGCCAGAACCTCAGACCGTCGCCAGCATCGCCCTCCCCAGCACCCCGCTCGCGAAAGCCGTGCTCGACTACGCGAAGAAGGAGCTCAGAGAGGAGACATTCAATCACAGCATGCGCGTTTACTACTACGGTATCTCCCCTCCGCCCGAAAGCATCACCACGCTCAACGGCCGGCCGATCGCTGACTGTAGCGCCCAACCCCCAGGCAAAGCGATCCAAACCCACCTCTCCCCCACGCACCCCCTCCCCGTCTCCGACGAGACCTACCTCCTCACCTGCCTCCTCCACGACATCGGCACCACGGACAAGCACCTCCCGGCGACGCTCATGTCCTTCGAGTTCTACGGCGGCTACCTGGCGCTCGACCTGCTGAAGAAGGACCTGCGCGCGCCGATCGAGCAGGCGGAAAGCGTCGCGGAAGCCATCATCCGGCATCAGGATCTGGGCGCGAGCGGCAAGATCTCCAGCCTGGGCTTGCTGATCCAGTTGGCTACGGTCTTCGGTGGGTCTTCTTTTACCCCCCCCCAAACCCCCCACGTGCGACGGAAGGAAGGCAAGACCGAGGCTGATACCGCGGACAGATAACATGGGCGGCAACGCGGAGCTCGTGCACAAGGGCACGATCGAGGACGTGGTGCGGCATTATCCGCGGCGGAAGTGGTCGGGCTGTTTCGCGGCCACGATCAGGAGGGAGAATGGGTTGAAGCCGTGGGCGCATACTACGGCGTTGGGGGAGGAAGCGTTCCCGGCTGGGGTGGAGAACAATACGCTCATGGCTCCGTATGATGATTGAGGAGGGTTTTTCCCCAACGAGTGGGGTTGATATAGAGGCAATAGGCCGTCGATGGTGCCATGTTGTACGCTCTAAGACTACCGGTGTTGGTGTTGCAGATGGGCTATATCCCGGAGAAATCGTCGATAGAATAGGGCTATATCCCGGAGAAATCGTCGATAGGACAGGGCTGTTTCCCTTGATAGGAATTCTTCTAGTGCTAATCTTCCCTTGATAGGAATTCTTCTAGTGCTAATCTTCCCTACAAACCCTCCTTAATACAACCTCTTCTCCTGTACAGGTGTTGATATCGTAGGCAAAGCGCCGCTTCACAGGCTCTGACCAGGGGTTATTTCCCCCACCAGATCATCCCCGAAGCGGGAGAACCGGAGATTGAAACGCGCACGTCTACGGGGAAAGAGCCTAACGAAAAAGTCACCAGGGGTCAGTGAGAGAGGGGAAAGAAAAAGCTATATTAACTATCCAGGCCGAACGCCATCGGAGAAGCAAGACATCACGGGTATCGCCCCCTTCTGAACGCCACCTGCTAAAGTACACGAGTGGAATGAAATAAAAGACGCGCCGGAGAGACGGGGATGAAAGCCCGTCGTCTCAGCCCGTCAGACTGCCGTTGCCGTACGCGAAGGCGTAGTTGCTGAAGTAGGTCGCCCCGACGGTGGCGGCGTAGGAGGGGGTGTCGACGCAGTAACCGCCGCCGGACGGGCCGATGTGTGGGCAGTGGACCGCCGGGCGGAAGGGGACCATGTTTTGATGGACCATACGGCAGAGGAGGGTGTTTCGGCCTGGAGACCGTTGTTAGCGGCGCTTTGACGGGGAGGGACTGAGGGGATACGTACCGAGTTCGTATGCTTCGCCGAAGCGTGTCTGTTGTGTGAGATAGGCGTGGCACTGGGTCGTGTTTTGGTATTGCTGGAGTGCGGGTCCGACGCAGTACTGTTGGGCAGTGCTACAGATGCTGATAGCAAGCTTGTTCTGGATGTAGCTCACGGTGTCCGCCAGGGTTACGGTCTTGCCCTCGACGGCCGACAGCTGTTGCGTTGCCGTTCCCAGGAGAAAGTCAAACAGCCACTGCCACCAGCCGGTGAAGCTGGCGTCATACATAGAGATTTCGCCGACAGAGTTGTACACATTCCAGGTCTGGATCACGATCGGGACGGTTATGTTGATGGCCTGGAAGAAGAATTGAAAGCTAAACACGGAAGGACGTTAGTGTCTGTTGCTGTGAACGGCGTTGACGTGGGGCAAAAGAGGGGGGAGAGCGAGATATACAGAGTAGAAGCCGAAGCGATGTTCTGGCTAGCTGCAAAGTGCGTGATCTCGTACGACATCGGAATGCCGAGTAGAGAGAAAGCGTTGGAGTCGTTGGTGGAGGTCGCTAGGTTGGCAAAGAGGCCGAATAGGTACTCGGTATTGAGCTCACGGCCGTCAAAGGTGCGTGTGATATCGACACGGCCTTGAACATTGTCGGCCAGCAAAGAGGAGTTGATGGACTTGGCCTACGGGAGACGTCAGTACTGGTAGATCTGAGGTTTGGATCTGAGGTCCGGGGTGGAAAACCTCACCTGAATAGTATTGTTCGGTGCGATAAAGTTGTCGAGGAACTTCTTCTGTAGAGTGAAAAGCTCGTTGTGGGTGAAGTTCTTCTCCTGATCATCGTTGCGGGCGATCAGAGTCTTGGTATGTGTCTGCTGGTCTGCAAGACGAGGTGCGAGGTGAGGGAGTTGACGTGACGCGTGAGGATACTGAACGCTGGACAAGGCGCTCACAGAGAGAGCCAAAGCACCCAGGACAACGGTGATAATCTGCATGTTTGCTGTTCTCGTGGGTACAGAAGTTTGCTGTGTTGGTAGAAAGGACTGAGGCTATGAGTTGATGGTGGATGAAGAAGAATTGTGAAGGGTTGGTGGGAGTTTTAGAAAAGAGAAAGCTTTGTCAAGAAAATTTCATCTTGTGTCCTAGTCTCGCTAAGTCGTCGCGACGCGGTGATGAGCAAGTGACGTTGAAGTGAAGGGGGCATTATCCCAAGCTCTGAGTGTTGGAAGCTCGAAATTTTTTCTAATTTAATCAGAGACGCGGAAACAAATGAAAACTATGCGACTAGGTTCATGCTATTACACACTCTATTCTCCTAGTTCCTGGGCCTAGTAGCTGTGCCTCGTCGTCCACCACTCTGGCCTTGGAGGTGAGTTGGCGGCGTTGCGGCCACACCCGCCATTGAGGGGGTGGTTCGGGCAGGCATGACTAGCTTGCCGTGTGGTGGGGTTGCAGGAGTGGTTTCGGAGAGGCTCTATTGGTATTTCACAAGCATCATCTCGATAGTTGCGATGCACAGATGGATGAGGGTTATGGCAGCGGATGGCATGGAGAGAGAAGAAAGAAGTTTAAAGGTCCAATGGCATTTGGCGCCAAGTCTTCTCCGCACCACGGCTGTAGCCGGAGCGGCAGATGAACTCTTCTCTTGGCATACTCTCAGGTATCTTACCTTACTCTCCTTTACTCTTAGCAATAGCAATGTCGAATCCTTCGTGCTACCCAACGTATTTTCCATGTATGATATACCTACTCTGGCATCGTCCCAGTCTAGGTAATGAATGACATGGAGCATTCGGAATTGGGATTACAGTTGCAAAGCTAAGAAGAGCGGCGTGATACTACATTGACAGGTGCTTGGGTTACACTTGATGGATGTGCAAAGTTGTGTAGTCAGAGATGTCATTTACCCTCTTATCATTTACATGCATATTACAAATACCGTAATGTAACTTGCATATGGTAAAACATAGAGTATAGGATTGCCCAGAGTAGAATTCGGGATCCCAATTGGAGCAGATCTGAGCCTGAGGTTCCATTGGTTATGCAGGCTTGTTTCAGGGTCTGCATATTTGAGGGTCTCGATCTTCAATCATCCCGCTCATTTCCGCACATCCCGATCATCCCCGCTCCTGGTGGAAGGGGCGTCACTGATAACAGCGGCGTCATCATGCACCTTCCCGGAGCTCCCTCAATCTACCACCGCACTCACTGTACACGGCAATATCGAGTCAGGCTATCATGGGAGACGTGGCCAAAGGTTCTCCTTCAAGCAAACATATAGGGCAAGGTTGGGAGAAGACAGACAAACGAGTCGAAACATGAAATGGCGCACGCTATGAAGCGCCACCACCTAGAACCTATGTAAGTAAGTGCGCGTCAAGGCCCTCATCTCGGCCTGCTTTCTCGGGAACATGGGTAGATTACCTGCAACCGTCGAACGGATCTTCCCATGCATAAATTAATGCACGTCAGACCGGCTTTAAACCCCGATGTCATGCAATACCCCGTGCCTCTTTGATCTTCATACATTAAGGTAACCATCCCAATGTACCCTACTCGTCTCCGAAGGGAATCGCAATATTATCAAGAACAATTCCTCGTCCTGTGCAGAGAGATTTACTTTGAAAGTTCTGCTCTGGAGTGGGCGTCAACAGGAGTGGTGGATTTTCATGCTGCAAAGGAAGATCTTGGCGCATCACGAGTCCAAGTGCAATCCCCCCTAGTGTATGAAGGACCAATCGATTCACATTGCACCGAAGTATCTGCTGGCTAAGAGCAAGTCATGGGCACGCTATCAGAGTGACACTGAAGGAGGTTGTACATGTAATAAACGTCAGGTTGGATGACACCAATTACTCAAGTCATCCGACCCCGCTGTGTCTTCGAGAATTGAGGTAGCTTCGATGGCGTAACCTTTGCATAATACATACCCCGCAAATCGCACTCTAGGGCAAGAGGATCTCGGCGAGCTCGCGTTGTTCTGCCTGGGAGCTTCTCCTACCTGGGGGAAAGCTAGACAACGAGTAACTTCCTAAACATTCCAAGCTTACCGCTGACCGGACTCACAAGCCCGTATTCAAAGATGACATGCAGAGAGAATGCGGAGAGTCGCTGGGAGACACCTTCCAGGAGGAATCAAAAAGTACGTTTGAAGGGGCGATGGAGGATCTTTAGTCGAACCGACAAGACGGTAGACCCGACAGCAACAAGCGCAACATCCGACTGCTACAAAACAGCTATCAAATCCAATACTGTCTTTTTAACATTGGGTGGGGATCCAAAGTTGAGATGCTTCTCCAGTCGGCCTGCGCCGTTTCCCTTCTCTCCCTCTGCAGAAATGTCCCAGCAAGCCCGATTCTTGCATTGCTATCAAGATCGACTATGAACATGGTACCCGGCAATAACACCCCACCACTTCTAGGGTAAGCCGTAATTTCCCCTCCAACGGTCGAGAAACGTCGGCTTACAAGTCTTCCATCAGCACCGTGCGTCCTCATCACCCTGTCCACCTTGCAGGGGATTGGGACGGACCAGGACACATCACTGTCACATTCTCCAACTACGGCGACAACATCCCTCGCGACCTGGCAAGGGTTTGCACGGCTCGCGCTTCCATCGACGCATGGCGCAAAGTCCGCACGGTCTGGAACGAGCCAATTGGCAAGAGCGTACTCGTTTATGACCATTCGGACGTCTTCCTTCACATCATGCCGGCCCCTGCAATGGACTGGAAAATGCTGTATTACGTTTCGCTGGTGTTGGATAACTTCGAGGACGGGTTTGACAGTATGGCCTTCGACTTTGAGGCGGAGGTGCCAGGGGTTGAAGGGTTTGCGGCGACGGGGAACCTGACTATGTTTCCTCCTTTGGCACCCTCCTGACGACGAATCGCCGGGAGCCACATGCTTTACCGCCAGGCATACGACGCTCAGCCGCCAGATGATAGATCGAGTCCATCGTTGACTCCTACCCAAACTGTCGCACTGACGAGTACTTCATAGCACTCTCGAGCAGCTTCCTCCGCAAGACTCCAACCACCCCGCACCTCCCCTACCCCTCAACCCTCCCCCCCTCCCTCCTTAGCACCATCAAACTCCACAGCGCCCCATTGCCAACGATGCCGACACCTCGCACGCCACATCCCCCATCTTCCTCACACCAACACCCGCATCCATCCCCGGACATCGCACCGCCACCCTCCTCCTCCTCTCGACCCTCTACGTCCGCAACGCCACCGCGTCGCCCTAGCCGTCTCACCTGTCCTTGCCGTGCCGTGCTCGCAACACGATCGGAAGCCGCAGGTTCTGCCGAGGTCGTGGCCCGCGGACGGGATAGACGGGGAGCGGGGGCGGGGACGGGCTCCTGAAGCCTTACGACCCCCGCGTCGAGGCTTCGTTTCCTCTCAGTCAGCTAGCGCGGCGGTCGGGTGGCGGATGCGACGCTCTCTTTTACCTTGCAGTTTCTCTGCGCCCTAGAAGAGATACTGCGCGGTTGAGAAATCTCTCTCGCGTTCGATACACGGTCCGCCTTGAAGCTTGGAACAGCTCGCTGGGGATGCGTAGGTCCGATATTGGACTGGACTTCTTCGCAGTCACGTCATTTTACACATGATGCTACGCCACAGGGCTGGTAGATAATGTATGCAAATTGTGGACACAGTTTCAGAGTAAAATTTGATTCCAGGCAATAATGTATGATCTTTTTCCCATGGGGAAGTATAGAATAAAGCGTGCTTTCCAGCTCGGCCAGACTTTACGCCTTCACGAGGAAGTTGTCATGACGAGTGGAGATGTGCTTTACATACCTGAAGGAATCGACGGGGGACAGACAGGGGGGCCTGGAACACGGCAGATAGAGACGACAGCTTCAATCAGTCATTTTCATCCGAGGAAGTATAGGTACGAGGATCAGGAAATCGACTTCTCAATTCAGAGGCTGAGTGTCTTTTCAAGGATTCGGGTAGAGCTTTCCCTGCCCGGGAGTCATGCACGGCGTTCGCTCTTCGCAACCTCTTTGTTGGTCTAGAGGGACTCCGGACACTCCTATGTTATCGGAACCATATACCCCCTTCATTCAGGGGAGTGATCGCATATCCAAACACAGCATGAAAAAACATCCCGTAAACACTCACATCTACTCCAGCAATACCGAAGGACGGAACTCTTTCATGACCGAACGATACATTACACTTCCCCCTGCCAAACTTTCCCACCACTCGTGATTCCCCACCCACCGTAGCCGCCCCAGAATCTCTCTCTACGATCCACCCTAATCTATCCGAATCAATGAACCTCTACAGCTTTGGCACACGAGACCATTTGCCGAAAGTCATCAACCCCTTCCATATCGCATCGCATCGCACCTGTCCTCCCGCGCCCTTGCCGTTGCTCTTTAGGAGCTTTCTTTCGTTGAACACCGGGGCTCGACTCTCACACCGAGCAAGCGTACGCACTGTGCATCTTAGCATGTACTCTACGCGTATAGGATAGGAAGGTGACGTGTGGCGAGATGGGGTAGTTATAGAGATGGGGTAGTTATAGAGATGGAGATGGAGCGTGGGGATCTGTTGGAAGATGTTGGTATCTGTCCGCGAGAGGGCGGATTACATTTTCATATGTCTCAAGTAGTGGCGACTTGGAAATTCATACCCTATTTTTTTTTGGGGGAGGGGTATGGAAATGTAAGATGGGGTATCAATTTGAGAGAATCGCATGGTTTGGGTTATGATTTTGTAATTTGCAGAAGTCATCTATAATTTCTGCTGGGGCTCACTACGTGAATGCTAGAGACGTCGGCCGTATCGGGTTAAGAGGCTGCGGTTGTCTGGATAGAGTCATCTGTAATGACTGCTCATGCGCAAACGGAAGAAGTCGCGAATCTATTGTGTGTGGGAGCGATGGAGGCCTGAAAGCCTGACCGCGTTCGGTCACATACCCATCGAGCGCGCGTCGCCGATCAGGCCAACAGTGAGACGAGTCGAAGCCGTAGCAGCCACAGAGACCTTTCTATATCGCCTTCCACCCAAACATCTCCCGTAGATACGTCCACCATTGGTCTCTCTCTTTGGATAGAGCGAAGGCATGGGCGCCACCACCATGCGATTCATCCTTCCTTGAAACTCGCATGTGGAGCTGTCCGAAGTGAACCCATTCCAAATCTGGCATTTCCATCGTATACTTCCTCGCTTCGGACAACATGCCTGTAGCATCATTAGTCTTGTTCGGTGTGAGCCAGAAAGCTTATCTGTCTTTGACGCACTTTCACAATGCCAGGTTTCCCATTCGTCCTCGTCTGCGTCAAGATCGAGATCGTTGTGGAATCTATCTTCGTAATATCTATCCGGGGCAGACCACTCGACCTCGTTGTCATAGATGTCACGAGTGAAGGCCATCCGCCTCAGAGAGGTCAATTTCTTTAATCGGCTCCTCATTAGCGCATGATCTATGAACCAACTGTACCTCCAACCGTGTTGATGACCAGCGCTGAGATGGAGCTGTTGAAGAATTTCCAATGAACTAATTGCTTCGAGCGCGGAACCTGGGATCGAGTCACCCTCCCATTTTAATGATAGCGAGGTCAAGTGTCGAAATGATTTCGTGAGCAGAGGAAGCAGCCGAGTCTCGAGGAAAACGCCTGGGGCTTCCCATTGGAAACTAAGCTTCGACAACTGGGTGTTCGCTTGCAAGAAGCTGAGAGATTGGTCGGCTTTGATCTTTCCATCCCAGACCAGCGTCGTCAACGCAGGCATAGTACCACGTTGTTCGAAGAACTCTGAGTATAAGGAATCGTGTCCTAGGTCCACTTCCAGTTCACGAAGATCACCTTCCAAAAGGGCGTCTAGCATGGAGTAATCAGAGAATAAGACGGTTTGAAGCTTTAGACTCCTCAGGCGTGGAAACTGTGGCGTTGACTCCATTGTGTAAGTAGCAAAAGAATGATGCTCATCCTCAATTAGGAAAGTTCGCCACGTCAAAGACTCCAGCGTCGGCGCACAGAGACGGAGTATACTAGCGCACATCAAAGACGTGTTAGGTTTATCTCCGTCGAATCCAGATACGACTTCCATGTAAAGAGTGCGCAGTGGCCAACCCTTCGATGGCCTGGGGAGATTGATCTCAAATGCTTCGCTAACCTTGACACGGAATAGCCGAAGATGTTGGATGGAGGTGGAGGGAAGACGTTCGAAGAACGAGCGCGGAAGGGCTATCTTGTCACGCCAATCCAGGGATTCGAGGTGTGGGAGAACGATCTTTGAGCCTAGGAGGAGCTGTATCTTTGGGAGATAGACGTCAAAGAAATGCTTGCTTGCGTTGGCTAGCCGCCTAGCTCTCGTTCGCTCACTAAGCGCCAAAAATTTATCTTTAAGGGCGATGTTGTGGCGCGCAGCTACCCAAACAGGATGAGTGGCCACCGTGATACGCCGGATGCATACCCCAAGAGACTGAGAAATGTTCTTGGAGCCTCCATAGCTCCCTACGCGGATGGTGGCTTCAGCCAAGAGTTTTTCAACCAAGGCTACACTGTGATCGCTGTAGTCCAATGTGATGCTTGCGAATTGACGTGAGCGTGCTATTTGCCGACAGTCGCGACAAACAAGGGCGAGACATGCCAGAGACGACCTTGGCAGACTTTCAAGTATCTGCCCTATAAGTTCGAACGGTAAGGTGAGGGGCAGAGCGTCTGACACGGGAGCTTTTCCTTCGTTCACTCGGTCGAAGGAAAGTGGTCGAGGAGGCACCGCTTCTGTTCCGAGGTTGTCGTTTGAGAGTGACAACATGGGAATAAGTAGATGCATGATATCCCTGTCAAAATCCATGGTGAATAGCCCAGAGAGTTGAGGTGTATATTTGATGGTAAATGGGTATTTTCCTGGAAAGAGTTTCTGGGATCGATGTGCATGAACTGGTTGTGGGAACAGTCTCAAACTCTGGGGAGTGTCGAGAAAGCGGGAGGCCGGCTTCTATCCTCTCTCTTCCATTTTGACCCGCTCCTTTTCCGGGAACCAGTCGGACCCTCGCGCAGGTGCTTTGCGTCTATGGAGGGTGTCAAAGACACGACGATCAGGACTCTGAGTCGGATTCCTCGAGTTCTCACTAACAGGTGGAGGAGCTGAGATTCGGAGCAGGACAGTTCACGGGCACGCGCAGAGGAAATGATACTTCAGTTTGTCCTTCCATAGGCAAGATAACCATCAGGGGATGAACGCATTTTGCAGAGAGAGAGAAAGAGAGAGAGCTAAGCTTGCCCAGCGAAAGACATGAAACAGAAGAAGGCACGGACCGAGTCCGGCGAACGATATGTTAGCGCGCCACTAAACGCTTCAGCCAATCAAACCTACCACTTTCTGCCGCACTATTAGTAAGCCAACCCTCTTGTGTGGCAGTTGACAGGGGTTGCCTAGCCAACAACACTAGTAGGCCTTGGCCATGGTAGATGAGGTATCTGGCCCTACACCAGCCGTACATAATCCAGTCATCCTTCTACCTCTGGACGTACATCATTGATTCCTCTTATTTCTGGGGCAAGGACCGTACATCTCATACTCGCAAGATCCGACAAACCCCTCCCCCCCACCCCCCGCCAACATCAAACCAGACACTCCGCCCAAAAACGCCTCGCAAGATCATCGCCCCTTTTCGCAAAGCAGAACGACTCCCCCCGCAAACACAACGTCACACCACCTCCAACCTTCAAGTCGTTGCGGCTTCCATTGAAATAAAAATCGTGTACATAAACCTCTCAGCGTCTGCCACCGGGTTTTCTCACCCCCCCCGCCTCCTGTTTTCAGGATTATAGCGTAGGTAGATATCTGATAGATAAGGTACTTTACTTGTAGCGTGTTAGAGACAAAAGGCGGCGTCGCGTGTAATGCTGCCCCGGTATGTAATTAGCATGGCCCATATCACGACAACGACCTCTAGGTCAGATGGTGCAGATGCTTACCTATCTACCTACCTACTTACCTACCTCTTTATTTAGCTGTCTGCTTGATATATCCGTAGAGTAGTGGTAGCTTAACAGCGGAGTCTGACATACTCACGTAGAGTATACTCATCGTCGCTGACTGTGCCTCTCTGTTCTTTTTTGGAGGATCATTTCCTGGAGGGGGCGTATGGGTACTCGTACTGTTGTCTATGCCAAGCGTGCGAGGGGTGCGTGGGTTTTGCAGTGCGGTGGTGATGTGGGGATGTGTGCGGTTCGTGGAATGTCTCTGCGGGTTGTCTGTGTGTGTGGATTTGTGCGGTTGGGGATGGGGTGGGATGGGATGGGACGGTTAAGGATGTGGGCTGGAATCGTTGATGGGACGGTTTATGGGGTAGGTTTCTGGATTGAGGGGAATGAGTAGTGTGTTTGGATGTGCTTCGTTGGATTTTCGTGGAAGATGCACTCTATGTTTTAGCGAATCCAAGATAGTCGTTCGTTGACATGTACGCTCGGAAACATTTTGCTTCCCGGTTCGCAAAACGCTCTGATTCGACGAAATCGCAGCTACATGCGCGATCGGCTTCTCAGTAAATAGCCCCTCATTCTCCTCCCTATACCAATATTCCTCCCCACACCCTGGCCCTGATCGATCCGGTATGGTGTCGAAAATGCCTATCCGCCCATACACCCCATGTATCCCCACCGGCGCCGGCACGACGCCCGGTCTTGATATCTTGTCGATATCCGTGCGGTGTTCTTCCCGCAGCAGCATCTTCGTCTTCTTCCGTCGCATCACCGGCACGCAGAATATCATCATCGCGTCCTGAGCGGGCGTCGTGTCCGGATACCGGGTGAGGGAAACGATGCGTTCTTCGGCCCTCTTGCGCGGGATCCATCCATCCTCGCTATCGGGGAGGATTCTTTTTTGAACGGCATCGATTCGAGAAGTTCCGCCTTCTTGACAGTGGGAAGGAACCATGCCCTTGGCGCGTTTATTAATCACTAGCACCCAGTAGCATAGAGGTTGCTCGTACATCAGCAACGCGACGTGTTTGTGTTCTCTTTGGGTTTGTTTGTGAGAAAACCGTTGAAGACGACGATGATGGATACGGGCTGTAGCTCTCGACGCGCCAGAGCAGTTGTGAGGGCAGGATTTTCTGCCAGAGACCGGCGAGGCAGTTGTTCTTGGGTGTGGTGGACATGGATCGTGCGAGACCGGGTACGGCCACTAATTTATCGGATTCTTTCGTGAGACCGGTACTCGAATTCTCCTCTAGAAATCGGCTCCATATGTAGTGTCCGTTCAAGCCTACTATTTTTCGCTTGCGACAGGTCTTTGTTTCGCCGGTGTCACTGTCGTGGGTTGAGTAGCTGTTCTAGGAATCATGGTCGCTTCCACTGTCGTAGTTGCGAGGATCATGGGTGTCGCTATCCACATTTTGCCATTGGTCGTCCTCATTAGCCAGAATCATCATCACCACTGCGTTTACTATGGAACATTTCTCAGACTCATCGCCACTGCTGTAGAGTCCTCGTCCGATTAAACCGCCCCCGGTTTTTGTCCTCCTGCGAATCCTCATCATCCGCTTTTTCAACTTTGAGGTTAGCACAGCGCAAGAAAGCGCGAACGATTTCAAAGCCAATCCCCTTGAAACGAGTATGAACATTCTGCGCAACCTGCGGCAGGCTGTCAGAAAGAGCTCCGCAACAATCTTTAGTCTCGCATTCCCACAACACCTAGTCCTAGGCATGGTGAGTCATTTCAGGCGACAGTATACGTTCTTCCAGCACCCATACGCGGCGATTGAGAGGTGATTCGGACACGATCTCCCTCCAAAAGTCCAGAGGAACGATGACGAGGCCTCCAGCCTCAGATTTGTTGAGTGCACAAACGCGGTCGGAGCAGCTTAACCAGCCAGACCAAATGACTTCATAAGATGAAGCTATCAACCATTGTCCGCTGCAATCATTACAGATCAGCGAGTGCTTCGAGACTAGGAAAACGGTAGATGATCAACAGACAAAACGAGACCAACCGTCCAGTAGATGATTGAGAAAGATCTAGGAAGATTTAGATGTCAGACCATGGACGAGCCTTTCCAATAGAAAAGCCTCAAAAGGTAACTGTCCATCTTGCGGCCGTTAAGAGGTGTGACGAATTGTACCATGTTCTTGAGTATTGTTGGTCACACGAGCCGGTCCATGGCGCCCAGCTTCCCCGCACAGCTCAAGGAGGAACGGATCTGTGGCTGCCCGAGAGCAGTTTTTAAAGGCCGTAGAACACAGTCCTTTGATTGGACGGATACAGAGGCTGCAGGTTCCCTTTGAAGCAGCTGATGAACTTGTTGCGCGCATTGAATCAAGTACGGACCCGGGTTTGAAAAGAAGAGATTTCCTGCAGAACACGTGAAGGATGCATGAAGCCATAGGAAACGATGGCGGCATGCAGCTAGCAAGCATTCCACTCGTTCCAAGATGCGCACGTATGGACAACTCACGGCCAGCATGAAAAAGCAGAAGTTGGTCGATTGACGAATGATAATCCCAGTACAGATGATGCAGCAATGGAGACGAAGAGCGGAACCCTACGCTCGCTACGTTCCCGGACCCTAGGCTAAGAATTAGGGTGTGGAGTTAGGGTATGGAGAAACCATCTGGGGTAGGTAGGTAGGATAGATTAAAGTAAGAATTAAGGTACATGTAACAAAGTATCGAACCCCTCCACCAACCCCACATTAATTTCCATTAATCCGAACTCTCCAGCTTGCTTGCAACACACTGTAGAGCATTCGCATCTGCAGCCATCCAGTGCAGCGACATTTCAACTCTTCATTCATTGGTCGCAGCATCGCATTCTAATGGTGGGATGGATGGATGCCGAATCTCCGTTCTCATGCATCATGGGGCCAGGAGACCTTGGTCTGGCCAGCTGCGATGGGGATGCATAGCGCCAACGCATTTCAATCAGAGCTCCCCTCTTTGCTTTAGTGGTCAAAGCTAAAGCACAAGTGCCGATGCAGATCTATCCTATCCTTCCACCTGGCTACCTACTTATTTGAGGCGGGCCCCTGCTGCCGCGGATTGAAGCTTCAATCTTATCGTCGCACCCTCTCCAGCTCCTTCTCGTTGTCGTCTGCTAGGAGCGATCTTCTAGCCATCCTTCTTCTTTCTCATACACACTTCCAGCAGCTTCCAACTTTCACTGCAAAGCTACCCGGCAGCCACAATGTCGACAATGAACGACGACCGCCCTCTCCAAAACACCGCGGACAACCACGATCCTCCTCTTGAGAAAGACTTCTCCAATGGCTACGGCCACGGAAACCTGAACAACAACAACTTCACAATGGGTGCTGAGGACTCCAACGGTGGGGCACTGAACCGTATCCGGACCGCCGGAAGCATCTCCATGTCGCCCGAGCTCTTTGAGAAGCTCTACCTCTCGCCTGAAACCCGGGTCAAGGGTGATTTGAGGAAGACATTTGGTAACCCTACACCGATGTGAGCTTCGGTGCCTTGTCCGTATCTGTGGGAGTGAAAGTCGTTGCTGACGCCTTGGGTAGTGCTCTGATCGGCTTCCTCCTCAGTCTTACGCCTCTGTCATGCGATCTCATGGGCTGGAGAGGTGCTGGTGGGAACGGTGCCTCCGATTCCGGTACGTCTTTCCTGTCTCACATACCCAATCAACAATGTCTGACCCCAATCCGTGTTCAGCTGCATACTTCTTCTTCGGCGGCGTCCTCATGATCCTCGGATCCATCGGCGAGTGGATCGTTGGTAATACGTTCCCTTTTGTTGTCTTTGGCACTTTTGGTAAGCCACCATCTTTCACCCCACCCTCTTCCACCCTGAAGAGGACAGGGCTAATGTTGCCTTCTGTTCCTTTCTAGGCGCCTTCTGGCTCACCTTCGGCGGCACCCTCGTCCCCTCTTTCAACGCATACGGCGCCTACGTGACCACACCCGCACAAATGGCGGGGCAGGATGGAAACCCGGGAAATCCGCTCGGGTTACAGACGCCGGGCTTCAACGCTAGCTTTGCATTTTTCCTACTCTTCATGGGTGCGTCTGCTTTCCACCGTTGCTCCGTACAAAGGAGATACCGGCTAACACATGTATCTTCAGGTCTCGTCTGCTTCATCTTCCTGATCTGCTCCCTCCGCACCAACGTCGTCTTCTTCCTCATCTTCCTCTCCCTCATCGGCGCCTTCGGTTGCCTCGCGGGCGCATACTGGAATCTGGCCCTCGCGTATGAGAATGCTGCAAACACAATGGCTGCTAAGAGAGCTGGGCGACTCGTCGTGGTAAACTTCCCTCCCGAATCATCATGACAAGTGCCGCTCGCTGACAACCGCGTGTCCCTAGGCGGGTGGAGCCTTCACTTTTGTCACGTCCATGGCCGGCTGGTGGATTTTCTTCGCCATCATGCTCGCCTCCCTGGACTTCCCTTTCAGCATTCCGGTTGGCGATCTGTCGCATATCATCAAGGGAGCAAGCGAGAAGCAAAAGATTAAGGATGCTGTTTGAATAAGAGGCAAATTCGAAGAGGACTCTGATATCATGCATCGGAAAGCATTTGCGTTGGATAGGCAACTTGTGGCCCAAGCAGGCGAAGCCAACACCGATGCGATGGATTCATGCATCTTGATCGTGTACTCCTCCTTGCGCGTGGGCGTTTGTACATAGCATTTCTATAATCAACAACACCCGTTCTGATGAAACTAATGACCGAAAATCTCCCCCATCTAATAAAATAATAATAACAACAACAACATCAACAAAAACAACACAGTGCCCCCAAAACCCCCCACACATCTACACCCGAAAACCCGAAAATCACTCACCGCAGCTTATACACCCTACCAGCCTTTACATCCATCCCAAGCGTCTCGGAACCCTCTCATCCATCACGGCCTATACGAACCCATGCGCACGATATCTGTCGCCGGCCTTTGGAATGATGAGTAAGGGGGTTGATGGCGGTTGTCTGGCTGGTTGTCGATGAGCGATCGCGTGAGGGGGGTGGAGGGGGTTGGTGGGGGTTGGTGGGGGGTTGGGGGGTGGTGTGGTGATATGTTGATATCTTTTTGTCTGTTTGTCTGTCTATTTCCAACCACATGAATATCCATCTTCCGGCATCCAGTAGGCGGGTAGGTCCATCGGTTTGAGAAGGGATGGATGGATGGACGGATGGATGGATGGATGATAGATGGATAGATGGATGGATGGATAGATGGATGGATGGTGGATGGATGGATGGATGGATGGATGGATGGATGGATGGATGGATGGATGGATGGATATCTGGCTGTGTGCGTCGTTCGTGAGGGCACGATGTGACGATGTATGTATATGTATATATACCTTGTTTATATCATATGTATACCTTGTTCATCTCCATCCTCTTGTTCTTGTTCCGTCGTGCCGGATATCGTTGTTGGTGCATTCGAGATTGGTTCGAGATTGGTTCTTGGTAGCCGTAGCGGTGTCCTTCTCGTCCGGGGAAAACGGGGGACTACTTTTGAATGGATGAATGGGTGAATGAATGGGTGAATGAATGGGTGAGTGAATGGGTGAATGGATGGGTTGGGGTAGAGAGTTTGTGAAAAGGTCCGTAGGGTCGCTGACGGATGGGAATCATGACGGATCGCACTGGACGTACTCTTCTGCAATCGATCGATTGATTGATTGAAGCAGACTACGGCTGGCGTATTCTACCGGTACGGCGGACCCGGCTTTCGAGTTGCGATGACGGTTTGCGGTTGGGTGTTTTTATGGGGGTTTTTCCCCACGGAATGGAGAGTCTTGGCTACCTTTTTCTTAGGAACAGTGGTCGATCTGGTATATTCAATGACTGATTGACTGATTGGCCTCCCGCAGCCCTGCACTCGTTTCGGTCGACCTTGATGAGGCTCTACCTGCGGGGAAGCAGGGGCGTTGCTATGAGCGTGCGTGTGGCGCGGTGACCGCTAGCTATTGTTGGAATGCGCACTTCTGTCGCATAACTTCTTGCAGAGGGGAGCGGATGGTGAGAGGGCTAGGATACTACGGCCCAGGAATTCCGGAGTGGGCTTTTGGAAAGGAGTATGAGGTCTATGATTTACGTAGATCTTGTGGTGTAGAGACGATGAGGTATGGGCACCAGAGGGAGTGGGCTCGGGATGGTTTTCCCTCGGCTTCGTGCAAAGACTTCCGCATGTCTTGTCAGGACAGGAGCACTGGAATTTTTTTCTGCGCGATCCATACATCGTTCACTCGTCGTATCATGGTGTTTCAATCGAGTACGATTGCATATATTGCAAACGTGGCCAGCACTCGCAGCAATCATCATTGCAGAAAATAGGTCCGGTGTTAACACTCACTCACTACTGACTCCCCCTTTTTCCCCCTGGTGAGAAATCAGCGGAATCAAGCATGCCTCATGCGCCTCAGCCACCACATTCTGGCAGCAAGATCCTGGCTAGATGGCGGGCTATTTCCTCTCGTACAGCTTGCTCCTCGTCCTTGCTGCGTTGCTCTTCCGGCTCTCGGTCTGAAGCTGTCCGGGCAGCAGTGCTGCTAGATTCAGGGTTCTCTCTTCCTTCTTGATCGATTTCCTTCGCATCGGCGTTGCTGTTTTCCAGTCCCTCCGTCTCTCGCTCGTATCCTGATTCTTGGACTCGGCCTTCGGCCTCAGTTTCCTGAATACGACTTTCGGCTTCGGCTTCTTCTGGGGGACCGCGCTCACTTCCCGGGTCCCACCGCAGCACGCAGGGTGTTTCTCCGTCCAGAATAGCTCTTCGGAAATGTGGTCCGGAAAGGGAAGATGTCGGGCGACTTCGAGGTCGTTTTTGGAGGAGCAGCTCTCTACTACTTGGCCTCCGCTGGGCGGGCCGTTAGACGCTTGCCAGGCATCTGGGTGGGTTGGATCAGATTTGTGTATGGTCTAGGGTTGGACCGTTGGTGGAGATGCATTATTCACTTATTAGACGGTGACGGATATGCGGGCGGAGATGGGTTGGAATGTCGTGGTTGTAGTTGTGCACGATCGGATCTGTCGCTGCTGCTCGCGTCGACGAAGTAACGCATGGGATTGAACCATTTGATCGCGATGACATTTTGAGCCAAATGTGGAATCGGGTCTTGAGGTGGTAATGTCGAGTCTCCCAGAAGATTGCGATAGAGAGAGATAGGAATTGCTGAAATGTGTTATATGGTTTACACGTCAGCCAACAGACCATTCCCTGGCTACTTTTACGACTCGTCCATCGGGGCTATTTCCTGAAGCGCAGTAGTTTTACATATCCGAGAGAAACATACCGCACTGCGTCACACCTTTCACATTTGCCGGCCTTTTAGCAGTCTCCTAGAATCGGAGTTTCGTGCGAGAATGTACCATTATGACCTTGGAAGAAGACTGGCGTAATCCTGGCTGTCCGGATCGAAGGCAGGGATGGCACCCGCCCTACACCACGTAGGCATTGGGTTCATTTTGAAGCCTCCCAAATCGGCAAAGCTATTCTCTCTCCAGCCCTCAATGGCCAAGACACGCGTCACTTGAGATGTGAAGGCGCAAAGGCCGTGAATTTGATTGAGGGTTTCGAAGACAACCTCCCACGTCCCCTGCGACAGGATAATATCCCCCATCTGCAGATATTTGAACCCAGAGACCGCGTCGAGAAGAAGTAGTATACTGTTTCTGGCTCCAATGGAGATTTGTAACAACCTCAAAAGCTTCGTTATTGGCAACTGTGTTAGTTTTCAGTAAAATGGTGGTGAATGGTGGTGGGTTCAACTGCATTGTCTTTGAGAAGACCTGGTCGTGCGTGTGTTCAATGGGCGAGTTATCATACGTGACATCTGGTAGGCGTAATTCTAAGCTCTTCAAATGATTCATCCATTCCAAGGTTGCAGGAAGCGAGAGATACTCCAGACAACTCGGCGGTCGTCCTCTGGCCACAGGTCGAAAAACGAAGAACCAGCTCTTTCATTCCCAAAAGGGCGGTAATTTTGTTATCGCGGAAATGAATTGGCTTCGCGCTGCGGGTTTCGCTTCTTCCATCGAACACTTTAAAAGATATTGCAGACCGCAAATCTGGACTGGGCTGTAATACTCGAATACATCTTCGCGCCTGGACTGGAGCTGGCGCGAGGATGCGATAATGTTCTGCCCTATCGGAAATTTTCTACAGGTAATCTCGATCTATGCGTAGTCCCCAATCCCAACTTTGCGGGCTGCGTTGGAAAGTGCTCCATTTTTGAAATTGATGAGACCATTATGAAAAATTCGAGTTCACGCAGACCTTGCACCAGAAGCCCGAAGAAGTTGCCGCCCCGAAGGCACTTCGAGAGATGAAGCAAGAATTCTGACCCATCATACCAGCGTTGGCGGACACGGTTGCTCAGCAGTGGGTGTTATGTTACGGCTTAGAAAATTCCGAGCCTTTCTTATTTCATGAGGACAGATACGTTGGCAACAATATTCCCAACAAATGCCAGCTTTTTGACATTAAGGAAGACGATGCTGGTAAGTCGAGATTGTCCGGCCGGGTGGATATTTGGCCGGATCAGGCTATGACTTGATTGATGTCACGAGTCTCTGTTTTTTGAGCTTCATGCTTGAAAGAAGAGACTACCAGGATCATCATGATCAGCCATCTACCCATCTACTCATCTACAGTAGATCAGTATTAGTATCGGAAAGTCCTTCATAGATCTAGGCAGCTGTGGATGAGCTTTGAGCAGGCTGAAGGAGCGTACGCCTGTCCTCAACATGGCATTGGTCCTCACTCTGTCTCTAGCGAAGCTAGTCATCCTCCCACAATCTGACCCACCGACCAACATCTGCAGTAATCCGTGATAGTGGCTGGTCTTGGAGTTGCTGCCCACGTCCCATGTATCTTGATGATTCCTCGCCAGTTTGTGACAACCCCGATGCTTTCAATTGAGCTCTAACAACTGCAAGACTTCATCACTCCAGACCAATTCAAATTTCATCAGAAGCATTGTATAGACAGAATCAATAGCAGCATTTTGTGTACGGAATCGATGAAGAGAATGGGTTGGAAGAATCAAAGCAGGTCTCTACCAGAAAAGAAGAGATTCGACGATTAGGTCTCTCAGTATCAAGACCGCCCAAAAAGACTGTGCTTGTGATATTGCCGACATGGTATTGTTGGGAGAATTGTCGATAAAGTTTCTTCCGACAGCTTCTGTTGAGCAAAATCTATTCCAAGCGGCCACCCTGTCAATATTGAAAACGCCGGCAGAGTATTTCTTTCCAATCCGCGCTTTGCTGAAGGTGTCTATATGGTGTTGTGGAGATGGGCGTTTCGAGTGCCATGGTATTGTTGGGACATTGGAAGCCTGGGAGTCCTGCGCTACAGATTTGATGACAGCCCCTGGCCTACTCTTTTGTTCTTCCTATGGTGGCAATCGAAGCCAAGCTGGGTGACGGTGCGCTGAATGTAAAGCTTTATTCCATGCCTCTGCATAAATTCGACTGGGCACAGACACGCAGCAGTTTGCTTGGCCACAGTTCTTAGGAGCTCCTTGCATGCTGTACGTTCCTAGGCTCAAGTACAACTAGTGCCAGCATATTGACTTGTGGTCTAAGCTCTTTCAGCTCTGCACCATGAGACAGATCGAACTCGCCGCCCTCGCCGAGTCTAATAACAAGGCTATCCTCCTTTCCTTTATTAGGACTACAATTTCTCCTCTCTCTTTTCCTTTTCTTACTCCTGCGTGAACATCAAAGGTATCAATATGTCGCAAAGACGCAAGGGTGTTTCTGGGTCGTCTGTGGGAGTACCACTCTTTCCGTTGTCTTTTTCACTCTCGTCTACGGCTCCAAGGATTGGCTGCATGATTGGGTCGGGGCCAACAGGAGGCACTTGCAGGGTGCGTGTAATCGATTTTACTCGCTTTGAGGGGAAATACCTGCTTTGTGACACGGGTAAGCGGCGTACTAATGAATGGTGGCAGGAACTGTCATCGGAAACTGATATTGCCACGATCTCATTGGTCTTGTACTCTTTGAGCCGTCGGGATATGGTTTGCTCTACGGACGTTGCTCGAGTGAACCGAGGTCTTTGCGAACACGTGAAAACGGCGTGGTACGCCAAAATTGCCAGTCTTGCTGCTCTCCGCAATCAATGAAGTCGCCTATGACGAAATGCGAAGAGTGGAGTCAGGAGGTGGCAAGATATTCCGCGCATGTATCGTTTCACGCGCTTCCACTAATGCCACTGTGACGTGCAGCAAATCCCTTTCTTGATACACGCGGTCTGCGGATGCAACTACCCGGTTTCGGATATTCATGAAGAAGTTTATTCGATGATGGGGTTTTCAACAATGATCTTCTGCGTCTTCTGCCACCACTGGTTGATATCAGGTACATGTCTGTGAGTGTCCTTTCGTCGATATCCCTCTCAATCGACATGGATATTGTAGAACATTTGGCGCCATTGCGTCCTCTTGCTCTAATCATCTTGCTTGCATTACATACAAAGGCTCTTGTGCTACATGGTCCGTCTCCATCCTCGCTCAATACTCCTCGAGTCATATCGCGTGCTGAGCAGGCTGCTACCCTGGAGTCGTACACAGGAATTGGAACCCCGTGAGCACTGATAAACTTTATCATCTCTCGCACGGCCATACTTACTCTTTGCATAGTCCTGTTGTCCAAGGTTGGCAATTGTTAACCACCAATCTACCACTCCAGTACACGCCAACAGGATCCCACACTACCCTCCAGCTTACCCTGAAAGACAACAAGGCTCAGAATATTGATCCATCCATGATCTACAACTTGGCTGTACTGGGTCTGGCAGATATTGCAAGTTCGACTGTTACGCATAATGGAAACAAGAACCTTCCGCGTTCAGGCCAAAAACCCTCGACCTTTGCGACCTCATATCCACCTTCGAATCTTCAGTTCATGATGACTGCATCGGATGATCTGCCTGTTTATTCAGTGGCAGACGTTCTGAGGGGTATGCAGGAGTTGACTCATCACCTTTACTTCTTGGAGTTGACCTTCGAGGTCTTCAGTGACATAAGTAAGACAAGTTCTCCACTCGCGAGTGGATGTCTGGCGTTCCACTGTGGCTCTCAAGACGAAAGCATGAATACTAGAGATTTAGAGTTTGCCAACTCCTCCGCCGCCAATGCTTCAACTGCACCGTCGAGACAACTCCAACAGCTAACGACCTTTGACGAACTCGACGCCGTAGCTGTGACCTACTATGACCTCAAGAGCCCCTTTCCCGTACATGATCAGAGCTTTGCAGATATCGCCACTCGCATGCTCGCCGATATTACAAACCTCATCATTGCCTACCACGGTGATGGCCTGCTCCCTTTCTATGGCTCCGGCAATAAACACCTTCTTCGCTACGTGGATACGTGGGGATCAAATCTGACGATCTCCCTTCTTCCGTTGAACCTCATGAGAGTCAACTTCACTCTCGGTCAAGCCGCCATGGCTCTGAAAACTACACAAAAAAGATTGCAGAACGGACCCATGATGGAATCAAAATTGGAGATTATGGTGGATGACTCCATGGTCGGTTGGGGCTGTTTGAGCTACGCAAACGCGAGTGCTTGGCGGTGCGTGATGTTGACGTGATATACTAAACGATCTGTCCACTTGGCCCACCATTGTGGAACTATTCCTCAACCAGGTCCCGCACATCAAGGACGAACCGTTGCAAGGTCCGCTATCTCACGCTCTGATTGGAAGAACATAGGAGGCACGGCTTATAGGAGGTTTTCTCGAGCAAGCTACATGTGTAAATAGTGGTAAGCTGGGATCAAGGCTGGACTTTGTGACCGCACGGGTAAGTGGTGGGTGACAGAATTGGGGGTGCGACGGGATTTTTACAGTTGCATGAAATCTGCAGGCTTATCGCAAATTCGAATGGACATTCCTTGCGGATCTACGCGAGAGACAAAAGTTCGCCAGCGCCAAAAACAATTGTCGGGAATATATTTGAGTCCGACCGAGCGAAGCAACGTGTCTCCAACCGAATTGGAGCGCCAAGTCCAAGATAACAGGTAGTTATCATTGTTGATAACAGAAACCTGCGCCCTACCGCATCACGATCTTGGAGACGGGTTTGAGAACCACGGAAGCATTTCAGGGTCCGGACCGTTGATTGGCAGTCCCTTTTCGCATGTCGCCACCGGAGCATTGACAAGGTCCCTGCGTTGTGTTCCAATGCTACAAACAGTCGCACTGCAGTGCGATCGGATCTGAAATGTATACCTACTCTTCATAAGTAGATCTTCTTATTTTCTTCCTTTTCGCATGTCGCCACCGGAGCATTGACAAGGTCCCTGCGTTGTGTTCCAATGCTACAAACAGTCGCACTGCAGTGCGATCGGATCTGAAATGTATACCTACTCTTCATAAGTAGATCTTCTTATTTTCTTCCTTTCCTCCGAAACCAGTCTCCGCAATCCCATCCCCAGCCCCCAAAATGCCGTCCTCCGCAGTCCAACCCCTTGCCCTCATCTTAACCTTATTCTTCCTCTCCCTTCTCTCCTCCCTCCCACCCTCCGCCGCCTCCGCCATGTGCAGCGAGCTCTACGGGCACCCCCAACAACAAGCCTGCTGGCAAATGTTTCACGGCCCCGATGGCATCCCCTCCGACGCAAACAGTCATCTCTTCTCTCTTCCTCTACGCCGAAGGCCGCCGAGCATACTGACGAGCCAATGGCGAAGGAAGCAGCGGTTGCCGTTTTTGAGGTCGAATGGTGAGTGATGATTTGGCTCAAGCTTGCAGGAAATGGAGTATACGCTAATGACTCTGGAACTCCGTCAGGGGGTTGCAACCTGGCGCTATTGGCTATCGAGCTCGTCGACCAGACTATCACATACGACACCACCACCTGGGCCGACACCGTCGAAAGCGGCTCCCTGATCTACAACCAATGCGTCTCCCCCACAGAAACCGAAGGCGGATTCCACATCCCTTCGGGTGGATACGTCCTCACCGGTAGGTGAATCTCGCGACCCTCGACTCTCCAGCTGGCTCTTACACTGCTGACATGCACGCATTGCGGGCACATAGGCGACCACGGCCGCCTCGCCCTCCTCCTCTACGCCTCCGGCTCCACCTACGACCGACAAGTTCAAGCGGACCTCGCGAGCGGGAGGACCGTTGTTGCGGAGCAGGATCCTGGGGATGGAAGTATCGATATTTCGGCCAACACTACGACCGCAAATACCTTGAACAATCTCCTCGGTCCAATTCTCCCAAGAGCTCGGATCAAGGGTAGATAGAGCAGAACCTTCAAAATGCGTGCGATCCTGACCAGGCGTTAGGTTTGTCAGACTGAGGTCGTCGATCTTCGTTGAAAGAATGTGTCGCACGATGTTGGTTCCGTGGATGGGTAATCCCGTCCATGGATGAGGTATAGTACCAAATCCGACACACCTTATCATACCTCTCGTGGGCCAATCAGGCTCCAGATTACGTACCTTGTTCACGGATGAGATGGTCTTACTCCGTGGACGAAAGACAGCCCCCACTTCCACTTCCTCGTCTTCCAAACGATCCTGAGGGTCTACAGCAGTGTGCCGGGCCCCGGCTCCTTCGTCTACATTCCTCATCATCTTCTCACACCTCGACGGCGTCACCGGCTGCGTTTTATCGCACATAGCTAGGTACATACTTACACTCTTGTCGTTTCTTCGGATGATAAGTGTCCCTGGAGCCGGCCTTGGTCACTTGCAAGTCTGGAGTGACTGGAGCTCGGCGTGAGGGGGGTTCTCTATCTGTGTGGATAGCCCGCCGACGGTCGGGACTATGACGGACCCCAAAAAAAGGCGCAGCTCCTAATGGCTGGACACCAGAAGTTTTTCCGTCAGTACCTACAAGCATGCCAGGATTCTTCCCTAGGCCAGTAGAGTCCCGGTCTCCTGGCGCCTTCGTCGGGTATGAGTCTTCTCGATCCGTCCACGGATGGTGGCCCCATTCATATCCGCCACACTTCCTAAGAATTATCGATGAACGGGATACTTATCGATGGACGTGGTGACTGGATCCATGGACGGGAGCGATACATGAGTGGTGTGCAGCCAAACCAGGCGTTTTAATATATTGAAGGGACCACTGATTTCTTCGAACCTTCTGGGACGTTGTTATTTGACTCACAGCGGTCGACGAGGTGAATGGGTGTATGAGGTCGCTGGGGGGCAAATTACAAATTCATACCCCATCTTACATTTCCATACCCCTCACCGAAAGAATGGGTTAGTTGTCCCATTCATGAAAAACACGCGTCAACGCACGATAGGGGCCCACATAGAGTGTAGATAGTGGTTGGGCCGTCTCACGCCGGGGATGGCAAAGCCTAAATAGGCCTAAATAGAGGCCTGAACAGGCATATTTCTCGTACCCCAGCGCAAGAAAACTCCCATGCCTATGGCATAGACCTGGAGTGAAATGATAGCTAGCTATGTATAGGTGTGGGTGGGTGGGACAAAAAGTGTGCAATGGCTCTGAAAGAGACGAAATCGAATGAAGAGCCATTGACAGGTGCAAAACAGGTGGCTATATAGCTCGTACTGGACACCTGTCCCCAACCCCTTACCGGGGTACCAACAGGGTACCAACAAGGTACCAACAGGGTCATGATGTCATGTGACCCACTAACCCCCAGTCCCACTTGGCAGTATGAATTTGTAAGTTGCCAGTCTTTGGGGTATGAATTTGTAAGTTACCATTTTTTGGGGTATGAAAATGTAAGATACCATCAACTTATAGATCTAGTTATCCCTATACCTGTAGATCATTAGAAGGGTATTTAGGGTGTTCCAGGCTACCTACCCCAATTGTTAGTAACCCGAGTTACCGCTAAAGGGTTGAATAGGGGTGTTTGTACTTCACGCTGCAGACATCCCTAAGGGGCCCCGCAGAGCCCCCGGAGGAATAATTCCTAACACCAACCCGCCCTATAGATGGCAACTTACAAAATCATACCCCCATTAATGGTATCTTACAAAATCATACCCCTATTAGTGGCATCTTACAAAATCATACCCCGTTGGGGTATGAAAATGTAAGATGGGGTATGAATTTGTAAGGATCGCATAGTTTGGGGTATGAAAATGTAATTCGCCCGGTCGCTGGGGGTGCAACCTTCTACACCGGCAATCTCTCAGACAAAGAGTAGCAGCTTCAGAAATTAAAAAAAACATCTGACTTACATGGTGAACTTGAATGTTGAGGAGAAAGATAATGTTGCTCCGCTTAATACTCGGTGATGGTTATGATTTCTATTACTGTCAGTGTCATGCTGACTCTGTGTACGGATCAAATGCCGTGGCCTAGCTTGAAGTGGTCCTTGTAGCCGGAGCCTCCCGTGGACCGCTGCAGGTTTTAGCGAAAGGCTTTCGGCTGTCCAGACTCGGAAAACGTCATGCAACTTGCTTTCCAATCCGACCAAAAATAAGTAGCTTTGCAGTAGTCCATTCAGTTAATTCATTAATTACTTACAGTAACAGTATACATATTCCTTCACTATCTCCTTAGTCTTCAGCCTTCAGCCTTCAGCCTTCACCCTTGTCTGCCTTTTTAGCAGACATCGAATATCTTTGTCTGTCTGTTAATGGACCCTTACTGCTCAAGAGAGCATGGCCCCCCCCCACACCACCTGCCCCATATAGCCTGGATGCGCTTACACCCGTCTGACCTCGACCATCTGCAATACCCGAAGCTGACTGCATAAGCTGATTAAATCTAGTCTTGCTGCTCTCTATTTTTACATATGACAGTCTAATCACTAACACATTTATTCTCTATATATTGAGCCTTTTTTGTACCTTCATCAAATCTCCTGTCCGCAATCCATCTGAGTACCAAACCAAGTCTCATAAATAAAAAACTAATTGAATGGCTGCCGTGTTGTGCTCTCTCCTTCTCCTTCAAGCTGTTGGCTTGGTCTGTGCCTCTCCCGTTCAGCCTCAATCATGGACGACTACTCTATGGGATGTGATCGTGGTCGGTGCCGGTCCCGCGGGGATCATCGTCGCGAGCCGGCTGAGTGAGAGCGGAACGAAGAAAGTCCTCCTCCTCGAGGGAGGCGGGCCATCCTACGGCATCACCGGAGGAACCGAGAGACCGCAGTGGTTGGTCGGCACAAATTTGAGCCGTGTCGACGTACCAGGGCTCTATGATACCATTTTTTCCGGTCCAACCAATTTGACCTGTGGCCCCAACGAGGTGAACGCTTTCGTGGGTTGCTCCATCGGCGGTTCCAGCGCCATCAATGCCGGATTGTTTTTTCAGCCACCGGAATCGGATTTTGACACCTATTTCCCCGCGGGCTGGAAGTATGCTGATGTCCTGCCTTCCATCAACCGGCTCTATCAGACGCAGCCCTCCAGCGACATCACTTCCGAGAATGACATCCTGTATGAGCAATCCGGATATACGGCGGCCAAGGAGTGGCTTGTGACCGGTGCCGGCTTTTCTGAAGTCGCCATCAATACAGACTCTGCAAACAAAACCAAAGTCTTTGGCCATCCCATATACGATTACAAGAACGGTCAGCGCGGCGGGCCCGCCATCAGCTACCTGCAAACGGCCTTGACCCGCTCAAACTTCCACCTGCAAAGCGGCGTCTGGGTCAACCGCGTCCTTCGCACAGGCAGTGTAGCCACAGGCGTCGTCGCCAACGCGAGCGGTGTCATATCCACCGTTTCTCTATCCCCCAACGGAAGAGTCATCATCAGCAACGGCGCCTTGAAGTCCCCAGAGCTCTTAATGAAATCCGGCATCGGCGACCCGGCCGTCTTGGAACGCCTCCAACAAGCCAACAAGCTCGGCGGCCTCCCCGCTTCCGCCTGGATCAACAACACCGCCGTCGGCGCCGGCCTCTTCGACAACCCAAACACCTTCATCGAACTCTCCAGCCCCTCCGTCCAATCCTACACCTACACCTACAACGACCCTATCCCCGCCGACGCCTCCCTGTACCTGAAAAGCCGCTCCGGCCCATACTCCTTCGCCTCCGAAATCAGCGTCTTCTGGGACTACGTCCCGCACGCCGACGGCACCCGAGCCGGCATGCAGGGCACCATCGGCACCGCCGGCTACGACGGCTACACCACCGACCAAACCGTCACCCTCAACATCTACGGCACCTCGGGCCTGAAATCCTCCGGCACCGTCGTCCTCGACGCCGACTTCGTCCCCGGGCCCCAGGGCGTCTACTTCAGCGACCCGCAGGACGCGCAGGACATCGCGGCCTTCATCCACGCCATCTTCGCCGCCCTGCCCGCGTCGAACCTCGCCCCGCTCAATATCCCGGCCGCGGCGTCCACGGCGCAGATCCTGACGTACATCACGACGCCGTCGGCGTACACGGAGGGCGAGGTCAACCACTGGTCCAGCTCGTGCCGGTTGGGGCGCTGCGTGGATGCGAACACGACGGTCATCGGGATGCGGAATCTGAACGTTGTGGATGCGTCCATCGTGGAGCCGTTCACGGTCAATCCGCAGTTCGGCGTCATGGTGGCGGCGGAGAGGGCGGCGGAGCTGATTGCCTTGTTGATGTGAGTGTGGTTGGAAGCGGCTGGGAAGTAGTTCGATCGGATGTTTCATGAATTGTATCGGTGTCGCTGCTCCAACTTAACCACATCATTCGCTGCCATTGTGCCCCGTAGCGCAGCAGATGTTCCACTCCCTGATCTCGATATCCGTTTTCGTCTAGTAACACTTTCGCGGCATACGACCCTCGAGTAACCATCTCCCCCGTATTCCCTTCCACCCGTTTAGCCATCCTTACGTCCGTCCTCTGTATCAGTACTCACTTCCCCTTACCGCTCCTACCATATTCTCCCTTCCCTCCCCACCAACCATCCAACTCCACCGCCTACCTGCCACTGCCCCTGCTCCTGCTGTCGAAAGATACGAAAACGACACCTACCTCCTTTAATTTCATTTGCTCTTGACCTCACGACGACTTAGTGCTCGCAAACAGTGAGGCCATACACAAAACAACGCATGCACAAGTAGATATGTAGATAGATGATTGGGCATATCCAACACTGGGGCAGCTAAGACCTTTTTGGACATGCAAATAGTCCAAAAAAAGGCCCCCCAGCGCTAGAAAACTCCCATGTCTGAGCGACATGACCTGGAGTGAAATGAGGCTATATACAGGTGTGGGTGGGTGGGAGAAAAATGATATGGCTCTGACAGAGACGAAATCGAATGAAGAGCCGTTGACAGGTGCAAAACAGGTGGCTATATAGCTCGTACTAGACACCTATCCCCAACCCCTTGCCGGGGTACCAACAGGGGTACCAACAAGGGTACCAACAGCCACCAACGCTATGGCCTCATAATGGACCCACTAACCCACAGTCCCACTGTTGCGATTAGTGCTCGCAAACAGTGAGGCCATACACAAAACAACGCATGCACAAGTAGATATGTAGATAGATGATTAGGCATATCCAACACTAGAGCAGCTAAGACCTTTTTGGACATGCAAATAGTCCAAAAAAAGGCCCCCCAGCGCTAGAAAACTCCCAAAACCCAAGACGTCGTCCAAAGAGGGTGAAGGTCTCGAGAAGGACTCCTGACGGTACCTACCGCAGCAAGCAGTAAAGACCAACAGCACTAGCGCGGACGGGCTGGAAGGTGCTGATATCGTAGTGATACTCTGAGTATATGGGCTAGGTGAATAACGATATACAGGCGATAGGAATCTGACTTTCAACGGCCTAGCAATTAAATCTCGTTATTGCTAAGGCCGGCGTCACGTGCTAATATTACAACCCCTCTACGGAAGGAATAGCCTAAATAATAGCCCTCAACACCAAGTGACGTCAATACCTCACGGAGGTTATTAATAACGGCCTCCCTAGTGAAAAAGGAGCTCTTCAGCTAGAACAGCGGTGCGTCAGGTAAGGCTTCCTACCTAAAGAGGTGATGTAAGGCTTTAACTGCGCATGCGTTATTGCCTAATACGGCGACCGTGAGTATAATCCCACGACGAAATGGGTCCGTTTTAGACACTGGAAGTGTAAGTTCTAGATAATCATCGAACAGCCTCACCGAGCGACGTATAAAAAACTATTCACCGAAGTCCTTCTATTAAAGGTCTCGCTTACTATAAGTAAACTTACCTACGCGTAGGAATACCGCGAAGGCGAGGTAAAAGGAGGTATATAGAGTCGCTTTAGCATAGGTTGACTTATCGAAATAAGAAAGGATTTAAAGCAATAGATCCTTAGTAATTAGACGCCTTTCTTTCATATCAGCTTCGCTACGAAGATGTTAACTATCTATAATAATACGTTATAACTAAGAGTGATAAAAAACTAAGAGATTATCGAATTCCATATCCACATGGGCTAATCTAAGACCGATAAGATATACCTTTATAGACTTCGACTTAACGCGGCGAGTGCTTAGGTCAGCAATCCAGCCCGTAAGGACATTCATAGTTACTGAAAAGGGAGGCTAGATCCCTATCAGTGCGCAATAAACCGTATAGAATCTTACTGAAATCGCATATATCTTCCTGGTTTTAGTTACAAGCCCCTACCAGAGAAGTCATATAGCCTCTCAAGGCAGTGCGGTCTAATTGTATCAATATTCTAATAGGTCTCGCCCTATTTCAGCGGAGATATAAGACCTTTCAGCTGTGGATATGCGTTAGCGATTTTTCGGTACCGAAAACGTAACAGATTATCGGCCAGCTGGTTAGCCTTCGTAGATATCCAAGTGGGCACTACTATAATGTCGTGAGTAGCTGTCAACATAGCTATATCGCGCAATAAGGCTATAATAGGCCCGTGCATGGAGGATTTGCGTAATCTATTAACGTATGCGTCGTTATCGCAATAGAGAATCAAGCGAGATCCTCGTAACTATTATAACCACAGCTCCATCGCGTAATAGACAGCCTTTATTTCTTTGAATTATATATCTTTGAAACAATGACGTATGGCTGTTTTGATGCTAAAAACGTCTTTAAGTTAAATCGATTGAATATAATCGGGATGATCGAGAATATAGCCTCTCATACCGAATTTTCCAGACACATCGGTCCATATGTGCCACATAACCCGACTGTCGACGTAACGTATCAAGGCGACGCCATTCCAGTGCTTCAGGAAAGTGTCCCACCATAGTAAGTCTGCCCTCATATCGCCTATAATCCGTACGATTACCACAGGCCTTCGAAGGGCATCGAAAAGTCGCCTCAAGAATGCTCTTCCTGAAATCACGACTTTGGCAGCGAAGGAGAGGAAGCCAACCGCTGACTCGAGCTCCTGATATGAGATGATTGCCCTTTTTAGAAGGTTTTTAGCCGTGGTTCTCGCCTTAGCCAGCTTATCCGAGGGGAATCTCGCCTCCATACGAATACTATCGAATTCGATTCCTAGGAACTCAGCTATGAAACCCACAACATCCTTCGTATAATTGATTCGAAGGCCTAATTCGCCACACAGCTGGTCGAACTGCTGGGCGTATGCAGTTGCGTCATCACCTAATAAAAGGATTACGAAGAAATCGTCTAGATAGTAAAGCATTACTTCCCATAGAAGGATCGCGATTAAGATTCAAGTAAAGGCCTTTGCGAAGAGATTGAATAGAAACGGTGATATGCGTAGTTTAAATGATAGATATCGTTCCTTTCAATAGCGTTTATCGCAATTGAAACCAAGTAGTCATTAGTCCGATATAGCGACGGGTATATGTCTAAAGGCGTCTTTGAGGTCTCTTTTGACGAATTGAGCCCTTAGGCCTTTCTATAGCAGTGCTATTACTGCGTCATCGTATATAGCATATTTCAATACGCCCTACTCCGCCTGGATATCGTTATTAACTAAGTGGCCGTATAAGAATAAGAGGTCATAAATTTATCTCCAACCTCCATCGTGTTTCGGTACCAAACCGAGTAGCGAGCAAATATAATGGGGCTTATTCTGAGGGTCAACCTCGATTAGGCGATACTGCTAAAGCTATTTTTAAAGATCCGCCGATAGTATTTGAGATGCTTGATATACTAATAGATAATTTTAATTGCGATAGATTAAGATAGGGCCTCGAAAACCTATCTTAGCGCCCTTTCGAAGAATAGCCGAAATAGTTTTAGCAAATATTAAATCCGGGTAATCGTTTAATTATTTAAATCAACTATCAACTATTAACAGTTCTTAATAGGGCAAATCCGGGTCTAATAGGTTATACAGCGCGTATGGGAACCCCTCAGATATGCACTATAGCGACCAGGGCATCTACGGGTGCCCTGGGAGTCATTCTGCCTTGGTAACACGGTTACCCAGTGGCAAATGATTGGAGCTACTCACAGCTGGGTTTGGGGCCTTGGGGCACTTATCTGCCGAATGATTTTGCTGACAGACCATACAGACATGTGAGTAGATGCAGCGCTCGCGAAAACAGCTACCTCTGTTGAAATTCTTGCAAATTCCAGTTCCTCCGGCGGCAACGGGCTTGCTGGGGCCAGGCGCAGCGGTATTTGGCTTGCTATTGCCCGCATAAGTCCCTTTGGGCACGAGAAGGTCCCTGCAGCTCTGATCGTCCGCTTCCCAGGCCTTAGGGTCGTCTTGGCCACCCTGAATACGTGCAGTAACAAAGGCGAGGTGATAAGCGAGGATGAAGTTAAATCTGTAGGTGATAGGCAGCCGTAGTAGGCGAATAGCATACGCATATAGGGTCTTATTTAAGCCTTCCTTCACGCTAACGTATACAAAGCGGCCAGCGGCTACCGAGTACACATGAAAGCAGTGCATCATGTGGTTATGGCCATTGACGTCCTTATCCTCCTTGGCCGGGGTAGTATGCATATGGGCCAGCTTGGCGAAATTTTTGGTCTTGAAGGTCCCGAAGAAGATTTGCTTGAAGTATTTGACGTCCACACTTCGGAACCTTTCAGCAATACTAAGAAAGGGCTTCTTACCTTCCGTGTGACGAAAGGGGACCCCTCTTCTTTCCTCCCAGTCCGACTCAGAGTCGGATGAGTCCGAATCCGATGTGTCCGAGTGATGATGACGATGACTGCGGCTGTGGCGGCGGTGGTGGCGGCGTGACTTATGAACCCGGCCCTCGTGATGAACCCGGCCCTCGTGATGAACCCGGCCCTCGTGACGATGGCGATGATCTCGCTCCTCTTGGACCTTGGATAGCTGGGCTATCAATTCCGCAAGGTCTACTTTGGGCCCCCCAGTAGGCGGGGGCGTTTCGTCGATCTCGTCCGGGGTAATGGTCCTCGATGGCGTTTCAGGTACGAGGATCTGGGGGGGAGGTGTTTTGGCCTTGGTGGCCTTTTTGGCCTTGGGGGCCTTAGGGGCCTTGTTGGCGGCGTTGGAGGTCTTTTTGGTGACCTTGGAGGCGGGTGTGACTCGTGTGGCCGCTTTTTTGGACCTGGTAGCAGCAGCGGGAGCCATTATGAAGTGTGTAAAGTATGGAGTGTGTTTGTGGTAGTTGGATAGTGGTGGTAGTTGAATGAAGGCTAATATGTATAGACTCAACTACGAAAAGAAGAAGAAAAATGATATGGCTCTGACAGAGACGAAATCGAATGAAGAGCCGTTGACAGGTGCAAAACAGGTGGCTATATAGCTCGTACTGGACACCTGTCCCCAACCCCTTGCCGGGGTACCAACAGGGGTACCAACAAGGGTACCAACAGCCACCAACGCTATGGCCTCATAATGGACCCACTAACCCACAGTCCCACTGTTGCGAGTTTGGAAGGAGGCTGTCGAGTCATTTTGCGGCAGACAGAGCCGGAGAGAGAGGATGGGGGTAAGGAGTTTGTTGCGTTTGACATGGGTGGGAGGGAGGGAGGGGATGGGATGGGATGGGATGGGATGGGATGGGATGGGATGGGATGGGAGGGAAGGGAGAGAAGGGATGGGATGGGAGGGAAGGGAGGGAAGGGAAGATAGTACGGTGATTCGGACCGGAGTAGAGTGTAGGTAGGTAGCTCGATTGATACTACAGGTCAGAATAGATTAGAAGAGAGTAGACCCACGAACGAAAAGCCTTAGTGAAGTCTTCGAATGCCCTCGCCGCTTTCCTAGACAGGAAGGAGTGCGTGCTCCGATCTGCCGAGTTCTCAGCGGCCGTCCGGTGGCTTCCCTCCCCGCACCAGCGGTGATGTTGACCTCGTCTAGCATGGAGATCGCTGTTATCGCGTTAGTGACGTCTTGTATGGTGGACGGAGGGCAGAGATGGTCGTACGATTGACATACCATCCATGAGACTGACCAATGCTGCGCTTGGGTTTTTTCTGGGGCAGCATGCTCGTCGTCGCACTCGCCGAAGCTTCTGATGTTTAAGAACCTGAACAAGATCCGCCTTTGCCGCTCAACTGACTATCCCTCAAATATGTTATAATCTGTTGATGTACTTGGTTGATCCGTTGTTTGCAGGGAATCCTAGGTCACTAACACTGGAAACCAAGAAGTGTCATTGCTGCAGTCTCGCTGGTGGGAGGACATTGAAAGGTTTTGTGTGAAGTCAGGGTTCTGGCTTTGAGATGCGCTGATCGGTCCTTATAAACAGAGATAGAGTCTACGTCCAAGGGCGGACTCTGATTGTTGCCAAAGCGGTATGACTATGATATCATCCAATGGCCATCGCCTTGACCATGTCCTCCTGTAGTTGTCCACTGCTTCCTTCGGAAGCGTCGGTTCAATATCTCGTTTGTTGTTGATACTGACTCCGCTGCAGGATCTAATGTCTTCGAAGATGGTGAATCTTGGCGAAGGACAGTAGGCGTGTTGTGCCTCTGAGGCCCGAGTCGGAAAACCCCGTGATCGTGGCGTAGTCTCCGTAGCCCGAATTGTGAAAAAGGATACACACCGTAACGATAGGGAACAGTAGCACCGCTGTTTGACACTCCGAGGCTGTAGCTGATGCCTGAAAAGATAACGAAGTACTGACGTACTCGACGAGCTGGGCGTCAACGAGAATTTTCGCCGATTGCTCTACCAGCCAGGAATAAGTGCAAGGTCTTGGAACGCCTTCATTTAAGATTACGGGGAGAACACAGGGGCTCTACTTGTATTTTCACGTACTAGGTTTCCTACTCTCCAACCTTCACCCCAGCTCATCAACATCCATCCATACTATGCCTAGATCTCATCAACCCTAACCCCACCCACTTCGCCCCCCCAAAAGATCCTACCCGTCATCGCCTCCCCCACCGCCAACCGGAACGGCTCAATCCGCTCAAAACACTCATCATACACCGCAAACACCGCCATCGGCTTCCGCGTAAACGCAACACACATCTCCTCCAACACCACCTTCCACAACCCGCACCCTTCTCCACCCTCTCTCCACACTTCCATCACCGTGCCGGGCGCCACAGGCGTGCTCTTCCCCGCATCGCGAGTGATCGCGAACGCGGCTCGGAGTTCCTGGAAGACGAGGCCGTGAATGGGGGCGATGTCGAGGTAGCGGGCCGCGGCGAAGATGCGGCAGAGAAGGGTGCAGGCGTCTTGGATGGCGGTGGGAGAGGTGCCCGTGCGGGTGCAATAGGGGAGGATGTCGAGTTTGTCTTGGTGCATCCAGCGGTAGATGTGCGTGAATGCGAAAGGGTCATGGCCTCGTAGTGCGAGCGTATCGGGAGTGGTCTGCTTGGCGAGCAGGCGGGCAGCGACGGGGGAGTGGTACATAAGTAGTCGTTTGGATAACGTGATGGGTTTCGCTGCTTTGCCGACGTAAACGGAGACTGAGGGTCCTTGCATGAGTCTGGAGGAGCTGTTAATTATGGTGTAAGTGGAGAGAGACGGTAGGTGGCCTACTCTATAAGGACTTCGGTGTGGTCGGTGATGCCTTCTTCCGCGAAATTGGGAATGGGGTCCGATTCTTCGAGCTCTGGCTCCTGCACGTCGAACATGGTGTCCTCGTCCTCGAGAGTTGATGTGGACGTTGCTCTGCTGGGACTTCCGAAAGACAAGACTCTTCTCAAGATGTTGGACATTGCTGTGGTTGTAGGCGTTGGGGTGGGGTCAGTGTTTCAGCGGCGAGTGGAGTTCGAGAGTCTCGGAGCTTGAGGATGAGGGTTTAAAGGAAGAGATAAGTGTCATGCGAAAGTGTCGATACAGTGGGAACGCTGAGTATTGCTGTCGCATGAAGTATTCTTCTTTGTTGGGTTATTGTAAGACTTCCAGACAGTCCTCCTGCGGCCCCACGTGTTATACCGCCATGAAAAAATCATAAGATACCTTGAGTTGATGGATCATTCAGGCAACAAATTTCAAGCTTACAGTAGTGTTGCTTGTTCATCACACTGTAAAATGTGTCAACGAACGCAGGTTACTCATCGCTGTGATCTCAGAAAGACACAATCTGCTTCCTTTCCCGAGCCAAATAGTGAAGCGGTAGCGAATTTGTCTGGACAAAGGAAGCACACGACAAGTGCAATGTAGCCATCACTAACAAACATTTAGCTATCTTCATCTAGAATCGAAGAGAAGCGAAACCTTCGGCTCTAAGCTGGTCTCTGTAAGCGGGCTATGCTCATTAGAGTCAGCGACAAGACCAAGAGCGTACTAAGTCCGATTTTGCGGAGTCCTTATATTTCCCAGATCACGAAGAGCAACAAGTGTTCACGCATTCTCAAGGATTCTTAGTTGGACAAAAAGCTGGTTCGAGAGACTGTATCCGTCGTAGTTAGAATAGGTCTGCAAGCAGTAGACTTCTTCACATCTAAGTGATAGAGAGTCGTATCTCCCTCAAGGTGGTTACCCCAAGAACTCTTAAAAAAAGTACTCCCTTAAGTAGTTAATGGATGTTATGGTGAAATATTTGACACTAGAAAGCCAAAGAGCCCTGATTCTGATCAAAGAGAGTACAAACGGCCAACAGCAAACTTCATCGCTCGAGCTCCACCTCCTGGGGCCGTCCGTTCTTCCAATTGTAATGCGTGTGTCGCGGAAAAAGACAGCGAATCGATCAGTGCTCTAGTATCCTATCAGTCGATTGAGGCCGGTCAGCGCCGCAAACATTGATCTCCTCTTGGAGCGCGCCGGGTCCAATCGCATGCTTTACCTTTCCACAGTGCTCGAGAGTTGCTTCGTCCAAGACTGCATAAGCATCATAAAAGAACAGCTCACCCAAAATCCTCTTCCGTGATACGATATTGATATGTCTCTCTTAGATACCTGGATGCGTCAGTAGATGCTACTCATGTGCTTCTTGCTCTGGACCATGTTCCATCTGCGTGAGATGTCGCGAGTTGGTTGATGCATTGGTGATCTTGGAGGTTCGCTTGTTTCGCAGCTTCTCATACATTTGTAGGGTCTCATGCAACGTCATCTTCTTGGGAGAATACTCTAGCAGCCCACGGAGAACTGAGGCGTCCTCGATCCATATTGCAGTTCCTGGAACGAGATAGGGCATCATCGCATGTGCTACGTCCCCAATCAGACACACCTTGCTGGATTGGTAAATCCGAACTGGCAATGTTTTTTGGACGAGCAATCTACATAATAAAAGCGAGTCAACATACTCTAGTGTTGTGGATAATCGGGAGTCCCCATTGTAAGCGATGGTTTTCTGGCGCAAGCGGCTGGGTGGCAACGGTACTTCTGGGTCCCAGCTCTCGGCGACGGGACTTTGCTTATCGTAGCGATCTTCTTCTTCCCCTAGACATTGTTCTCGTACGACCCCGAGATCCTTGCAAATCATATACAAGAAAGAATCTACTTCCACATTGTGTTCAACTTCAGTGAAAAGCTTGTCCCAGGTCGGACATTCTAGCCTTCAATTCTGATTCACACTTACTTGATGGCGCGTTGGCTCTCAGTCAGCATCTCAGCTGTGTGTTACAAAATAGGCTATACCTCCGTCAACACATTGCAGGTCATCACAATTGCCGACACGTACAACAGAGTGTACATGTTTGACGCCGGCAGGACAGGACTCTGTCTTGGTACTTCGCCGATCTTTGGGTCCACCCTGCCATAACTCGTGATGGGGCGTACTTTGGATCTCATTTTATACATGGACGTTAAACGGCACAGCGGTATGCGGAGAGTGGAGGTTAGACTCTATCTGAGACGTTGACTGCGCTTGCGATGCTGGCGGGACTGATTGTATACAGATCCTGCATCCAGCGTAAGACACACGGAGTACACCACTTGAGGGATTAGCGACTGGTGGCTTGGGATGCAGATGTCTGCAACACGTTGCTATTCATATGTCTCCAACTGCTATAAGCCGCAGATCATGGAGTGCGGCGTTATGTTCAACCTGGGCCGAGTTTTGTGGTCGATTGTTTTGCTATTCCACATGTCAAGGCGGATGGAACTGGCTGGGCCTGGTTCATTTTTGCGATACTAACACCGTTGAACTTCGTTCCCGTGGGATTGTTGATGAAGTATGGCCAAACGTGAAGGAAGAGGCTTGGTGGGCCGACCTTCGATCAGCATATCCGAGTAGACCAAAAGACAGGCTCAGGAACGGCATCATGATCAGTTGCAATAGTTCCAGCAAAGATGTTTTCGATTACCTCTCATGACCTTGCACGGATGTTTGTTTTCTATGTTTGTAAATGTTGTAGTATGGGACATTTTGAAACCTCCGATGCGCCCAAGGCTGAGCAACGTTACATGAGAATAAGGTACGTATTACTTTACAGCATCATTGCCGAGTTAGCCGTAATATATTACGATGGCTTTCTCCAATACAGAACTATCACACATACCTTGTCTTTGAGATAAGTGAATGAAACATGTAGAATAATCAGATATGACCCTATTCTATACCATACCGGAAATAGAATTCGGAAAAGGTATATGGAATGACCCTGCCGACAATATTTTACCTCGTTTCGTATCCACGTGACCTCTTCCGCTTGCCTGCATACTTCTCATCAATAGCCACTCGAAGTTTTTTTTCTCAAAATGTCAAGCCCAGCCAGATCACAGATCTTCAGGCTACTGTGCCAACAACTATGAGCGACAACGAGAGCGTGGAATCAAGCTCCAGCGAGGAAATATCACCTCCTTGGGGCACAATTCCAGCTGAGATCTACTTACTGGTACCACTCCCTCTCAGCATCGCCTGCTACGCACTTGGTTGTATTTTCATTGGACATCAGTTAATTCATTACCTCCTAGAACAACTACGATCCTCAATCCCCACTCCCACCATCGGAGCAAGCCAAAATTCTCATCAGTTCATACATTCAGTCCGGTCAGAGACAAGCCGTATGTACCTTGCTTCGTGTTCCCATAATTCGTCACCTCCTGTTTCTCCCGCGTCCAGTTTTCAGCAACCTTCTGATCCGTCTCAGCGATATCCACCGCCTCCTCCTCCGGCTCTAGGCCCCCAGGAACTGATCTTCCTGAAAGCTTGGCGTCCCCTCTCCATCCGCCACCTAGCCACCGATCCCGGTCAAATTGGCAACGTCTGGCTTCGCACGTTCTATGGTCCTGGCAGCGACGCCAAACACGCGGCCTTGATCTCACACATTGACCTTGACAATGCTATCGATAAGGAGGAGAGGCTACTCGATGATAGACTACTCTATGGTCGCTTGGAGGGAAAGTGGAACGGTCTGTTGGAGCTACTGCCCGAGCTACTTGTGGCTGATTGGGAAGGAGATGAAAGGTGGCTGGGGTATAGGAGACGCATTGCGAAGGATGTGGAGGCGTTCAGGAATGCAAAGAAGAGATTTGAGCATGGGGCCGTTGCTGTGGGTGACGTGGCAGAGGGGACGGATGAGCTTGCCGAGGCGATGGAGAGACTGAGAGCTTTTCTACCCGAGGAGGAGGTGCAGCCACGGATTCTAGAGGTGCTACGGTCACATGTGCAGGCGGAGTGCGTGGTTGCTTATCTCATCGTTGAGGATGAAGAGGCTCTGGAGGAGGAGGAGGGACTATTGTTGTTGAGTTTTGTGGATGCGTTCGGGAGGGTGGTGAGGAGCAACAGGGTTTGTGCTAGTGAGGCGGAGCAGATGGGTGGGTTTTGGCTAGAGGAGGCTTGGGGTGACATTGCGGAGTGGCAGAACGGGAAGACTGGAAGCGATTATGAAGACGATGAGGCATGGGAAGCGCTCTTGAAGCATGAAGAGCTGAGTTGAGAGGAGTCACAAAGAGCTCGGGAGATGAGACGAGCTAGGCATTGTTGGAAGAGGTCTGTCTACAAGCAATGCATACATACCACTAGTTCCACGTGTATGATAGCTCAAGAAACCCCCTCTTAGATGAGCCGCCAGCCTCTCGAAAGTTTTCATTCCACCTCGGTGACTACTCCCACAAACCATGGAGACAGGCAGCCCTACAACCACTACTACGCTGAGACACACACATAGAAGGCTAAAAACAATTTCGCGCAAGTCGTGCCGACGGTAGGGTTCCAAGTGTAGAACTAACTTTTCAATTAGCAAAGTGTATCAATGTATGACAGCACTTTTTCGTTTACCTGATCGAGAGACACTTTGTAATTGTTTGCAATACTGTAGCAAGTCTCTCCCGTAGAGACCTTATGAAACGTTTTGCAGGTGGCGATTGTGCCTGGCTCCAGCGGAGATGGCAGAGGATTTGCGGAAGTAGTTATCACGGCTGGGGTATTTGATGTCGTGATGGAATCTCCCGAGAAAGGTGTACAGCTGGCGGGAAAGCTCGTTGATGAAGGTGTTGGTGCATCTGGATCGGGCCAGCAGTATGGCTCGATGAGAGCATCGCAGTCTTCTGGAAGATCCTCTTCATAGAGACCGTTGAGAAAGTCATCGGGCGTGATGGGGCAAAAGCTAGTGCGTGCTGCTACGAGACTTGCTGTTGTAAGGTTTGCAATGAATGTTGTCACAACTGGGGGAGGAAAGGTGGTCTGAGTATTATACCAGGAAGTTGTGGCGTCTGGAGGATTTGAATTGATGGAGCCAGAGACGTAGGGTCCTGGAAACATAGAGGACCTGGCACTTTGAGCTTGGTTATGCCGGCGACAACGAGTATGGTCTTACATGGTTACTGTACTTGTGTTCATGAGGGTTGCTTTGTAGACTGAAGAGCCAGGGGGTCTGCCAAGTCAGCTTAACACGTGGTGTTTGTGATTTGATTGATCGGGCAACCGACGAGATACATATGCTCCTACCAACCATAACATCAAGGTTATCACAGTTCAAGTGAATGGTTCTGAAAGTTTGTGAGTATATGGAAGAAATCGTTCATTGGGAAAAGAACTTACGGATTCCACGCGATCAGTTGTACAAATGTGAAGGCTTGATTGGTGGTGATATCTTGACATGTTTGATTCTGCAGCACTTTTTGCAAAGCACATGAAGGACCAAGGCAGAGAGTAGCACCTGGAATGAGAGAAGAACAGTTGTAGTCGATATTATTCGCAGCAATCAGCCGATCTGTTGCGATGGAGTTTGCTTGCGAGATGGATTGGCAGGTGTCATTGGCCTTGATAGTGTACTTTTTCCCAGTGCAATTCCTCGAAGGGGCAGATGTTGGTATACTGCCTTAATGTTAGTAGGATCTCTGAAACATGGAGGATGAAGTTGATTCACAATGGATTGACCGTGCTTGGTGTCGGCCAGTAGGTGTACGGATAGTCCGACGCAGGGATAGAACATGATGAGAGTAGCGACGAAAATGCGCTCGGCTGAATTCGATTTCGACCGTAGTCAGAGCCCAACATTGCTGCCCCGTATTTCAGGGAGCAATCGGAGCAGAGGGTCTTGGTGGCATTAAAAAGCGAGGGAAGACAGAAGCCGGTACTAAAGGAATTGTCTCAATTGAACTTGAAATAAAGCATTCGGTCGAGGCTAAAAATACCTATCTTGTACGCAAATGACATTATATGCCCAAGCCAGCGGATCTGCGATGGAAGCTCCAGATTGGCTTAGCGTGCTGTTGGCGAACATCTGGTAATTGGTATCGCCGCATTGTGCATCCACTTTTGTTTTAAAAGTCTACGCTGATTAGCAAGGAATAGGGATAGAAGTATGCTCATGGTCTATGAGTTTACCTGCAGAGATTGGTAGCACAATGTTGTGCAGTATTGACCCAATGTGGTCGGATCCAATGCCCGTCCGCCAGCAGCAAACTGCGGAGAGACGAGAGCTGGAGAGCAACTGATATTCTGGCTCAAAGCGATGCGGCAACCAGAAGGCATACTTGGAGGCAGTGCATCAGGACTGGACCACAGCTGCACTGAGGCGGCTCTTGGGACAAGAAATTGTAGACTTAGAAGAAGCCGAGCCACATCGAATTGTGAAAACATTGGGACTTGTCAGAAAGGGGGAGTGTGGGGTTGTAGTAAATAAGGTACTCGATGCCGCTCAAATTCAAGAGACAAGGAAAGCAGCAGACGGATTAGAGACATGTAATGGAAGACAAAACCACCGGATCCAAGGTCGATCCGAGCGAGACTTTCCAGAGCGAACAACATATAGCCGTGATCGGGAGGTGTCATCTCTCGGGTGATGCTATCCCTTTGCGGAAGCATCCGGCAGGTTCCCATCTAGATTAATATTAGCAGCTAAGGCAGGTCGCCTGATTGTCGCCGTGATATATGCGAGACCAATATTGTTGAGGAGGATCCGAAATTCCAGTCTGAAAGACACCTTGATTTCCTGAAGAATTAGCGCTTCACCTAACACAGACGCTCGCTTGCCACTGTCAATAACGGTCCAAGTGCCAAGCTCTCACCGACTTCGGTCTCAGTATGATATCAACGTTGCTCAACCAGCTCTCCCAAGGTTGCATGCATGGACGTCATTCGAAAAGATAACACTAAACACTCTAGCCACGACCTGATGTTATGGAAAAAACATCATTAGTCGCGTTCGGAGGATCCTTCTACGGCCATAATGTACTCAATTTCTTAGCTCTTGTAGAGATGGGCGCGCGCATGCTCGTAGGGAGCCGAGCTGTGAGCCGTGATACCCGCAAGGTTTAAGCGGGTGCGGCCATGTCCGACGCTTTACCAACAGAGGGAATTGCACGGTCCACTCATTATGCTCAGCATCGGCTGGCACCACGAAGTATCTGGACTGTTCTGCTTCACATCACTTTCTCCACTGCATATCCAACACGTCTGCAGGTCCCATGATGCACGTCTGTCTCCGCGGCACTTGCAACGTGGTTCACAAGGAGTACCCGTTTTTCCTTCTCTTACCTGGCCCGACAAAAAACCAGTATATGCGTATGCAGGGGACCGGTATCCACCGACAGACTGGGTTGTTGATCATACTATGATGAAGAGACCCTCAGACAGCAATCATGACATCTTATTTGATACGAAGAATAACTCTTTCTTGAGAAAGCGTATGTTCTGTAACTACGGAGCGGACTCTAATATTATAATTTTGAGAATGGAAAGGTATGGTCAGAACCTATCAGGGACTGTTCTCCGACGGCGGTGGCCACTCGTGCGTTCCCTACGGCCGTACGTAATCTGAAATTCTCCGTCTTTCCTTCATGCCTCTAATCCCGCCCCGCCAAGGCTTCCATCACGGGAGAATGCAGCTGCTAAGTAACCAACTGTTGTCCATTCAAGTCTTCATTGGCCAGACTCCTCCTTGGCCTGCCTTGAACATGGGGCAGTCGGCATCAAAGAGCTGGAAGTGGCTGCTTCTCTTGTCGCTAAAATTTCAGTATGGAGACACCTGGAGAAGTCTCGGACTCTCATACGTTGGATCAATCTCACCGCTAGCTGGACGATCTACTAAGCCGGACAATGTCCGCTGCATGTCTGCCAGAGGCATTGGAGAAGCTCTGAGCTTCCCTTTAGTGCTTGTTGATCACAGAGTGTACTCCTAAATCCATCACTTCAAGTTAAGTCTGTTACATGTCTGCCAGTCCAACCCTCCCATTTATCTTTTCTACTTTCCACCGTCAAGACTGAGGCTCAGATACCTAATCCCTACACCATGCTTTGCTCCTTACTTTTTGCGCTCTTCCTGACCTATTCCGATGTCGCTAAAGCCCAAAACGACCTATCTACATGCTCAGCTACGAGCCCCTGCTACCAAGGATGCTGCAGCTCGAGTGGAAACTGTGGGTTCGGTCCAGAATTCTGTGGGACCGGGTGCAAGAGCAACTGCGATGCTAAAGCAGAATGTGGACAATATGCCCCGCCTGAGACAAAAGATTGCCCGCTCAATGTCTGCTGCAGGCAAGTTTTCATTCCTATAATTGCGTGCTTGCGCTAACGATCTCCCTTGTAAAGTCAATATGGCTACTGTGGCACGACTGACGATTTCTGCGGAGACGGCTGCCAGAAAACTGGTCTCGGAAACTTTTGCGGACAGCCTAGGTGAACAGATCTATTCTTCTCTTTTCTCGTTCCAGAAAAATTTACTAAACCTCGTGCACCCAAAGAATTCCATCATGCCCACAGAACACGGATGCCATGACGTATGAGCGTCGTATCGGATACTATGAGCTGTTCAATCTGGACGATCGTCCCTGCGACAGAGTTTACCCTGAAGACCTTGAATTGGCGCCCCTCACGCACATCAATCTCGCCTTTGTATTGTTCGATAGCTCTTTCAACCTTATCGACGACGTTGGGGGCTTGATATCGCGTGTGACTTTTCTGAAAAGTCGCCACCTCAATCTGAGGGTGAACATTGCTGTTGGGGGATGGTCTTTTAACGACCCTCCGACCCAAAATTTGTTCTCGGATAGTATGTAACTCTTGGGACGATGGAAGACGATTGTCACTGACTGCGACGAGTGGTAAGCGGCTACCACAAGCGGCAGACTTTCATCAATTCTCTAGTGTCATTCTTGCAAAAATACGGACTCGATGGTGTCGATATCGACTGGGAGTATCCTGCGGCACCTGACCGAGGTGGTTCCCGAGCAGACACGAAAAACTACGTTTTTCTCATGTCCGAGATTCGAGATGCTTTTCAGCAAGCAAACGCTGGATGGCAGGCCACCATTACGCTTCCAACGAGCTACTGGTATTTGCGAGGTTTTGATATCTCCGGCCTTCAAAAATACGTGTCGTGGTTCAACGTAATGTCTTACGATCTGGTAGGTTTTGCAATGGTGAACACTGAGATAATGCGCAAAGACTGATTGGGTATGCAGCATGGTATGTGGGACCAGCACAACAAGTACACGGGTCCGTACATAGAGGGCCATACCAACATCACTGAAATTGACGAGGGTCTGAAATTGCTTTGGCGTAACGATATTGATCCCGCAAAGCTTGTTATAGGGTTCGCATTCTACGGAAGATCATACACCTTGAACGATGCATCTTGCTTTCAACCCGGTTGCACATTCTCGACTTCCGGTCTTCCAGGGACATGCACAAACACCGGGGGCATCTTGTCTTACAGTGAGGTCAGCTCTCGAAACAACTCACTTAGCACGCAAACATACTACGACCAAACCTCGACTGTCAAATACAACGTGTACGACGGCAACCAGTGGATCTCCTACGATGACGAGCAATCCTTTTTCGACAAGAAGAAGTTCCTTTCCCTGAGATGCCTCACCGGCTTGATGATATGGGCACTCGATCAAGATACACAAGGCCACGACGCTCTGGAGGGACTTCTTGGTGACTTTTCCTCCAGTCAACTAGAAGGTGGCAATCTAGATGACCAAACTGCGACTGCGTTATCCTTGGCGTTTGGTGCTTACACTGGACAGAATTGTTTCGTCACGCCGACATGCACCGATGGCTCAGATGGTCAGAAGCAACATGACCAGGTCTGCCCATCTGGGACTTCTGCCGTTTCAACTGCGCATGCTCCGCTTCAAGCTCCTGGCTTTCAACTCAACGGTGACTGCTCGACAGGTTGGTATCGCTTCATCTGCTGTCCCATCAACTCGATGCCAAAGAATTGTGAATGGAGTGGCGCGCCTGTTAGCGGTGAATTTGGATGCAGTGGCTCTTGTGGCGACAGCCAATATCTTTTGAACACCGACACCTACATCGGCTACAAAGGGAAAGGAAGCTGCTACACCGGTAACCGTGCTCTATGTTGCGACTCGACAGAGGTCATTGATGATTGCTTCTGGACGGCTTGTCAAGGCCCATTAAGTCCCAGTACTCTCGCCTCTTGTGGTCCAGATGATTTCGAATACCAAACCTATCGATATGATCAAGACAACGGTGACTGGTGCTCTTCCTCTTACATATCTCCGCTGGACGGTTCTACTGGGTCGACATTGCGTGATCGCTTCAAACGAGCGTTCTGTTGTCCCAAAAGAAAAGGATTCAGTCACTGCAATTGGTCGAACAACCCACAGCCAGTCCAAATCGGCGGTAGCGCACCGTTTGATCCGGAGCTAATTTGTGAGCCACAGCAGTGCTCAAATAAGCAGACTCAGGTCACGCAAGCAAAAGAACCGCCGATCCCCGGCGCAATCAATCCGACAAACACGGGCATTGACTGCAACGGTGTCGCAATCCCCCCGGGCTTCAGCCAAGATTATCCCTATTGTTGTGATCCACCAAGCGTCTACAGCGACAAGTGGCCAGTGGATCCAAAATATCTCTTTGAACATTACTACGATACTCCTCAAGATGATGTGTTGTGGGATTACGATGAAGAATACCGGAACAATAACTTGGATTGGTCCCAAGCTCCTGGGAGCGACAAACCGGATGATGATGCTTACGGATTTGTTATGCTGGATGGGCCACCGGGATCGCTCGACAACGACTTTCCGACGAGCCAAACGATCGCGAGACGTCAAGTGGAGACTCGCAAGACCAGATCGATGCTGACGACCAACCGAACCATGATTGGCTCTACATTTGATCACTCAGAGGAAACTGTTTATATCTACTGCAACTACAAACAAACTTCGCCCGAATGTCGAAGGTTATGGTTGAATGGAGCTCCAGACACCATCATCCGACTCCCTTCCGATTTGGGAGAAGGCCCATATGCCCGAGTGGTATCACTTGGCCTGGCCGAGCCAGAATTCGATCTCCCAAGGCACCATGTTCAAGCTCGATCGCTTACAGGAAACGTGAGTCCCGTCTATAAGCTGACTTTTGACTACAACTTCCATCTCATCAAGAGAGATGAGACTGTTAACATGCGCGTCGACTTCACCAACCTTGTCGGGTATTGGGACGAGTTGACAGATGCACCCGGACGAAAACAGAAAAGACGCCAAACCCACCAAGAGCATATGTCTAAGGAAGAGTGGCGCTCCAAGATCTCCCAGGCAAAGTCGAGGCATGAGAAGCTGCGCAAACGAGGTCTCGCAACCAAGGCTCTTAGGACATCGAAGGATATGGGCCAAGGTGGGAACAAGCTCGACCAGAGATGGTTTGGCGCGTTTCTCGACTGGCTGGGTCGTTTGGTAAGCGCCTGCCCCTCTGCTATCTTATTTCCTAAGACTTCAACACAGTCTCTCCTATCATCAGTAGCTGAATGTATGACCAGAACACGGTAGAAAGCAAAAATCTGGGTTGGCTCAGTATGGCAGTTCAGCAAAGTATTCTGCTATTCAAGGCGGCTTACGGGTAATTGTGCATGAATACTCTTGCAGGCGAATTAATGCTGATCATGCGTAGATGCCCCGGTCAGACTTTCTCTGCTGACATGCAGATGTATCTGGATGCAAACGTCGAAATGGATGCTACCTATGCTTATTATTTTTCTGGCACTATCGTTCCACCAGCCGTTACTGGCACTTACGCATACTTGAGCCTTGAGCCTAGCGCGTATTTGGGTCTTCGAATCGTTGGAAACGCCAGGCTCCAGGCTACGACAGGCCGCAAGAAGATCTTGGACACTGTATCGTATCCAGGGCTCTCTATAAAAGGCATAGCTGCAGTTGGACCAACGTTGGACTTATATGGCGAAGTGAGTGACTGTCCAACCCTTATCGCGTTAATGGGCATGCTTAACACAAACCTCGGATCCGGGGCGTCATTACGCTGAAAGGACAAATGAACGCTGGAGCCAAACTGGATTTTGGTAAAGCAGAAGTCTACTGGCCCCAAGATGACGCTGCAAGTAGCCAGTACCAAGAGCTGCTTGGTCTTGATGCAAAACCGTCAGCTCAGGACCAGAGCTTGGTCCAGCCAATGTTTGATGCTAAAGTCACAATCAATGCACAGATAGATGTTCTCGTCACCCCAGAAGTAAGTTCTCAAACCATCGACGCTTTTGCGCCCCTGGACTACGACGATAGCTGGGCGCAAACCTTGTCAGTTGCCATGCATACTCTTACTTACGTGCTCACAGGCCAACATGGGACTCAGAATTGGCGGCACAATAACTGGGGGCTCTCCTCTAGTTGATGCGCAGCTCGTGGGCTACGTGAACACATCTCTGTCATTTCAAGCTTCCGCTACTGCGTCTGGAGGAGCAAACAATGATGCCACATCAACCTACAGTTATGGTGTTTACCTATTCTACAATCTCGGCTATGGGGCCTTTGCCACGATCAAATCTTTTCCGAATTGGGCTCTACAGCCGCGCAACGCGTACAACCCGACACCCAGGTTCACCATCTACGAAAGTACGGGCTCCTTCAGCGGCATCACCAGTAATGATAAGCGAGAATTTTATCATGGCCATGAGCCCGACCTCTACTCTCCCTCGAACCGCTCTTCAATGTTGGCGACGAGCTACCTCTATGACAAAAGAGGGGACTCGTCTGATGAGGATCCATTTCAAAGCCAGACCCCGGACTTCTCCCAGCAACTGACCTGTCCTACGGGGGATAGTTCCTTGATAAGACTGCCCGACTTTCGGTGTGAGTTGTCAGAGGAAGCCCAAGCTTGTGGCATCATTACTAATTGGTCAAGTTAACTGCGGTATTTTCGGAGACAGTCAGCTCAATGGCAACAATGGTCAAATTATCGTTCCCGGAATCTGCTCTGGAATCCAAAGCTTTCTCACGCGTCGAGGTTTAGCAAACAGTGACATGGTCCTTACTTGGGACCCCAATCGAGAAAGAAGGGTCGATCGCGCAGCAATCTCCTGTCCAAAATCATCTGATGGTGCCTACTGTACATCGCAACAAAGTAACCTTCAGGCACAAACGAAAGATAAAACAATCGCAATATCATGTGACGAATTCCCATTCGCGTCGACAGAAGAAGGGGGCGGTTACCTCCGTACGTTGGCGTCAGGAGCTACCTCCTCTCAAAGCACCTGCGTACCTGCATGGCAACAAACCCTACAAGGAAACTGTAACAGTGGGTACCGAACCTCCTCGTCCGCTGATGTCATGCGTGCTTACGTAGCTTCATAGGGATGCTTAGCAGTATTCAAACGAATGTGGCATATTACGAAAGAGCGCAACGGGGTGACAGCGCGGTAAACTTTGTACCCTGGTCTACTTCACCTCCAAGCGAGAGATGGTTTACCGTGGGCAGTACGTTCAATGGCCAGTCTATAACGTCGCAGAGAGTAGTGTCGTATCCCAACCAGATCCCGCAAGCAACCGGAATTTCTGACACTGTGAGCACGTCCCAACCATTGCATAAGTCGAAATAGGAACGGCAACTGACCGAATCCGACATTAGGCCTACTCCGGTACTGCCGGAGCGTATGGAGGCTACATGTTCAGGCGGAATTTCACCTTCGGTCTCGCCTCGCCCGTCTCCTCACAGGACGGTGCAGCCTGGGTCCCCAGCACCGGCGCTGCCGAGTCGTGGACTTTCAAAAACCGCGAGTTTCCCCCGGGGATCGATGGCGGAGATGTGCAAGACATCGCCTGCGCCATCAACACCTTCGGGCAAGACGACATTTACAGCTTTCCGTACAACGGACTCTGCTTCAATGGAGGCTACCTCTCTGGACGAGGTGAGGTTGCTCGCATTCTCTTTAGAGAGCGTTGACTAATGAGGAGGTGCTAGGCTTCCCCACGGTCAAGAGCTTTTCCGGTTGCATTATAGAGTTTGCTGCTACACCCAACAACAAGAGGAGTATTGGCCAGTTCCATGGGTGGCATGTCAACAGTAAGTTGGAATCGATTGATAGGAAGAACTCCCTGAGGTACACGTTAATAATGTGGTAATAGGTATCACCATGCTAGACAAGACTAACATCACTGCTGACGTTGTGAAGTCTTCGATTGCCCAGTGAGAATTGGGTAAGCCATAGTCTCTAACCTTCATAGTCGGTCATTCGAGCGTAGACTCCCATCTAGTATGATAATTTTTGTGGAGACCGCGACCAAGTGAAGCTTTTTGCCATCTGTGACTGGATCATGGCGTCTCTCATACCAGTATCACTGCGAGCTGCATCCTTCGAATCCTGAACCATAGATCTGTGCACATGACGCCATTTAGAAACCATTCGTATCCCCGCGCTATCTGCCTTTCAAACGAAGACTGACCATCTAATTCTATGATCCCTGCGCGGCCAAGAATCACAGCCAACGCCGCCGCTCGTTAGGGACCAGTACCCCATCCTCGGGCGCCTGTGGGGGTAAAACGTCGTCAAACTTCGTCATCTTCGTATCACCACAACGTTCGAACGGCAGGATCTGAAATAACTTTTCTTTTATAAAGCCTTGGTTTTGTTTATGAAGAGTAGAGTAATCGCGACACTTAAACTTTTTCTTCCGGAAGCAGTCGTTGTTGAAATACACTGAATTTGCGACGGGGGTATTGTTGATGTTCGGTCGGAACCCCCCTGAATTTTTATCCCCTGCCGGACGATGGGATACCACTCCATCGCCCCCCAAAAAAACCCCCACTCACTTACACGTCCTTGGTCTAGGGGAGGAAAAGGCTCTACAGACCGGAATCGATCTCGTCCACCACGTCAACGTTCGTAAAAGCCGCCCAATCCACACAAGTCTGCTTGCTCGACCCCGGTAGCTGCATGTTCGCGATATCGGCCGGTTTCTCCTGTCCCCTTCGTCAGCATTCTTCCCCTTCTTCCCCACGCCGAATGGATGAATGGATGAATGGATAAACATTAGACCCACCAGCAAGTTGATATACAACCCCGCGCTAACATGCCAAGCGATGTGGCAATGGAACGGCCACACGCCCGCGTTGTCGGCGTCGTACTGCACAACGAGGTACCCGTCCGGCTGCAGCAGCTGCACGTCCCGCCGCTGCGGATTGCCGCCATCGACAACGCTGCTGCCGTCCCAGGAGCCCACGCCTTCGTCCAGCACGTACATGTTGTGGCCGTGCAGGTGCATGGGGTGCGCGACCGGGGTGGTGTTTTCGACGACGAGGCGCACCGAGGTCGCGGCGCCCGTGTCGTACACGTTCCACTCCGGGTCGTAGGGGTAGGATGTGTTGCCGGCGTTGGCGAGCAGGAGGACGGGCGCGTTGTAGTCGGCGCGGAAGGAGACGCCGTTGACGGTCCAGAGGAAGTGGCCGGTGCTGTTGACGGTGGCGCCGATGGTGAGGTTTATGGTTGTTGCGGGGTCCGCGGTTGGGGTTATGGGGTAGATGGGGGTGGTGGAGGATAAGGGGTCGTTGGCGCACTGGGGGGTTGTGTCTGTCCAGGCGGTGGTTTTGGGGGTTGCATCAGCGGGGGCCGAGGGGTAGTAGATTACGGCCAGGGCGTCGGGTTGGATTGTGAGGGAGCAGTTGGAGATGGTGGAGCGCATCCAGTAGGTGGATGCGGGGTCGCCGTTAGCCTGGACGATCACGTCGGTGCGTTGGCCGATCTAGCCAAAGAGTCAGTCCGTTATCCAGATGTGTTTGACTAAGTTATCGATTACTCCCAGCGTCACAATATCGGTCTCATACGGCTGGATTGGCACAAAGTCATTCGCGATAACAGTCATCGTATGCTCATCAATGCTGAACTTCTGAATAGCCTCAGCACCAGCATTGATCAAGCGCAACCGGTGTTGCTTCCCGGTAGTGAACTGGAACTTCGAAAGACCAGCGTCGTTCGTGCAGGGGGTTCCATCAGTGACAAGTGAGCAATTGTAGTCCATCTTTCCGTTGATCAGGTTGTTGACCGATCTTGGCGCTATCATCGTGAGATCTGTACCCATTATCTGTTCTACGAGGTCATAGTACGACAGATGATAATAGTCCGTCAGCAGCACTGGGCCGAGGTCAATGTCATAGTCTGCGCTATTTGGGCCGTAGATTATCATAGGTCCGATAAGACCACCGGAGTATTGCGCGCTATAGTGGGAATGGTACCAGGATGTGCCGTACAAGTCTGCTTCGAAGCTGTATGTTAGGCTCATGCCAGGGGCGATTGGACATTGTGAGACTGCTGGGACTCCGTCTTCCCAGGGAGTGCCGGTCTGCAGTAGGCCGTGCCAATGGAGCGAGGTCCCTTCTTCGGGACCGGTGATGGCGTTGTTGACTGTGACGGTGATGATGTCGCCCCAGTTGGCTTCGATTGTTGGTCCGGGGAATTGGCCGTTGATGAGAAGTGTGTTTTTTTCATAGCCGTCTGGTGCAATGGTGCCTCGCGCAACTGTGAAATTGTAGACTCTTTCCTGACCTGAAAGGGATGTTAAGCAAGAAAGGAAAAAGATAAGAATGATCAAATGGTCATGGGGTTGTTGTGTGGAAGCCGATGACCGTGGTTTGAAGAAATGCTATAATTCGGATGATGTCTGTAACCGAATGAGGGGCGGTGGGCAATGAAATGACTGCAAGACTGATACATTGTTGAAAGGGTAGCTGGTAGGTGACGAAATGAAAGACGCTGAAAAATCGCGGGACGTAGAGGAAATGTAGGGAATGAAGCAGTCGTATATACCTGATGATGACGGAGCTTGTGTGTAGGGGTTTGCATTGAAAGCGGTTCTCGACCCCCACGGGGCGCCACTGCCAGACTGGTCGACTCATCAGCCATCTGAGAAGCATCTACCTTTTCATAGAAACGTACATGCGGAAGCCAATTAATCTGAAGATTCGGTGCCTGAAGCGTACCAAGTTGCGACGCACCTGATGGCCACGAGATACATTAGCGGAACATTCTGCAAACGGGCTACTGGCTGCGGGTTCTGACCGTTGGTGGAGCTCTGAGGAAGGCTGGAGATGACGGTCAGATTTGACGTAAACTTTGCGACAGCCGCGGACATGGCGCTGGTTAGCCCGGTTTGCAGGATCGCTGGGATATTCATGACTGTGGCGAGATAAGATAACACTTGTAGATAGCTGTGTTACCATAGAGAGAAACTAGAAAGCCAAGAGTGCAAGGCAACCTGAGGACGAGAAAAGAAAGGCCAGAAACAGCCGGAGTCCTGTTCGATAGAGATCCCATCACGGGAATCGAGAAGGCGATGCATCTTATGAGATCGAAAGAAAAAACCCCTGACAGTGTACCGCTGAGATAAGCACTAAGGTGATGAGTGTGCACGATTCATGCGGCAATACTTGGTCTCGCATCTTGCTGCAGGCATTTACTGTTCACTGGAGACTGCCTGTTGGGCTTTCAATTACTTGGGAAAACCTCGCTGTTATAACCGGCATCCTGCACGATAAATACACACGCGTTTCTGGGATATCCGAGTTAGGAAATCGACGACAACAAGTTGGCTCCACATTCCGGCCCAAATGACGAATGCTATGCAGACGCACATTTTATCAAAAGGGGGTTGTGCATACATCTTCCTCGAAGATTACAGCTGCATGAACTGGTGCGGCGCAGAAGTCTATCTTCTTGACAGTCCGGCGCGGATATTTCACCAATTGAACTGTCCAGTGAGGGTAACAATAACCGGCATCGACGGGAAGATACTACCGTACCATGATGATAGCCGCATGGCCACGAGCAGTACGTGACCTTGCATGAAGTCTTTTGAGAGACCTAGAAGGAAGATCGCTGGTTAGCGGGTTGCGGACATGTTCGGTCGAAGGTAAGGTATCGCGGAAGACGATCCGCGCCCCGGAGCATGCATGGCTAATGCAGGTCCGATCCACTCCTGAAATGAAGGGCACTCTAGCCTCCAAATCGCGCCAATGACACGCGCCTACAAGACATGCCACGCCATGTCTCGCATTACTAGCTTTCTTTTATCAAGTTGGAAGCCAAGCTATCATGCCTGGATTCCAATTCCTCTTGCAAGTCATGATCGTCGCCCGCATCCGGTTAGCTCCAAAAGTGGTGAGCGCAATCCGTAGCCAATTGATTAACCACATTGGCACGCCATCCAAGATTCTGCCATCAATAGCATACCGAGTTTGGGGACATCAGTGGCGCAGCTGGTGAAGAGGCGTCGATTCTCCGCCTTCATAGCAGTCACTGTTAACAGAGTCTCCATTCGGACTACAAAGTCAGACGCTTCTGCGTTCGGTGAACTGCATTCAACTCGAACGTTTTCCTGGCTTCCAATGTCTTCATGGACTATACTCACCGTATATGGTCCTATGAGATAGCTAGTGTCATTGTAGTATAAAGGTCATTGATTCACCGATCCAGCTCACCGCAGGCATGTCCCATGCCAACATAATGGGACGCTACTCGTATCAAACAAGACTGTCGGCAATGCCGAGAAAGCCCGCCAAGTCGAGCAAATGCGCAATTGTCGCTGTTGTGCGAAGCAAGTTGTTCTGGTTTTGCTATGAAGACAGCTTTGCTCCGGGGCCTGTAAGAGAAAGATCTTATGACGTTGTCCACTTTCCGCTGAAGCCTGACTCTAAAAGTCAAGATTCGAACGTCCAATGAGGGACGTTAGACGGAAGTCGTTCGAGGCAGGGATTGAGCTCGAGGATCACTCCCACTCTATCAACCAGCTTCAAGAGACATGGTCGAGAGTCCCCACAATCGTAGCGCCGGCCAGGATTTTGGCCAAAGAGCGGAGTCAGAACGTACCGGCAACATCTTCTCTGCACACGCCCGTTGCGCTCTCCGCAAGTTCCCTTCCAGGAAGAATAGTGGAGGAAGCCGTGAACTCAGTAGGGCAAGACCAAAACCAGGAGCCGTCCATGGAGCAAGCCCATTGATCAATTGGGTTCTGTACCCGTGTAATGGGATCATCTTTAACGACTAGTCTTGAACATTGTTATCTCCATTCCTCCATGTTTCTCGGTGGACCAGAGTCTGGACTGTCCAAGAACACTTGATTGCTTTGAAAATCATAGTGGGAGGCTCGAGAGTTTTTTCATTCTGGAATAAGCAACCAATTGTCGGGGAGACACTTGCAAAGACAATACATTCTGGGTCCCCCGTATAGGTACCTTGGGCTCCGTGCGTACTAAGATGTGTGGATCCAGAATGTCCTCCGCCCATTTGGTCGTCATGGACGACCAAGAGTCCATTCAAGATTGATTGAGACCTCGTACAGACGTCCTTCTATGTCTCTTCACTTCTGGACGACTGAAAACCGCGAGCGAAGAGGAAGCTTCCTACATTGGCGCGTCATTGTAGGTAGGGGAAGGCTGAGAAGGCCGGAAGCCGCGAGGCTTGGCGCTCGAATATGGATGCGTGCGAACGCCCATTGAGGAGCAAATCCATCATTTTACCCGCCAGGAGATCGTAATATCTCGTTGGCATTACAATCTTGATGCTGGTATCCAGCAAGGTTCTGGAACAGAGGGAAAAGCGGTCGGAAGTGCTGGGCATGCAGCCTTACCGCGAGATCTGAGCTGGTGGTCAACCCCACCTTCCTGAAGCGACAAGGTATCCATGCAAAGGCCAATCCGTCCATGCGGCCCACATCAGTTGTGTGATTGTACGTCCAATGGTGGAAGCATGCGCCCACGCAGGATCCAATGATGCCGTTCGCCGAGAAGGATGGGGTTGCCAACGATGCCGTTCGCCGAGAAGGATGGGGCTTGTGGTATGAAGAGAAGGTGTTTTTTTTTTTTTTTTTTTTTTTGCTCGAATCATGGAGTATGAGCCCAACCATCGATGGTCGAATGCGCAAAACGAAGTCACCTCCACTTCCCGACGATGATTTGAGCACTGAAGATGAGCAAGCGGCAGGAGCCACGATGCGGCGGAATTTCCCTGCTTCCGCTTCATCTCTATCGTAGGGTTCGTCATGGTTTTCCAGCCGACGTGGGAGAGCATCTTGCTCGCGGCGCAATACGGTCTTGTCAACGGAGGCACGGCGGGCGTGATCTGGGTGACTGCTGGTGTCATCTTTGGTGCTCTGTGCATGATTGCGTCCATCGCGGAACTGGCTTCCATGTTGGTGGTCTTCTGGATCTGAAACAGGCATTGGTGGAGAGTTGACAATTTGTCCCCAGGGCCCCTACTGCCGGCGGCCAGTAGCACTGGGTATCGGAATTTGCACCCACTTCCTTGCAGAAGCCCCTCAGCTATCTCGTCGGTGAGTAACGAGTAAGTGCCAGCCGACTGCCTTGGTTGACGATCTGCGTAGGATGGAGTAGCGCATTAGGATGGGTCACGGGATGTCCGTCTGCTGCGCAGCTCACGTCGACGCTGGTGCGGGGGCTGGTGTTGTTGAGGAACCCGAATGCGAGTGTGGATGCATTGTGGCAGACGACGTCGTTTATTATGCTGTTCCTGGTGGCCGCGGCTGCATCAACATCTTCTGCGCAAGACAACTTCCGGTAACGGAAGGGATATCAGTGGTTGTTCATGTTGTCGGCTTTTTTGTCTTCATGACCGTCTTGTGGGTGACTAGCGATCATGCACCAGCCCAACAGGTTTTCACGCAGTTTCAAGATAATGGCGGCTGGGGTAACACTGGACTGTCGGCTCTCGTTGGCACTCCGACACCTTTGTGGTGCTTCCTCGGCCCGGATGCCGGCGCTCATATGAGCGAAGAGCTAAAGGACGCTTCGCGTGTTCTGCCTTCCGCGATGATGTGGGGTTCCTTCTTCAACGCTTCATTGGTCTTGCTGATGCTCATCACGCTATGCTTCTGTCTGGGTCCGGACTGGCAGGATAATGTGCTGGGACTTACGAATCCGACGCAGACTGGCATTCCCATCATTCAGGTTTTGTACAATTCGACGGATTCGATGATAGCTGCGACGACTTTCATGACGACGGTTCTGATTCTGTTGTCGATGGTTGGGACGATTACTTGCATTGCATCTTCGAGTCGCCAGCTTTGGGCATTCGCGAGAGACAAGGGCTTCCCGTTCTCAGGCTACATCGAATACGTGAGTCATGTTGCTCGGCTGGCTTTAAAAATCGAATTTGGACGAACATACTGATATACTGCGTGCGGGTACGGCCAGGTTGGGATATACCGGTCAACTCCCTCATTGTAGTCCTGGTCGTGTCACTCCTCATCTCAGCCCTCAACTTCGGCTCCGACGTCGCTTTGAATGCCATCATCAGCCTCTCAGACGCAGCCCTCCTCTTCTCTTATATCATTTCCATTGGGGCTATTCGGTTGAAACGTGTACGTAACGAAGAGCTCCTACCTCGCCGTTGGTCATTGGGTAAATGGGGTTCTGTGGTCAATGATGTAGCGTTAGCATTCTTGGTTTTGAGCTTTGTATTTTCTTTCTTTCCGGAGACACCGATGCCAGGCGCGGCTGGGATGAATTGGGCCGTTGTGATCTTCGCGTTTGTGATCGTGGCGGCGGGGACAAACGAAGGGTGAATGCGAAGAGAATCTATATCGCACCTGTGTCGTTAGTCAAGCAGCAGTAGTCTACACATTGGAGAGTAGAGGTGAGAATTCTTGACGTGTTCTATTCAATCTACGCATGCTTGAATTAGCTAATTTCGATGAATTTGCATCTCGTAGTGTCTTGACAACCGCACAGACACGACCGGAGCCAGATGGGAACGACCTTGAGAAGAACACTCGCAATTCCAGGTCTTAGCATGTAGTAAAGTCGCATGTATGCCAATCGCCCGATGCCCTACGGTTGCTGCTCAAGTGGAATGTGCCCCCTACTTCCTCCCTGCCTTCTTTTTGACGATGCCCACTGGCTTCGCACCCTTGGGTGTGATTTGCTCTTTCTTTGGCCTCCCACGTTTCCCTGGCGTCAGTTTTTTTGGGGTCTCGCCCTGCTCGGTTGCCTTTGGTCGTCCTCGCTTCTTGGCTATCTCCACATTAGATGAGCCTTGTGGCTCGGTACCCTGCGCAGCCCCCTCCCCCTTCTTCGGCCTGCCTCTCTTCTTTGGTGTATCCGCCGCAGGCACGCCAGTTGGCTCTACGGCCCCAGCAGGCTCTGCTCCCTTGCCCGGTCTCCCTATCTTCTTCGGCTTCTCCTTCGCTTCTCTATCCTGATCCTTGAGCGCCGCAGCACCCTTTGCAAATCCGCCGGATTTTTCCTTGTTCATCGTCTGCATTTCCTTAGGGCGTTGGGTAGGAACGGCTTCTTTCTTCGGTCTACCTCGCTTTGCAGGCGCGTTTTCTTTTGAGACGAGTTGTGATTTGACCTCTTGTGCAGACAATTCTTCCTTCTTTGGCCTGCCCCGCTTCCTAGGCGTCTCGTCTTGGCCAGCAGATTGTTGCTTGACATTGCCCGTAGAGCTCTCTTCTTTCTTCGCCTGGTCTCGCTTCTTAGGCGACTCGTCTTTGGCAGCAGCTTGTTGCTTGACCTTGCCCGTAGAGCTCTCTTCTTTCTTCGCCTGGTCTCGCTTCTTAGGCGACTCGTCTTTGGCAGCAGCTTGTTGCTTGACCTTGCCCGTAGAGCTCTCTTCTTTCTTCGCCTTTTCTCGCTTCTTAGGCGACTCGTCTTTGGCAGCAGCTTGTTTCTTGACCTTGCCCGTAGAGCTCTCTTCTTTCTTCGCCTGGTCTCGCTTCTTAGGCGACTCGTCTTTGGCAGCAGCTTGTTGCTTGACCTTGCCCGTAGATCTCTCTTCTTTCTTCGCCTGGTCTCGCTTCTTAGGCGACTCGTCTTTAGCAGCAGCTTGTTGCTTGACCTTGCCCGTAGAGCTCTCTTCTTTCTTCGCCCTGCCTCGCTTCTTGGGCGACTTGCCTTTGCTGGCGACGTGTTGCTTGACATTGTCGGTAGAGCCCTCCTCTTTCTTCGACTGGCTTCGTTGCTTCTTGACATACTTGGTCTCCATTTCCGAGGCATCATCTTCACACTTGCGTTTGGGTGGTCGAGCCTTTGAGGAGGCGGACGTCTCTGCGTCATCGGTTGCTGCTTGAGCACTCTGCTCTAGTTCACCGCTGGCTGTTCCCGATGTTGATGTAAAGGGTTCGGCTTTCTGAGAGCGCGGTGCGTTTCCCCCTGTTGTCGCGGTCACCATGTTTGTCGGTTGCGGAGTGCTGCTAGTTCTTGGTTGCAATCCTGCATAGTCGGCGCTTGGACTAGGGGTCCACTGGGTTCGCTGAGACTTGCTTGTAGATTGCGCCGGCTCGGCAGAAGGTAGGGGAGCGCCTCTGGCGTAAGCATCTTCCATGGGAGTTTGTAGATGGTCATCAGACGCGCCATCTAGTGAGGAAGCTCCATGATGAGAATCCGACGTAGGATCGCTGGCTTTTACAGGGCCAAGAAGACTGTCGTCCGTTACTTCCTGCTCGCGACTTGGCGAGTTCTGATCTGATGAGAGGTCGATGGAAGGGTCATGCTGTTCAGCCATCACAGCGCTGTTGCCGTTTGATGCATGAGCTGCCGGCGTCGGAAAATGCTCTTGTGATTCTGCGAACGGGGAGAAAGGCGGAGGTGAAGAATTGTAAGCGAGAAGATCTGAAGCGGTAGGTGAGATATCCATAGCCAATTCTGAAAGCTCTTTGTCTTCAGCCTGATTTGCACTGGGAGTCAAGGCGCTCCGAATAGTCGATAGCATCATTAGTAGAAGTTCACACGAGAGACTTTGGGGTGTTGAGATTTGTGGGTGTTGATGAAGGTACTTCTGTTGTCACTGAATTTCTCGAGGCGATTAAGATTAATGGCCGCTAAAATTCGGCCAATCGTAACGCGCCAAGTGCCGCTAGCTCATATGCTTATTCCAGTTTACCTCGAAGTAAACTTCAAATCAGATCTTGTCACTAGGGTATTTAGATAGTTGGGCTATACAGGTCGATGCACAAAGTTATGCGTGAAATCGTGCCAAGACCTGCAAGCGGACATGTTCCGCTAGATTAGTGAAAAAACTCATATTCACTTTTACTGTACCTTAGTTGAAAGCGGTACTTGTAGGGCTGTAACCTAAGTTTTCGTTACAACACTTGCTACTATCTGACTTGCAATAGAAACTTTGATACGGAGTAGTCCCTGTTTCCTTTTCCATAACATGATCCCTAATTCTACAATATATACTACCCATTCTTTCTATGCTGAGTACGGACTCCATCCATACCTACTCAACGTGAACCTAAACACAATGCATCTGTGCTACCTGCTATTTTTCTTCTTCGTACTCAATTCTTGCCATCAAATTCGTTACACGAACCAAACCATGAGCCCAGAGATAGTCCTGTCTGCGGTTGCGATTAAGATTTCCTTATTACTGTTCTGCTACTACTGTTCAGAAGATGCGGCTCGTTTTCTTGACGGTGGCAGAGACTGCGTTAGTCAAGGTTTCTGACAGCTCCCATCTGATCCCTCACACTCATCACATCCGCCCTCCCCCCAAGGCACGCTAGCTTGTTCGGGAATGCTTGGCAATTGGACATCTTGTCGCTGTTGGATTCCGTGTTTTCCTTTCATCCCGTCTTCTTCTCCTCGCGCTCAAGTGTTGCCCTTCAATACGTTCATTTCCCGGAGCAACGTAATATCTCAACACAGTCGGATTCATATTTGAACTCTGTGTTCACTCTTCTTCCGACCCGTCTCTGGGAAAACCCGAACTCCGAGGATTGTGATTCTTCTCAATTAATCTTCATTATGCGCGTTGTTGAGACACGTTGAGCTACTTCATCTTCGCAAAGCTTTGTAAGGAAATTGTGTTGTTCTCATTCAACACTTTTCAGATTCGCGGTAATTACTGAAATGCCGTTCCCCCTCCCCTCCCCTCCCCTCCCCTTCCGAAGTGCAGCACCACTGGCACAGACTACAACGCCAACACATCCAATCCCGCCATTTCTGGCGCCATTGGCTCTATTGCCGTATTCGAAAATTCACAAACCTAGCAAACACTACCGCCACTTCATTCCATGGATCACCAGAACGTAGTCATGCACGGTCTTGCCAGTCCAGCCCTTCTCGATTTGGAGAATCTTCACCGCCGGTAGCATGCCCTTGTAACTCTTACCAAACTCCGTCCCCATCGTCATGAGCTCGCCGAAATTGTTACCGGGAGTGCTCTCGCCAACAACGCAAGGAGTGTCGGTTTCGACGCGCTTCGGCCCCAATAAACGCCGGCCAACTATAGCTTCCATCTCCATCCATGCGAAAGAAACGGCCTCATTGGCATCGCTGGGAAATTTGACTTCGTCGAGCCATGTCAGGCGCATGTGCGGGAATCTTTTCTGGATGTGATCGGTGATGTTGGGGTTGTGGGCGCCTCCACCAGCCATGTAGAGTTCGCTGATAGCCTTGTTCTTGGGGGGCAAAGCGGCAGATTGCTTTGGCCGAGATGCGAACTAAGCTTGCAATGACGTCCTCTTTCGTACCTCCGAGGCCTTCGATCTTGTGGATCAGTCTGACGGCTTCCTCGTCGCCGAAGACCTCTCGCCCCTTAGTGTTGGGGATGTCACGTTTGTACCACAAGAGTTTGTGGATGTAGTCGTCGATTACGTCTTGGAATCTGTATCGCAATTTAGGCAGGTGGAGGATGGAGTTGGTGCGCTCTGAGCTTACATGTGACCCTTTTTGCCTTCTTCTTCGCGCTTGGCTAAAATTTGGAACACAAATGTATCGACCTGTTGCGTCCTAGAGGCTTTGGGTTTCCACTCTCATGTCCAATGCCAACAGAACAGCTGCTCAGCATACCAGGCTCGCCCTGTTCTCTGGTGGATAGAGTCTACCTTGTTTTTCTTGGAGTGACACATGGAGATCATTGCTCGTACGCCATCTAAGCCGCTCGGACCGCAGCTGTCAGGTCGGCTTTTTCGGCTTTCATTTTTATCTCTTTGACCGGATCGGTATACAAGCAGAACTGGGAACCCGCACGACCGGCAGTGACCCGAAATAAGATTTAGCTGTCGAGGACATAGCTATGGTGGCACAAGAGTGGTGGTTGTTTATCATGAAAAACCAACAAACAAAACGACATGAGATAGATGAAACTTCAGAGCTGATCGACACAATGAGACCATAGTCATCATGCGTATCGGTCTTACCTCTTCTGGGAACATTCCTTCTGAGCAAAGTGGATGATGCAGATATTCCTCCAGCGGGCCTCTGTTCGCAGAAAACGATACTCCACCACTTCAGTGGTAAGAACAGCCCTGAGATTGACGTCTCACTTTGCCTCCTCCCTACTGTTCGTTCCCGACCTACGCCGCCGCAGGCTCCGTCCTCAACATTGCTCCGGGATTCGTCAAAAGCGCGAGAATCGTCTCTTATTTACGCCTTAAAGAAATAGCTGCACGTGATCGAAGTTGATATGCGTCTTCTGCCATGTCAGATATGACGGGAATACTCCAGGGCACGCAAAGGTTGCCAAAATGAGAATGCTGAGTCTCGGCACAAAGCCAATGCTAAATTTAGGGGTATCTTCTGCCGGAACAAGGGTCAATCCTGGCTCAGATCTTGGTTAGAGCCCAATACTAGCCCCCAACTTGTGTTGGTGTGAGGCGGGTAACGGCCCCAACGGGAGTTAACCTCGGTCGAGCTACCTGATAACGCTTCTTACAAGAGCTGACGGTGGGCCTGAAAAGTGAAGATTCCCCTCATTTTCGTCAGCTTTCGCGATAGCATGGTTTCCCTTCTTCTTTTTTGCTCAATTGTGTATGTGTATTTCTTGTGTATATAAGTTTCATATGTATGTATCGCTTCTCTCCTCGCAATGATGGCGGAGCAATACTCCGAGCTCGAAGTTGCGCCCAACGAACACACGGCGCCATTCCCGGAAGTCGTCGACCAAGCTGCACATGCGCCGGAACGAGACCTATCCGGCGAATCTCCAGAGCTTGACAAGAAGTCATGGCCGCCCCAAGTATGTTGCATTGCCCAGCAAGTGCAGAAAGTCTCTCCCAAAAGAATTCGGTCTGTTGACAAGTTGAATTACAGAGCCTCTCCCCTACCTCGGAGACCACTGCCTACACTCCCTCTAGACCCGACTTCAAGGACAGAGTCAGCGATTCTGCGCCAGAATATGGCTCCCCAGATCCAAACTACGATCCAAATAAAGACAGGGAAACACTGAAGGAGGCTGGCTCCCCTCCTCCACCACGAACACCTTTCGCGAATCTAGATTCGCACCCAGAAGTCGCGTCGCATAAGGAAGGGTCGGAAAGACCGCAAAAGCGGCGAGGTCTGGCCTTCTGGATTATCATCGGGCTGGTGGGCTTGATCGTCATCGCGATTGCTTTGGGCGTAGGCTTGGGTGTTGGTCTGACTAGGCATAAGAGTTCGAAGTCCTCTACAAGGTGCGGGTCCTTTTGCATGGGATTGTGCAATATTGCTCACCCTATCAAGTACTTCTCCGTTGGTGGCAAATTCTACATCGAACGCGTCATTACCTCATGGAATCTACAACGATTCGTCGGTATCGATGGTGGCATTGGGGGATGGGGACAAACGGTTATTGTTCCAGGAGGGCACTGGGAATATTCGGGAAGCCCTTTTCTCCCAATCAGCAAACTCGTGGACGAGTGATATCAACAACGTAGTAGCGGCGGATGCGAGAAATAATACGCCGCTAGCAGCACTGCTCGTGAACAGCACAGGCACTCCCTTTGCCGATGATACAGGACCTGTGGTAGGTGTTCTATCTCCTAGAGAAAGAACGATCCTATGGGCTAACTCAACCTCAAGATCTTCCTCTTCTACATAACCGCCAACAACCAACTCGCCAGCAAACAATTCATCTCAGGCTCATGGACCACCCGCGACAATTTCTCCCCAGCTGGAACCCCTAACATGACCATCACGACCGCCACCAACACGCGAGCTTTGTCCTGTACATTGCTTAACAATAACGTGCTCTCAGGCCAAGCATTCGTCTTCTACGTAGCTCAGAATGGCAGTGTCGAATCTTTAACGATTACCCCGACTTCCGCTGACAGCATCGTCGCAAGTCCTGGTCCGAGCTTACCAAGTAGCTTACAAGGAGGCCATATACTAGCGTTAGCTGCGGGCGCGTCGGATGCCAACAATGTCGTTACTCCACAGATTGGGGTCCTTACGTCAAACGGTAGTGTCTATTACGACTTGTATTTCTCCTTCTTCAACAACAGCGCCTGGACCGCACCGGAGCGTACGTGGCCCCTCTTCCCTGTTGAGACCAGCAATACGCTCGTATGCTAACGCGAGCTTTCCAGTCCAAACACTCCTCGTCCCCGCCCTGCCCCCCACCGAACAATTCACCTACCCCACCTCCCTCACCCTCGCAAACGCCTACCCCGCCACCGCCACCTCCCTCCCCCCCACTCCCACCAACGCCCCTTCCGACCCCTCCCTCCAATCAGCCTCCTACGACGAGTCCCTCATCGGCGACGTCGACATCGCACAGGTCTTCGTCAACAATCCCACCTCCCTCTCCTACACCCTCTTCGGCTTCTGGGTCAACGGGTCCGATCTGGCGGCTTACACGACGAAGAACATCGGCTTGAGCACGCAGCCGAAGAGCACGTTTCCGTACAGTAGGTTGGCGGGCGCCGTCGGCGGGAATGGGAGCGATGTCTTGCTGTATCATCAGATTAATGGAACGAGTTGGGCGGAGGATGTATATAATCTGGACGGTGGATTCTTCACGACGAGTTACTTTGATGTCGCGACCGAGTGATGAGGTTTATAACACTTTTAGGTTAGTGCAGAAGATTGGGGAGGCCAGTTGTTGGTGTGTTTGGATGAGATGAGATGAGATGAGATGATACCCGAGAGGACGAGACCTTCTCGACAACTCTAAGCCGAAAGTATAGCTGCTGCTTACCGTCGCATGCACTGCGCGAGCAGGCTTATGTCCTACAGAGTACGGTCATGGTGCTGAATGTACATATCGATTCGGCTCACCATGTGTCAAAGCGTGAATAGATGTATCCAGTAGTACACTTCCTCATTTCTGTTTGGGTTTACCAGGTGCTTTTAAAACGAAGGCTTCAAACTCTTTGGCTGGAAAAAGGTGCTACGGCTGGAAGAAGCATACAGTCAGGTGTTAAAGGCTTCGCGGAGGCGAGCATCTTCTGCCCTACTCGTATGAGTAATATTATTCGCTGGTTCCTGGATTTAGCTCGCTGAATGAGTGTGATCGGATCAGATGATAGGTTCTTAGGTATATTTTGTTAGAATTGTTAGTAAGGGCTGGATAAAGTATTTATATTCGGTGGATGGGGTGAGTACTCGAAAGCTCGATCATTGGTGCTCTAGCATTGTCTTGTACGTAAGTTTTATCATATTTATTCACTATTAAAGTTTATTCAGTAAGATTCGGCTAATTATAAGGTATCGAGTTTTGATCCTAACTTTTTAGATATATATAAAAATCTTATAAAGACGGGGGTGGCTTATTTGTACGTTTCTCTTGAGAAACCGTAGAGAAACCGAAGATCCACCGTTGAACAAAGCCGAAGCTATTCGCTAAGGTAGGTATATAAGTCAAAAACTCAGACATCGTGTGTAAAAGTCCGTACGCAAAGGGAAACACTGGAACCATCTTCTGGGGGCGCATAGATTGCACTTTAGGGACTCCAATCGGGCACCAGACTATGCTCAGGTAAGGCGCTGTCCCGAAGCCCCCCTAAGCGCATCATCCGAGTGATCCTTCGGTCGGGGCGTCGTCCGAAATCTCGACGTAGAAGTCTCGGCACGAAAACGAGACGGAAATCTGCCCCCTGCCCCCAGCTCAGTGCGGTGCCCCCCTGAGTATAAGCGTTTCCTTCAATCTGCTTGACCCCCTCCACGCCACACAGCCAGCCCACACGGTCCTTGGTAAACTGCTCCACCCTGGGTCTCAACTTGGTCTCGTGCAGATGGAAATCGTCCACGGTGCCGATGCGCAGGATACTCTGGCCCGGGAAAGCCGAGCCGACGCGGTACATGGGCGTGCCGCACGTGGAACAAAAGTGGTTGGTCATGGTGTTGCCCGAGGCGACGGTGCGCGTTTGGCGGAAGGACGTCAGGTCGTCGCGGCCGCGCAGGTGCTTCAGGTGCGTGTCGGCGACGGTGAAGTCGGATGCGAACGTGGACGCGGTGAGTTTGTGGCAGTCGGCGCAGTTGCAGGTGGAGGTGTCGACCAGGCCCGGGCCTTGGGTTGGCTGGGGGGTTTGGGAGGCGGTGTTAGAGCAGAGGAGATGAGATGGATTTGGGGGGAGAGGCGGAAGGGGGGAAATGGGGAGCCCCGCAGGCAGGTTGTCCCGTGTACACGGAGGGATAGACTCAGGTGCCAGACTTATGACTGCCAGATGCACGGCGCCACAGAAGCATGTGGCCATTGCTTCATCTTCTTTTGACCAGCTGTCATCGGCGCAGCCGGCCAGAGGAATGTAGGGTTTAGATTTGTCGGCGGCGGGGACCACGATTGTGTGTTTCTGAATAACTGTCAAGCGTGATGTAGTATTTGGAGTCGTTAAGAGAGTAAAGACCTGGTGAGCAGGGTGTTGGAACGTAGGCTGACGGAAGAGCCGGATGGGACCTCGGTGACTTCCAGTGACCTGTGCGCAACCACCTACGTACGTCTACTCCGTAGACCGATTCCGTTATTCAGCACATAGTCAGGGTATTAGTGTTCGGCCATTCTGCGGGTTGTCTCGCGAGCGCTCTTCGTGGTACTTACGTTTATGGCGTCGAAACGCCTTTCCGTGGCATGTGTGTTTATATCTGTAGGCCTGACGGCAGACTTTGCAAGCATGCAGAAATCTAAAGATTCTCGTGATCCATGTATTGCTAATACTTGACACATACTAGCGATGTTGGGCTCTATAATGCGCACAAAATTCAGGTTCTCCACGACGAACTTTCAACAGCTTGCCAGGACAACATATCTCAGTTCTCTTGTGTCGAAGACGTTCTCCGGGGTCCAGGGACCCCTAACCCAAGCGGGCTTAGATGCCTTCCAAGCTGAGTTTCATTATCACTCGACGCTTGTGCAGCCGCTACTACTTAGATATAAGGTATTGCTGGACTTAAGACAGGGCAAGAGCATTTTAGAAAGGCTGCCGCTGTTGGATATGAAAGGATTGCCGACCTCCAAGCAGATGTCTAGGATACGAGAGCAGTGGTTGACGAAAGAAGCTATCAAGCCATTACACAGTCGGAGAAGTTTATGAATTAGGTACGACGAGGTATATTCGACGCCACAAACTCAGAATCCGCGTAAATCGAAGAGGTTGGGTGTATGAAGGCACAAGTCATGCAAAAGCTTCACCGCATTCCGGAAAAGTAGGAAGCTGTCCCCAGCATGGCAAGCGAGCATTTATCGACTCTACAGAGCATTGTCGTGATTATGGTTTGCGATACCGCGCTCAATTTCGCCCAACTCGATGCACAGGCCTTTCAGTTTGATTTGGGTACCTTTACGTCCACCCAAGTGGATTGATCGGTTGGGGTTGAATTTCGCAAGGTCGCCAGTCTTGTACAGGCGTCTGACCTTTCCCGCATCCGTCCTTGGGCCCCATAACGGGCTCTCGATGAACACTTCATCAATCCTCGCTTGGTTCTTGGGGTATCCGCGAGCCAGGATGGGCCCTTCGATCAAGAGCTCACCCACACCCCCTATCGGGACGAGTTTATCGTGGTCTTCGGCATCCAAAACCCAGCGAAGTCCTCCGACTGCCCAACCAATGTCGGCCGGGTCTGTGTCTGGCATCATGTCGCATTGCTTGCTTCTATCGAGCGTTCGCTGGGACCAGATCCATTGATTAGCTGTAGACGCCCAGCCCACGTCTCGACATCAACCTTTGCAAGAGGTTCGCCTCCCAACGCCAAAATCTTCAGGTTTGGGATACTGGATGGTTTGATCATTTTGGCGACGGAATGAGTCAGGAATGCCCATGTTGTTGCCATGTCGTTGATGAGATGGGCAGGGCCCAATATCATTGCTGGAGTGCTCGGATAATAGATACATACACCCGAGATCAAGGAAGTCGGGATCTCGAGTATGCCCACATCAAGAATGAACGATGCGAGCTGTAGGATTCGGCTTGATGGGAGTATGCGGGCTTTGGCTGCGTGCTGGAATGATCCACTGCCAAACTCCGAATGCTCAATAAGACATTCCTTTGGCGAAACGGTATCACAGGTGAAGATTACGTATAATAGACTGGATGGTGTAACGTTAATTGAGAGTGCTCGGTCGTGAATCGGAAGCTTAGTGATAGAGTTTTGGTCGACTATGACGGTTGGTTAGCGGTGGTTCCCCACGAAGCGGTTTGTGAGAAGACGAGTTGACCAGCTTGGCTCCTACCTGGCTCATCATGACCTGCCTACCGTTTTTAGGATGGGAAGGGTCAATGAAGACGAAGGCAGCACCAGCCTTGATTACGCCAAGAAGTCTGACAATGACCCATGCCGATTTCTCGAAGCATAAAGGCACAATGTCATGCGATTTAATGCCTAAATCCACCAGGAGATGAACTAGGCGAGGGGACAGGTCATCGAGTTGGTTGAAAGCCGAAGGTAGCGTCATGTGCACGTACAGCGGTTGCATCTGGCTGTACATCTACATGTTTCTTGATCAATACGTGAGCGCACTCGTACACAAGCGTAGGTTGGGTTTCATTTCAGGTCCATACTTGCTCCATGTCATCAGTGTAAGAAGGAACTGCTCGGACATGAGCGTCTGGAGACTTTGGGTGAGTGGGCAGAGGTGCTTTATCCCGCAGAAGAGCCGCCATTCTATATATTGTAAGTTAAAGAGGAGGAAAGGGTTGCTGGAGTGGCACGTTCAATTTAATTGCTGCTGTTGAGTATCAGGTGCAAGCTGTTTTCGCTAGGCGTGTACGGCCTTGAAAAATTCGTTCGAAAGGTACAAGGCGGCGGCCTTGAAAAATTCGTTCGAAAGGTACAAGGCGGGGATGCGAGGGAATTGCCGCGCACAATGTGATCTGAGGTCAATCCAGCAGAGGAAAAGGAAGATACCTATATGGTAGCTTTGAAGTGAGCAATAACTGCTGCTGCTATAGCACTCAATGATACGTAGAGAGCTCGATACTGTGAGTAGAGCTCGATGCTTGGACGGAAAGGATTCGTAATTGCTGTATATCGTCTGGTATAAAAGTTTGCTTGGTCTGAAGAAGACTGCGAGGTGGAGATGTTGAGATGTCGAGCCGTTGCACCAAACAAGAATGTATGGACACTGTCCTCGTGATGGTGGGCACTAGTTTGAATATTGTTGATTTGGTCCAAAGTATCGAAGTCCTTTAGTAGAATCTGAAACAGAAGTTGTCTGAGATTCAGCAATCGATCAAACCCTGCATAGTACAAATGCCACCATTTCGGTTCCGCATCAAAACCACTGTAAACGCAGTGAGGTCACCCTGAGGTTTAGATTTCAGCCCTCGCCGTGCGGCCTCTTCATGCATGCTGTGCCATATTCGCGCATCATATCAGCTGCGCATTTCTCGCCATCCGAAACAATGCTAAACCCATCACTTCCAGCTTGGCTTGAAATCATACAGGAGCTGAGTGAAAGCAAATGGCAGGTCAGCACTCAGGGGGAAGATGGGCAGCCCCAATCGGACTACTAGGAGAGTGAAGATTGTGTTGTTCAGACATCGGGAGCTTGGAGGGTTCTAGTTGCGGGGCGAGCGGTACCTAGAGTACCTCTGAGTTAGATATTCGCAGGCGGTATACAAAATGCGCACACTGCTACCCCTATTTTCATAATCATTGGGAAACTAGAATCGCGATTTTGGCACCCCCCTTCAAGAAACAGAAAAAGTGCTTTTCTTAAATAGCCTCACAACGATAACTTGTAACGTTCTAAAAAATCTCTAGATTTTAATAATTATATAAGAGATTAAGAATATCGAATTATAAAAGATTCTAATTATTCGTTTTATTATAGAATAAAGATTTAATAAATTTCTAGATTTTTTAAAATAGTCTTAACGATAAAAAAATAGTCGAGGTAAAATTTTCAAGTTCGCGATATATTCTCACTTTTTAAATCTTTCTAAAATTTAGAGATAGATTACTTAATATAATAAGTAAATATCGTAGAATTTTTAAACTATAAAAATAAGTAATAGTAAGGTTATATAGGAAAATTCAAATTTTTAATTTTTAATTATAAGAGGGTGTTAAATTCGCAGATTTTTTTTTAGTTTCCCAATAATTAAGAAAATAGAAGTGTGTGTGTGTGTATATGATTTCTATATCGGAGAGACGTCTCTCTAGCCATATAGGCAAGAGTAAGACCGTTTTTCCCCACTCGGCCTTTCGACTATATCCGATTTTTATATATAATATACTATCTAGAGTAATTTATACGTCTAATATATATAAAGATATAGAGAAAAGAGAAGAGAAGAAATAGTATTAATTAAAGAGTTATCTTCGGGCTATACCTCCTTAATTCTATTTTATCTCACTTTCATCGAAGTTCCTTATTCGTATTATTTATTCTATTATCTTTCGTTAAGTATTAATTAATCGATTAGCTTTTATAAAGTTACTTGAGAGGTAATATCTTAAATATCTTTCTTAAAGTAATTATCTCTATACTCTATAACTATTATAATATCGAATAACGACGTCTATAGAATATATTCTCTTTTAGAGAATTATCGTTATATTATAATTATACTTTAGCTACTATAATCGCTAGATTAATTATCTATATCTTTTATATTCTTAGATCTCATATCTAGATAAGATCGTTATATTACTTTTCTATCTATAATATTTAACTTAATACTTAAATAATTTCTATCTCGCGAATAAGCTTCTAAAAATCTATTTTAAGAATATTTTCTACGTTAACTTCTCTAAATATATTACTATTATATCGTATAGTAAATATTAAATATATTCTTTTTCGTATATCGATAGTTATTATCTATAATATCGCCTCGAAATAATAAATTATATATTCGCTCGAAGATAGATTAATTAGCTTCGCTAGAAAGTCTTTTATAAGAGAATTTACGCTTATATTTATTATAAGAATATACTATTTCTTTAAATTCTCGTCTTATATAAAGACTATAGCTTTAAAGCGAAGATATTTAAATTTAGTTATTCGTTATAAATCGTTTAACTTCTCTAATAAAGCGATATAATTACTATTATACTCCTTTAAAAGAGTATTTTATAAATCTTTAATAGTATTATAGTCGATCTCGATCTTATCTTCTTAGCTATATTTAGAGTTATAAGTAATTATCTTTAAATATAATAACGCTAATATATTCTATACTATATATAAAATATAACGTTTTTATATCTCTTTAAATATCTTAATTATAATAGTTATCGCTAAGAGTAGAAAGATATTATAGAATATTATAGACGAGATTAAGAATAATAAAACTTAACTTAATTAATTAGAGATTATATCTAGAATTTATTAATATAAATAAAGATTTAAGAGTTAAAAATTAAATATAATTTATATTAAAAGAAAGATAAAAGCTTCGAAATTATATATAATCTCTTATTATAGAATATAGCTATCGACTATTTTATTAATAGAGTAATTATTTCTCTAGTAACTATCTATAATAAGAGTATTTTATATATACGATTTCTCTATTAATTCTATAAGTAGATATATTATAAACTACTTATTCGAGAGAATAAGATTAAAAGAATAAGATTATATTACTATAGATAAATACTAAATTCGTTATATTCTTTTATATTAATCTAAAACTTAATTAATCTTCTCGAGTTTAAAAGCTCTCTCTCTTATTATCATTTCCGCGAAAGAAAATATCTTAGAGAGATAATAATATTAATATTAAAGGGGCTCTATAGTCTATACCCGAGTTTATATAATATATATCTTATTTTATAGAATTAGAATCGAGATATTATTTTTATTCTACTATTTAAGACTATAATAGAACTACGAGATATTTATTTCTCTTTCTAAGATCCTCGAAAGTCTTATCTTTTATATCGTCTATTACTTTTAATATTATACTTATTCTATTAAATTTATATATTTATTATTCTATAGACTATAAGATTATCGCATTTAATTATCGAGTTAAGAGAACTTCTTACTATAGCGCGTATTAGATTTTCAAATATAAGAAGATTAATTAATATAATTAATATATTCTTAGCTTACTTAGAAGTATAATAATTATCTTCGGGCGAGTTATAAAAGGCGCTATATTTAACCTCTAATAGTAGAGATAATAACTTCTAATAATAATATTCTATTATTATTAAAAGGCGATAACGAATAAAGATATTTCTCGTAAAGGCTAACTTCTATAAGATTTCTAGAATTCTTAAAACGTTATATTTAATACTTTTAATTAATATTACGTCGAAGAGTAGAAGATAAATATAAAAAGAAAAGAAAATGATATTAATAATACTAATAAAATAGTCTATAAATAGAATAATTAAATATTATCTATTCGAGAATATTAAAACGTATAAATTAAACTCTAATTTTACGGCTTTTTAGAAATATACTTTTATCTATAATATTTATTAATACCTTAACTATAAATTATCTTTAATATTAAATTTCTTATTATAATATCTATATTTAATAAATTAAATTATAACTTTATTAAAGACTTTTAGCATTTATATTCTTATTATAAATTTTACTACTTTTATTATAAGATTTAATTTAAATAAAATATTCTTAATATTAATTAATTAATTATCTTAAGTAATCTATTTATCTTCTATATATAGAGAATATATTATAAGAATATAATCTCGAGTCTAATTATCTTCTCTATAGTTATACTTAGATAAATTAATTATCTAATATATATAAAGAAGATTTTTAAGAGCTAACTTCTTAGTTTTTAGCTATATTATTATTAAGCTTATAGCTTTCTTTATTCCTATATAAAAGGCTATAACGCTATAATAAAATATAAAAACGAGTTACTTAAGCTCGATATCTTAGATATATATCTTTTAGAGTACTTACTAATTATTATAAATTAGCTTTTTAATACGCTATTTAACTATTAAGAGTAAATAGAACTCGTTCTCTTCGATATCTTTTTTCGATATTCATTTAGCGAGCTTATCCGCTACTTCGTTCTCTAGAATATCTTTATAAACTATAATTTATTATAGAGTAATAGATATATTTATCTCTTTAAGCTTTATTAGCTTCTTTATTATTCTATTAAGAATATACTATTTTATTTATTCTCTAGAGTTAGCTATTAATTATATTACTACTTAATTATCTATTTAGATAATTAGACTTAAGAAGATAATATTAATAGCTATTTCGTATATTATATTAATTTCTTTTAGCTCGCCTACGTATATAGTATAATACTCGCTATCGTCGAGATATCGTATTTAGATATTAATAACTTAGAGAGCGTAGACGAAGACTTCGATTTTATTTTTTATTTCGCTATCGTCTTTATATATATATAGCGAGATATAATCGATATTAATAATCTTATTATACTACTTAATAACTTTCTTTTTATTTTTACTAATTATTATCTTTAGTAGTTTCTATTATAGAAGTATAATATAGGGGATATATTACTTTATTAGGCTTTACGCTTATTATCGATATATAATATCTTTAATTTATTTTAAAAGGCTTCTAAGCTTCGCTCTTTTATTAGCTAGCTTTTACTATTTATTTATATCTTATATAGATCTAATAATATCGTAGTTAAGATAGATTTAAATCTTAATAATAGCCTCTACGATAGCTTTTTTT